GGGGAAGTAGACGCTATACTCCCAGCGTACGACGGCCCTACAGGCCCTGAACCAGACTCCCTCCCAGGCTCTCGACCCCCCACGCCTACAGGCTCTACGTCACCTACATACGCCCAAATCGTCGCTACAGGCTATATACCCCCGAAGCCGTCCACTAAACGCCCTGCAAGAACACCCTCCCCAGGGGCTCAACGCCCTACGACACGCCAAAAGATAGGCCCTACGCAGCCTATAGAGCCTATAATCAAAGACAGCTCGTCCGACGAAGATCTTTATAGTGCCTCTACAGCGCCATCGTCCCCTACCCCTAGCTTTGAAGACGCTATCTCAACGCCTATACCAACTACACCTACCGATAAGACGCCTACCACACCTAGCCTACCCTCTGATAGCCCCTACTTCCCTCGACTATCACGAGTAGGCTCCCCTATAAGCAACCGAAGCTACTCACCCCTAGAACCACCCCCTAAAGCTCCCCAAGCTTCAGCACCCTCTCACGCTAAAGAGCCTATAATAATAAGCTCTTCTCCCCCAACAACCCCTACAACACACCTACCCTCCAAAACTACCACAACTCACCTACCCTCTAAAAACACCACAACTCACCTACCCTGCGAAACCTCCACACCTAGCCTACCCGTTAACCCAACACTCCAGGGCCGTACTATAGGGCCTACAGCGTCTAAACGCCCTATATCAACACAAGGCACAGCATCTTCAGCGCCTAAACGCCCTAGAACGTCAACACTAAAACGCCCTACCGACCCCCTCACATCTGAGCTACCCTTTGGATTACAACAATCGATCCACTGCCCCCAGCCTCAGGCTACCTCAGCACCTACACCCCTACACCCACAGGCTTCCTCAGCGCCTACACCCCTAGACGAGAGCGCTAAAGACCACTTGAACGCTATAAGCTCAGCGCTAAGAAACCCCTATATGCAATCCCTCATGAGATATAGCACTATTAAGGTCCCTGAAACACGTCTCCACGCCAGGCAAGCAGCGCTATTTACAGAGGCCGCTAATCGAGCGGCTTTAGCGTTCTTACGGCAGCCTAGAGAGAAGCAATTACTGGACTTTTTACTGCTTCCCAGGGTTCTCGGCCTAGGATTACAGAAGGAAGAGCTCGCTAAAACGCTGAAAGCCTACCCTACGACTATACCGGATATCCCTGAAACTCAGGGACCTCCCCCTGAACTCCCTACCCCCTCAAACGACTCCCCCGCCAAAAGAGCGACTAAGCTTCTGGAAAAAGGCTATATAGGGCGTGCCTCTAGAGCCCTAATCGACCCTACGCCTCTAGCTCCTAGCACTCCAGAGACGCTAAATACGCTATACTCGAAGCACCCTATAGGGCATAATAACCCCTTCAGTAACGCTAACCCCTCCCCGGGGCAAAATATCACCCCTGAAACGATACGACAGGCTATTCGATCGATTAATAGAGAGAAAGCCCCTGGCCTCAGCGGCTGGACCCGCCCGCTACTTGATATAGCGCTAAATTCGGAAAACTCCCCTGTAACTATAGCGCTTACACACCTAGCGAATATGATTCGACAGGGTACAGCTCCAGGGGTCGACCTCCTATGTGCTTCCCGACTTATAGGCCTTCAGAAGCCTGACGGAGGTGTGCGACCGATCGCTATAGGGGACCTTATTTATAAGGTAGCCCTAAAAGCGATCCTTATCAGCTCCTTCAAGCCGTCTATGCTTCTACCCTGCCAATTAGGCGTTAGCACCCCAGGTGGTGTAGAGCCTATAATCTTCCTCCTTGACGACGCTATTACCGGCCCAAATACCCTAAAAACTCAGCAAATCGCCTCCTTAGACCTTATCAACGCTTATAACCGAATCGGACGAACCTCAATAGCAGCTGCAGTCGCTAAATACGCCCCTACTCTCTATCGGACCGCTAAATGGGCCTATAACCAGCCTTCAGTGCTAGTAACAAACGAAGGCCACACGCTAGCAAGCGCTGAAGGAGTACGCCAAGGAGACCCTATTGCCCCCCTCTTATTCTCTCTAGCGATTCGCCCCCTGCTAGAGCACCTCCAAAAGACCCTACCGAAGGCTACAATTATAGCTTATTTGGACGATATCTATATCCTTAGCCCTGAAACTACAGCACTACTCCCTGTAGTTATAGAAGCCTTCAGGGACTCTCCAGTAGCTCTTAACCGCCAAAAGAGCACCGAAAGCCCTATTTCCCAGTTACAAACCACTGGACTTAAGGCCTTAGGGACCTTTATAGGCCCTGTAGCACACCGCCGAACGTTTCTCCAGGGGAAAATCGACACTCTCGCTACAGCGCTATATACCCTACGAGACCTCCCTAAACAACACGCTACCCTACTCTTACGGGGTAGTATACACCTACTCCTACGACACTTACAGCGCCAATTGTACTCGGAAGACCTACTAGACCTCTGGAGGTTAGCGGACTTACGAATCAAGTACGCTGTACAAGCCCTAATCGCTAGGGAGCCAGGGGAGAAGACTACCCTAATTCGCCAGGCTTTACTCTCTCTTCCAGTGAGAGAGGGAGGCTTAGGGCTCCCTATACACGCCTTATTAGCCCCAGGGCTCTATAGGGCAGCTAAGGAAGCCTCTCGATCGATTCTAGTGGCTATATGCCCTAATCTCTACCCGGAACCCCCTGGACGCCCTGTACCGACAGCCCAAGAGGTCTTCTCTAGCGTTAACCAAGACCTAGAAGAGAAGATTCTACCTACCCTATCAAAACAAGCGCTAAAATCGAAGCTTGAGAACGCTAGCTACCTCGGACGATACTGGCTTAGAACCCTGCCCACGCAAAAACACCACCTTTTAGCGGATTCTACAGTTACCGAAGCACTACGGACTAGGCTCTTACTCCCTGTAAAGCCCCCTATTTCGCCCTGTACCGCCTGTGGAGCCTACCCTCAAATAGGCCACGAAGACACCTGTAGAGGTGCTGAACGACGCTGGATTATACGCCATAACCAGGTTACCCGTGCATTTATTACTACCCTTTCTAGCCGGGAAGACCTTAAAGTGGAATCGGAGCCTACGCCAGCTAGAACGCCTATAGCCCTAGAAAACAGCCAACGACCGGATTTTTCAGTGCTTATAGGTACTTCTAGGCACTATTACGACGTTCAAATAGTAGCAATCAACAAGGATTCAGCACGCGAAGAAGCCTATGCTACGCTATCAGAGGCAGCAAACGCTAAACGGCTTAAATACAGCGACTTAGGCCCTGTATTTCACCCCCTGATCTTCTCGGCAGGAGGCCTAATGGAAGCCGAAACAGCGAAGACCTATAAGGCCCTACAGGGCCTATTAGGGCACTCTAGGGCTAAGTGGTTAGACGGGTATATCGCTAGCACCCTAACTCAGGCTCGAGGAATCGCTGCAACCTCGATCCTAGCACGTAGGTAGCTTATAACACACGCTATACCTACCCTACAGCACACACTACACCTACCCTATAACACACACTACACCTACCCTACGGCACACACGACACCTACCCTACGGCACACACTTCACCTACCCTAAGTAACTCACACTTCACCTACCCTGTGATACACACTCTATCTACCCTATAGTACACACTCTACCGACCCTGCGACTCACACTCTACCTACCCTTTGGTACACACTCTACCTACCCTATGGTACGCACTCTACCTACCCTGCGACTCACACTACACCTACCCTGTGGTACACACTCTACCTACCCTGTGGTACATACTCTGCCTACCCTATGGTACACACTCTACCCTGCGACTCACACTACACCTACCCTGCGACTCACACTACACCTACCCCTTAGTACACACTTTACCTACCCTTTGGTATACACTACGCCTACCCTCTGATACACACTTTACTTACCCTTTGGTACACACTCCACTTACCCTGTATTATCTCCTTCTGTCTTAGTACTCTACCTTCTGTACCCCTGACACCTTCAGGCTCTTACCCTCTGTATTATTAGTATAGTCCTTCTGTATTTCAAGACTATTAGAGAGAGATAAAAACACTCGTCGCAAGCTAGCGTAGTTAGAAACAAATATAACCCAAACCTCAAACCCTAACCCCCTACCCTGTGGTACACACTCTACCTACCCTGTGGTACATACTCTGCCTACCCTATGGTACACACTCTACCTACCCTGCGACTCACACTACACCTACCCCTTGGTACACACTTTACCTACCCTTTGGCACACACTCTACCTACCCTTTGGTACACACTACGCCTACCCTCTGATACACACTTTACTTACCCTTTGGTACATACTCCACTTACCCTGTATTATCTCCTTCTGTCTTAGTACTCTACTGTAACGTTTCTAACTCGGTCAGTGTCGTGAGTACAGACTCGTCGGTTAGTATCAGCTATGAAGTAAAGTAACAAGACGCTTGATTCTCAATAGGAATTAAGACGTTACAAGCAGTAGTAAACTAGGTGTAAACTTACTATTTGATTTAAGCACGAAGCTCTACTATCTAGGAAACTACCTACTTGTTATATAGAACTTCTGACTTCCTGTGTAAGCTGTGTAAGACGTCTTATAAGGCGCGCAAGCCCGTAAGCCCGTCTAGTAAGCTAGCACATCACGTGACCTATGTCCACCGTGATTAACATAACTATTATTATGATAATAAGCGTGGAGTATAGTACTACTCGCTAATTCGTACTATTCTCTTATTAGTGCTATTCTCTTAATGGTACTATTAACCCTTTGGTACCAAACACCGACTAGTGCCATCCACTTGGTAGTACTATCAGTATTATAGTGCTAACCCGTGACTTGTACTAAGACTAAGCCTGGTTCGTGACATCTACCTTCTGTACCCCTGACACCTTCAGGCTCTTACCCTCTGTATTATTAGTATAGTCCTTCTGTATTTCAAGACTATTAGAGAGAGATAAAAACACTTGTCGCAAGCTAGCGTAGTTAGAATCAAATATAACCCAAACCTCAAACCCTAACCCATCGATCGTCATATACAGAACATACCCAATCCTCACACGCAACGGAGCGGCAGGAGAACCCTCCATTGTATGCAGCGTGCTTCATCATCATTGCAACACAATGGACATGGCGAAGCTCTATGGAAAGAAACTTGAGATGGCTTTGGGATTGGAGCGGGCGTAATACATCGCCTTCCCGCCGGATACACAGCAGGTGGCAGATGCATTGAAAGCTTGGATAACGACGATGAGACCTGATTGCAAGGTCTACGACAACGCCACGGAAGGTTCCCTGGACGAATTCGACAAGATGTCTGAAGCCACTGGGACAAGCGGCAGGATCTTTGTGCACGATACTGAATCAATGAACGTTTACATCCATTTCCATCACTTGCGGGAGAGGATTCGTAACGGAACGCAGATCTGGAGTATACCCAGGTTGACGTTAGAATGGCCTACATTTGCCCCTATCTTCGACGGCAAATTGCGCGGATGCACCCTTACGCGTTTGTTCCCACCTAGAAGCGCGGTCCATATGCCACTGAGCCTGGTCGAAGAACAGCCCTTTTTTGCCGATGAGATCCTTCGATGGCTGCTGACTGGGCCGAATCCTCAGTGTGGAACCACTGCTGCTGGTGCGTTCAGGCTGGTTCTTGCTCCACATTTCATGGACCAGGTCTTTGAACTGGCATCGTCCAAGGCACGAGAGAGATTTGCATTCGAAAAGTCCTACCAAGGAGAGTCTCTGGAAGAGGACTTGGAAAAAGCTGGATTGGGTCGGGCGCAATGCAACTTGAGGTTTCAGATGTATTGTGATCTTCGCAGACACGGAGTCAGAAATCTCAAAGCTGCTGTAGAGCCGGACAGCAATGACAATGTAAAGTCTGACGGTTTCGAGTCTGATGACATCCTCGAGTCAGAGTACGACAAGGATACCGGCCCAATTTACTACATCCCAACGCGCTACAAGGGGAATCTGCACATGCAAAGGGATCACTTTGCTGGGTGGGCGCTGTTAAATCTTCAGAACTTTGGGAAGTTCATAGTGCTTGGACCACTCCTGTTCGAGGAACATCGCGAGAGGTGGCAACACGTGGATTTTGTGGAGAACCAAGAGGATGTTCGAACATACCTAGGCATGGGGTCTCACCGAAGATGATGGAGCCTTTGTGGATGGATGGTCCCATAGTGGATTCTTCAGGTTGAAGGTCGGGGTTGGTTTCCACAATTTCAGAAGTGAGGCGAGGATATACGAATAGTCTCTCAAACTCTACATCAAGGTTGATTGAATACTTTTCCCCTGGGTTGCTCTGCTGTATCTTTATGACAAGTAGTTTTAGTGTTTTATCGAATTATGACTTTGGGCTTGTTAGAATCGTGGAAATGAGTAATCTGGCATGCTCTCCTTGTTCCTCTTGTGAAGCTGAGGCTGTCCTCGTATCTCTTTCTGGTGTTTTGGCGTGACTGGCAACAGAGGCTACAGAGTTTGAGCTAGCCTCAACACTTAGGTCCCTGCGTCATTACCACACTATCATATAGTGCAAACAATCGACTCGAGCGTCGTTTTCAGGCGGTAGGGAATTGAGCTGCAGGAGAACGCTTTATGGAGGGACCACCTGGACGTGGATATTCGACATAACAACTTGTCTCCACAAGGCCTCGATTTGCAAGGAATAGACAGATGGCTTACTTCACCATGGATGTTTCTAGATAGGTAATATTGTCTTGAACCCCGATCACCGCTTCAGTCTTAGTAGTAGATAAGAATTGGCTCAGGGATAGACATTGGTATTGGCCCCTGGAATGGCAGCTGAACTGGTCTCATCTCAATCTGAGCTTTAACACCTGCGGTAAAATGCGTACTGTCACCCTTTCCCCTCCCCTTTCTCAAGTCTGGTCCAGCTTCTAGGGTCCTTATTCCAATTTCAGTATTTCAATCTCGAGATTCCAGAGTCCAGATTCCAGATTCCAGATCCCGACCTCGAGGTTCTGAGCTAACATCATGGATTTGCAATCTCAAGATCGAGATTACAGATTACGGAACTGGAATTCCGATCGCTGAGAAAGATGAAAACTTTATATAAAAATATTTTTCTCTCCAAGAAATGATTTTATTCTTTCTTCTCCGTCATCCATCAGCTTGAGACCGTCTAGCTGACTGACGAGTTAGTCTAGACATCGACAGTTTATCAAACTCGAGTCGTCGACGGGCGATTTCGAGATGAGATGACCATTTATTCAATTTCACCTATCTGTGGGCCCTCTAACCTGATTTTCTAAACGCTTCTACCCTAAATAACTCTTCATTGGAGGTCCCTCTTCATTGAGTCAACACACGAATCATTTCATAATCCAAAATCTCTTCGCCAAGCGATCTTAGTAGATGCTCAACGCCACCTATTTGAGCCTCTTCTAGGGTCAGCCAGCTCCTCTTAACTATTTTTAACAATTTTCGATGTCACAATCCGTAACAAATCAATGCCAGCAAGAATACAACAACCTTCACCTTCCTCACCACTCAAGCACTGTTTACGGCACTGCTCTTCGATCTCAACAAAGCCTCTCCCTCGCTGAAACTTTTCTCACCAACGGACTTCCAGTTACAAGTCATCTCGTCGCCAGCCAGCCAATAAGCTAGCCAACAATAGCTACCCAATATTTACGCTTCAAGTCAAACAAGGAACTCTTCCTCTCCCCAAGAAGGGACTTCTCTCGAAACAACCGCCACTGTCATTGAAGAGAACAAGATTTAAGATCAAACTGGAGACATTTCCAGGCAATATACCTCGAAATAAACTGTATACATCATCGCTAATTCGCATCTCGCGTCGATGATCAGAAGTCAAATTGCTGATTAGCTGCATTGTCGATAGATGCACAAGTCGAAGTTCGCTGGTTGGCTGGCTAGCTGGTTGGTTTCCACAGGATTCCTCGCTACTTTCAATACTCGATTTTCGGATAGAAAAGCGAGAAAGCAAAGTGCTGCAGATATATAGGCGGAGCTGGGTAAAGGGGAGAGGTTAAATCACCGGAATATTAGTGCTGAGAGAAGTGCCCAAGGCAAACAAGGAGATCAAGCTGGAGTAAAACAAGAATTTGATGGTTCTGGACATGAATATGGGGAGGAGCATGAATTGAGGAGGAACATAAAAATTGAGGAGGAGCTTGATCCGAGGAGGAGAAGATGAAGACACGCATTAATTTTCAGGCCTTCTTATAGACGCAGGCATTGAGCATGACATGGATACCAACTGTCCACTCGAATCTTCCCAGGTTCGACATCCAGATAGCGAAAACACACCAACATCCCACCACAACTTACTGGCTACTTCCTCCCTGCATACTTGGCTTGATTTACAGCATTTCATTCATGATTGAAATGGTCAGAATCATGGTGAAGGCTCAAGCCAACGCCAGAACCCGTTACACACCCAAGCCGAACTGTGGAAGTCAAAAACCAAGACCGAGCCCACGGCTGTGATGATATAGGCACAGCAGTTGTGGACAACCTGGTTTATAATACCCCCTTTTAGGCCATCAAAGCCGAGAATGGGGTACAGTTCTAGCATATCCCCTCAACTGCTGAAAACACCCTTTTCCAGGGCACCGCGCTGAAGCGAGGCGCTAAGGCTGCCTGGATGGGCAACGTAGCATCCAAATTTCAGCGTTCTTCGCTTATTACAGGGTCTCAATACAGGCTGCACACTCCCTGTGAAATGTGTCTTTGATACAGCAGTTGAGGGGATACTTGCCACAGCCAAAACCCTCAACGCTAAGCAACTGAGGCTGGAGAAAGATATAGCCGTAAAATGAGATGCGTCTCACTGCTGGAGAAGAAAAAATAGTCTCAATTCGACAAGATTGTTCAGCGAGCCAAACAGATAATTAAATGAAGAGGGAAAAAGACTTGAATTGCGCTGGTAGAGTAGGCGAACACAAGTCGGCAGCCACGGAGGCAGGCTTGCAGGTAAAAAGAGAGCAAGGAAAGGTGGTGTTGAAAGAGGAAAGTGACAAGGTGCAGGCGGTGATAATTAAATCGCAGTCTGTTGTTAGAAAAGGGATAAGAGAGCTGGTTGGAATTGTTGCTAGAGAAGGGCGAGGAGGTGGTCTCTGTGTTGATTATGGGAGACGAACTAAATCATATCTAGTAGACTTGCTTGCTTGATGACGATCAGGTCAGTGGGGATGCTAGATATGTGTTTTTTTACGTCTTCTCCTTGCTCCTTACCGCAGGCAGCGAAGGAGCAGGAAAATAGTGAGGGGGGAGGGGGGAAGCACTAGATTCTGTACCTCGCTCGGACAGCGAATCCTTCATTTCAAGACTTGAGAAAGAAGTAGACAACATGGCTGGTGATATACGTGGTTAGCAGTTTCGAGTAGATACGGAGTTCGTGGATTAAAACTCTGCTATACCTGTACATGTAGCTCTCCATTCTTCATACGAGCGTACGACAGAAGAAAAGAATTGGAGCCATTTCTGGACAGGGATCTTCTTGGTAGCAGTCGATTCTTCCTTGTGTCTAGCACAAATGACGAAGCTTTTTGCACAGACGCGCGATATATAGAAGCGTCCACATCTCTTGCCAGTGACATGTATCCTTCCTTTTGTTTTGGGGGAGAAAACTCTTTAATCAAATAACACCACTGGCCAATGTCCACCAGTCTCAAATCCCACAGCCAAATCATATCACTGGCTGATCTTTACTCAGTGGTGATCTCATGTCATATCTTCTTTTCTCTCTTTACGTTTTCCATCGCCGCATCGAGTGGTTATTATTTCCACATCAGATCCAGTCGCGTATGAAGCAAAAAAAGAATAAAAAATTCGATAGTCATCAACTTCTCGCGAATTCCAGTCCTATCCATTGCAACCTGAAGAAGCGGCACTCCGATGGAAAAAAGCCACATTGGAAAGGTGACCGGGCGTGGGGCAGATCATGACGCAACGAAGTATAATAACGCCTTTGAAGGGGAATTGGTGGCGCGACTTGATGGAAACACCTGTAAGTCCGGGTTTTGGTGCGGTATTAGAGTGATGGAGCCAACCCATGATTCGCAGATACGCACCGACGGGCCGTACCTTACAGCAATATCAGTAACTAGTATTAAAAATTTCCAGCCTTTTTTTACCGAGCCTTATCAAAATCTCAAAACCCTTAGATTTACTACCCTCTTACTGCGTATACAACTTATATTTAAACTACGTAAAAAGTTGATAAACTAAAAGAGTTACACGATTCTAGTAACTATATTAAGTTTTTATATCGTGTAGCGTGATATTCTAGGTATAATAATCGATTTGCTTGAAATCGGGATTTCTTACTAAGGGCAAGAGCCGCAGGCCCTTTATTTGTATAAGGATTCCCCCCCCTCTTATAACTTCACAACGTCTTCGATACAACTTATAAGAATCAAGGGAATTGTACTTTAACATGCGATTATCAATTCAGCGTTTATTATATATTATCTAAATCGTTTGTTAAGGTGCAATAATTCGAGGCGTTTTCCAAAGTTAGGTGAGGGCCAGAAAAATCGCGAGGGCTGGCCCCGCGATTTTTAATACTAGTTACTGATATTGCTGTATTTGATTGGAGTTGTGGAATTTGGGTCGCTAGGCTAGCCTTGCAACAGGGCTGACACGCAAGCGGGCAAAGTTGGTTTGCCTCAACCAAAACCTTCTTTCCACATCACATCTTCCCCCTCACCCTCTACCTCCCATGTCCGTTCATATCTCTCATCTCCTCGACTTTTTTCTGCCCTCTCGTTATCTCGTGCTCGCGCTCCTCCCATTCCATCTGGCGATCTATGGCATAACTTAGATCTCAGATGATGGCCCACAACGCTGAACCACCGGCGTCTCTCGCCTCTTCTTAAGTACCAATTCCTACCGCTCATGCTCCTGTCCTTCATCACAGCGGGGAAATGCTAATTGACTTGGACTTTGACGTCAGTTTGCTAACGTTTCTCTTTCGCCTGCGCAGAAACCTCCCTTTCACTGCTTCGGTGACCGGTGTGCTCCATTTGCCTTTGGCCTCCTCTCCGCCGTCCCCAAGGCCGCTCTCTCTACACATAAAGCCTGCACGCGGTCTACTATAACTACCGACTCGAGCATGTCTTCCGATCCAAGTCTCTGCGGCATCGCATTCTCTTCGATCTCGTGGGAGGATGTTGCTCGCATCGGCTGCCCTGACATTGCGTGGATTTGTAGCTCAACTCCACCCATCTGCAACACGCAGCCCGAACAAAACTCGCGAGACCCTCAGACCATGGACCAGGACGTTGCGGTTATGGCAGTCGCCATTTCACATTTCCTTTTGGCACAGCTTGGCGTTATCATTTTAACTGTCATCACCACTCCCTCCTTCCTGGTACCGGCATTTCCATTTGCATAGCTTATTACATTATTGGCGAAATCTACTTTTGCGCTAGGCGTAACATGAATCAGATAGAGTCGGCACAGCGTGGGCAGTGAGACATACTAGACTTTCCAGTGCCATTGCGTCCTAGCAGGCAGCAGTGAACACAGCCGTTGAGTCTTAGATTGGCGTCAACGTGAATTTCAAGTGGCCGGATCGACCTATCTGCGTAACCACTAAGTCATACTGTGCCGCCCGCGGAAATAATGGAGGGATTGAGCTACTCGATGCAGGCTTGCAAGCTGTGAGTTGTGGCTTGTGGCCAGTGCAGCAAGAGCATGCATCTCTGAGCTGCGGTAATCCTCTTGTGTATGATCGCGAGTGTACTGGCAAGTAGTAGTCTGGTGCATTGAGTGCCTGGACTAGGCTGGACTAGGCTGGACCTCAACCGCCTTATCTTAAGAGATCATATATCTAAAATTCCATTATCATACAACCAAAAATTCATGCTGCAACAATTCGCCTGCCGTCGCTCTCTGCTTCGGGTTCCAGACCAACATTTTTCTGAAGAACCCACCAAATAGATCGTATTCCTTGCCTTCCAGATACTCCTCACAATCTTCCAATGGCACTGACTTGATTCCCGTAGCCTGGACGCCTTTCCAATTTCCTACGTTTAGCCAGTGCTTAGTAAACGACTATCAAATAGTCGTAGGCCTAAATCTACATACCTTCAGAGTTCCAGTACTTCAAGGCCGCTTTGCTCTCCCCTAAGAATGATTTTGGAGGCGGGCCGAGGACTGATTCCATCTTAGCCAAGAGCTGAGCGTCTGCATGCTGCCTAGAATCCTGCCATCAAAGAGATGGTCGTCTTCGAATAGATGCCATGCCTGGATCACTGTAAGCACAATATTAAAGCAACGAGTAGCGTTATTATGCGGCACACTATATCATAACAGTAACCACTGATTACATACCATGACTCCTAGATTTCATATATCCACTTTAGAATCCCATTCCATACCGAGCACGACCTCAGGCGCCCGAAAACTCTTTGGCTGGATAATGCGCCGTACCCAAGTTTGCTGAGAACTTGATACCGAGAACTGAATACTTCCCCAAGGCGTACTGGATAGTATAAGCCATGAGTCGGCATTATTTCTTCCTCGATCGGCACTGTGTTGTCTAGCGTAACGAGCCTTGAGGACATCAATCTGCTTGACATTCCGCGAAGAGGAGATATCGATTGCTGTATCATCTGCTGCGTCTGGCGAAAGAGCCAGCCCATATTTCGTGGAAGCACCTAATTGATTTGGATGGCGCAATCGAACTTCGCGTGGCCGTGACAAAAGTGTGAGTGAACTTCTCAGCAGCTCCTGTTGAGACCATAGGTAAGTTAGAGGAGAGAGATTGGGGCGCCGCGGCGCGGTGCCAACCAATATGAAAATAAGCTAGTTGTGCACGCTAGTCCGAGAGCGACGAATACCACTTGTTGATTTCGTTTCTCTCTTGGACGTTATGTTGGGTCGGTCCGCATTAACACAGTGTTTGATGATCCACGGATGCTTTTGGACCTGGTCGAGCGGTAGCCGCTTCTCTGGTTCGACAACAAGGAGCTGAAGCAGGAACCAGAAGTTAGCATCCATTCATATTGGCAGACACAGAAATTTATCTTACACTTTTGATCAAATCTTTGGCTTCTGGAGATACGTAACTCGGAATGGTCATGTCACAACGGACAATTCTTTTGTACGTGAGAACCTGCGAGTCCTCAAATGGCGCCTCCCCAACTAAGAATTCATACATCAAGACCCCCAGACTCCACAAGTCGACCTTGTTGTTGTAAGAGGTGCAGTTGACGATCTCGGGGGGCAAGTAGTCTAGAGTTCCGCATTGGGTCTTTCTTCGGTCACCTGGCGCATGTACACTCCACCCGAAGTCTGCGATCTTTAGCTCGCCATGGATCCCAAGAAGAATGTTCTCTGGTTTTATATCTCGATGGATGACGTGTTTTTTGTGCAAGAACTGTAATGCTGCAGCCATCTGGGCAATGTATTGTGCAGCTTTCCATTCCGGAAATCGAGTTTCGCGTCGCAGATGTTTATATAGCTCTCCCTGCCCAGCAAACTCAAGTATCAAGAATATTCTTTTACTGTCGTGGAAGTGGCCATAGAGCTGAAGGATGTTCGGATGTCGGAGGTTGCTTTGAATTTCAATCTCCCGTTGGACTGTGACCCGTTTTGGAATTAGCATAGCTTCTCTGAAAATACATATATCTCGCTCCATGATCTGTCTGAACGGAAGGATAATTTGATCAGCAAAAAGTTACCTTGTTTCTCAACGCGGCCTTGTGTTATCTCGTTCTTGTGCAGGACTTTGAGTGCACAAACAAATCCGCTTTCGCGTTCTCTCGCCAGATACACGCGCCCGAACTTCCCTTTCCCCAATGGCCGACCAATTTCGAACATTCCAAGGTGGAATATCTTTGAGGGTATAAGTCGCTGAGGTATGGAGACTTGTATTTGTTCGACTTCGGCAACGGCTTCCGATCCCCTCGATGATCCACAGGGAGGCTTTGGGAGCACTGATCCGACCGGCACGATCGAACTCGACTGTCGTAAAGCTTGGGAAGAGACCAATGCGATTTTAAGCAAGTGTGATCGGCTGGAGTTCTGTACCAGGTGCTTGCTAGGAGATGTTATGACCTGTGTGAAATTAGACAGGGGCTCCAATGGCGAGCTGATATGGGTACCTTTGGGTTTAAGAATGTCTTCTTTTCATTGTTAGGATCATTCTCACTGTATGTGGGATTATGCGATAATTGTGGATTCGAGGAGACAACATTCTGTTTGAATCAGAAAATAACTCTGCAGGACATTGGGTAAACAAACCTTGGACCTGACATGTGGTTGTCTTCCACCAGCAGGATCAGTCTCGTCGTTGATGGAAACACGCTTGAGGCGCGCTTCCAGGGAGCAAGTGGCCATCGCAAAGATCTGTTAGGGGATCGTAATCAGTAAATTAGTATTTGCCCTAAACCGAGGAGATGTGATAACCATCCAAAGTCGAGTTGGACATGTTGGAGTGCAGGGCTGAGCCACGTCGGCCAGGCAACAGCGGCAAGGGCCTTGCAGGTGAATCAATTCCAACGACAATCAACTGTTCTCGACATTATCACGACCATTACACCTTATAAATGCTTACAGTAACTACTCTGAATGTCGCTCTCTCATAGAAGAAAGAGAGGTCGCTGAGCTAGTGTTATTGAATTCTCACCTCTTCCAACAAATTCTACTCCTCATGTCAAGCTCAAGCCTCGACAAATATGGACACCAAGGAATAATGCATGGGATAGTGCAAAGGCTTCCTTTTGGAAAATCCTCATCAATTCGTTTACACATCTTCGCCGTCGTTGCACCTCCAACATGCACGCAGCACGGCTGTAGGTTATTCTAACTGCCAAGGTTCCTCCGGCAACGTGGCTCATGAGGACACAACATATACGCGAATCTTAATGGAGGACAGAATGTTGAAGGATACTTCCGATTTAGGGTTAAAAGAGTGGCTGATAAATCAAGACTAAACTGCCCTGGTTCCTAGAGACTGTCTTCTTAGTGCTCTATAATCTTGAAGCTCTCTTTCTTTCAACTCTAATGGTTTTCCAGTCTTCTCTGCCCTGCTCTTTTGAACTCTCCGACCCTTAGAGGTATTACACTCCAATTTCCTTTTTTTGTAGCCGCGTGGCTCTTATGTGAACCAGACTGACTGCTAGTGTACTGTGCAGTACTAGGGAGCAATACCACATGGCGGTGCGTCCCACTATTTCTGAATGAGTCTTTCAAAAACACTTACTAACTTGAATGAATATAAAATACACGCTGGATGGGTCATAGATCTTTTAGAAGCAAATTAATGTTGACCTGACCTTCGAAACTGGGAAGCCATTCGTTGAGGGGAGACTAGCTACCAAGGCACCGAGGACAAAATGGTGATGAAGGAGAACAAGGCCGAAGGTACGCTTCATTTTGTACTGGAGGAAAAGATCGCAGGAAAGCTCGCGCAAAGCGTTGTCGACATGCTCTGCAACTTTTTTTTCTCAAACATAATCCCGGCATTGGCAAGCGACGGAAAACGATCATTGCTTGGAGGGTCGTGGTCAGACGTTGTCTCCATGATTCAAATATCTTGGCTTGTGGGCGAGAACTCTCAAATAGGTGCTAAGGGATGATAGTCAATGAGGTTTGTTTATCGATACAACCTCGTCGAATTGTGATAGACTCTTCCCCATCTCAGCACAGGTCCTCTCTCTTGCCTTCTTCGCCGCGTACTGGTAACACAGCACCGTGTGAAACGGCTGGTGAGTTTTCGGGCTCGAACTTTCTGCAGACAAATTGCACACCGGATCCGACAACACCCACCAAAAAGTCCACCGCAGCTTCTTCTTACGAGACAGCCTCCTCTCACCACGCAGCTTCAGCCTGTTAGTACATGGCAAATTCCTAATTCTAACCTTTTATCTCACAGGTTTTCCGAAAACCTGTAAACTCAAGTACACCGTACGAATCCAGGGAAAGTCGAAATATCCACTCCGACTGCCAAACGTAACACACATTTTACAAGAAATGGGTAGCCTAAAGCAGTGCCCTGTAATCAAGCGAGGAAAGCCTGAATTAAGCATGTGCCTTGCCGGATAGGCCGGTGTGTTCTAGGCAGTTGAAGGGATAAAACTTATAAATCTTGCTTCACCTGAAGTGCTGCAAAGTCTCGGAGGAAGATATTGAACTGTATATCTTTGATAAGCAATTGGCCACACAGGATGCAATAGGAATCCTGTAACACCCAGTGGTGCTTTTATGTTGTAGTCAGATACTCAGAGACAACTGTTCGGATAGTTTTGTTGGAAAGAAAGTCAACGCAGGTAATGATTCCAGATGTCTAGTTGGCAGAGCGTCCTTGTCATTCATATGGAGGACATTGACAGGCAAGACGAATAAACTCCATGTTTTTTTCCGGAATTAGCTCTGTAGCAGCACAGACGACCCTGGGTTCGTTGCACTCCAATCAAAAGGGCGCGCCCCACACCCATGCACGAAGAATTGAGTGGCGACTGAGCCTCCAGGCTGTTGTGATTTCAATTAAGCGAGAGCATTCTGCCAATCAAAACAGTAATCAGCATCACTGTAGATGTAAACGTAACTACCCTAAGGAAGTAGATTTCGTAATTGACTAGAACAACATATACAAGAACTTAATCGTGTAATCGCTGAGATCTTAATTAGGTCGTCTTACCTCCCCACCTTCAATGCTGATCAGCCGATGCTCAGCCTTTACTGCCCTTGCCCCTAAGTCCTTGTGCTGAGTGACAAAACCGACATTGCGATTTTCGATGGTGGTCTTCGATATCCGAGTAATCAGCGACGCCATCGAAAGCTCAATGTTTAGCTTCACCATGTACGCGATAGGATGGAACTGAACATAGATCGTCTGACGAAGAAAGGATTCCAGGATAATAAGCATAAGCTGAAAACACTAGATCGAACAAGACCAGACTGCAATCTTACATCCATAGTAATCGATACAACCATCAATCTCGCATTAAACGTGACCAGAGAGGCATATTTGGTGAGTCCATGATAGTCCACCAGACGTCGCTTTACTGTCCGAAGGAAATAATAATTCAACCCGGCATCAACAACGAGAATAAGACACTTGGATGTCCGATCCCAATATTTGTTGATGGTGACGAAACTTTTGGGTTAGCAATCAAAGCCAATAAATCAGGTGACATACATTTGAGAAGGCGGTGGATTGAGATGAGTCGGAATCCAAATGATAAAGACCGCAATATTGATCAAAGTTCTAGACTTGGTTAGATGACATAGACATACAGGGTATACTTACATAAAAATCGCCGTTCCATACTAACAACCATTAGCGACACTCCTTTGAAAGCCAAGCAACTCACTTTTACCAGTCTCAAGAACTTGCGATCATCCCCAACAACATTGATACGATTGATGATGATTTGTAACAAGAGTTGAACCTCAAAGACCCAGAAGAAGAGTATACTGAATAACACTGGTACACTGGGACGGTCAGTCAAAGTCTTCTCAGGGTAGAGAGACAAACCCTGATTTGATTGTTCCGTTCAGAAGTAGCCATCCGATGACAGCAATAGCAAGATTGGAGATGATCTCACCCCACACCATATAGATGTATCCGCTTCGGAGTGGCGACTGAATGCTCCGAGTCTGTTTGATAGCATTCCAAACACACAGGAATCCGAACCCAAGGGTAAAACCTGCCGCCGCTGAGGCTAGCTGGAACTCGGAATCGGTGGCTTCCATATCTGATAATAAATGTCCTGAGCTGGCATGTCGGAATTTCCACTAATGCAACAGATATTTTAGGGAATACTTGTGATTTGTATTTCCTCTGAACGCTGAACGTCTGATGAAACAACTCGGATACAGGAGTGATGATAGTTTGATCTGAATCATCTGACGGGAAGCTTGCAAGTGCACGGGGACGCTTTGGGCATCTAGATTAGCGGGAAACCCCAGATTCTCCCTGGACCCCTCTAAATGCAAATATTCTGGAGCTTCATGCTGGCGATCGTACTCGCAACCTCTCTGGCCGACGTAGGGAAGCCATGGCGTTGGGGTAATCTTGTCTGCCCTTCATTCAGTGTCAGCCCTGATCTCGACACGCAGCTTTGCTGTGTGATGATACTCATATATTTTGTATTCAAAATCTCTAGTAGCATTTCCAGTCTTGAATATTTGAATCGGTGGAGATGGAATACGGCCCCCTGGTAATCACATGTTCTGCATAAAGTTTCGGGTCGTAACGACTCGCAAAAGTTCTCGAGAAAACGTCTCGCTTGGAACTTTAGCCAAAGTTACTGTGAGTAATGGAAGCAAAGTCGGAAAACCCGATCGATGATACCGTTGACCGTGCCAATGATTGGCTATCCCATCTGGAATATGAGACGGCTTAGAATGGAATGCTCAAGAAATCGATCTTTCCATCCTTCTCCCGCTTTGCATCACGTGCCGAACATCGAACCACTGCTGCGCTTATCGATACTTGACCCTGGAAAGAAGTTTTTTGAGAAAGGCTAATCATAAAGCTTGATCTTGTCAGAAAGTTCCATATTTTAGATCTTTCGAGATCGTCCAATTAATGCCATCCATGAATACCACGGAGTTTTGCCTCACTACCTCACTGCCTTTGCTTGGTTCATACCCGTCATGGGCCCACAACATATTTCTCAGTCACTTTAAATACTGACCGCTAAATTATATGTGCTCCCACTTTGCCTTCAAAAGTGTGAACATCCCAGGCTTCTTACCGAGATCAAGATGCCTCTTTAGTCAGGGCAAACTTTCCCGATGGTCGAAAAACCCTCCGATCTGTTTCCTGCATTATTCTCACCCGTGATCCCTTTGAAATAACAAACAGCTACGAGATCTCACCACACGACAGAATACGAAGCAAACTATTCTTTGAATACAATTCATTAATGGCGAGAAGGACTTTTGTATGTACATCCAGACCACGTCTTACATATCTATGTACAATTCGGGCATTATCATTCAAATCATCACGCCCAACTCTAAGCCTTCCAACAGTACTTAGTAAAACAAGCATTACAAGCACTCGGTAAGCGCCACGCAGTATCTTGCATGATCGCACATCCCAAACATGTCGCCCACTCCTTGCTGTTGTTCTGGCTCATGACAGCTGCGCCGTTGTCAATGACCTGCTTGCTTGCTGCAGCATCAAACTGCATGCGGCTGGTGTCGACGTTGCCTCCTGCAGCGGTTGCACTGTAATTTGGCACCCAGACAACAGTCGCCTTGGACTTGTCTCCGCAGCCGAAGAACACTGGACCGGAAGTCTTGTTTGCTGCGAGGAGAACAGATGATTCGGGGACGAATGGCATCTTGGTAAGACCAGCTGCTTGGGCTGCGAGGTAGGTTGCGTGCATCTCCTTGCCGGATGGGTAGTTGTTGTTGCCATCAGTGTTGTCGCTGACGATGATGATGCTGATGTTTCGTTGTGGGAGGAGCATAGGGAAGATGGGGTTGATCTGTCCAGATTCGCCACCATCGACCATGGAGAGGGTGGCCTGAGACTTGACGAGAGGGGCTGAAGAGAGGTTGAAGAATGGGTTTGGCCATGCGGCAAAGAGATCGGAGACTTGGGTGAACTGGATGGCTGGAATAACTGCTGGGAGAGCACCGACTGCTGCGTTGGTGGCTGCCGCAGTCTCCGATACCTCGATACTCTCTGTAAGTTGACAGAAGTTGGCGATGAGAGGTTCCGAAACGTTGAAGCCGATTCCGGGGTCCTGGAAGAGCGAAGAGGAAGTTCCAGCAATGAATCCGAGATTCTCATAGGCAGTCGTGCATTTTCCTGCAGTTGCTGGCTTGCCACCGCTAAGGGATGTACCGAGGTACTTGGTTGGGGTGAACGATGCAATTCTGCTGTCCCAGGATCCCGTCTCATAAGGTGTGAATTCCCAGAAGGGTGCGTCTGCTGGTGGTAGGCAGGATTCTCCGCCGAGATCCACATGTTGTGCCAAGATGATGGGATATGGGGCGGAGAAGGATTTGAAGTTCGACTTGGTGGTTACTTGAGAGAGAAGATTGTCTACCCCACCATTGGCACCAGGTAGGATGACATATGAGATGAGTCGAGACCATGCATCTGCAATGGTACCACGGAATCCCTGTGCTTCTTTCAGGAGTAAATCGTTGCTGATGGTATTGTAGACTTCAGTTTGTTTTCCGAGAGGATTGAAAAGTCCATTGGCGAGGCCAGTCTTCCAGCTGGAATTGTAAAGACTGGAGATCGTTGGGAAGTTGTTGGCGATGATGGAAGAGAGCAACCAAGACCCACCAGATAAGCCAGAGTGGTGGGAGATTGCTTGATATAAACCACTGGTGCTGACTTTCGTATCACGAGAGTCGAGAGCCTGTACAGTCCCTGCTCCAGAGAGGGTCGCTCGGAAGCCGCCACCACTGCTGGTCAACGCAATGGTCGGCATGTCACAATCCAACGAGTTTACGAATGATGGATTGGCCTTCAATAGCCATGCTGCTAGTGCCAAGTCTGCTTTCGCCTTCCGGATCACGCGGTAGGTCTCTTCGCTATCAGAAAGTCCGCTTGATGTAGATCGGACGAGGGGTGTCGTAGGACATGATGTCGCAACGGGCGCATACGATGATGTGGCACTCGCAATGAAGGAGGCGACAGCCAGAGGGATGGCGATGGAGAAACGCATACTGGGTGAGGTGCGATGGCAGCGGACAAGAACGGCGAGGTATCGATGTCTGAACTTGGACCGTGGAAAGGTAGCTGAAGAGAGAAGAGGCAAAGGAAGCTTGACCTACCTTTCTACTTGTACTAAGTGGCCATGCTGCATGTTAATTTCTTTACCTCGGTGAGGGGTTCGTGATAATGCATTCTGAGATTTCCATGGAGGGGTTGAACCTGCATTGGGATAACACCTCCCCCAAGTGGTTGTAGCTCCGGAGTACCTGCAATATCGCCACTCCACAGGAAATGTGGAGCAATTATTGAAAATCATTTTTGTGCTTACTGAACAATCGTTGTAATGTTAAATGCTCAGGCTTTCTTTGAGGCGAAGCAAATTCTGCTACCTCTACGAAATGGTATCTTGGAAGAAGCTCGGTACAGCGTTTGATCAATTCATCGAAAGGCCAAGGACCTGTCGGCTTCTGGTACTTTGGCTGAAGAAATTTGTTTGAGAATTTAGTAGGCTTGCACTAGTAGAGAATTGATACTCCGTAGATGAAGTGCATCCATATAAAGGGAATGAGGAAGCGAAAGTGGAAACCCATACCCATAAACCTGTATGATCGTCAACATCAGCTCATCCCCGGCCAGGGTCTGCTGATCCTAAACTCGCGGACGTCTGAACCTTCTAGATGAGACAGGGATCAAGGATGCTATCGATACAGTGGAAGAAATAGTGGATATGTTTAGAGTTGTGCAATCGCTGAGACACACAACCCGAGCTGTGATCCAGATAAGCGAAATACAATAGCTGAACAGCAACTTTCATCCTCATATGTGCTGGAAGTGTGGCAACGGCATTTCACACAAGAAATGCGGAAATAATTACTTTGTACAGTACAACAACTTGCCACTCCGGGTGGAGGCGAACCGAAGTGGAGGGAAAAAATAATTGTGCCGCACCACCGGTGCAGTTTTCCTAATAAGGGTAGCTCAAGCCCTCAACGCCGGGATCTTAAGATTTCAAACTGTCCTGTCCCACTTCAAGCAATTCCATGCGACTTCAGTTCCTATTATCCATGCAATTCGGTCAGAATGGTGAAAATCTCAAAAGCACACCTTCAATTGCCGAAAGCCTATTTCTATAGCTGCAGCCACACCAAAACATAGTCGGGACAAATGAAAGCCACGATTCATCTACCTACTTTAGCACCGGAGAATCCCATTGCTAAAATTTTGAAGATGCACAACATACAGCCCGCTGCCACCGTTGACAGAAATTTCCGCCCAAGACTTCGCCGTAACGAACGATTCATTCCGTTGTTCTAACAAAGTCTGGACTCGTCCATGTGGACCTCATCCTCAGAGCGGTGGTACCTGCATCGGCTGCATCCGCATTTCCATCTCCTAGTCAAACATTGGGATGGCGGAGTGGGTCTCCAAGCCTCGCCACAAGGAGTTACGATTCATGCGCGATAAAGGATTCTATCCACATCCACGTTTCTAGTCTCGGGACAAGCCAGGTTGAGAAGCTTCCTATCGATACGCTTGTCCGTAAGCTTGGTTCTCAGCTGCAATGATGCAAAATCGGTTTTCTAGTTCCGAACGTACCAAAGTACGTCCACGGACGGTTCTAGGCTGGACACTAGAACTTCTCAACTGACGGGACATATTTGACAGATACTTGTACCCACCGGCCCCCTATCGAACCGGTCTGATGTTGTTGATCTCTCGAGGTTGAGCTTCGGGAAAGTATATAGTTGTGTTCACGACTCGAGACCTCTCCATTCTCGATTCCGGATCTCCATAGCGCTGATACATGGCCCCTCAATCGTTGTCGATCTGAGATCCAAGGTTGACTGCTTCCAAGGAGTGATCTTCTTCACATACTTTCTCTGGGGGATCGGTGCCGCCAGACGAGAATGGGGTATACCAATGAGGGCAATGGCCCAGCCTTGTTGACCGCATGTATTGTTGCCATCGTTTTGACGTGGGTATTCTTCGGGGTACGGATTTACACGAGGCTTTTTATGACCAAGATATGGAAAATCGAGGATTGGTGTTTTGTTGCGACTCAGGTACGTTATTTCGTGCCAACGAAGAACACCATATGTAAGAGAGGACTAGAACAGATTATAAACTAACAGATCTATCTCAGGCGTCATTTACGATCTATGTGATTGTTGCATTGCAATCAACCCTCCATGGAAATGGACAGAGAAACAAAGACATCGCGCAGGGCGACATTCCCATCGCTATGCAAGTACGAATGATCGCATTCTGCACCGTCTTCCCTTGCTAATATCCAACAGTACTTTTTTGCTGGTGAACTTCTCTACATCATCACATCCTTTTTTATGCGCCTGTCCATCGGCATCTTCATCCTACGAATCATGACACAGAAAAGCTATATATGGATCATCCGTGCAACGCTCATTCTTATCACACTCGCAACCGTGATGAACTTCTTCTACACCATTTTCCAATGCGCGCCGATCAAGTACTTTTGGCTGCAGTTCTCGGGGCTCAAGGGGAAGTGTCTACCGGCACCACAGGTTCAGGCTTTGAGTATTGCCTTCTCGGCTGTTTCCGCCGCGGCGGACATTATCTTCGGAGTTTTGCCGATCTTTGTGTTGTGGAATCTGCAGATGAACAGGAAGGCGAAGATCATAGTGGGCGCACTGCTTTGCGTGGGTATCGTGTGAGTGATTACTTCCGTCTTCACCGTCGTTTAGAATTTGTAAGGCTTACTGACAAAATCACACAGTGCTGGACTTACCGTCATCGTCCGTATAAAATACATCGTTGATGTTTCTCTCACCGAGGACTTCATGTTCGCAACTGCAGTAAGTACCTCAATCTTGAATCTCTGGCTCCAAAGTCCCAAGAGCCTCAGCGTACCTCTTTGCCGCTGCTACTTACCCCATACTCACCGAACCATAACTGACGTTGCTTTTTTTCTCAGAACGTATCCCTGTGGGCGATGATCGAGCCCGCCATAGCAATCTGCTGCATGTCCGCCTCCACCTGGCGACCGCTCTTCCGCTCCCTCCGCGAGAAAACCACCGTCCCATCAGGAGGCGGCTATTTCCACGCGAGCAGCAACAACCACACCCACAGAGACACCAAACTAACGAGCAATTTCTTCTCGAGATCTACGAAATCAGGCCAGAACAACACGTTCCCCTTGAGTCGGAGTCACAATGGATATATGCGGAGTATTGACGACAACGATAAGGAGACCGGCAGTTATGATGACTCGATTGCGTTGAGGAGCTTGGAGCATGGGAATGGGATGAGTGTTGTGAGTGGTGGTGGGGGAGATGGAGATACGTTTCACCATGGAAACGAGGATGGGGGACCGAAGGGAATATTGACGAGTACGACTGTGGAGATAACGAGGCAGTACCGAGGAGGGGAGAGGAGAGGGGATGATAGTGTATGAATAAGGGAGGGTTTGGAAAGGGGCTATGACTGCTATGTATAATGATTTTCGGTATATATGATTCCTGTATGCTGTGTATTTACAGTTAGGAGAAATCGGACAGGACGAAATGCGAGTGCTTGTCTATTTAGATTTCTGGTTTTGACTTCAAGTTATAGATCAGTTGATATCTCCCAAACATCGTTGAACAGATACGCTCGTTTTGTTAGTTGTCTTGCTGTATTATCCGTTCCATTCTGTCTCAGCAACCTGCATCCTACAGAAAACAAATAGTAAAATTAGAAGCAGCGCAACCGTGGATCTAGCCACCGAAAGTCCTCGAAAAGCTCCAGGATTTGGAACTCTGGTCTTCCCCTGGATTACAAAAGATAACACCGCTACAGAACACCCTAAGGCAATTGCAAAGGTGTACCCATCCATTCTAGATGCATCTCGAAGACTATTGTGCCGCCAATAGTAATTCCGGCCCATTCGGCATCGACAGCAGACTGCAGCACAAGTACGATGAGCGAAGGTCCAAGAGGCCAGATATAGCGTTATAGTGCTGTTGGGGCATTTCCTACTCTACCTTATTTTGGCAGATCTACAAGGAGATCAAGGTCTCGAAGGCAAAATCCGGCAACGGGGCACCATGCAGGGGAAGTTCAACTGAACAGTCAACGGAGAGGAGCTAAAGGAAAATCCGAGTGGCCGTGGAAATAGCCCAAAATCGTCATCACTCAAGATTCAGTCCGTAGTGTTGACTCGTGTCTTTTCAGGTACCGAGACTGAGGTCGCCACCACTTGTATCGAGAAGAATTTCTTCCCAGTAGATAGCCAAGAAATGTTGACAGTTAAGCGAGGGTCAGCGAGAATGTAAACAAGGTCATTCGTCCCAAAGTCGAAGCAGAGAATGTAGACTGTTGGGGTTAGGGAACGATGGAAAATGGAACATCGTGCGGTAGGAGGTTAAACTACGACGGTCTATGAGGCCCAGTCTTTTCAGCAGGCCCAATTACTTGGACAGCGGCTTGGCAGTGACACAATAATCAACTCCTCGTTTTGAATGATTTTCAAGCATTAAATACCGCTTCCTCAAATATACCTGCGCGATCTTCCATGTCATGGTTATTGTATCACTGGCTACACAATAAATCGAAGTGCTGGACAGCTGCCAGAGAACACCGCCCCCTTCTGACCCATTCACTTCCCCCCAAACTCCAAAACAGCCGCGCTCGAATCTGGCACCTCCACACTCACCACTCCCTCTCCCCTCCCATCCTCCACCACCTCCACCGCCTCACCAACCGTGACATTCCGCAACCTCACCGGTTTCCCCTCATCCAACTCCCAATTATAACTCCACCCATCCCAAGTAACACCCGTAATAGCATCACTCCCATTGGCCCACAAGCGCTTAACATCCACCTTCTCCCTGCTTCCACAATACCCCGGGACCTGAAACCTATAAATCCTACTCTGCCTCTTCTCCGGATTAAGTATCGCCGTAGTCCCATTAACAGTATAATTATACGCCCTCATATTAACCACCGCAATCCTCTCCAACCTCCCACCGCCACCTCCAAACACCGCATACGCCGCCTCCAACTCCCCTTCCAACTCCAAATGCACAACCCTCACCTCCCCCCTCGTTCCATTCTCACTCCCACTACCTACCCTCCCAATCACCGCCGCAGCAGCAACCTGTCCATAATAGGGCGGTTTCGTACCGATGCTCGTCTTATTGGTGCTGATAGGCTGCCAGGCCGCATACCGGTAATCCGTGCCCATGTGCATATGCACGCGTCTGATGCCGACTGCTGCGCAGTAGAGATTGAAATCTAGGTTCCAGAGGGCGGCGCCGAAGGAGTTGGAGAGGCCGGGTTTGCCTTGATTGTAGAGGGAGTTTGTTTCGCCGAGGATAAAGGGGATGTCTTTGGGGAGGAGGGGAGGATTGGTGGTGGTGAGGTCGGTGAGGAGGGCGACTTGGGAGGAGATGGAGAGGCGGGTTTTGGTGTGGTTGAGGAGGGTGTTTTGGAGGGTTATGCCGGGTTGGGTGGCGCCGCCGATGTAGCTGTTGATTTCTAGATGTCAGCTTGATCAAATATAAAAACCGAAATACTTCACCAGCTGAGAATATGAATAGTTTGGAAATAAGACGTACTTATGCGACGAAAAAATCCTCACATCCCCATCCCTATTCAGCCCCTCCCTCCATGCAACCACCGGCTTCAACCTATTATTCGTGCCCGCAAAACTCGGCGCCAAATACCCATACCTACCTCCCTCCAGCATCTCCGGACAATACCTCTCCAACTGTCCCCTGATCGCTCTCGTCCCATTCACCCACTGCTCCACAAAGGTCCCCTCATCCCACCCAGACGGCCTCACCGGCCCCTGCGCAGAAGTAGAGTACAAATCCGGTTCATTCCCATACTCCCACCAAAGCAACTTCCCCTCGCCACCACCACCACCACTACCCAGCGCCTTACAAGCCAGCGGCACGGTATCAAGGAGCGTCTGCCAGCCTTCAGGGTGAGAGGTGTTCCCGCCGAGACCGAGGTTGAAGCCGTGGATGAATTTTGTGTCTGGGAAGGTGGCGTAGGAGTCGAAGAAGGAGGGCCCGATGGAGATTGTGGTCGGGTAGTCTGGGGAGCGGGAGGGGTCGTAGGAGCCATTGACGGGGGCGGAGAGGAGGGTGGCGTTGTAGAGGGCGTAGTCTTGGGTGTTGCCTCCGACGCGGATGTAGGGTTTTGTGCCGGTTAGGTTGCCGAGGTTGTTGAGGAGGTTGTTGGAGAATGTGTTGGGGGAGGAGGGTGAGCCTGTGTTTTGTTTTTGTGTATGAGAAGTGTGAGTGTGAGTGTGTAGGGGGAGGGTGGGATGGGTAAGAAACTTACCGGCGAAGTCGGGGAAGAAGACGAATTCGATGGAGTAGCTGATGAAAGCTTCTAAAATAGGTGGAGCTGCATTTGACGGCGGTGAACTCGGAACAACTACAACTGAATTGGCGGTTCCAGATGCGAAAGCAAGCTGTCGACAGCAACTAGCTAAAGCCAGGTAACCACCTATTCCAGTCATCATGCGTTTTGTCCTATCTCAGTCTGCTCTGGAAGACAAAATAAAGCTGCGGATGAGACGGATATATATGACACCCTCATCTGTACCTTGCAGATCGGTGCTACGAAGTAAAGTAAGGCCGAAGCCCAACTCTAAATCAAGCTTCGTGCTTCTGAGCTGTCATGCTGATTGATGGTGGATAAATGGAATGAAGTGTAACATTGCATCGCGGGGTATTTTGGTGCAGGGTGCGTGCAGGTGATCGTCGACACTCGAGCGGCGATCTTGAACATTGAAGGAAACAACCGTGTTGGCCAGTGAGAAGCCCTGATGTTGAAGAGCATTTGCTGACTTCAAGCAATCTCACAGCACAGCAGGGTGGTTATTTTTGTGGGGAGCCCGAATGAAAAAAGAATAGAGTTCCGTATTCCATATCCTCGTGGAATGGAAGCTTGGAAATGACTTTCGGAGAACTCGGGATTGCTAAACCGTCGAAAACGTGATGTGATGAGTGCAGAAGCTGTCGAAGAACATGAGAAATATACACGAGGGAGGCTGGCAACACATGTGAACGGTGATCCGGTCAACAGCATACTCAATGCCACTGGCGCAGAACCCTGTCCCGCGATGTCACAGCTGAGTAAAATCCCATAACCAACGAAAGAACCGCGATAAAGAGGGATGTCATGTACAAAGTTATATTTCCCTTCAGCACAGCCAGCAGAACCGCTACAAGCCAGCTCCTTATACACACCAAGCCAAAGTCCTTATCCAGAGCTCTCCATAGAGCTATTGAGGTACAAGCACCGCAAGTAAACCCATTTCAAGCAACCAAACTCCAGTGCTAATGCCGACCAAGTAATCATTTTTCCATCCCAAACTCCAAATCCATCGAATCAAGCCGCCCCTGTTGAAGGCTTCTCCTCGCTGACTGGTGTCGGGGCGATTCGTCTTCTCTTCTTATCATGGCTTCCATCCTCTCTCTCGCTCTCACTTGCATCTCGCTTGACACCACTCTGACTCCCAGACGTGCTGCCAGGTGTTTGGGGAGGCGTCGACATCGGGATGCTGCTAACGAAACCAACTCCGCCGGCGGTGACGCTCGGAATACTACTTCCAACCAGGGTCGGATTGCTGATTATTTGTCCCGGAGCATATGACGACTGAGTGGCAATCGAGGAAGTGGAGTTGGATCGAGTGGGTGATGATGGTCGGATGTTGGGTTGGGGAGGGGGTGATGGTGCAGCCAAGCCAGTGGATGATGTGCGGTGGTGACTGTGGGGAAATGGTGAAGGTGGAGCAATCGAGGTAGGGGTTGCCATCGGGGTATTTTGCGAAGAAGAAACAGCTGTCAGAGATGGTTGCTTTGCCGTGGGTATATCACCGACGTATTTCTCCCCCAGCTCACCAGGAGCAAAGGTAAGAGTGGAGCAGAACCCATCAGACGAGGTCATGAGTAGAGTCAAACCATCATTAGACCTAAAACGTTAGCTTGGCACGAAATGATGGGAGGAAAAACTCACCAAGTCAGATCAGTAAAAGTTGCACAGTGAAGATTGCTCACTATGCAAAGCGGAGTCTGCTGTTGAGTGTCGTACATCAGAACAGAGTCTTCTGTAGCCACCGCGTATATCATCCGATATGGAAGGGAGAAGGCCATCGTTGGGCCAGGGGTGGCACTTGAATTCGTATCCACTTCTAAAGCCTTGGGCTTTGGTGAAGAGGTAGGTCCAGACGGGTCAGTCTGTGGTACAAGTGGTGGAGGCTCCATTACAGACTGGACAGCCGGTTCTGGAAGAGCAGACATCGTATCCTCCGAGGAAGTATCAATTGTTATATGTTTCGTTGGCGGAGAAGCTTTCCGGCTGGTGTAATACACTGGAGAGCATTTCACCACCACCGAAGGTTTCTTATGTCCTGGAAGATGTGCGATGGGCGGTTTGTTGATTCCCCCTCTCGTATAGATGTAGACCGTATTGATAACCTCGTACATCGTCTTGGCTGTCTCCTCCAGCCCTTTCAATTGTGATTGATATTGTCCGGCTGGCGTAAAGAGAAGACTTCCGTCCGGCGTGAAGGTCAACCTGCGAAAAAAAGACTTCAGAGTATCGTTGGAGTAGATATGGGCATTCTTCACTGCCGAACCCATGCTGTACGGTTTTGGCGAGGCTTCCATTGGCATCACGGCAGGAAGAGGTAACGAGGGAGCTGGTGAGGCCGATCTTCGCATAGACATCGCTGGAGAAGCAGCGCCAAAAGAGGATCGTCTACTGTGGCTGATCGTACTCGGAGGATTCATTGGCAGAGCCAGAGAAGTTGGTGTTCCTGGACATGAAGGTACTGGAGATCCAATATTGCCAATCTCTGCAGCGAATTGTGCTCGTAAGTCCATGCTTGGAGGAGCAGGACTATGCGACGAGATTCTCCGACCTGGCAGATCCATCTTCATGTTCGTTCCAATCTTCCTAGGCTCTTCATCCCGATTGTCCAGCGTGTACAGGCCCTCCTTCGTCTTCAGCGTGTAGATATGAACGGATCGATCGGAGGACTGTGTTGCGATGTACTCGTTGAGCGGATCCCAGGCCACCCCTTGGACATAATGTTGGTGTTCAGCAATCTGCCGTATCAATTGTCCAGTTTGGGCATTGTAAATCCTCGCAACATTGTCCATGCTTCCAGTAATGAAGTAAATCCCATCTGGTGACCATGCCAAATCGTATATCTCGTGTCCAGAAGACCGGCACATGTGTTTCGTCCTCCAAGTCTCCTTATCCTCGATTCCCTCCTCTCCAAATCTGGGTTTCGCATTTTTCGCATCCAGAACCCAAGTAATAACATTTCCATCGTCGCCAGCTGAAGCTAGAACATCTCCTGGAGGGTGTTAGTGTCTGCCAGTAACCTGGACCAACTGCCTACCTCGCGGAGCCCATCGTACAACATTGACAGTCTGCGAGTGTTTTGCCATTGTGCAGAGATATTCCACTTTTCTATCCTCTCCTTCCGAGTCCAACCTCCATAGCTATCTGCAGTCAGCATAGGCAAGCTTATCCGACCATCTTCTGCCTTACCCGAACATTGTTGTCTCCTCCGCCAGTTGCCAATCGCCCTTTTCCATGGGGTTGAAAGTCCGCGGAGTATATGGGGGCATTCTCGGCATGCCAGTTGACGATTATGGGTGATGCCTTCATGGTGGATGTGATTGGGAGCTCTGACAGCTGCCGTCGAGGAAATCAGGCGGCAGCAGGGCTGTTTCTATCTGAGGTGAGACCTTCCGTGCGCTGTGGTCGAATGAATCTTTGATTGGGATGGATCTCGAAGGGTTTTGTATATATCGAAGGAATCTGTCGTGTGCCGTGGTTTGGAAGGGGATGCGGAGTGCTCAGAGTGCCAGGTTTGAGCTTGGGGAAGCTCTGGTATCGACAATTAGTGCTTGGCGTTATTGTGTTTGTAGAATTGATGGATTGACTGATGGATAGGCCGTGATATTCGTAAGTGGAAATCGAGTGAGTTGGTTTCCGTATTGTTGAAGTATGTGCGGAGGGGGAATACGGGAGGCAGGTTTGCAGTCGAGGTTGAATGAGGAGGTGAGATGTCTTGGTGTTGCATCAGCAGTTGCAGCCAGCCAACCTGGAAGTGCTCAGCTTGTCGCGTCCCACCAATAGAGAAGCGTTCCTTTTTCGCGTCCTCAAACGCTTCAAGGCATCTCAGCATACGAATGGGGGCTAGACAAAATCAATTATATTGGTAGTCGTGTCTTAATTGTGTATCAAACATTTCCATGTTTCTTAGTATCACGCTTCGACATTTTTGTCCCAATAAATTCAAGTTTCAACGTCGTAAGCAATTGCAATTGAGGTCCTTTTTGTCTTGGCTTTTCTGGCGGGGCTGGATACTCGACGCATGACAGTTAGCTCTCTTCTCTTCTATTTGATATCCACGGATAAACAGTATCCAAAAATTCGCTCATACAGTATTAATAAAAATATCTAGAGCTTTGGCTCCCTATTTATGCTTATAGCATTGTTCCTGATCCATTCCGGCGGCTTGCAGAGTATCATCCACTATTGACATTCCCTGGTCTCAAGCGACCTCTTCAAGCCCACTCACCCAAAAAGCTTGCATCGATCACTCCTGGTACGGAAAGGATTCAAGCCAGTTCTCCATTGTCTCTCCTATGCAATGCCCCTACGCATTGAATTTTATCCGTCAATGGATGCCCATCTTCTGAAGCCAGAAGTACTCCTGTGGAGTAATCCTCCGGCGTTGCCTCCGCACCTCACCGCAGAAACGAACGACCCCCATGTCCAACCCTCACCGTCTCAAATGCTGGTTATCAAGCCAACATCTCCCCCTGAACACCGCTTCTTCATGTACTCATACACCAACTTCTCCCAGCCTCCCACCTAGATTTTGCGGTGTGGAGATCCCACCCAGAGTAGTAGATACTATCGGCACGGAACATTTCTGCTTCTCGTTGAACGACTTCAACCAAAAAACTTCGATCCAAGGTATCGGTATCTACCGATGTTCTTACCTACCAGTTCAAGCGGTGTTCGGGTTATTTGGATACCAACTCCGTCCCATATGCACTTGGTCCTGAGTCCCATTCTCCGCTCATTCGGTGGAAGTAGGTTGTCAGTCATGCGGTCCACCTTCGAGACCCAGACTGACGGGTCGTTGACCTTTGCATCCGTATGCAATGTGGGCACACAACAAGAAGTCTTATTTTACGGACTGGGGACATTCACAGGACGACGGCCAAGCGGGGTCATGCAAATTGTGGATCAGTGGACTTGACTCTGTGCTGCTGTTGCTGTCGTGGGTGGGACGAAGTTTCTTGGTGTTCTTTCTCGGCCAAGAGATTGAAGTCGGCACGGGTACTGTACTCGAACTGTACTCATTCGTGAGTGAGGCCAGTCTATTAGACACAAACCAAGGTAATGTCATCCTCTTTTTAAACTATTTCTTCGCTTTTCATCGGGACTTGCTCATCTTACCAGTATATCTTACTCCTTCCTTGTCACCCTGAGCAATAACTAACCCAGTCTGCTCTGTAAGCAATCAAATCCAACACACTCAGACACTTACTGACCATAGTGGGGTTGCTTACCATGCCGTCACAGCCACATCAGCGCTACTATATCAATCCCTATCAGCTCCACATCCGTATTTCGTTTCCATTCCAGCACACCATCATCAACCTTCCAAAAGCCTCACCGCTCAATGGCTGAGCAGACAATCCCGGATACAGATGGCATCACAAACATAGATTGTTCTGACGGGTCGTCTTTGTTACCTTCTTTGCTTCGCATGTCCGTGGCTCAGGAAGCAGAGACTCCTCTGACTGTTGCGAACCAATTGGAAATACAAGCTGCACATCGAATGCTTGTCTAATCCCCCATTCTTCATATCACAGGCTTTTTGACATCTCGGTGGACTAGCTGGGATTCTGGGCAGGCTGTCAGGCATCCTCACTAATGCAGTGGCACCACTTGCCCCAGATTCCCACATATCGGTGTGCAGCTTCAGTCCGACGGAGCACTTCCTGTTCGCCGGTACATTTTTCTCTTGCATCCACAATGAAAAAGATCCCATTTTTTCTCTCTCGCCCCAGGAGGACTTTTTTCAATTGATGATAGTGGACTTAGTGGAGCGCAAATCACTGTACTTTTAGCCTACCTAGTGCAGCTCCCGTCGACGACCTTCTTCTTTCGCTTAGTCCACTTCCTCTGTGGCCATTCATGAATTTCCCTCCTCCCCCACCACTCCATAAGTGAAGCTCTTCTAGGTCCCGCCTGTCCTCGATTCTTCCAAGAGCTGTACGAGCGGCCAGCTGCATATATCACCAATCCATCCCAAAACAGCACGCCTTTTCGCCCATCCGCATCGCTCGCCGGTGACTCAACCATACCAGCACTAAACCACCAAGCACCAAATCTAATCTCAGACGGCGCCATCCCCAGTCGCACCCGGGGCTACACAAAACCAACTAATCCCCGAGCAGAAAGAGAAAGACAAAAAAGTTATACCGTCTGACGGCAATTAAATAAAGGTCATCACTTTTTGATTCATCCAACCTCGCCTCGACGAAAAAAAAAGTCTATTCGGTGACTGTTCCTGGCCAGACCACCACATTAAAGCTTGAATTTCCTGTCCTCCATCCAAGCATGCTCTCTAATCCCCAACCTCCACCACAATAATAACCACAGGACAAACCAAGATGCTCGAGAACATATCGACATCACTTGCCGCCGGATCGTCCAGCCTCCTCCTGGTCGCTCTGCTCACCGCGCCCTCACTCGTCAGCATCGCATCCCACTTATGGAGCCCGAAGAGATCGATACCAAAGATCTACAAGGATAAAGATGGAGTCGCCACCGAGAGATCCGTAGAGGAATATTCCGCCAAGATCCCAAAGACGTTCCTTGGCATCTTCACAATTGCTGGATTGGGCTGTTCGATTGCTCTGGCTGTTCGGGCGTCAATAGAAGGGTGGGATGGCTTGTTCGTGGAGAATTGGCTGAATGTCGCGCAATGGGTGAGATGAGACACGTGATATCCTTCGTTTTTTTTTTTTTTTAACGTGCTGACATCTTTCGTAGGCTTTGATTACCGTCCAAGCAGCTAGCATTATTCTCACTCGAGATTATCTCAGAAGTTACAGTCTTGGGATATATTCCGCACTTTCGTCAATTTTTCTCCTAGCTGTACTTCTCTTCCAGGATGGACTCATCGCTCGAGAAACACCATCTGGAGAGAGTTTCGGGACCACGGAGCAACTCAGTCTGCAAATCGCCCAACTCGGCCTCATCCTCCTGGTCGCAGTATTCAGCATCTCCTTACCCCGACGACCAGAGGTGTTTCACGATGGCGTGCCAGTCGATGGGATGAACACCGTTTCCGCCCTTGGGAAGTACACCTTCGGGTGGGTGGAACACCTGTTAGTTCTCTCGAGGAAGAAGAATCGCCTTGAGCTGGAGGATCTCCCGAAAATGGATCAGTATACAAGATCGAAAGACTTGAGCGAAGCGTGGGCGGCGACGTCTCATGAGAAGAAGCTGTGGATTGAGATTTTCTTGGAGCATAAATGGTCGTTTATGGTACAATGGTTTCTGACCCTTCTTCAAGCATTCGGGAATTTCGCGCCGCAGTTCGTGACGTACCATATCCTCAAGATTCTGGAGAAGAGGTTACCGGGAGATGCAGTGAGCTTTGAGGCATGGATCTGGGTGGTTACGTTGACTATCGCAACCATTGGAGCAGCGTGGATCGAATCCTGGCTTTTCTGGATTTCCTGGTCTGAAGTTGCTATTCCTATCCGAGCTCAACTCGCAGCTTTGATTTTTCAAAAGGCCATGAGACGTAAAGATGTCAAGGGGGCTTCGAAATCCGCCAAGAAGGACACTCCAGCTGGACCTGATATGGCAGATGCTTCAGAAGCTGCGACTGCAGGCGACAAGCCCGAGCTCGAGGAAGACGAAGCCGATCCAAAGAGCAAACAGAACACCGTCAACTTGATTGGCGTGGATGCCAAGCGTGTAGCTGATTTCTGCTCGTTCAACAATTACTTCCCAGGCAGTCTGTTTAAGCTAATTGTCTCATTCGCTTTCCTGCTAAGTATCATCGGGTGGCAAGCTTTGTTGTCCGGTTTCCTAGCCATGTCACTCACGATCCCTCTCAACATTGTCTTCAGCAGACGGTACGCAGCTGCTCAGGATCGACTGATGAAGGTCAGGGATACGAAGATGGGTGTTGTCACGGAAGCATTACAGGGGATTAGGCAGATCAAGTTCTCTGCTTTGGAGGCGAACTGGCATGAGAAGATTGGAAAGGTGCGCCGGAAGGAGTTGGATGAGCAGTGGAATGTTTTCGTCTCGGACACTTTCCTGCTCTTCTGTTGGATTTCCAGTCCGATTGCTCTTGCTGCAACGTCACTTGCAGTTTATGCTTGGAAGTACGGAGAATTGACTCCTTCGGTTGCTTTCACTGCAATCGGTGTCTTTGCCAGCTTGGAGGTAACTCTTGCAGTCATCCCGGAACTGACCACAGATTTGATTGATGCTTTCATTTCCGTGGAACGAATTGAGAAATATTTGGCGGCTCCGGAAATTTCCAAGAATACCAACCATGCACATAATATCTCTTTTGAAGATGCCTCCATTGCATGGCCATCAGACGAAGAGAAGGAAGACGATGATCTGCGATACGTTCTACGAAATATCAACGTTTCGTTCCCAGAGAATGAGCTCAGTGTTGTGAGTGGAAAGACAGGCACAGGAAAATCTCTTCTTCTGGCCGCAATACTTGGAGAAGTCGATCTCCTAGACGGCAGGATCAATGTCCCTCAACCACCACAGACTAGAGACCGTCACGACCACTTGGCCAACAAGGATAATTGGATAATCCCATCGGCTGTTGCATTCGTTGCGCAAATCCCATGGATCGAGAATGCCAGCATCAAGGACAACATCCTGTTCGGTCTCCCATACGATGAGTACAGATACAAGAAAGTCATCGAAGTGTGCGCGTTGAAGAAAGATCTTGAAATGTTGACCGACGGTGAAGCTACTGAGATTGGTGCTAACGGAATCAATCTGAGCGGCGGACAGCGATGGAGAGTCACATTCGCGCGTGCATTGTACTCTCGTGCAGGTATACTGGTTCTGGACGATATTTTCAGTGCCGTCGATGCACATGTCGGTCGATTTATTTTCGAAAAGGGTCTCACAGGCGAGTTGGGAGTCGGTCGTACCAGGATTCTGGTCACTCATCACGTCGCGCTCTGTGCATCGAAGACCAAGTACATTGTCGAGCTTGGTGACGGCACAATTGCTCAAGCGGGGTTGGTCTCCGAACTCGAAAATGACGGAACTTTGCAACAGATCATCAGCCATGAAGAAAACGAGTCTGAAATTGTGGAAGACGAGGATCCAACTGCCGTCAACTCCGCGGAGTCCTCAGATGGCGACGCTGCTGAGATTGTGGAACCATTGAAGAAGATCGATTCGAAGGCAGTACCGAAAAAATTTGTCGAGGATGAGCTTCGCGAGCAGGGCCGTGTCAAGACGAGGATTTACTTGGATTACATGAAGTACAGTGGTGGATTGCCGTTCTGGTCTATTGCATTACTGGCATTCTCCCTCCTCCAGATCATCGTTACGGGACGTGCATGGTGGATTCGACTCTGGACTGGGAACAACGAGAAGAGACATACCAGCATGATACATGCGTTCACATATTCATACCAGGTCCATGATCTGTCTCCACATCAACCAGACAAAACTCTCAGCACGACGGATAGTCAGTCCGATAACTTGAGGTTCTACCTTGGCATTTACATTGCTTTCTCGGTTGCGTCTATCATCGTTGGACTTTTCAGGTATTACTTTATATACACTGGTTCTATTCGAGCATCTCGCCGTATGTTCGACGGTCTCAGTTTCACGATTCTACGAACGCCGCTACGATGGATGGACACAGTTCCACTAGGAAGAATCTTGAATCGCTTCACAGCAGATTTCAATGTTGTTGACTCCCGCTTAGCTAATGATATTGGATTTGGAGCAAACAATCTCTTCCGATTGATTGGTGTTATCGTCGCTGGGTAAGTCCATGCGCTCCCTATTCGATTTGTATCTAACAGTCCTAGAATATTTGTCTCGCCCTACGTGATCCTCCTCTCTGTCATTCTTCTCGCGATATGCATCCAAATCGCCCGTATTTACCTTTCTGGAGCGCGAGAAGTCAAACGTCTCGAATCGAATGCCAAATCTCCCGTTTTTGAACAATTCGGAAGTGCTCTCACAGGAGTAGGGACGATTCGCGCATTCGACAAATGTGATGTTTACATTGCTCGCATGTTCCGCAAGATCGATGACCACTCTACTTCATTCTGGCATCTCTGGGCTTTCAACAGATGGATGGGATGGAGGATGTCTGCTGTAGGAGGACTGTTCGCGACATTCGTAGCCATCATGATCTTGCTCATCGGGGGCATCGACGCATCGCTCGCAGGATTCGCTCTCAGCTTTGCACTGGAGTATGGTCAAGTCGTTATCTGGACGATCAGACATTATACGAACCTCGAACTCGACATGAACGCCGCAGAGAGAATCATTGAATATAGCAACCTCCCCACCGAATCCCTCGACGGCGCCGACCCACCCGCCGCCTGGCCTAGCGAAGGCAGACTCGAAGTCAACGACCTCGTCGTCGGGTATGCTCCTGATCTTCCACCCGTGCTAAAAGGCCTCACATTCTCCGTCGAGCGCAATGAACGAGTCGGTGTAGTCGGCCGTACCGGAGCAGGAAAGTCCTCCCTCACACTCGCACTTTTCCGATTCCTCGAAGCCCGCGAAGGTTCAATCCACATCGACGGTCTCGACATTTCCAAAATCAAACTCCACGCCCTGCGCTCCCGACTAGCCATCATCCCTCAAGACCCAGTCCTATTCAGCGGCACCGTCCGCAGCAACCTCGACGCCTTCGACGAGCACGAAGACATCGAGCTCCGCGACGCCCTGCAACGAGTGCACCTCGTCTCCGCCGAAGAAGCAGAATCCATCTCCCACTCCCTCATCACCACCGGCACAACCACACCCCTCGCCGGCACAGGTGCCCAATCCCCTACCTCAAGCTCAAACCCAAACCCAACTATAAACCTCAACAAAAACCCCTTCACCTCCCTCTCCTCGCCCATCTCCGAAGGCGGTCTCAACCTCTCCCAAGGCCAACGCCAACTCCTCTGCCTCGCGCGCGCCATCGTCTCCCGCCCCAAAATCATGGTTCTCGACGAAGCGACCAGCGCAGTAGACATGGCGACCGATGCCTTGATCCAGCGGAGTATCCGGGAAGAGTTTGGAGACTCGACGCTGATTGTTATTGCGCACCGGCTGAGCACGATTGCGGATTTCGATAAGATTCTTGTGATGGGGGAGGGGAGGGTGGAGGAGTTTGGGAGTCCGCGGGAGTTGTTTGCGAGGGAGGGGGGCGTGTTTAGGGGGATGGTGGGGGAGAGTGGGGAGAGGGAGAGGTTGGAGAAGATGATTGGGGAGGGGAAGTGAGGTGAGGTGAGGTGGAAGGACAGTTGGAAGTGGTTTGATTTGATTTGATTTGATTTGGATGTGGGGAAGGAGGAGATCTGAAATTGCATATACATTTATACATACATACGTGAAAGCTGGTTTGCTGCATTGTTGGTATACATACAGGGCATGGCGCATACTTGATTGCTTTGGATTAAGGTTTTGTAAATAGATACTTATCATCATCATCAGAGAAATATAGCATTGGACTTCCTGTCAACCTCCCACTCTTTTGGCTGTTTTGGATATTTTTTTTTTCTTTTCACATCAGCTTTCCATCTTCCTCGCTCACAAACATCTCATGATCATTCTCAGTAGAACACTCTGATCGTACCCATTTCTCCATTTCTTCATTAATTTCCATCCATGCCCATTTCAATATTGAAATTGATACTGCCGATGTTTGTGTCATGAAGGAGGGTGATGTGGACACAAGGGTGAACGCCTGAGAGGGAGAGTGGGTTCTATTCTTGATCAACGGATATACATCTTTCATAAGACAAACACAATTGTTAAAACCGAATGTTCTGTTTGTGGGAATATCTACGCGCTTCTCAGAAGATTAACAATCTGATTCTACGTGTTTCCACCACACCTCTATCTCCATCCTCCATGATCCCAGGCAGTGTGCGGTACGGCAGATAAGCCAGATAAAGTGCTTCCTATCCACTTCGGCAGACCAACTCTCCTCTCAATCTCGATATAACGAATCACAAGATCCCAACCATGCGCCCCCCTATCTCGCCTTAAAATCCAGCCTCTACTAGAGCATAGTCCCTCTTCTCGGCTTGAGTGGGTCTGCTCGTATCGATATCATTCTGGCCATGACATCTCTCGAGCTTGAAGACAGTCCAGAAATATCCTTTTTCCTCTCCACCGCCCTCAGTTCCTTCATTCTCTCCGGTTCCAATCTCCTTCTTGGTATCATTCTCAACCTCCATCTTCTCATTCTCAGCCTCCATATTCTCATTCTCATTCTCACCCATCTTATCGATCAAGAAAACTCTCTCCTCCTTCCCAACAGCCTTATACAAGCCCTGTTATCTAAATCCCACACTCGGTCTATCCTCGAAATCGCACGTCCACTTTCGAATGACGCGGATGGGGTTACCTGTCTTCATGGACTTGGCGAGGGTGAGTGAGCCTATGTTTCTATTTATGTTGCTCGCAGATGTGGAGGAAGGATTCGACTTGAGAGGTTTGACAGTACTGCTGTAATAGATGACTGTGCCTAGGTCGATGTTCGTTGCTGGGTATCTGAAGTCATGGGAGTTGGAAGAGACGTCGGAGGACTTGTTGGAGAACTTTGAGGTTGCACTGGAGAGGACGACGCTGTAGGCGCCAGCTGCGAGTGTGCCGGATATACCAGCCGTTGTGTGATCTGAGTGACAAGTCAGCCATCTTCTCCCTCATCTGGGGTGTGTCAAAGTAGCAACACTGCAGCCTATTGGAGGAAAAGAAAGGTATTTCAATTCCAAGACAGCATTGTGGGGAGATCTGGTAGAAGAGAGAGAAACTTACTATGCATGCCATCCCGGACCATAGCCAATTGCCTCGGAAACCAAGCTCCAACCTCAAATCCATTATGTCCAATTACAGATCCGTCACGAGACGAGTATTCGGGGTCAATCTTGTAGGACTTATTAGTGTCTTTTCGGAAGACAATATGGTGCATAATGCCGTGGAGACCGAAGATTGGATGATTTGGGGGCGCGCTTCTCCATGGTATTTCTCTTCTCTCGCTGTTTACAACCTCGTGGTGATCAATGATTGTAAGTTCCACTCCCTTCTCTGCGTACGTGCTTGTGAGGATATCATTCTCGGAGTCTGATTCAGATTTAGTATTCTCGTCGTCTTGCTCTCCCTGCTCCACGAATAGTGGCATGTCGAACTTGGTATTCTCCTTGTCGGGGTCTTCCTTCTTGACGAACAGTGTATCAATCTCGGACTTGACAGTGACACCTATGGTTAACGATTCTGTATCTACTTTAACTGCCAACTTGCCGTCCAGAATAAGCATAAAAATCTCCTTCAAGCGCTTTGCGACATCTGGAATAGGGAAAGGAAGATTGTTGAAAGGACTGCCGAACATAGCCAAGATGCCGATGATCTGGTAATCCTTGCTACACACCCATAAAAGTCAGTATTCGGTTTTCTTGCCTTCTCTATCTATGTTTTCTGTATGAATCAACGAAAAGGACATGGAAGCAAACATACATCATCTCCACAGTCGCCGATCTAGCCCTAGCAAGCCTGCACAACGTGACCATCAACAACTTCACGTCCCTCCACTGCCTGTCCGTAACCGTAATGTCGAGGCTCATGGCTGGGTCGTCCGCATACTTGAGAGCTCTCATGCAAGCTACACCAACTGCTCTCGCTGTGTTCTTGAGGGTGTGAAGAGTGGCTGGCTCGGTATCGATGGGGTGGGAGAGGATGTCATCGCCGATGAATTGGACAAATGCTTCGACAATGTCGGAAGGGATGAGAGAACAGTCTTCAGTGGCCATTGGAGGTGTTGCTAACATCGTGAACTTCGTTTGAGCTGGTGGCATTTTCGTTACTAGAGCAGGTCTGGAGTAGTTTGTGGTCAGTATTTCGACAAGGGAAGACTTGCAGTAGGAGAAAGTGTTTTTTTGTTTGTATTAGTAGCCGTGAAGCAAGTCAAGATCGCTGCTGGAGTAGTCGATATTTGAATAGAATTGTCAGAAATGTTGTCGGAAGCTTTGTGCTGGAGAAACATGAGAATGATTCAGCGAGAATGGGGCGGGAATGGAGCTAGCACGGCGGAGTATCTTCGAAGTCTGCCACTAGAGTTTGACTGGTTGTTTTATCTTGTTCATACTATTGTTAACAAGTAAAGATTATATCAGACACAAGTGGTAAGAGCGCTGTGTCAAAGATTGGGGCAGAGCTCTTTGATGCGAATAGTATTTCAGTCGAGGCTTGTCACGTGGTGTTTACAAATCTACAGCCCGTGCTAAAGTTCTATCTGGTTCTTCAACGCATACCACATTAGTTACTAGAAGCTCTAACCTTTAATTGATCTTGACACCTATCTTTTGACAAAGAAAGAACAGCATGAGGGAATCTTGTTCACCTTCGAAAGGTCCTCAAAGCATGACATGTGCTAGGCAAAGTCGCAAAGTGAGCATCTGTAACTATTCTCACAGAAAAACAGAACACAAAGGTAAAGCACATCTACAAATACTCTCTATGATCAAATAACTCTTTGATCAAAGGCGTTTTGACGGACAGCGTGGCGACTAGACTAGGGCATGGGGTCAGAGTTATACAAAACCAAGTTCAACTCTATAGAGACCAAAAGATTCTCTATACTTTTGTTATTCAATTCGAATAGAATCAGACTATTCTCTAGTGACCTCGAGTTAGCATGGTTGTGCTTCGAAATAATGAGAGTATGGCCGGAGTTCCAAGCCGATTTCGCCACGCTAGTATTGGTTCTTGTAATATTCCAACGGCCCTAAAAACAATACTACAACACCAAAAACCGGAGCAACTCATCAAGTCAGGAGCCTGGCATTCTCCAGTCAGGTTCACTTCCAAGGCACCGTTCTTGCCTATCCTAGAATCTAGTACATAAAGTCGACCTCGCCATCGGCTTCCTCCAAATTCACTCTCTTTCTTCCACACGACACATCCCCACCGACAACCAAAACAACACAGCACAACAAGAACAGCATATAACAGCTATGTCGAGTCTCACACCAGAATCGGAAACCAAAACTGAGTCTCTTGAGATCGGGATGTCCAATATTGAGGAAATCCATCCCCTCAACTCCTTGGCCGACCATGACAATTCCAGCCCCCTCTTTGTATCACTGGTCAATTGGGTTGGCACTGAGATTGCGTCCACATCCTTCGGCGCTCTAAAGCCTTCTGAAGACGACACTATCCAGAACTTCAAGGAGATGGCCAGAGTCGTTGGTGTCGCATCCAAGCGCCGGCAACCAATTGACGAGGATCAGTGGAACGTCATTAAGATGATGATCTGGAGACTGTGGCAGATCGTGGAATTCACTAGAGAGCTGGGCCAGAAGTGAGTTCTTGTTCTTGTCTTCTTTTCATTTAATCTCTCATAGATAGAGGGGACTGGCACGGATATATCCGTAGATTGGAACTGACCTGGATAGGATTAATGTCAAGGGAATCCTCATCATGTTCGCCACTCCTGCCAATCACTTCGAAAGTCCTATTCCTGAGATTTCTGCGAAGCTTTCAGAGCGCTTTGGAAGTCAAAACTGGGGCTTTCCGCAACTTATTGAACCGCAGGTTGGAAAGAACACCACGTCTACCAGAATCCGTGCCGGCACTCCAGGATCTGCTTCTCATGACGTCCGGATTCGAATACCACCACCTAATCACTCAATATTTGGTCCGAACGGTTGTATGCACCACATTGCTCTTTTTGAGACGAGGGGGTACGAAATCCTCTGCGAACCGGGCAAGTATGACGTATTTGGACATAACGGTTTCCAAGTTGGTCAATGCTGGGCAAGACAGGTTGCAGCTGTAAGAGATGGTGTCCACGGTATGTTGCTCTTTGACTTGATGTTCAGCATTGATTATCTTCTTCCTCTTCTTCTGCTGCAATTTCTCACATCTGAGACAAAGCTCAAACTGACATGGGAAAGGATCTCGTCAAGCTGGAATCTGCGGCACCGCCAACAAAGGAGCGTACTCAATTGTCATCGCTAGTACTTATGCCTCACTTGATCAAGACACTGGTTCTCAAGTTTTCTACTCCGGTGCAGGCGCACTGGTGACGATTGACTCTACTCCAGACCAAAGCAAGTACACCACCAGAGCACTGATCAAGTCCATTGAGACAGGAAACGGTATTCGAGTCTTACGCAAACATGGTGGGGAATGGGTTGGATGTCCGAAAGCAGGACTCCGTTATGATGGGCTATACAAGGCAGTTGGCTACACAGTTAAGGAGAATGACAAGGGAGGAAAGTTCTTGCAATTCGAGCTTGTAAGAATGGATGGTCAGCCCGACATTGATATGGATAAGCCCGGACTGGCAGAGAGACTTTCTTTCGAAAAGGTCAAGGACAAATACTGAAGTACATTATGGGACGCAAGGATTATGAAGGAGCGAGTTGAACTTGGCGTAGAGTTAGGGGTTTGCATGCTTTTTTGATCTCGAGGGAACGTGGTAGGGTGAAGTCTAGGTTTCTACGCGGAGGATGGAGAGGAAATTCATCAGGCAGAAGGCTGCACCAAATTCTTGTACTGCAGTGTACTGCAGTTCCAATACGAGCTTTCATGAAGCTGGCACTTGCAATCATTTCAAATAAGACCGCATCTGCGATTTTCTTTTCCTTTTCTGCCTGGAGGGGGCTCTGAGCGCTTGCAAAACCTGCGGTTTTCAAGATCGACATGCCCTTAGAGATTCATGATTTCAATGTCGACTCAAAATCGCTGATATCTTGAGCTTTCAACCCTCTAGCTTGTGCCCGTCCCTGGTGCTATAACCTAGTCAAAATACTTCAAATTTGACACACCGGTTAGTTCGAGCAATTCTGTGATACCTCAAACAAATCCACGATCGGATCACTCACCCGATTTTATAGACCTCAGCGCGACTGTTTTTATACTCCCAGTGACATCTTGGTGGTAAAAATTACCATGATAACGTAAGCGATGTCTTGTACACGTGTTGGTGGCTGGACGGGGCTGACTCGAGTGACGCCTAACAACTACACCTCCAGACATGGCTTGCTCTCTTCTTGGGACGGACGTCAACTTCTATATCAGACTGGTGACTTGTTTGTTGACACATTCTCTCCCTACCATGGCGTCGTATACACCGCTTGATACATCAAAAAATGAAGTGCGGATGTTGACAATCGCTGGGGTTTCAGGCGCACCCGAAGCTAGCCTTGTTCATTGCAGATTAGAGACTGTATCTCTCGACGACTTCACAACTGAGTTCAACGAGTTTCTAGACACTACAGAGCATAGAAATTGCACTCCAGACATCTTGAAGTCTTGGATGGAGCATGCACGCACAACCAAGCTAGACGAGTACCCCACGGCTGCCCCACTCGAGCTCCCATACTGGAGGTACACCCTTCACTACAGCATGGATGGAAGTGCACTGAGCAAATGGAATCAACTGATGAAAGGAATTGATATCGACTTCGAACAATGTCTCGAGATTCCGGAAGCCTTCTACAGTTCAGCACCAAGCAATTACCCCACACCACAACCTCTCCCAAGCCAAAATGATACGAAGTTCTCATTCCTTCCCCGTTTTAATTGGGGAGACTATCAAGCAATATCCTACTGCTGGGAGTCCGAGACCAAAGATCGACAGATTGTGCTGAACGGATCAGTAATTGAAGTTCCCAGGAATCTTGAAGCAATGCTGCAGAGGTTAAGGACCCTCCCAGATGCACATTCTGGCATCAAATTCTGGATCGACGCCCTATGTATTGATCAAACAAATATCCCAGAGAAAGGCTACCAAGTGAGACTTATGCAAACTATCTACACTCGTGCCTTCTCCCTTGTGGTCTGGCTCGGCAGTGGTTCCAGGGAAAGTGACCGCGCGATCGAGTTCATTGCAAGCATTGCGCACCACACACTTCTGGAAGATCAGTATGGCCAAGAAAAGTATGGCTGTCATTTCGCGAAATGGGCAAGGAAACATAAGATGGGAATGCCAATGCAATTGCCCTATATGCCGTGGCGAGAGCTCCTTGCGTTTCTTTCTCGCAACTACTGGCACCGGCTGTGGATCATCCAGGAGCTGGCACTGAACCACAACATGACACTCTTCCTTTGTGGAGAAAAGAGTCTTTCAAGAAGTATGGTTCTGCGAGCATCTCAATTTTGTATGCGCCACGCAGAGACGATCGATCAAATCACGCCTTCATCAGTTAAGACCGTCCCTGACTCCTCCAGCTATACATATGGCAGCATCTGGTCAACAATATATCGAGTATATTGTCTTGTAACCCTTCCAGATGGAGAAACAGACGAGATTCAGATGGATGATGTCCTAGATCTTGGACGCAAGGCGAATGTAAAGGAAGCTGTCGATAAGGTCTATGGCATTCTCGGGCTGCTACCATCAAAGCTATCGATACCTATATCACCTGATTACACCCTCGCGCCCCAGCAAGTGTATCTGAATTTCGCAAAGGCCATCCTGGGCGCATTTCCAAACCTTGATGCATTATTTTCATGGTGCTCATACAGCTCTGATAGTGGATTGCCTTCCTGGGTTCCAGACTGGTCGACACAGTACAGCCGGAATCATCTATACTGGCTGAAGATATGTAATGCTAGCGGATCAAAGCCTGCACAATGGTGCGTATCAGAACACACTCGAAGTCTCCATTGTACAGGCTTTGTTTTCGATACTGTCGAGTGCATGAGTGGTTCACTATCGGAGTCGAGTTCTACGACCTGGAATGGGCACCCAACCAGCTTCGGACCATTGCCTGAATCGGTGGTCTGTCAGTACCACACCAAAGGCGATTTGACTGCAGCACTACGCAAAACATTAGTGCAGAATTTGACATATTCGGAGGACGAGCTCTACACTAGGACGACACTCGATATTTGCTGGGTCCCAGCAGATCTTGCGGGAGGTCAGGCCGGCGATATAGAGATGATCGCAGACAAACTTCGGAGTGTAATTTCGAGCCCCTGTTGGCTCCCATTCCGGCGCTTCCGTGAAGTGAATGCAAACTTCCCCATCTTTGGGTTTTCGTTCCGGGACTTCTTCCCAATACTACAACAGCACAGAGAAAGAATGGAAAATGAAGGTGGAGGACCCCTCAATAAATACGAGTATCTCCCACGAGTCAATCAAGACGAGCCAAGAGAGCTCGATGGAAATGATGCCTTGGTCATAAAAAGGACAACTCTCACTTTGCAAGGCCGTCGATTGATTACTACCAGAAATGGCTACCTTGGAACAGCACCTGAAGCAGCTCTGAGAGGAGATGTCCTGGCCATTATATATGGATGCAGTTATCCTGTTGTCTTGAGGCCCTCTGGTGATTCGTATCTACTGATAGGAGAGTCTTATATTGATGGTGTGATGGATGGAGAGCTTGTTGAAGCCAGAGAGAGCGGGATGTTTGAGGAGGTCGAGTTCAGAATCTGTTAGATATTAACTTCAATCGCACATCGTGGTGTATATCACTATATATGACACACGGCCTGTGTAGGGGGTGCGGTATCTGAATCAGAAAAGGATTGGAGTCGTCATAGTGGGGTAGTTCTAAGCGAAGGTCAACAAGGCTCGCAGCCTAGCTATGCGATGGCTTGTCTGTGAGGCTTTTAGGATAACTCCAGTCCACGATGCTGTATATCCGTCCTCCGTGATGGCCTGGTGCGTACTTAAATTACCATTTATGGATGCTGTACTGTCAAGGTTCTTAGTCCCCATTTATTCTCCCGCGACACGGTTGTTCCACTGGACAGCTGGGTTGCCGCTGAAGCAACATTCGCCAAATCTGAGTCCCTGGAATCAGCATAGCAAGACACAAACTAGAAATTGCAACAATCCTGAGACATTACTGATTCCATGTTGATTTTGGGTTGGGGGGGGGGGGGGGGGGTTGCTTGACCGTCTCGGTTTTGGACTCTCTTCTTCTTGATCATCAATCAGAGACACCCTCTTCTCAAGTATAGGCTGTAAGAATCCTTGGTGCCCCTCATGCAACTTTCCATGCAGCCATGCGCTAATGACCTCTTTCACTCCTTGTTTCTGCTAAGCTTGATTTGTTCCACCCGAAAGGGCGCCAGCATCCCTGTTGTCTGCCAGCTTATCTTTCACTTCCTCTCCGCTTGTCTATCGACCCTTACCCTTCAATACCGCATTCTTCCTATTTCCAGCCTTTGCTCTCGTAATCTGCCTAGCCATTTTGCACAATGCATGCTCCAGATCAACCACCGTCAGATTCCTTCTCTGGATCTCCTCACAATCCACGACGACCTGTCTGATTGTCGACATATTCTCAGCGGGACTCTCAAGGGTTGCGAATACTCGGGTGAGTACATGAGCAAGTTCCGCCGAAGTTTTTGGAGCAGGCTGATTCGTCTCCTCTGCTGCTATTCTGAGAGCACCTCTTGGTCCGGATGTGCCACTCTTCATGATGTGCTCTGCGAGATCTTGTATGGTAGGTCGCTGACAGAGACCGTACTCGAAGAAATCACTGGTGAGAAGCCAGGCTATCAGGCCGTGTGGTGGGATGGCAGGTATCTTCTTGCTAAGAAGGCGTTCGTGGAGTGCTTCGAATGTGGGTAGGTTAGACTTTGAATTTAATTTTGACGACATCCCTTCCCACAGTTCCCACAGGGAAGACAGCATAATTGGAATCTTTGCCTTGGTGATCTGCAACTTTCCGTATGCCGGAATTGGAAGCTTAAACTCGCCGTTTCCCCACAGTTGAATGACGGAAGCCAGATTCTGGAGGTCGGGTCCCTCCTCTTCATCAAAATATGCCTCTTCTAGATGCTGCTGGTTTCCAAACTCGAATGTTCTCCTTACGCAAAGCTGAAATATGTTGTGATTCTTGAGCTGGGATGGATCTTCGTGAATAAGGAAGTGCTTCAAGATGAATCGCATTGAGGAACCGGTATGTCGAAGTGGGGATAGTCTGTCTGACAGCATGTGGGAAGAGAAAGCTGATTTGATGTATGCTTCGCAATCCGCTGCAAGCGCATTTGTATTGTCGAGATGAAGCTTTGAGTCGTTTATCTTATTGTTCATGTATACTCCGAGTCGAAGAGTCTGGATCAAGCGAGACAGGAGGTAGATCTCATACTGAGAAAGACCCAAGACCCTAAGTTCAGCTGGCTCGGGACTGAAATAAACGCTTGACATTTTCTATGGATTGTGGCTAATGAAAGCACCAGTTGGGTATGGAGGCAGAACGGATTTGAATTGCTGAACTGCATCCAATGAGACTTGAGATGTACAACAAAAGCAAACTGCTCGAGACGTTCAATCTATGAGAATTCAAGGTCATAGAGAACTCGAGAGTCTTTTTTTGATAGACTCAGTCATTGCTAGCGATATTCCCACGAAAAGGGTTGTTAGGTTGTGCTAGATTCACCACAGTAAGCAAGAAATCACTTCAGGAGTGCACCTAATTCACTTTTATTTCGGCGACGTCAAGAATGTTCTAAAATTGAAGAAAAGCAGAAGGGGTCGCATCCAAACACAGGAACCAAAAGTCCAAATTTCTGAGATCAAAGCAAAGCCCATTGTGAAGGGGAGAGAATTTCCGAGAAGTGTTTGAGCTAGATAAATCACTGGGCCCCAGGTCTCCAAAAGCATGTTTGCTGAAGCTTGGGACGGGTAGTTCATGCATGGAAATTATATCTGCGGCAACACTGCTGTTCCAGCCCCGGATCATTGGTATTGAAAGTTAGAACACCCAAAACCAACAAAGCAAAGAAAATGACGGAAGGAGATGTTACCAGCCAGGGAATGAAATTTTTGTGAGACCGGATACAGCTTCTGGCCATTATGGCACAGAGAGCTGAGCGATTGGACCGACACTAAAACAAAACCAATGCTTTCCATCCAGTATGTCTTAGATATTCTCTTCATTAAAGCCTAAATAACATAACAGAAACGGGTATCATACACATTCCGTGCGGCATTGCACTCTGGCCAGGTCCATCAAGAATTAAAAACGATCTTCCACCTGGCGGCTCGGCCCTCCCGGCCACGCCGTTTTCCCAGTTCCCAGTCCATTATCTTTGTCGGAATACGCTGTACTTGTTCGAGCAATCGTGACCACAGTCGTTCTCGTGATTTTGCTCGGATCCTCCGACATCTGTATTGGCAGTATTGTCTCTTCACTAACATTATTTTCCAGATCCCCGGGTTGCATCCTGTTGCGTCGGGTGCCAATACTGATGACACTGTGCTGGTTCGTAGATTCCCGATATCCTTGGCGTATGATCTTCATCTTGTGCGAGCTATTTTGCTTTGCCCCATATCCAGTGCTGCGATTATTGGAAGTGTACCAAGATGAGCTCTCGAGTATCTTTTTGAAGACTGGCTTCAGACAAGGGAGGCATGCGGCAATGATACCAACATTCACTTCGGTCCTAGCACAGGTTAGCAAAGAAATTACGAGGAGCTAGAGTACATACGCTCCCCAGATGGTTAGATCTGTGGAATCCCGAAGGAAGTCGCCCGTTTTGCCGTAGTTACTGAGTGCTGTGGCTCTCACGATTGCAGCGGCGGATGCACTGGAAAAGGTCAGCTTGAATGCTACAAAGTGCTATCTGTGCCACATACAAGAGTCCCAAGCTCATAATCCCGATGATTGAGATCTTAACCTTCGAGTTGATCTGTACATTCCAAAGCATAGGAATAGGTATAAGGGCGAGCGTCAAGTCCGTGATGATGGTCAAGACTAGAGGAAAATCAGCGTGGCAAATGATTAAATCTAGAGGACAAACTCACCAACATTCATATATCCCAGTCCCCGGCTAGTCTGTGCGCTCCAACACGTAGTAACTACCGATGAATCCCACAGAACCGCCAAGTTCTTACATTGAAAGAATAGTGGCATAACGGCGGCGGATGTATATAGAATCATGAATCCCAAAAGAGCCCAGAGAAATCTTTTCCAGATCTTTGTGGACGCGATCCTTAAAAGAAACAGTGCAATAGAGACTTTAGAAGCCGTCGTAGCAATGAGATAAATTGGTTGAGTGACAAAGTTGAGCTTTAATCCAATCTTAACAACTTCGGGATCGAGGTAAGCAACATGTCGACCAGCACCATGCATTACTTGCGGTATGACGATAAGCCATCCTGTGACCGATAGAAGCTGGCTCTGATTAGCTGGTACTATGGTGAAGATAATTTGACATACCACAGCCCCAATCATCACGTAATCCTAAACCATTAGTTTCTAGAGCAGGTAGGTATTGAAGTGTCACATACTTCTGGTCCAACACTCCGAACGATCTTAATTCGCACCCATAATCTCAAAATAACAGTAGCCAAAGCGGAAATGGTAGTGATTGTGACAGCTGCGATTATTGCTGGACCTCTGCTGTCGTCTGGCTGGTCTCCACCGGGAGGTAAAAGGAGATTTGTCGAGTTGGACGACATCTTGACCTGAGCGCACTGCGTCTCAGAAGTGCTTGCTCAGGAGTATTAGAGTTAGGATATGGGAACTGAGAGATCTAAATGTTGAGGCACCTGTCCCCTGTCGTATGTCTGATTGACAATAGGAACTCCAAGAACTTGCTAATCTGTCCAAGATACCATCTTCTACATCAAGTACTAAGGATGTGCGACCTTTCCAAATCCCGGAACGACTTGACCGGCAAGATATCGTTGACGCACCTGTTCCAGAAAGGTGGTCCTGATGTCCCATTTCCAGGTCATTATCCGAAGAGAAACGAGTGGAAGTTGGTTTTGAGTTCGTTTGACAGCCTTCATCCAGGACCAATGCAAGGGTGGTCCCCTGTGAAGTGCTGCCAGAGTTTTGCTCGATTAAGGTTACCCCAGTCCAGCTTTTTGATTGCGCGGCTTTCGAGTCAGGATTCCTCGACGAAATCCACCCAGACAAAGCCTAAAGCTTGACACTTCTCTTCATGTGGTGTGTGTTGCGGTGTCATGGGATGTCAAAGTGAGCGTGGGGAGTAGATGCTGCTTAAGAATCGCATAGTCATGACTCAGTTGACACAAGTGCTGGCAAATCCCCTGGAACAACATTCGGAAGTGTTTCAAATCAGAAGTAGATGCTGATCCAATGTGTTGGACTCTCAACGACTACTTCAAAAGAACGTGGCCATGATGGGTAGTCAAGTTAGTTGGACCGATAGCTCAGAATGTCTCTAGCAACAACGCGGCTGCGCCGTGGTACAATACAAACTCAGGCCACTATTCACGGCAAATCTTGGTATTCGCTCAGCACCGATCAAACCGCGGATAAACCGAAACCCAATTTACAGGCCCGACCACTGAGTTCTTGGCTGGTTCTAGATCCGAGTCTTGAGAAGGAAAATTCAAGTATTCTCGCAGAACAACTTTCTCACTCTTCTCCTCAGACGAATTCAGGTAATCCCACAAGTCGAACCCGATGACTAAGCGACCCTGGTATCAATACGCCTCGAAGAATCATCTCCAGGGTCTCAATTATTACCTGAATGCTCGAGAAATTCATTTTTAATCTTTTTCCCGCTCTCAAAGAGCACTTCACTACCCATCGCTTGTGCACCGGTTCTGAATTAACCTTAACCTTACGTGAAAGTCAAGTTATTTTCACTGTACATCATGGACCCCTAAACTCAATCCCCGGGCTTGTGACCAAAGAGAGAAGATTATTGGAAACATGTCCCCTGTTGCCAAGATGGGTATGATCCCGGGACATGGGAAGATCTTCGGCTATTGCACAATTTGAAACAAAATATGCACGATCAAACTTAAGGTTCAAATCTCGGCCACTCCCTGCACTAAACTCTATAGACGATAGTGGGTGAATGCTATGAGAATGTTGATTGGTCTACATATTTTCCGCTTGTCAAGAGTCAAGTCAACTGATCGAGTCGTTTCCCGTGAAGACTTTATACAAATGACTTCTTCGCCGGCTAGTCAATATTATCTTGTGTCTGACCGAAAGTACGATTCTATCCATCCCGCAAAATCTCTCTTCCCGTGTACTTGAGTAGTGATGCTGCCTGGGTTCAAGCCTGGGCCTATTCCCTGAGTATCCAGCGTGGTTCCTCGAGTTGGAAGGTCCATCTACTGTCAGTTCGGTCCCAAACCAGTGCAAGATATTGGCAAGCGTTGGGGAATTGACGAAAAGATACGCAAGTATTGACGGAGGAATATGCACGATCGGAAGAACTGTCCATTTGGAGAAAGCATCACCATTGTCGTGACTCGCGCACCTCGAAACGTTACGCAAGCCCTTCCACCAATTCCGACTCTGCCGCAGAAAATTACTTTCAACATGATTTCTTCTATTGTTCCATTACCCAGCGAAACCAAGTTCAAGCCAAAAGACGTGCCAGTCTCCAGACATGGCCGCGTTCAGAGAAATGTATGGTTATTGACATTTCGAGTCAATTATCCAATTGACAAATTTGTTTGGTACGTGATACCCAGTCTCTTTAAGAAATAAATCGAGCGCTCGGCCCAGCAATGGTGGTGAGTAAGTTAGCGTCAATAGATTAGACGACGTTGTCCTCGCTGCCACATTCAATTTCCGGATATGCTATAAAAATCAAGTATTCTGACGCAATCCCAATTCCGACTAGATTTGCCGGCTTAGGTATTTCATGGGTTCCAGATAGCGACACAAGACTCATCTGTATCTGGAAACGTTGGTCTCCCTGCAAGTCACTTCACGAATCCTTGGGGCGACACCTTCACATTTCCTAGCAATCCAGCTTGCTATCTTCTTCATGGAACGACTGTTCGAGACTGGTTAATGTAGCCGACTGAAAATCCCACTAATTGAACAAAGTTGTTGTCGCTACTAGTATGTATCTGGACATCCGATTTCACCAAACACCACTATCGACGGGATGTCGACCAACTCGTCGCTGATATATGCGGGTTTCGGAGTAAGAGCGTTGAAGTGCTTATGAGGTACACTGGTAAGCCACTCTACGGATTCATAGTTCCACCAAGTAAGATCGAAGATAGCGCAATGCGAGGGAAATGTCGAATGTAAATAAAGCCCGTCCAGCCACTAGCGCCTCGCTTCGATGCAGGCGTTGTCAGCGCCCCGCCACAGCCTCATCACCAGCCCCTTCCAACTTTCAACGTCACAGCAAGAGAATATGTACTCTCCAGCTGTGCAACAAGCACTCCAGTCCTATTAGAACCAAGTTTCTTTCCTGCGGTCATGCTTGATCAAGCATCTCCGTGATCAAATGACCTCGATGCCTTACGACAGATACAGGGGTGAAAATGCGCCTCCTCAACACCTCAAGCTACACTCTCCAGGACTTCACAGGAAGTGAGATACCCAATTATGCCATTCTGTCACATCGCTGGGAGGGCCAAGAATTCACATTACAGGATATTCAGGGCATCAAGCTGGGACCTAACCGGAGTCCGATTTTCAGCGACGACAAAGCTTACACAGCTAGGGGATGGTTGAAGATCGCAGGCGCATGTGCTCAGGCTCGCAAAGATCAATATAGTTGGATATGGATTGATTCTTGCTGCATCGATAAGACAAGCAGCGCTGAACTTTCAGAGGCAATCAACTCGATGTTCATCTGGTACCAAAATGCCGAGATCTGTTACGCTTATCTATCAGATGTGCAGCTGGACAACACCGATGACCTGCTCGAATGGTCAATTGACGAGTTCAGAAATAGCAAATGGTTTACGAGAGGATGGACCTTGCAAGAACTCCTTTCACCAAAACAGGTCCGATTCTTCTCAGGTGGGTGGGCTCCTCTGGGGCTGAGGTCGTCACTTTGGTTTTTGGTTTCAGAGATAACTGGAATTGAGGCCGAGAGCAGCTTTAAGACAGCGAGTATTGCTCAGAAAATGTCATGGGCATCTCGAAGAGAAACAACGCGAATCGAAGACAGAGCCTATAGCTTGATGGGGTTATTCGGGGTTAACATGCCACCATTGTATGGCGAGGGAGAAAAAGCTTTTCTGCGGCTGCAGCTAGAAATCTTGCGCGTTTCTGATGACGAGTCGATTTTTGCCTGGGAAGATCTTGAGGACAACACTGGTGGCCTACTGGCACGCTCGCCTGCTGCATTTCGCAACTCTGGAGACATCAGACGACTTGAGAACGCGCTTTACGAGAAGCCACCATATTCGATGACGAACAAAGGAATCCGAGTCGAGTTTCCAGTTCTGGCGGCATCTCAAATACACGTGGAGCTTCTCGATGCCGACGATACATTCTTCGCCTTTCTTCAATGTCGACCCTCTCAAAGTTACTCGATGTTCGCAATCCTATTGCGCAGAATCAAAGGAAACTTGTACACGCGAGTCTCTTCGGGTGGCCTAATTACTACTCAATGGAATGATATCATTCAAGATCTTGTAGATAGTGAGTACAGGATGGTACAGGTCAAGCAGGAGGACGACTCTGACATATCGTTTGCTGGCATTCCTCAATACCGGTTCTCCGTTTCCATCGACCTGCTTGAGTTCAAGGGCTTTCGCGTGGCAAGTCGGTGGGTAATATGGGGAACTAGCGTTCGCGGAGACTTTGACCGTAGCAATATCGGCGAAGAATCGTTTGTAATCCCTCGGGACACAGGCTCTCCAGGTGTTACCATAGCGATGGAATTCACAAATAGCAACTCTCCAGAAGGTGAACCCGAGGATTCGGACGAAAGTCTAGCTCATGATGAAACCGACAGGTTTGTCATGGTCTTCAACATGTACGATCGTCGAGCTCGACTTGGACTTCTCAGACCTCTCTCCGGGGTGCCAATAAAGTCCATCGTGAAGCGTCTGGATAAAGCAGGAGATTGGATGACAGCAGATACACATATTCGAGCGTCAACTAGATCGTTATCTGGAGCCCAGATTACTGCACAGTTGGCACGGAAGCCAACAGATCTATGGCTGCGCAGCTACCAAGCATCTTTCTCGTTTGAATACCCAGTTGAGCTGCCACCAGGTGAAATAGATCACCGGGTCGAGCTTCCGAACAATGAAGTCAGCTCCATTGAGAGACGGAACTCGATGCCAGGAGATCCAGAGGTCAACTACTACGTTCGGGGTTATTTGCTGGGTAAGGACATGAATCCACGGACAGGATTTGTCGAGTTGGTCTAGCCATTTTGATTTAGCTCGATGGAGGCAATTGCTACTGCCAGTACATGACTACCAATCGAATCCATGTATCAGTCACTTTCTCGTTCACATGATAAGCTGTCAGGCTCCTCGAATGGCACGGTTGGAGGAAGACAGCGGTGTTCCTCTGACGACCATATACCTCTCTTAACTTTACATGGGGGAATTCTGGCGGCTAATACTAGGTCTCCGAATCCTTCGTCGCAATTCTAGGTAACGCAGCAAGTGGGGCAGCTTTTGGAGGGGGCATCTTCCCAGGCAGGAGGAATATTCTCCATAATTTCCATACGACCTGACTACATGCAATGCGATATACGAAATTTTTGTCAATTTCCAGCGATCCTTACTTCGAACTCTTCATATCCAATGTATCCATCACAGTCACTTCACTCCGCTCCCACCTCTCTTTCGTCAAGTTCCAATACCTCTCCGTCTCACCCGCTCGACATGAGCAGGATCCTTGTTCCCACTTCCTCTCCGCAGGTGCCAGAAAATCGCCCATAGAGCTATTGCTGATTCGTATGGTGCCGCTAGGCGTGTTGCATTGTTGGCCTGCAACCGATGAGCCGAAGGGTACAGAGGCGAGAGTCAGTATCGGACATGTGTCAACGATCGACCATGTGTCAATGATCTACCTATGCTATGAATAGCTTGACTGGAGCCCGAGCTTGTCCGTGGAGGCAAAATCAAGGGACGGCCATGGAATATCTCATTTGTAGCTTTCTCGAGTTCCTTCTTGGATGTCATGATTACTTTCTTGCTTGCATGTGGCTTCAGATCTCCCTCACATCGAGATTATCGCGCCATAAAGTCAGGGTACTCAATGCCCAGTGTGTTTATTAGGCCTTGGGCGTTGGGTCCACCTGCCTATAGATCCCAATCATCTGCGATGAGAAAGGTCCTTGTCAAACCTGGCCAGCCCCAGGAGCATCTGGGTCGTCCTGCTCATCCATCTCAATCTCTTCCGGATCTTGACCAAGTTGTCCGTCTCTGTTTGAAGCCCATCTGATGCTCAGAAACACTTGAAGCAGGTGAGTCGGAACTCTAGTAACGGATGCCCAAACCTGCAAGAGCCATGTCGATATACGTGGGTGGTTGAAAGTCAGTACAGCAAGAACCAGTAACGCTGTTGCCATGAAGAGGCCGAGCAGGGTGAAGAGCCAGTCTTTAAACTTGGGATTGGTGAAAATGGAATCTTGCATGCTGAATATCGATGAAGCAAGGGTAGGCGGTAAGTAGAACTGGAAGAAATTAGGACCAAATAATCCATCTATGCTAGATGTTAAGTTCCCGATTGAATCCCTTACAATTGTGATGACTGTCAGAGCTTGAATAAACTGGCTTTGAAGTCTGGTTATGATTGTTTCTGCATGCGCTGCATGTGTTACGATCTAGATCGCGAAGTTAGACGAAGGTTGGCGTGACCTATCAGAAATAGGGAAGATGACTGGGACACCGCTGATTAAAATGTAGTTACATACACTGTTGGTCATGTTTTCAAACAGCTCTGTTTTATGCTGCAGGGAGCTGCGCAGATCTCGAAGCTCAATCACGTCTTTGTCAATAGCGGCCAGGAGATTGCCCCAGGTAGCATCAGCCAAATTTTCCGAGTCAGGAAGGTTGAGGTAGCGAATCTCTCCATCTTTAAACGTGTCCCAGGAGTCGATTGTTTTGGACAAAACGTGAGTGAACTGGCGCAGAACCCGAATTGTCCACCTGAAACCTTTCCGTTGAGTGATATCCAGGTCAATCGATTCTCCCTGGCCTAACTCTCCTCAGGTAAATGCATAAATCTTGCAGAGGTCAGTATTAAGGATCGGCGTGGGGAATACAGGACAAATCCTCACGCATGGTTCTATGTCTTCGAAAAATTGGAAAATGGTGTTGTTCCATTCCTGCTTTACTTGTTCCATCCGACAAGAAAGACTTCTCAGAAAATAATGTCTTGGGTTCCATAGAGGTCGGTCGAGAAAATATTTACCGCAAGAGTGGGGGTCGGCAGAATTCCTGTGCATAACACTTACCTGCTCTGTGTGTTCTTCACTCTTAAAGTAAACATCAGAAAAACAGTATGCTGTCCAGAACCAATCGTCAAGGCCGATAACCATAATGGATACTTGGGCTTCGTGGATGCAGTCTCTTTCTGCAGTTGTGTTCTGGGAGTCAAGACTAAGCTGAATGACTTCTTCCGATCGTCGCAAAGACTTGCCACTTCTAAGCCTTGGGTCCGTGTGGCGAGTCGGAAGCATACGCCTCCGTGCATAGTATGGGAGATGAAATTCCAGTGAAAACCCACAAAAGCCAACAGTCTATCAATAGGCATCATGTCAGCGACAAGGTAACACAATGGAGAGGTAAGAATCAAGTACTCTCGTCTGGATACCGATGAACGTTCGACATGTGAGATGTTTATATATGAAGTCTCGTAAATACGATGCCTGGAACCGCGATGCGGTAGCCGCCAGGCTCAAGGCACACGCGGGGTCTAGGCCAGTAATATAGCTGTACCAAATGTCAGCTTCGCAGAGAATGGCCCGGTAAGAAATTCAGAGACAGAGGGGGGGTCTCACATCAACCGGCGCTCAGCATTGATCTGATCGATGAGATTGATACGCTTCATAAGTCAGAATGACGACCTGAAAGTTTGAGAAAGATCAGAGTTCAAGAACGCACTGATTTGAGAAGCTCCGAGTAGAGTCCGCGGGCGCTCATTGGCCCCAAACTGGGTCTAGCACTGCCACTAGGGGTATTCCGAGTAACTGTCTCGTCATTACGATCATCCATCAGTGCCTTTAATCGTGTTCCTTGATGGGAACTGATATTCCTCAAGGATTCGAGACTTGCAAGCGCAAGAAATTCCGACAGGTGCCCCTCTCTATACATATATCTATCAACGTCGTGATTGCACTGATTGTGGACAAACCATCCAATTACTTCCTCTGTAGTGAGATTTCTCTGGTTGGGCAGGTTGTCCACTCGCAAACTCTCTACATATCTCAAATCTTCGGAGCCGTAAACGTTTTGTCGTCTTTGGCTGAAAATGGAGCTCCAAACAAACGCCTGCTGTTTAAATTGTCCAAGTGCAGAGCGAGAAGTATCCATGACTTGAGCCGCCCCGTCTAGCTTTGTTTGTAGGGATCTTGGCAGAAGCTCTCTGAATATAGAGAAATCCTTGCCAAGTAATACCGAAATCGACTCTCACTAAGGGCCTACCTTTGTTTTGACTTGCTCTAGTGTGCAGTAGGCGCATCGAAACACCCCACATTCAGTACAAGCAAGTGTCCTATCGACGCTCATAGCAGATGCTCGCCCACAGTTGCACTGCAATCGTATAAGTAGAGTTCTCCGGGGTTATATATCAGTGGGTTGACGCACACAAGCCCAATGCCATTCAATAACGTATTTCACTTTTGCAGGTTTGGACCTACTCTCAAGAGGACCGCTGTTCCTGGCTGCAGCACCGCGAGGACGGGTCTATCATGTGTCAGTACCAAGCATTTCAAACCATGTTCGATCCGTTTGCCACGGAAAACATTTTAGCTAACGGTGGAAACTGGAAACTGGAAACTGGAAACTGGGGAGGCAAGAAATCAGAAAAGTCTCACGGCAGAGGGCGAAGTACGAGAAGTATTAGCTTGGGCTGTCTCCTCTCTTCGTCGGGCCGATGAATCAAGTTCTTCTTCAGGTACTGGCTCAGGCACTGGTGGCTCAGGTACTGGCTCGAATGATGTTCGCTCAGAAGCCGGATCAGGATCCTGCTTGTCGGGACCTTCTTGTGATTGGGAGGAGAACAACCGCTGTGTGAATCTTATAAGGCCCATGGCTGCCAAGGGGCTATCTTCGTGAACGATATCATTGTTGTATGCCCGTGGACTTGCTGAGGTGACGATGACAGAGCTTGCGAGAAAGCTCGTCAGTCACAGGACACGACGGATCTCAGCCTGGACACCACCTTGCCTATTGGTGGCACAGCACTGTGTGGAAGCTGATAGGGTGTCGGCTCCTGCAGCAAAGCGCAGGAGATGAGATAAGATATGAGCTGAGGTGAAGGAGGTCTCTGAAGCGGTGAGCCGTAGCACCGTACCGAGGTGAGCCTCCGATTGCTGAGAAGACAGGATCAAGCTGGGCTGAATACTTGTAGGCTTGAAGAGAAGCTTAAGGTCTGAGTCGGCTCTGGAGCCTCTGCACTGTAGAGATGAAGAAGCAAGTATGGCTGGCCTCTTCGGTGTTTGTTTGTTGCAGGATGAAAGAAGCTCTCAAAGAGTTCGTGATAAATTTAAGCTCAACACTGTACAGCTATTCTTCAGTTTGGCGTGATTCTTCGGTAAATAACGCCGACTCACCGACTTTTGCTGTAGACCCCACTAAAAGATGATGACCTAGAATTGTAACCTCTATAACTCCATCAAATCTCTATCGATTTGCCTCCAAATTAGGTTATTTTGAAGCTCTTAAACTCCCCTCTCTGTTTCCACTTGATATTCTCGAATATGCCTCCAAAGAAAGCTCGAAATAGTCAAGGGAAACCTTCTAAAAAGAAGGCTCCACGCACTCCACTTCCCCCACCGCCGGTAGCACCTAAAATAACCCTTAAACTTAGTACGAGTCAAGCTAGTAGTTCTTCTGTCGGTTCTACTGTTAGTACTTCGGCTTCTACACCTAATTTGAGTGTAGGAGTAGTTGTGCTAGCCGTAGGATTAGCAGAGCCTCTTTCACTACCCCCCCCTCCACCTTCTGAGCCTTTATCGATTCCGCAAGCTCTCCCCCCGCTAGAACCTCTTATTATACGGTCTCTTACACCTCCGCAGATTGAAATATAAGCTGTAAACTTTGAGATTTAGTAGTACCTTGATAGTGAGCGAATAGGCAGTGTGATAAAGAAAGTGACGAACGAGCTAGGCGTTAGAGTTACTTATAAATCTATCAAGGAAGCCGCAGAGACGTCAGTAGATACTACGATCAAGTTAAGGGGTATTTCTCTACTACGGAGAGATCATACTTACTAGTATAGCACCTGTGGAAACGTTTAAAACCCCACGGAATATGATATCGTTAATAAGGCCGATTTTAACTACTTTATCGAACGAGCTCGAATTACAGGGAAATTGAAGCAAGGAAAGCTTCAAATATACTTTAGTATCACACAGACACCTCAGAATATAGTTCGACTACCTTGGAAAGACCCTCCTACTCCAAAGGCTCTAGTTATTACTATTCCGAAGCGTGTGTATTAAGAGGAGGAAAGCTCGATAATAAAGAAGCCACGTACCGCAACGACTTGTCTTTTAGAGGAAGTTGAAAAGAATCAGGAGGCTGAAAAGGGAACTATACATAAGATTATAACTGCTATTCAGGTACGATAGGCCTATAAAGTCAGTTCCTGTCGTTGTACTACGAAGTTTTGCTTTGTTAACGATAGTAAACACTACTACCTTTCCCTAGACAATTTAAGGCGTTAGAGACGTGATATTAAAGACAAATTAACTACAATCGACAAACCTTTTATTCTCTATCGAGTTAACCTTTCAAAAGAGCTTACAGCTCGTTCAGAGCCTCAGTCGTTGAAAGCGCAGGAGAAAAAGAAGCACCGGAAGACGTACCATAACGAATCGTTATCTCTGGAACAATATCAATCAGCTTAACACCCCTCGTAGATACTATATTAGCCTCTAAATGCCTTCTTATATCAATATCCGCTAATGCTGCCCTCTCCGATGTGGTCTCTATACACTGGTAACCCTCTAAGTGGCTATTCGCTAGCCCCTCACCCTCAGCTGAATATAGCTCCTCCGGCATACGAATATACAGCTCTAGAGCCTTAATTACCACGTATTCGACCGTAGGAACGAGTTGAAAGTGACTTTATATCAATAGTAGATCTGCGGGAGTCGAGTCTATTCCGTAATAGTGGTTCAGAGGTGGAGGAGGTGTTATTTGCTTTAAAATCGTTCCTTCGTTAAGTTATACCTCCAATTGTAGCTTCAGTAGCCTCTTACTTCGATTTTATTATTAGAACCTTCGTGGAATAAGAATATAATATTAATATAGTCAAAGATATATCGATTTCGGAGGCAATAGAGCTTAGAATAAAAGGTAGTGTTTTAAAGACGATTCAGAAGCAATTAAAGCCATTTAAGAAGTAGTATAATTAACAAGCTCTTATTTAGGAAAATGACGAACTCGACGAAGGCGAAGATAAGGGTAACGATAGAGAACACAAGGAGTAAGTTTCAGTAGTATTTACAGCTATAGTTTCTGCGTAGTTTCTGTTTAATTAACCCTTATTCTATATTAACTTCGTCACCTTCTTTAATCGGTACGCCTTGATAGCCTGAATAGCGAAAGTAGCCTCTAGCTCTACGTTCAGCGTTAGCTCCCACTCCAACTGACCTTACAGCTGTTATTAAAAAGCCTTTAAATTCCTCCCAGGTATACTCACTCTAGCGCTAGTATCTCCTAATTCACGATTTTAGGTCTGCGAAGCTCTCTTCGATAGAGTTGAAAAAGGGGCAATATAGAGGGAGATATTCGAGTTAAAGACTAAAGGCTACACAGAGAGCTGATACTTAAGGGTTACTATGGATTGACGTGTTATCTATTATTACTACCTTAATTCTAAGCTCTACGTATTTAGGTAAGATACTCTTTTCTAGCTATTCGGTGAAGATTTCAGCTGTAATCGAGCCTTGGTATATTAACAGCTGATAATAACTATAAAGTGAGTACGTAGGGAGAATCGACTACCTTGTCAACTATTTAAGTACTCTCTAAACCTCTGTAGAAGCTCCCCTAGGAGCCTATCTTCTACGCCTATCTATTATATACTTATTACAGGCTAATTCGTCGATAAAGCATAAGTCCCGGGCCTCCTAAAACACTATCTTTCGCCTCTAAGCCGCGATTAATTCGTTATTCCTTTGACTCGTAGAGACCTTAAGTACTTTCTTAGTATAATTAAGCCTTTAGAGAGCCTTAGAGACCTAATTAACTAACACATCAACTTCATAGGCCTCCTATAGATACGCTGCGATTTCGTCCTAATATAAATCTAGCTTCCTCTTAAGTAACGCCTTAATATATTCGCCTATATCATTAGTAATAACAGGTAGAAGGCCACGGCGACAACGTTCCGAAGGTGATATCTGACGATCCAGAGTCTATTTCCGCTTACATATCGTCTTATATGTCGTTCTAAACTCTCTAGCAAGAGCTCGTAAGTTAATATTAACTCCATAGGATAATATTCGGTCGATATTCGATACTTTCCAAGCTAGCAAGTTCAGAGCTATGACGTCAGATAGCTCGCAGGCTCAGGTTCGAATATTCAAGGCAAGAGCTTTAAAATGACCTAATTCCGAAGAAAATCGATAGAGATTTAATAGAGTTGTGGAGGTTACAATTCTAGGTTATTATATTTTAGTGGGGTCTACAGTAAAAGTCGGTGAGTCGGCGTTATTTACCGAAGAATCACGCCAAACTGAAGAATGGCTTATATGGAGATGCCCTCGTCGTCGCATGTCCAAGTTGGGGCCTTTCAAGGAACGTCGAATCGGAATGTCCCGTCCTTCCGTTGGTGGGGCATCGTCAACCTCACTCCAGCCGCGTGTTCTGGCGTTGTGGTTTTCCTTCCAGAACCCAAAAATTACAGCCGGCCGAGGTGCAGGTGCAACAGTGACGGAACGCACCACTCGAGCTGGACTTGAGCCTTCTTTCCCCATGACACCTACTCCATGATACTATATACTAGTAGAAACAATGGGACAAGGACAGTCCAACGGCGGCGCACAACACGCCTCCACCGAGCAGCTAAGCCATGAACTCGTACGGACAAACTACCCCTCCATCATCCCACCACAGCTAACATCTCCCAGGCTATAAAGTTTGCAAAACGCTGCTTTACCCCTCTCGAACTCTACTCGTTCCAAGATGTCTTCAAAAGCCTCGCAGACCACCAAGACCACATCTCCTACCTCAAAGAAGACACCATTGCGCGCTTTCTCGAGATCCCGGATATTCTAGGCGCATCCTCTATAATCTTCCAGATGGTGTCATATCTAGGCGCATTCCCATTCGGACAAGATGCGCCGGTAGTTTTGGGGTTTGAGCAGATGATAATGGTGGTTGTGATCATGACGGAGAGATACCAGCGGGTGCTGAAGAAGGGGAATAGGGATCGAACGAAACTGCTGTTTCGGAGTCTGGCAGTCTACGATCGAGGGTCACAGAGTGAGGACAAACAGGAGGATACACCGGCTATAGAGCCCAGGAAGAATCATGTCCAAAGATTTGCCGTGGATGAAGCTGCGAATGATGAGGAGGAAGAAGATGACGATGATCTGGCTTTGGCGGCACTGGAATCACTGGACGCAATCGACGTCTTCAGACATGGAGATGCACCGATAAACCAAGCTTCTATACCTTCCGATAACCTCAAGAAACTCATAATGCTACTCCTCCTGATAGCACCTCTCTCGACACAAGAAAGTCTAGCACGACACGCAGAAAGACTATCAGGCGACCAACTGGAAGGACTTCGCAAGACAGCAGACAACATCCTGGCGGCGTTTGTGAACGTGGAGAAGTTCCCTGGTGTGAAGATCCACCAATTCAATACTGTGATACCCATTTCATTGCCATTTCTGTTCAATGGATTTAACCCGTTCTTTGAGCATTTCCTCTTCTCTAAGAATGTCGATTTTACAAAACGGAAAGATTCGTCTGCTGCGCCGTTACCTCCACCGGATCTGGTGATGGATCAACCGCTTTTGCCACAGACAGGAGAGATCTTGGATTTGAATGTGTTGTCACAGCTATCTTTCTTTCTGCCTGGTGCTTCGCTGTTCAGACAGTTACGATTGTTGTATTCTGGTGGAGATGCAGGCTTCTCCATGGGCAGCTTTGAGACCAAGGTGTTCAACTGGAGAGCTCCAACCATCCTCATAGTCTCGGGGAATAGGATATCTGATCCACCAGAAGGTCAAGAGCGAGTTTTTGCAGATACATTACCACCGAAACGATTCCCAGATAGCAGCAAATCGACTCGTGTAGTATTCGGAGTCTACACAGCCCAGCATTGGCGGCAAACGCATAAAGAGTGTTTTGGAGATACCGACACTCTTCTCTTCCAGCTTGAGCCTGTTCACGAAGTCTTCCACGCCTCGTCACTAAATAAAGACTACATCTCCTTCAGCAAACCACCCAGCGCCCACTCGGGAATTGCATTCGGATGTCCGCACCCCAAAGCCAAACAAACCGCCGGACTCAGTACCCACGTAAATCTGGGCGCCGTCTCACTCCTTCTCGACTCCTCGTTCGAGTTCGGGGTCTTCACTCACAATTATACCTCTGGAGGGGGTGCCTTCCACAACAGCGAGACGAGGAAGTACGATTTCCAGGATCGGTTCGAGGTGGAGAGTTTGGAGGTTTGGGGTTGTGGAGGGGATGCGGAGGCGGAGCAGCAGAGGCAGAGGTGGGCTTGGGAGGAGAGGGAAGCGGAGGCGAGGAGGAGGGTTAATCTGGGGACGGGGGATATTGAGGCTGATAGGGCGTTGTTGGAGATGGCGGGGTTGATCGGAGGGAACAGGAGTGGTGGCAGTATGAATGGATGATGGATATGAATGATTTTGGCGTTACATTGGATAGAACCATGGACGAGTGATATAGATGATCGAAATATAGTAATGACCAATACGAGTCGTCGAATAGCTTGATTCATGAAAGGTGTTTCGGACTGAAAGTGTGTTGATATTGGCCGTAGGAGCTAGAACGTTCTGCTAGAGCTGAGCAAAAGGAACTGCTCCGTATTCATTGGACAGTTCAAGAGTTTCACCAAATATCAAATACGGTACATAAGTCTGTCACTTTCACCTCAGCCTTGTTATGATTTGAGGAAGAGAAGCATCCAGCGAACGTGCAAGTTAATCCGCCCGGAGGATCACCCCTGCACAGAGCTCTTCCGCCAAGGCCGAAATCGCGGGGTCCACTGACACAATTTCGAGCTCCATCACAACTTAGTCGAGTCACTCTCCCTGGCCACCATTCCAACACAACCACATCTCACCCAGAGCAATTGACTCAATTGCACCACATACACGATGGAGAACGGCGTCAAAGTCAACGGCGAGACGCCGAATAGCAGCAGACCGCGAACACCAAGCTTGAACTCCTTTTCACTAACTGAATACACCACTATGCCTTCACCGCCGAGCGAGAGTCCAGTCTCGAAGATCAAGGGCGTGGTGCCAGAGGAGTTTATCCTGCCTAATGGATATCCAGATGTATGGGTTTTAGTCTCTTGGGATTTATTTGTGCTGGTCAATTGCTAACTAAATCAACCAACAGTACCTCCGTCTTATCCTCACCTCCCGCGTCTACGAAGTCGTCGAAGAAACGCCCCTCACGCCCGCCACAAACCTGAGCAACAGACTCGAATGCAAGGTCCTCCTCAAGCGCGAAGATCTACAACCAGTATTCAGCTTCAAGCTCCGCGGAGCCTACAACAAGATGGCGCATCTAGACCCCAAAGTCAGCTGGAAAGGAGTGGTAGCTTGTTCGGCTGGCAACCACGCCCAGGGCGTAGCGTACTCTGCTAGGAAATTGAAGATTCCGGCTACAATTGTGATGCCAGAGGGGACACCCAGTATCAAGCATTTGAATGTGTCACGGCTGGGGGGTTCTGTGGTGCTGCATGGTGCGGATTTTGACTCTGCGAAGGAGGAGTGTGGGAGGTTGGAGAAGCTCCATGGGTTGACGAATATTCCGCCGTTTGATGACCCGTATGTTATTGCGGGGCAGGGGACTATTGGCATGGAGTTGTTGAGGCAGACGAATATACAGAAACTGGAGGCTATCTTTTGCTGCGTCGGAGGTGGAGGGTTGATTGCCGGAATTGGGGTTTATGTCAAGCGGATTGCGCCGCATGTTAAGATTATTGGGGTGGAGACTTATGATGCCAATGCGATGGTGCAGTCATTGGCTAAGAAGGAGAGGGTTGTGTTGAAGGAAGTTGGGCTTTTTGCAGATGGAGCTGCTGTCAAGACTGTAGGCGAAGAGACATTCCGAGTTTGTATGGATGTCGTAGACGAGGTCATTCAAGTCACAACCGACGAAACCTGCGCAGCTATCAAGGACGTCTTCGAAGACACACGCTCTATTGTCGAGCCAGCCGGAGCGCTTGCCCTTGCCGGTCTCAAGAAATACGTCGCCGCCAACCCCTCACAAGACACATCCCGCAACCTGGTGGCCATCGCCTCAGGAGCCAACATGAACTTCGACCGACTACGCTTCGTCGCCGAACGAGCCGCTCTAGGAGAGAAAAAAGAAGCACTCATCAGCGTCAGCATCCCCGAGAAACCAGGCGCCTTCTCCGAACTCATCAAAGCCATCATGCCACACATGGTCACAGAGTTCTCATACCGGTACGCCACCGACGCCGTAGCCAACGTCCTGATCGGTCTCTCTCTCACATCTCCGGCCTCGCAACGAGACGCCGAACTCGCCTCCCTCTTATCACGAATCTCATCCAGCGGCATGACACCCGTCGACCTCTCCGGCGACGAGCTCGCAAAATCCCACATCAGATACCTAGTCGGTGGCCGCTCAGGCGTGCCTCACGAACGACTCTACATGTTCAATTTCCCCGAGCGGCCGGGTGCGCTAGAGAAGTTCCTCACCACACTGAGACCGCGGTATAACATCAGTTTGTTCCAGTACCGCAATGCGGGGAGCGATGTGGGCAAGATTTTGGCGGGGATTGTGTGTCCGGATGGTGAGTTGAGGGAGCTGGAGAGCTTCTTGAGGAGGATTGGGTATCCGTGGGAGGATTGTACGGAGAGTGCTGTTTTCAAGACTTTCTTGAGGTCGTGAGTCTGGGTGGGTGGGGGGAGGAATGTGTATTTGGATAAGGTAGAGTTGAAGGGAGGGAATCTGAGGTTAGCTTGGCGTTTAGGTAGGATTGGTATAGAGGCGCGTGGTGTTTTTGAAATACAATGGTAGGGGAACTTTTGTCACTTAAAATAGAGATGTTCAATTCAAGAATCGAAGATTTAATGCATTTACTGTATCCTACCTCTCCATTGGTTGTTGTCTTCCAAGAGTGCTTTTACCGAACCTATTTTTGCCTGGCAATCCAGGCCTAAACTAAACTCACCTCGACCTCCGCCAAGACCCAAAATTCGAGATCCACTCCACCTCAAGCTCTCTCTCCAAACCACCATCTGCTGCAACACACCTCTCCCAATACCGTTGCACTGAAAACCCACGCCAGGTTCGAAAATGATACCACTCACCTCCCTCCTTCGCACCGCGCGCGTGGTCTTCCCTTCATTCTCAATTCGACAATGCACAGCCTCTTCCTCCGCCCTCAGATCCACATCCACCTCGATCGCGGCCCGCACATTGAGTGCGACGAGAGCGTTTTCTGCGATGAGTTTGGGCTCGAGTAGGCCGATGATATCTGCGATGGGTTTGGGGGCATTGAAGCAAGGGCAAGGACAAGTGAGAGGGATGAAGGTTAGGAGTTCGGTGAAGAAGCTTTGTGAGGGGTGTAAGGTATGTTGATTTGGCTATCTTTTTGGTGGTGTGAGAGACTTGGAACGGAGATTGGGAGATTGAGAGATTGAGAAATGGGAGAGGGGGAATGGGAGGGGGAAGGTGAAGAAGGAAAAGAGGAGGTAGAGGGCGAGATGGAGGAGAGGATGTTTCGGCTTAGATGCTGGGATTTGGTCGTTGGGAGCAGGCATGCTTTGCAGCTTCTATTGTGTTTCGTTGACATTTGCGGATAAGAGAAAAGTAGTGTACAGATGCTAATTACATTTACAGAGTGTACGCAGGAAAGGAGGCAAGACGGGAAAGGGCCATGTGTATATCATCTGCTCGTTGAACCCGAAGCATAAGCAACGGCAGGGGAAGTAGGGATTGGGTTGGAATGGAATTGGGGTGATGCGCGCGACTGCTTGAAGGTGCTATGGCTAGGAAGGGACCAACGCTACAGCATGAGTGAGGAGTGAGGTCGGAGAATTGAAGGGCAAGGGGAAGAGAGGATAATGTACAATACAGCATTGTATGCATGGGCTGGCGTTTGGGATTCTAAGTGTTGAGATTACAAGATGGATAAGTGTACGAAGATAGACAGGCGGTCTTGGGAAGGATTTATGGGCCCGACTTTACTGTCGAGGTCGTGTATTGCATTTGCACTAGAGACCATTATACCCCTCTATATCCCGCTTGGAGCAGTTTTCGTCTAGTGAAGCCCCCCAAGAAGTCTTTGGCCAATCCTGTGTGTGGCAATGTCGCAGAATATGGACGTCCGTCTGACCAGACTAGATATCCTCATAACCCATCAATATACCTCTCCATAGTCTCCCATTGTGTCTTCCCCGTCGATATAAGGTATCTGATCTGTGTCTGCATTCACCTCGTCAGCATATAATCTCTCGTTCACAGTCCCCACTTCCTCTCGTTTCTTGCTCGTCCTCTCTTCCTGCAACTCCCCTCCCTCTCTCATTTCCATTCACCCCTCAATCCTGTGCCATCCCATCTCCACCCCCTTCTTTACACCAGGAACGAGCATTAAAGAGAAAACACAACGTACAATATCCTTAACCCGCCTATTCCTCACAAACTCCTCCTTCGCAAACCTCAACGTCTCCGCTTTCGTGCTAGGATCGGAGATCTTCTTGCAGCCGCGGACGATGTCGCGCCAGAGGGAGAGGGCTTTACTGCGTTGGAGGAACTAAAAACACCTCATACTATCAGCCATGAAGCCATACTCATTAGGCAAATACCCAGGGTATGTTTGTACAGAAGCGTTGTATTTCTGGGGGATATTGGAGAGAGTTCGCAGGCGGGGAGAACATACATGGTCCAACGAAATCGTGCTCTCGAGTCTACTGGGTCGTTTCCTAGCTTGTGATGCATAAGTCCGACATATTGGACGCAGGAATTGCAGCTGCAAGTGCCGTTGCAATTGTAGTTGTAATTGCATTGGGCATCGCATCTGCTTTGATATGCTGCTCCGCTGTGTTCTGGCGTTGTGGTTTTACTTCCAGAACCCAAAAATCACAGCCGGCCGAGGTGCAGGTGCAGCAGTGACGGAACTGGTGCATGAGGCTTGGCGCTGATCGGGCAGGGTTAATCGCGTCGCCCAGCGCGTCGGAGTTTGGAGGAGTTTTCACGACATCACGAGAGGATTTTGACAGATTGGGAGGTGATTGATATTGAGATTGGGGATTGATGACTGGAGATGGCTGAGATTGATTATATTGAGGTTGCGAATAAGAAGAGTTTGGAGGGGTTTGTGGAAAGCTATTTTCCTGGGTATGTTTTTTTATTGACCCCGCCATCATCACGCCTGTTTTTTGAGAACATGGCGATGAAGAAGAAAACAGAACTTGGTTCTCTCTCGGCCTTGCATTAGTTCATCTTCAACATATATCTCTAATAAACTTCACAGAACCGCCTGGAAAAAATGGACCCATCCTAAAACTTCAACAACCTACACACTATCCCTACAAACCGCCTCCGCACTCTCACCATCCGACTTCACAGCATGTTTCAACTTAATTGACACCACCAGCTCAGAAGACTACCGCAAATCCAAAGATGGATGGAAACCCAAAGCGAAGAAACAGGAGATGAAGCTGCTGGATTTGAAGTATTTGCTTGTGAAGAGGGATGAGAAGGTGGAGGGGTTCGTGTCGTTCATGCCGACCTACGAGGATGGGTACGCGGTGGTTTATTGCTATGAGATACATCTTGGAGAAGAGCTGAGGGGGTGAGTGTCGATCGCTTAAAAGTCCTGTGTTTGAGTCTTCTTTTGATCTTCATTCGCGCCGAGGGAAGGATGCTGACTTCAGGTAGAACTGGGCTGGGCAAAACGCTCATCCAGCATCTCGTTGCTATTGCGAAAGCAATCCCATCAACGGAGAAAGTCATGTTAACGGTGTTCACGCGAAACGAGCGAGCTGTTGCTTTCTATGCAAAGCTGGGGTATACCAAAGATGAGTATTCCCCTCCGCCACGAATCCTGAGGAATGGGACGGTGGTGGAGGCGGAGTATGTCATTTTGAGTAAGGCTATTTGAGCATTTGATAGAGGCGTTTGGCGTTGGTTGTAGGGACTTCAAGAATAAGCTTCACCATGTTTTACAGTATGAGACTCGCGTCTTCACTCCTGGAGACAACAATGAAGCAAATAAACACATGGCAGCAACATCACATGGCAGCCAGCTCTTGGGAATGTTTGCCAAGGCGTGTCTGGTAAGCGAGTTGCTCCTTTTCACTCGTTTCGGTACCGTATTCGAGGACCGGAATAGTAGGACTGTCTTATTGCCAATAAGCTTTACATGAAACGTTTATCTTTCTTGGTCCAAGCTATCTGCGATCACGTTCCCGATAACAGAAATGAGTAGATGTGTTGATTGTGAAAAATCCTGAGACCGGTCTAGGTAAGGCTTCCTCCTCACTTCTGCTGGGAAACCCAAGCTTGTTGCAATACTGTACGTAAGACGAGGATGACGTTAAGTTTAACTGTAGAAAAGGTACAACGAAAAAAACCATGGAGCATGTGAACCTTCCCCAGATTCCACTGGTTTGAGGTCCTGGTCGACCATGTGAACGTCTTAATATCGAGCCAATTTGATTGGGGATACTGTAGCGAACTGGATTCCATCGGATACACTACCCATAGAACGCAGACACTAAATCGCCAAATGTAGGCTTTTATCATGTGAAATGATTCAACACGAGGCAGTAAGCATCGCGCCAAGAGCATAGCCCTATCATCCCAACCACTGGCGTCCCAAACTTCAAACCCACTGGTCAAGTTCCACAAAGGGCTGAAGGATGCACCAGTTCGGAAAATACTAGCTTAAGTTTACTTCCACCCCCAAATCTCACGCAAACGGTATTTACCGCCAAGAAGGTGACCCCTTACTTCTCATTCCAACCAGTCACGAAGTGGGATGTAAACGCTAGTTTCATCGGACGTTGAAAAGGGGCAAGGCTGACGCCACAATTTTCTCAGCCGTACAACACTTTTCGTTCGGCTTGGGGGCATCCCTGACAAGGGCAAGGCTGCATTCCTCCCCCATAGCAGTAAACCCATGATATTGGGATTTCCTTCATCTCCCCCAGCCCGACGAGTTTAAGCAATGTGTCGGGGGCCCGTGCTGTGGTGCGGCTGTGAATCCTAGTGGTGGCATGTTAGGGAGTTAGGTATAATTCGGTTAGCTGGGAGGATGTAGTTGTTTTTTTTTTTTTTGTTTGGGTCCCGTGCTTGGCTGGGTGCTATTCTGGTCGGTGGAGATGAAGTGATGGTGGTGCTAGGCTGCTTATTGGGTGTGTTGGTGTCGATCGGGATGCTTTGAGTTTGGGAGGAGGAGGAACATGAGGAGCATGGGGTCCAGCTGTGAGTGAGTGTGAGTGAGACTGCTTTTAAAAGGTTGTGGTTTCGCACTTTTGGGTGTTGTTCTGTTGCATTCCTCGTCCTTAAAGATTTTGTCGTTCCCTTGAGAAACACTTCTCTTTCGATTCTGCAGCTTCATATATATTCCAACCGTTTATCTTATATCTTAATCTTTCACACTCCAAACAGTCAAAATGAATGACACCAAGGCCCCCATCACTGAGCAGCCAGCTGCCCATGCTCAACCACAACCTACATACATGAAGTACAAGGAGCAAACTGGTACCGAGGAGTGGAACAATGATATCTGGGACTGCTTCAAGGGAGCTGATAATCTCTGTATGGCCATGCTTCTTGGCTTTGACCAATAGATATGTTACTGACCACAACGACTATCAGGCCTGAAGGCAACTTTCTGCTCTTGCTTTGTATATGGACGAACCCAAGCTCGCTTGAGAGATCCCACACTTGCTGGATATGAGAGAATCAACAATGATGTAAGCTGACCACTCCTACATATTGAGTCTCTGTACTAACAAAATTGCCAGTGTCTCATGTTCGCCGGTCTGAACTGCTGCGGTTTGGGATTCATGTACGTGCTTCTTCTCTTCCCCTCCATTTCCCCTAACCCAGTTTTCCCATCCTCTCCCTGAACACAAAGCTGATTTAGCCTCCCTCTCAGTCTCGAATTTCTCAAGCGCTCCGAAATCCGCGCCAAGTACGCCATCCGCGGCGACGCCTTGACCGACGGTCTCCTCTCTTTCTGCTGCGGCTGCTGTTCGATTATCCAGGGTGAGAAAGAGGTGATTGGTCGTCAGCAGGCTGCTGGTCTCAATCAGGGATATACTGCACCACAGGGGATGCATGCTGCTCCTCAGTAAATGAATGTGGAGAACAGTGCAGGAGGGGTGGATGAGAGGGGTTTGGTGTAATGGTATGGATTTGGATATGGGAGGTGTCATTTTTTGTGTTCGAGTATGCTGGGCTTGATACCAATTTAATTTCAAGATTGTTTGCCTGCTCCCTGACGCTGGAGGTTTTACTGTCCCTGTTTCGTGCTTTGCCATCCCACTTCTTGCCTACCATCTTCTTCTCCATGTCTGACGTGTTATCGCCCTGTCGACTTATCAGCTCCGTGAGAAGACGACTCTCTACAGTCGCTGGATTTTTCAACACGACTTCGCGCCATGGATGTCCAGAGGAGTGGATGACGTGCACGTGATCACTCCCCTCTTTGTTGTTTTTGCCACTCCAGAAGCGAGACGTCAAGCCTCAAGGGCCTTCCGTGCGATATATTGCATACATTCTGCACTCTATGTTTGGTTATCTCGAAACATCCGAAGATGAGTCGCTCTATGCCCTATTTCAAGCTAGTCCCATGCAATGTAGCTCGGATCTCCCCTTCCCATCCAGTCCACCAGTAAAGGCTTTGAGCAGAAATAATCCTTCAACTAGTCCACCACGAGTAAGCAGCCTTAGTTATATTCGCGAGAGACTTCTCCTCCGGGCCCCTTTCTTCATCCCACGCACCTGGTAATGCTAGCATGAGAGAATTTTTGTAGACACCATTCTGACCGGCAGAGTTCTCTTGAGTAGCTGCATTCACCATTTCTCGATCCACCATAGGCTGGACCATCGAGACGGTTGTAATATGGTCTTCGACACTGGGGTCTGGAATATCAGGTTGAGACTTTAGAAGCCAGTCCTCGTCTTTCAATGAGTCTTCTAGTTCCCCGACTCTCGCTTTCCCTGTCCTCTGCTACAGCTAGATTCTGGCTTGGGGGAGTTGTCTTTCGGGCGTTTTGCCTTCAGGCTTCTTTACTCTCTCATTGGCTGCTGAAGAGGATGGCAGAGAGCTATCAGCAGTAGGACGAGTTTTCCTAGGGATCTGACAGCCTACATAAAGCAAATCTCCTTGGCCGATATGCCCGGGAGGGAAGGACGTAAAGTGGTTTACGAGAGCTGAAGGCAAGTTCTGGGGCGGGTTGTCTCGAAGGCGGGTTGCGAAGGCAGAGAATTGCTTCCAGATCGAAGTCTTGGGCAGTCGATTATCCTCGACTAAAGGGTAGCAGTCCAAGTCAGTAAATTCGATGGGAGGTCTATCCCAAGTTGCCAGAACATCATGTTCAAAGTTATCGATAACGTCGTCCCATGTTTCTCTGCACAAGCATTGGGGAGCTACCCCACGATGTTGTTGTTGTGCTAGGGAAGACACGACAAACTTTGCGCCCAGTATAGTTCCAGACGTCAAACTTCTGGTGTCTTTTGATGACGTATCAAACTTCCATCTGAGCTCCATTAAGATGACGAATAAGTGGTGTAACCACTGACGTGGCGGGTAACTTGCTGGACTCGTCACGATTGCCTGAAAATCCACCAGCCCTTTGGTCCACCGGCTGAAGACCACTTCGATGACTTCATGCTGGAAACAGATATCCCAAAAATTATGAGGCAGATCCTCGGCTGCATTTGAGGGAGGCCAGAGAAAACACTTCTTTAAAGAATGAATCGCCTGTCGTGTGGTATCTTTGATCAAGAAACTCTTCATCTTTCTATGATACCAGAATTTGTCTAGCCAGCCTTGGAATTGGTCATCTGGAATAACGGCCTGGAAGAAAGACCTCGGTATAACTTGGAAGACATTCTCCATGGAAAAGCTCAACGCCGTAAGAACCGTCAATTGTACAAGGTCACGCGTTTCAATTTCGATCATCGAGACCTGATTGTCGTTGACAAACTGTTTCGGTATGCTGACGTGCTTTCGTAATCTGAGGTTCCAATATACATAGCATGTGTCATTTTCCATGCACAGCTTGAGCATTTTGAGAGTAATGTGTAGTGATCTGGAGAAGCTAGCGTGTTCCGATTTTCGTCAAGTATGACTTCCTGATGATCTTTTCCAGCACCATGCTCCCGAGATAACTCATTGATGTCAGTCACCTGTACTTCTACGCATTCTTTTGATGAGCAGGGAAGATCTTGAGGCTCCTTCAACTGTGCTGTTTCTCGTTGTGGTGAACATTCTTGAAGACGTCGCCTCTTCGGTACGTGCTCTGCACGCAGCTCAAGCTTTCGCACATCTACAGGCTCAGGAAGATATTGATATGCTGCGAGCTCTGGATCAAGTGAGTCATCCAAGGTATAGTCACCATGTAGTCGTTTGGATTGAGGCATGTTTGTGACCATGAGTACAATTGTCCAAAGGTGTTGATCTGAGATTCTTGTCTGTCAGCAATGTATTCTCTTCTTTTCTGCAGAGAAAGATTACTGGTGCAAAACTCCACTGAGGACCCGACACGGCTTAGGGCTCAAGCTTGGTAGACTTGGCGTCCACGAAGAGATCGGAGGACGGTTTGAGGGTGAGGGATTGAGGTGATGAACCCCCACCAAGCCAACCAAGATCGAGATCGACGCAATGAAGATGGTCCTCCCTTGGAATAGTCGAGTTGAGGAGAACGCAGCTCCAAAACTCGCAGATAGGCTCAATGATAATTTTAGCTCGTACTCGTGCCCCACGGGTCTTCAAGCTCAACAGTCGAAGGTGAAGACTTGCTCCGGTATAGAGTCAATGGGCAACTCTAGTCTGACATGGAGAAGGAGGCAGCGATGTTCACCGGTTCTTGCCTGGGGAGAATTGAGACAGCTGACTGGAGCTTAGAAGTGCATTGAGATATGTCGATTTTGAGCTGTCGATGTTGAGTTGTCGAGGTTGTTCGATATTCTCAAGCTGCGAATGGAAAGTCTATAGATCGCCAACACCTCACTCCGCATTCGCTAAATTATGACGGCTCCAAATATGGTGAATTCAGGTCCTGCAGTCAGGCGGGTGCGGACAAGAAAGATGCAATAGAAGAAGTCAAAAGTGAGCAGAATTATAATCGTTTTTTTGAATTATCGACTGGAAATAGATCCTGGAGGAAGAGCGATGGCAATGAATTGTGGTTACTGAGGGAAGGCACTCAAGAAACGAGGAAATCACAGAATGGAGGAGGAGATTTATAGACTTGTTCAAGATACCGAAGTAGCCAACTCTTTTGTTTAGAATTACAGAGTGTTATGGTTTTCTCCGGACTCTACGGAGCATATTGCCGAGCGGATGGTCCGTCTGACGTGCTTTGACTCCATTCACTAGAGCCAACGAAAAGTATCCCAAAGCCTCTAGTCACCAGAATCCCTCTTCATTTCTCTGAGACACTTCATCATCGGCCTCGATGACGCCTTACAGGCACTCATTGGTACTGGTGACTTCCTCCGCTTCTTTCCCAGCTTCAGGCACTGGGTTCTTCATACGACCAGCGAATCCAGGTGGGTTATCCTGGAAGTGCTGCCGAAGCGACGGTGGGAAGAGCTCGGGGTCTCGTTGACGGAGATCAGCTGTGAAGCGCCGAAGGAACTTCCACTTTGCCGATTTATCTGTGATGTTCATCTTTCCGAATCCAGGAGTGCATTCCACAGACCTGTAGTCAAGCCTAAGTCCCTCCCCTGTGGCAGACGAGTTTATTAGCGCCGAACTTGGAAAGAAAGCTCTAGATAATGAACGTGGTATATCCTGAGAATTGGAAGAAAAAAGCATTGAAGAATACCCACATGTGCTCAAAACATCAGCCTCGAAATGCTCAATCACTTCCTCCCAAGACTCTCGTGCCAAGCAATTCCTAGCCGCACCTATGCTGGAAATCTGCCGAGAAAGAGTACAGGACTTCGTAATGTCTTCTGAATGGAGTCTGAATCTGAAAGTAATCTCTAAGAGCACAATATAAACATGCCAGAGCCATTTGGAGAGGACAGATTCGGGATTCAACATGATCTTGCGCAGATCGAGGACACCAGATCCATGCCAACCACCAAACACCAGCTCCACAATATCAGGAACAAAGTACAACTCCCACATCTCCTGCCTCAGCTGGAACGAAGCTTCGGGTGGAGGCCACAATCCACATTTCCCAAGTCTCACAGCTGCGTATGTTGGTCCGTCTTGAATAAACTGCCTTTTGACGACGTTCTTGCTCCAGCCGCGGAAGACAGATGAGTTTTTTTGCTGGTTGCGAACTCCTTGAGGCAGAATAACATCCAACACCTCATTGGGGATGGTTTTGGATAACTCTTCATGAGTGATCTCGGTGGCTGTAAAAGCGAGTACACGGCAGATCCGGATGATTAATTTGCCGAGGTGTATATTCGTGCCCCTTCCTGGCAAGTACACCAGCATCAACTGTTGTTTGGCGGTGTTCCAGTAGAAAGGCGTTCCTTTCTCAACGGTGTAAAGGGTGAAGGACTCGAATTTTCTACCTTGGCGAGGCGTGAGAATGTCCATGGCGAGTAATTCTTCTCGAAGCTTTGCCGCAGTGGACGCCAAATCAGTGATAGCACTTGCTGAGCTATAGGATGAGGCGCTCGGCTTCTTGGGAAAATTTCCGTCTACTTTTGTAGGAGGACCTTCCAACATTGGGTCTGTAGTAACGGGAGCAGTTTCGAGTACACGCAACGACTCGCAGGTCTTGGTTGCTTCATCTTCATCCACGATCATGGGATCTTCAACTATTGCCTTCGTATCAACCTTTTTGTCGTCCAGAACCTGCAAGGACTCCCAAGACTGGCTTAACTGATTGAGACCAGTGTTTTCAGAAAAGCTTGTGGCATGGCGACTTCAAGGCTATAGTCATGGATATAATCTGCGTAACTTCGCTTGTGAGACATACTCAAGGGTGCTGCATGGCAATAAGCATTAGTCCAGATGCAGTAGGCAGATTAAATAGTTGTTCGCACCGATGAGGCTGGGTTCGACTCACTCGTGTTTTGGTTTCCCTGAAATCTATCCTTTGACGATGCTTGATTTTCGTAGAATCTTCTTGTGCAGGACACTCGCAGACTGACTTGAACGATATCGATCTTACTCCATGGTAACCGAGACAGTCTCCTTTGTTGGCAGACTAGATCGAACTTTGGCTGCTGACGCGTTGTTGAGTTTCGAAGGTGAACATCAACAAATTATTCTCGCTTGCAGAATTGCAACTGCTGAGAACCACGCAGAAGGTGTCTTGTAAAGGCGTCGAAGTCACATCCAGGGCGTCACTCGTTTGTGATCCTTTCAGACAGGACAAAATATGCTGTGCCGTAGCCCGCCTGGCAGATTACTTGAGCTGCAGAAGTGAAGAAGTCTATGGGAAAATTGATTGTGGTTAACTTCGTCTCGCTTAGTCTCAAGATGAATACTTTCTGCCAGCAAAGCCGGACGCGATCACGGAGCCTTGACGAATACAACATTGCCAAAGCTGAAGTCGTCATCTTTGTTCTCAAACAGATGCTTTCTGTGCTTCAATACTATGTTCTTCTCGGAGCTAAAACCATTGTTGCGCAGGAGATAGCTTGCAGTTGAACCACTTTGGTCCCAGTTTTTATCAAATTAGCAGATTAACAAGATATTGACAGGCACTGGCAGGCAGCTTGAATCTTAGTTAAGAGATGATCCAAATCATATTTGGGTGATGAAAAAGTACTCCATCCGAGCTAGCGTGATGCTGACTCTTCGTGAATTCGGTGGTCACAGATATCCCACAAGCAATTCATTGAAATCCCATCGCGCAGTATATAAATTCTGGGAAGACAACATACCCATTGCGCAAAGGCCAAATTACTGTAGCCTGGCAACATGAGGGGCGGGCGTACTTATTTGGCCCAGAACAGTATACTGTTGCGTGTTCAATTGTGAAGTTCATTCCCGAAGGGTGGTCCGCCTTGCTTGATACAAAAACGAAATTAGTAAAAAGTTCATTGCTGAATGACGACCCACAGGTAGGTAGGTAGGTAACGCCCAAGAAGACGACAGCGTGACCAAAGAAAAATTGAGGAAGTCGAACTGAACTTACCTTAGAAGTGATGTTTTTTTTGTCCAAGAAATTCAAATATTATTTGCTGGCTACTTCCCCAGCACGTGCCGTCCGCTTCCAATCACAGGGCCCCAGTGACATTCCCCAAGATCTCGGCAGAGACGCCTCATCTTCAATTAAATTCTAACGACAACCCCGACTTGCAAACCTGCCCCTGATATACTCGAGAAAGCGTCATATCGATGGCGATCAGAAAATGGCATCCGGGCCAGCTTGGAAAGCGGCTCTGGGAGGTGGTCGAGCAAGGCTGGTATCTGGGTTTCACAGCGTTTGGAGGCCCGCCTGTTCATTTTAAGATTGTCAGTACTTGGAGCCCAAACAAATTATTACCGTTTGAACATATCGCTAATATCCTCTAGTTCCACGATAAATATGTTGATAAATTAGGATGGATTGATGAGCAAATGGTATGTTTTCTATCATTTTCGGCATTCAATGTTGATGCTGGCCCTGCATCGGTTATGAGTCGGATTTCGGCAGCACTCTTCCTCTGGCGTTCGGGAGAATTTAATAGCCTAGAATATTCGTGGCCACGGAGTACTGATAATATATAGTACCAAGAGCTTTTCGCAGTCTGCCAGGCATTTTCGGGACCCGGAAGCACAAAGATGCTGTACTGCTTGAACCTCATCCACGATGGATTCATCCCCGCCGTCGTCGCACTACTTATTTGGTCGTGAGCGCTTCTCCCCACCCCCCTCCAAATTCTAAGCTCAAAACTGCAGGCTTCCAGGTGCCCTTGGAATGTATGGCTTCTCAGTAGGGGTATCCAATATTGGCGAAACCCTGCCTCGACAAGTGTACGCGTTGCTATCAGGACTAAATGCTGCAGTCGTTGGGATCATCGCTCTTGCAGCTGTGCAGCTTGCTCAGAAAGCTATCACTGATAGAATCACCAGGATCTTGGTGTTTCTCGGAGCCACGGCTGGCCTGATGTACAACGCCTTGTGGTATTTTCCATTGCTGATGTTGCTTGGTGGGAGTGCTTCTGTTATATTCGACTACCGATTACTTCATCCCGCTGTCAAGTGGGCCATAAATCTCAGACAAAGGAACACTGCAGCAAATGAGGAGAATGGAACAGGATTACCGACTCTTGTATCGCAGCCTACGACAGGAAAACCTGGAGATGACATCGAAACAATAGCACAAGAGCCATCTAGCTCAGCGGCAGGCACCAACAAGACAATGTCGCGAGTAGAGGATCCCTCTAATGAAAGACAAGAACCTCGAATCATCCCCACCGCTCGATCAATCAACATCTCCTGGCAATTCGGTACCGTAATCCTGGTGGCTTTCGCCATTGCATTCATCATAATCATGGTCCTTCGCGGCACGCTCCCCAACAAACCCATCCTCTTCCAACTCTTCTCCAACATGTTTCTCGCCGGTACCATCATCTTTGGCGGAGGTCCCGTCGTCATTCCTCTACTGAGAGAATATGTGGTATCAGAAGGCTGGGTCACGCCTCGGGACTTCCTTCTCGGTCTCGCCATTATCCAAGCCTTTCCAGGGCCAAACTTTAACTTTGCTGTATATTTGGGAGGTCTGACGGCCGTCTTTGGAGGTCACAATGCCGCTGTGGGTTCTTTACTGGGGTATCTTGGTATCTTTCTTCCCGGAATTGTGACTGTTCATGGAACGATGGGGATTTGGAGTGCTATTCGAGAGAAGCGGTGGGTGAAGAGTGCGTTGAGGGGTGTGAATGCTGCGGCTGTTGGACTTATCTATACCGCTGTGTATAGGCTGTGGCAGATTGGGTTCATTGATGAAGGTTTTGAAGCTGGCAAAAGCTTAGGCGACGATCCTTGGTGGGTGGTGGTGGGTGTGACCAGTTACGTTGGTGGGATGTGGTTCAATGTCAGTGCCCCTGTGGCCATTGTATTAGGAGCAGTGATGGGGTTGATTCGGTATGCCGTTGTCAATTCGTAACTCTAACACCGAAATGATTGGAGAATGAATAGATGCGGAAACTTGATACTGAATATCTGTCTTTGATAACAACCTCACTGCTAGACGACTCATATTTTCAACGTTACAGACAAGAATTGTAGGATGAGACGTCACCTGGGAGTTTATTGATATTATTGCATACATTCTGTGTCTCTTTCAATCAAATAGAACCTCAGCGAGGCGACCCTTCGCTTCCTCTGGATCCCAATCAACCAGCTTACGGTCTTTTGTCTCCTCCATTTTTCGATCCACGAAGACGTCCATGGCAGCTTTCTCCACATCGCTCAGGAGATACAGCCTTGTCTTCCATAACTCATCCTTTGAGATGTCACTCGGTCTCACTCCAAAGAACTTCTCATCCAAGAACTTCCAATAGAGAGCGTCAAAAGCCCAACTCTTTCTCGCCGCGTAACTGAGCCAGAACCTACCCGTTTCCCAGCTCTCGCGCATGTATTTCGACAGTGGGACTTCCAAGGATCTCTTAGTTGAGTCCACAGTAGCTTCAGCCTCGGCCCTCTGCACAGCTGATAGCCAAATTCTCATCCGTGGTTCGTAGAATTGGACCCAGTCGTCGATACCTTTGTCCCACATCTCAGGCGCATCAAGGACCAGCCACCACGGCGGGTCAAGGGAGAATTGACTAGGCGCAGCATACGTGAACTCCCAGTCAATGATAGCAGCGATGTTATCATTTTTATCAAGAAGGATGTTACCCGCTCGTAGGTCATCGCAATAGAGTCGAAAAGAGTCTGTGTTAGGAGGCTCGGGCGACACAATCGAGCTGTTGGTCTTGGACTGTGCTGACCAGTGGTCCTCTCTGAAACCGAAACTTGAGAGTTTGCCCTCCCGTGCAAGCTTACGAAAGATCTGGCGCGCAACGTATTTGTTTCTGCAGTCATTTTCTGAGGAGACAAGGTCATTGTGTTGAAAGACAAGCTGAGCCAGATGCAAATTGGCGAGCTCGGTGTAATATTCGTCAGCAGTACCAAACGTCTTATCCTTCGGCGGTAGAATCGAGGGTGGGATGCCAGCCAGTTGAAGCATATCGTTCATGTCACGGGTAATTGGCCGAGTAGCCACAGTATAGGAACCCGCCTTGGTCTCGACCAAAGATCCTACGCGACAAAAGGTATGCTGAGAGAGCTCCAGTAAACAGTTTGCGACTTTTTTGTACAGGTCCTCAAGAAAGTCTTCCGAAATATTAGGGTCCAGAATAAAGGTTTGGTCGGTGTCGTGGTTGGTGGCGTTGAGTGCAGTGGACATGGAGTGCTGGTGTTGAACATGCTTGATGATCATATATTGACCTAGTCCTGAGCTTTTGCCGTGAAAGAGTACTGAGGCTACTGGTATTTGAGTATGCTTTTCGATATAGCTGGCAGTCGCAGCCTCAATCAAGGTCTTTTCTTCTGGGAACTGAGCATAGCAGGGAATGGGCCTCCGTACGATGACATCGGAGGCGTAGGATTCAACCTGCAGTCTGTAAACTATATTGAAGCCGCCAATATTCATTGGCGAGACCCAGGTCGAAGGACAACCAAACTTTTCTGATGCCAATGCCTCAACAAGGTGGATGGTGGATCTCTGGCGCAATTCTGGTTGAACCCTTTCCCATTCCTCGTCATTTTGGTCCCAGATCAAGTTGTCGAAGTCTTCCCCAGTATCTTCCATGACTGGATTTTACCCTCAAAAATAAAACGTGGTTTGGAAGCGAAAATGGAGGGAAGGACTGGTAAAAATGACTCTGGGGAGCTGCTGGAGTCCTAGATCCGATATTAGGTGGTCTCATATGCTCGCCCTGTCTGATCCGCTGATGTTCACGCAAACCGGCGGGGAAAGCTGGAGGCGGGCGGTAAATGATGCGCGTTCTTGCTCGGGCCTGATTCGGATGTACCCACGGCAGCTTGAAGTGTGTGATGAATCGTCTTTCACAGCCTACTTGTGCTGTTGTTCCACAAATAGGAATATGGAGGTGGACCTGTGGACCGCCTGATGTTGGAATTCTCACCGAATGGCACGTCAGTCCGTGCACTCCCCGGCCCGCCCCGTGGTTCGCCTCGTCCTACAGTACGCGCCCATCCAGATTTTAGAAGCATCGGCAAATCCTCAGTCACGAGGCGCAGCAGAGGCTCGCTTTGTAGGTTGTTTGGAGTACCCATCCACCTGCACTCATTCTTCTTATATATTAGTCTCTTGATTGTGAAATCTTCTGCGGACATGACAGCATGTCACAACATACGATCCTCAACCCCTTTCGGATAAATATAAAACAGATCTAGAAAGATAAGCAAGTGATTGACCACTGACCAGAATAGTGAAAGCCTTGCTCGGTCTGTATTTCGTTGGTCATGACCGTAGGAATGAACCATTCGCAAGGTTGAGTAAACACGCTTTGCACAGCGCTTACGGCGAGGCTCTCGGTCTCAAACTGTACTGAATATCTCTCCATTAAGCAAGCATAAGCTGTGGATATCTGAGCTGGTCTACTCCTACGGTGGGTTGCGCTGCGCTTGCAAGGCTTTCGTAGCCTTTGATCCCTCGTTTCATTATGCGCCTGAGGCTGTTCTTGGGGAGACTATGGGCTATGCTATCTCGTACGATACGCCTTGAGATTCTGCGCGGAGGGTAAACCGTTGGTTTGTAGACAGTTATAAAGAAGGGACAGATTCCCTAGCAGACTCTCAACTAGTGTGACACAATCTGTCAATCCGTCATAGAACTGTCTCTTCTCTTTCCAACACCAAGTTTCCTAACCTTACACCTTGTTACGATACCATATCCAGCTCTGGGCTCAACTCTCACACCCAAATCGAGAACTATCACTCGAAGCAAACGAAACCCGATCCTTGTGCTGAATAAATACCTCAAAACTACTACAGTTGCAGTCCTTGGCATCGTTAGTGCACCATCCTAAATCACTGATAACAAGTTACTCATCTCTCTCAGAACAAAATTATCATGTCCAACAACGATCGAGCCAGCGGAGGAAGCAGTGGAAGCATGGAGCGTTCATTTGCCATTGAAGATGCAACAATGAAAGCTGGTGATGTCAGTCAGAAAAAACGCCAGGACGCCAAGAAGAAGAAAGAGCAGGAGGCGGAGGCCAAACGACAGTACGATGCTAGCCAAGCCTCACTCTCGGCCGGAGATGTGAGCAAGAACAGGCGCAAGAACAAAGAGAAGCGTTGACTTCGTAACGTACGGAAATCGCGTGATCATTCTCGAGGATGAGGTTGGCGGTAGTGACGGGAAATGTAAAAGGCTGCAAATGTTGTCTATTTTTCTCACATGTACGATGGTGGAACGTTTTGCTTCTGAAAGATAGCGGTAGCAAAAATATGTTGTCTGATAAGCTTGATGCGAGGTACAAGATGAAATTTTTCCTTGTCGACATCACCGAGAGGCGTGCTTTCAGATCACTACTCCCGAACACGGAGTCTCTGCATACCTCGATCCGTCCTGAGATCTCGTGCTAATATATGATTCTGTCACTGGCACGCGTTTGAATCTTCGCTTTGTCGCCCAGTGAAGAACCGGGAACTGTAAACTTTTCACTTCATCTTGGGACACGTCATAAAGCCGTGAAACATGTGAAGACGTTGATTTCAGTTTTCATGTAGCTAATTGTTATATCCCAAGACAGGTTAAATAGTGAAATCAGGACATGGTAGAGCAAGACTTGCAAGAAGCACTTGAAAGCCATGTCTCTCCTAACCACATTGAAACAAACATTCTACCTTAAAGCAAGCCATTGAGAGTATAATGATGTCACGACTTTTCCTGATTTCGTGCCCTCGAAACTTTCCGGCTTAGACTGTATTTCAGAGGAGGGAAGACATATTTCCCAAAGACCGGGACTTGCAGACTTTCGCCAGATATGTGAAAGCAGATGTTGAAGGGTAATCAGGCTAACATTTAGCGTCGGTACATCATTCCATGGCCGTCAAGTGCCATTTCGCTAGTGTCTATGGTGTATAATGCCGATTTCTATATCTCTTGGGCAAACAAGTACAATGACAGCAGATAGAACGATCGAGAACGAGATGGCACTAGAAACGGCTTAAATTCGCTTCTCTGGTTTGAATAGTCTAGCTTGGGATACAAGTCCAGGTATGTGCAATGATTTCGTGTCCTCTCCCTACATGAGGCCACCCTACGGGGGTTTTTTTTACAGACACTGTCTGCACTTCCTACAGATATTATCTGTAAATAGGTATTTTAGACAGATTTTCTGTCTGTATTTTAGTTAATTGTCTGTATTTTTCTCAGCTAGAAACTCTAATTTTAATCGATTTTTGAAAATTTAGAGTGAAAATACAGCTATTATCTGTATTTTAAGAGTTTTCTGACTAATAAAGTTAATTTCCCCTCTCCTGTTTCTCCCTATATTTTTCTTCCCTTCCCTTTTCTTACTCTCTCTCCCTCCTTTAAGGTCTCCCTTTAAAGGTAAGTTTCCCTCCCCTCCTAAGGTAGGTCTCCCTCTCACCCCTCCAAGGTAGGTCTCCCTCCCTCCTAAGGTAGGTCTCCCTTCCGAGTGTTCCGGAAGTAGGTAGTAAAAGGTCTGTGTTTAACTTTGTATTGAAACATAAAAAGTCCGAGGTACCTAGACTCTCATACCCTGATACACGCTAATTTGTCTGTATTTTTTTGATGAAATTGTAGCAGACATTATCTGAATTTTGTCTGTATTTTACTGTGTTTTACTACTACTAGGAATGCAGACAAAATACAGACAATTTACAGACGTTGTCTGCATGAAAAACCCCGTAGGGCCAAAAGTTGGTAAGCTTGATGGATGGCCTCAGTCAGTCACCCCATTCGATCTGGACAACAGCACTGTGTCAAATGTTCAAGTTAGAGCTGATTTGAGATCTACGGCTATCAAATTAATTCTCATAAACCCCATACATAGAGGTTCTAGAGTAGTGGATTGAACGCAAAGCCCACCCAGAATTATTTCAAGACCACTCGCACATGTTGTTTTGCAGCACTGACCAGCCTCGCTTACTGTAACCGACTCTGGCACCATACTAAGGGGAAAGGATATGTTTACGTGTACGGTCGATCTCGACAAAGCTACTGGGTTGCGCCCAGACCAGTTTCTGTCAATGCAAGTGTACTTGACAAGGTGGAAACTTACGATGATCGGAATCCGGGCTCAGGTGAAATCAATCTTCAAGTTCCGATTAGTGGAAGGGGCATCTGCAAGATTCGTACTTTGTACCAATGGGAGTTTCGCGATCAAGCGCTATAAGATTAACGTTTCCTCCACACTTCTTGAGTTCCGGGAATCAGTAGTAGTTCGACCTCGCTTTCGCAGCCCATGTTATCTACTCTGTACACTTGGCTCCATTTTGAAAGGCCAAATTAGAGTTCAACATCATGGTAATCGTGTCATGGCTGCGGCACCACCGAATCTGCCAGAACGGACTCCCGAGGATACTACGTAGTGGCCATAGTCTCAGCTCTACCGGAAACCATGCCGATATGAGAATTGAAGTCATTTTTTGAGAGATAGAGGTAAGAGAATCAGTGTCGTCACGTCAATCTGAAGATTAGCCCATCCCCACCACTCTGCAAAAGGCTTTCCGCCTGCAGGAGATCATTGCAATGCCAAGAATCGGCCAGAATACTTTTAGATTGACCTATGGGATAGATACAAGGTCTACCTTTCGAGATTGCGGGGTGTTGCTTGACTTGAAGAATGGAGCAACCAATGTTGTTCCAAGTTAGCCGAACGTAGCTGGCTTACGAAGCGCAGCAGTAACTAGCCTGACATGAACTTTAACCACAGCGTACATCTGAACCACGAATAAATCAACAATGGTGAAGTATATTTTATGATTACTTGGATCTATAAACAAAAGCAAAAGTCCGTCCCAAACACCAGAGCCCTGCTCCCCGTCCCTGCCAGCCTAAACTCCTATCCGTCTCATCTAAATGCCCAAAAACAATTCACAAATTTTCCGTCTTAGCTCTGATAGCTTCTATCCTATCGCCATTTATCTTGAAGTCCTTCCCCAAACACGAGTTATACTGCTTGATCTGCTCATCAAGAAAACTCATGTCATCCACCAAGCCGCCCAATCTCTCCGCCGACACCTTAGCAGTCAAGCCCACGAAGCACTTGAGAAGTTTCTCATGCTTGACCTGGAGATCAGCAAGAGCCTGCTCAAGCTGTTCCAGGTCTCGATTCTTCCTCTGTCTGAAAGCGCGTTGTGATTCTCGATTTTGTTGTCGTCGACGCTGAGGAATGTTAGTTAGGTGCTTGTAGGGCAGAATTGTCGTCTGACGTACGTTAAGCTTCTGGAGGTCTTTGGCTGATTGTGATGGTGGCGTGTTTGTTGGACCAATGGGCCAATTTGAGGGGAAGCCGTTGTTCAGTGTGGGCATTGCGTTGGTGGTTGGTGGTGAGTAATCGTGAGCTGAGTAGCTGGAGGGTGATGAGGCGGCGCTCATCCAGTCGGAATCTCCGTTTACTTGGTATCGGATGGGTGAAGGATAGTAGTTCTATGAGTGTGAGCGTGAAAAACAAAAAAAAAAAAAGTGAGAGTAAGATATCTTACCTCGATGAATCTTTCTTCCGTAAGATTTGAATAGTGGTCTTGAAGTTGTGATGTTTGGAAGACGAGGTAGTCATTGTAAGGAGTCATTGATTGAGCCATGTTGTAGGGAGATGATGATCTTGGAAGCAAAAGCTTGTAAGGAACTTTAGTCTTCGAGGAGTTTGAAGCTTTGTTTGATGTCTTGATCAGAATGAGGGATATAGGGTGGACGACTGAAAGTTGATATAAGATCTTTCACGCCGCCAAGACGGAAGTATGTGACCATCCACAAGGGCTGGGAATAGTAACGCAACGTGGTCGACCGGGATGTTTCGAGGTCTGAGTGCATATGTGGAGTGCTCTCTCACTGTTTGCAAGACAAGGATTATACGTCTGCAAGTTGGCCGTCGAACCAGTCTTTCGGAGGAAGCCATGAGTCTACACCATGCTAGGGTATACCACACAAGCCCGAGTTCCCACCACACCACACCAACTGTGCCGTCTCTCACTCCACGTGGATTCTGACCGGGACAGACCTGCCAAGACATATTTCGTCTTGGCGTCTGTATGCTTAATCCCTAGGCTGTGTAGTTGAAGCGATTTGACTGGGGAAAAGAGTGGAAACTTCGCCATTAGACTCCCGGAAGAAGAGAATGATTACATTTTCCGTACAGCTTCCTTCTGAATGCTACTCCAAGATGGTAGTCTTGCCTTCGGGTGTGTACTTCCGTGGGGTACGTACTTGCGAGTCTGCTCTCTTGGAGCGCTCGCCATACGAGACAGGAAGGACGACACTGACGTATTCCTGCGGACTGCAAGATAAGAGTAGGGGGGTGAAGATTGATTGTTCACAGGGCGCCGCTAGGACTCGGGGTGGGTCATAGATTGCATGCACAGAAGGCCGCTAGAAGTACGCTAGAAGGCGTACAGGGCTGACTGTGCATATCTCGAAAGTACATGCATGCCGCTAATTCCTCATTCGTCTCCTCGGACTCCTCGGTCCCACCGGTCGAGGGTCAACCCTGCCGCTTGGCATTTACATGCAATCTTTTCCATCTTTGGAAATACAAGAAAATAAAGAATGATGATCAAAGTTTGCTGTTTGTCGTAAGCTCAAGGTTCATCATTCTAGTCTGAAGTGCTGCCGTTGACCGCTCTGTGGCTATCATCTGGGAGGCATCACAGTCGAGAGACCTTCCATCTATATTACGAATCTTTCTTATATGTGGTTTGTGGAATCGTTTACGCATGCCACATTACATCACTATGCATCTTTGTCCAGATGATCGCATTCTCACCCGTCCGACATCGCATCATACTCTATCCAGCTGAGGGCTGGACCCTTTATTTCATGGATCACCCAGGATTGTTGCTCGTTTGCAAAGACCAGGATGGCACAGAACATATCTTACCACACCGACGAGTAAGAATACATCTTATTATGCGTCAAGTTGTGATTTGAACGTCACACGGCACGGTGAGCCATAATGTTGTGATTGCCGAAAAATCGCTCGCTTGCCGAACACCCCGAAAGGGGGCCGAAACACGTGATAGATATCCCGCATATTACTATTTTTGGACTCTCTGTCCAATCTCCCTCGGCTCTCAAAACTACTGTTGCGATCACTCTCGTGATTTAATCCATGCGAAATCCTCGGAAACTCCATGGAGTCATTTTTGCTGTCCCGACATGACTCTTCGATCACTACTTCCGTTGACTGTGTTCATGGTCATCTCCGCATTCTGTGAAGTACCTGAGCTATCAGACTCCTTCGCTCGCATAGTTGCGACCTCTGTGATTGACACAGCTGGAGTCTCCAGATCGTCCATTTGTTGGACATGAGGGCCCGTTCGATTTACGTTCCCGAAAGCAGTGCTATTCCTCCGTTGCATCAGATGTTTAAAGGAGTACAGCTTTGGTGCATTCGCGACAAATGTCGCCGCAAGAAATTCACCTGTTGTCCAGGTGATTCGAAAAGTCTCTGAAGACTTGGAACCGACTGTCAATGGTATTCGAACAGCAGTGATGATGATAATCATGAACCCAATGCTGAACAAGAATCCGAGTTGCAGCTTCCTAGACGGGACGAGAATCAGTATGATGAGGAGACTGTGAGGATTTTTACTAACTTGATCATGCTCAACCGGACTGTGATAAGAACAGGAATGGGCAGGAATATAAGCATCAGGTCGGTAAACATATTGCTGACTCCTGCGGACGTGGGTGTCAGTATAAGGTTGTGCCAAACCGTCGGGTCCGTCACTTACCGACAACGTACAGCTGTACGATAGCCTGACTACAGTTTCCTGTGGAGATTATTCAGTGGCAGTTGCATTATCATTTGGAAGATTCCATACCTGGATCTGGAACCACTTGCCAATACAAGTGGAATGGACGACACTCGACAAAGGTAGAGATGATGCTTGCCACAAACGTGACGGCGAAGACAATTCCGTATGTCATCATGGTTGGCTTTCCCCAAGGCATGTCTCTCACCAAGTGGCGATAGAACATCAGTAGGACCGTCTTTTGTATCCACAATCTGTATTCTCAGAGTCAGCAAAAGGGAAATTCCCCGAATCCAGGAGGCTCAAATCGGAAAACAAACACCCCACATTTCAGACCAAGTTTGACGTACAATGTGATGTAGAAGCTCCTTGCTACTAGTGTGAATTTTGAACCTATTTCCCGCTCAAATATCTCGCGTTGCGAGAAATGGTGAATTTCGCGATAGTCATCTGGGATATTGTTCGTCTTCCACAAGATGAGGACATGTGTAAATGAGATCCGAATGAAGACACAAACGACAGCGATGGCAGTCAAAGAGTCCCCAGTATCCCATTTGGTTTTACAGTACCGGCCCATGGCAAGTCGTGTAATCATAATCATGACTGCGAGCGAGCAGCAGGTCCAGACGATTGCAAGAGGGTCCGACATCCTGGCCCATGTTTTGACTCCCGGTCAGCCTCCAGAAAATGAGCGCATTGAGGTCGCAATTGTGTATTGGGATGATAGAGATGCGAATTCGATTTGAGGAAAGACGCTACGTATAGATAGAGCCAACCGCTGATATCGTCATGGCCTTGTGAAGATGATTTTCCAAGCGTGACTGGAAACTTCATGTCAGGCAGGTATTAATTCCGCATCACATGACGTAATATCGTGCTCGGGATATGCCCAGGTTAGCAGGCGGCAGGAAGAGGAATTTTTTCTGAATGGCTGGAAAGTGGGATACTGCTTCACCGTCGAACACGGGAGGTCGTGAAGTTATTAAGCGTCGTGCATATGCCAAGCTGTCAGCCAGGGTGTAAGATCCTCATCCACAAAACTTCACCAACCTCCTAACTTCAAAAGCCCCGAAGGAGAGCATGAGAAGAAAACAAATAACACAGCTTGTCTACGGCATCATACCTTATTATTCTGTAAGTCTCTGCTAGAAAGTCTTGGGCGTCAACAATAATCTGTTTAGTGAGCAGATGCCAGGATCCATGGACTCCCCGCCATGAGCACGATCCCTGAACTTCCTCAAAGTTCCGAGCCATTAAGCTTCACTCGTCGAGCCAAGCCACTTGGCATCTTGGGAGAAGATCTCAAACACGAACAGCAGGTTCCATTGAACCAGCACACGAGTGAGCCAAGGCTTTGTCGTTGGGGATCCACGACCCAACTGCCCAGACACCGAACGAGGAGACATGTCCAAGACAGCGAGCATATCGAGGCTCGACTTCTTTACTATCCATAAATGGAAAGTCAACTTGCTACGGTCCCTCAAACGGGCAGTGCTTGCAATTTCTGTTGCCCGATATCTTTGAAAAGATTTCTGCATCCATAAAGGATCCGAGAACGATCAACATCTCGTTCATTCGCATTGTCAAACTTCCTATCTTGGCTACATCGATCTTTGAATGCCTCGGTTTAGAAGCTTTGTGAGAAGATTCAAATTTCGAGCGAGAAACACCTGGATTGGGATTCCTTCCAGCGAATGCTTTCCTCCCAGATATGTTGGCATTGCGTAAGTCCCAAAAAAGATTCTCAAATTTTAGTTGCAACACTGAGCGAGTGCTCTGACTTTGGTGAGTTTACGAGAATCAAGGTTATGGTGCATTCATTCTTGGTGTTAGGGAATTCCGAGTCGCTGTGGGAGCTTTCTTGGGAATCCCGGAGTCAGTGTCATTGCCAAGTGCTTAAGCCGAGACGAGAGAACGGCCACCTCGAGAGTAATATCCCCAGGTCAGAAACTAGTTCCTTGGAATCATTGATATTCCTCCGGGACTCTATGCACCTGTAATTATCTCTTTGGTTTTCGCATATGTATTTACAAAATGATTGCTCCAGAAATCACTCCTCTGCCAGGTGTCCAAAAAGGCTCAAGAGACACGGTGCGACGAGGTATAATTCCACATCACACTTCATCTGTCAGTGTATACTTTACTCTTATCCTGAGTCCTCTGTATAATTTCATATGAAGCTGCTATTCCTATATTACAGTTCTTCATAACTTCGACTCCGTCGTGTTACCAAGCTTCTTCCGCAATCCTTCACTTGCCGCAGTACGTCTCGATCAAGTTCCAGAAGGGTCCAATACGGCCTTCATCGTCCAGCATTGGTTACAGAAATAAGTAATTAACCTGATAACTTGCAAACTGTGTTACAGATTTCTTACAATGGTACGATAGGATGAAGTGAGGGGCAGTATCTCAGTTCATGTCGCTTCACTCTCCGGCGCGCATTTCCGTACTTCGTGGGATATCATGCCCAAGCTGAGCAAACAATTTCTAAAAGTAATATGCTAATACAATCTGTTAAGAATCACGCTCGTGGCAAGGATCAAGTTCATCATCATCGGGACCATACGCCCTACCGTGAAGAACGTGGGAGAAGCCACACTGGATTATCCTTCCTCTCCCTGCTAGAAAATCAAGCAATTTGTATCCCTGCTAGGCTTCGCTGATCTGAAAGCTTAATGGCGAGTTCGTGCCCTTCATTTGATAATGCGGCGCAGCTTGGGGAGAGTAAGCTTGTCGGGTATGAAGTGGATACCCGATTAGGAAGTCCACAAAGCTAAGCTTCCCAGGATGAGCTATGTATGGTTGTCTGTTGATGAGATTGGCCATCAGTCGTCACTAAGAACGAGACATGAAATGAGTATTTATACTACAATGCTCTCAGCTCAAAAATATGATGCAGCAAATTGAATTGCCTTTCAAGTGCTCCAAGCAAACCATCACATTATGAAGTTCTCAGTAAAATTTCTGTCAGCGTCCCTGGCTGTTGCACAGGTAACCATCTCATCATCCAAATGAGGCGATCGGTGCTGATGATACAAGCTCTCCCCTGTAGTGGACCCCACCAATGGAACTATGGTCCAGCTCAGCGCCGACTCTGATTTCCACTTCGAGATCCTGCGAGATATTTCCGCAGCCGGCTACGGTGGCGGTGACATTTCCGAAGTTCTCATCGCCGCTGCTCAAATCCAACACGGAAATTTCACAAGTTACTACAACTCATTCCTGAATCTCGCCAACCGCGTGCTCGCTCAGGCCCAGAAGATTGACAGTCGCAAGTTCCCTGTCTCTGCAAGTGACACGCTTTTCAGGGCAGCAACGTACCTCCGATCAGCAGACTTCTACCTCCATGGAAACCAAGACGACCCACGTATTATTTCACTCTGGAATCAACAGATCGCTGCTTTCGATACTGCCATTTCCCTTCTTCCCATTCCAGGAAAACGCGTAACCATCAAGGCCAAGAATTTCACGATCCCGGCTGTATATTTCCGAGCAGGGACAACCTCGAAGAAAATACCAACAGTTATCATCGGAGGAGGCTATGATGGTGGCCAAGAGGAGCTCTACACACAGATGGGAGTCGCAGCTCTCCAGCGCGGATGGAACGTTATCACTTATGAAGGACCTGGACAAGCGAGTCCACGACGCTATCAAGGATTGGGCTTCATAACCGAGTGGGAGAAGGTCGTTACACCCATAGTCGACTGGCTGCATACAAGACATGAAGTAGACACCGCAGCGATTGCATTGGTGGGACTATCGTTTGGAGGGATACTAGCTCCAAGAGCAGCAGCTTTTGAGCATAGGCTCGCAGCTACCTTAGCATTCGATGGGATCTATGAGTTCGGGCCGCAGTTTCTTAAGGCATTCCCTCCTGCTCTAAAGTCGATTTTCGAGACCGGGAATCAGACTGCTTTTGATGGAGCCATTGCAGGATACCATGCTGCTGCCGAGGCAGCAAATACGGCCAGCCAGTTCCGGTGGTTTATTGACCAGGGGACTTGGTCGTTCAATACGAAGTCGCCGTATGAGTGGATGGCCAAGTTACAGACGTATACGTTGGATGGTGTTGTTGACAAGATTCCTGGGCCGGTGTTTGTGGCGGATTCGGCGACTGATACGTTCTTTGCAGGTCAGGCGGCCAAACTGGCTGATAAGCTTGGGAAGAGAGCTACGTACCATTTATTCAAGAATGATACTGGAGTAGGGCATGCTGGGATTGGAGGGTTCAGGATGCAGAATCAAGTAGCCTATGATTGGCTCCAGTCTGTTTTTGAACGATGAGTAGGTGAAAAAGATAGGTGATGAACGAGGAGTATGTTCGGGAAAGAACTTCCAGGTGAATCAATTGTTCATTGAAAGTAAACATAGACTTCTCATACATCAGCTATCACCGGCATCGAGTTTTCACTCATGGGCTTTGGAATAGTACGCTTTAGAGTGGTTCCCCTCCCGCCGTCCTAACCATGGCAACATTGTCTCTAATAACCCGATGTATCCACTTATGGAAGTACATTAGCCTGTCTCGACCAGTAGGCGTTGTATTTGTCAAACATAGTGATCCACCACGGCTGTTCGTGAAAGAGTTTGTCAAGTGGACCACTTGTCTATCCCTTGTTGTCAAGCTCGCTGTGGATGAAAGTCATAATGAAAACAACTCTTCTCAACCAGAATCGCTTGTACCAATTTGGTTTTCTCCAATAAAATTCCCGTGCCCAGTATCCCTCCTCTGTTTGTTCCGCCACTCGAATTAGGCTCGTCCTTCTCCCCTTGCTCAACACGTATAACATGCTCCAAGTCACTAGCTTCTTGTTCTTACCATGCGTATGGAATACGGAAAATGCCAAAAACCAGAAACCAACCGTTACCGAGCTGCTTGCCAGCTTTATGAAAGCTAATATTACGTGCTTCGATACAACCTTGTCAATGAATGCAATGAATGTAATGCAGACCAGAGCTGTCGCTGTAGCAAAGAAAATCCAAAGACTCAGAACGTCACTGCCGAATTGCACCATATTCATACCAAAAAAAGAGGTAGCGAAGTTTAGCGGGATAAAGATGAACCCTAATCTGGTCAGCCTGGCGACGCATTTGGCTGTGTGGGTTGATTTCCTAGCCTTCTCTAACTGAGCATCGGATAATTTGTCTCGCTTGAGTCTGTCATGATACGCAAGAACGTCCTGGAGTCCATCGAGGCTATAATTCAAGTCTCTGTTAACTATATCCAATGGTGGGGTAAGTGAGGCGACCTCTTCGGTTCCACTGAGCTCAATAGTTGGGCGGCGGTTGGATGCGAGATTCAACTCTCTAAGAGCTCCACGGACCTTCCTTAAAACTTCTATTCTTTCGCGAATATAGAAAATAGTATAATCAACATGTCGAGATGCGTCTGAAAGCCTCGATTCCCAGCCGTTCCTAGCTCGGTCAATGTGACCTTTCAGCATTACAGAGCATTACGCAAGCTGTGAAACTGTGGAAGGCGACGTGCAAGTTGATGCCGGAGCTTGTCCGATACTGAGAAGCCAAATGCGCGACTCGATGCTTTGGGATCGATTCATGAAGTCGAGCCGAATATCCATGATCGCAATGCAAGTTTTCGTGGCAGAAGTGCTCTTGAAAAACCAAAGGGTCGATGTCGAAAGTCTTGCCCAGCGTATCCACCACACTCCGATCAATGCAGAGACTTGCCTCATAGTCCACGCGGATAATTCGAGTCTTCACCTCAGGACCTCGAGATTCAAGCACTCTCGAGAAATTGCTAGGTTCAGTAATAGGTACAGCTTGGCAATGAAAGGCGCCATCAATAGAATCGATAACCGTTACCCTAGTATCATCGGGATCCCCGCTGGGAGTGTTCATGAAAATCTGCATCAAATTCAAGTTACTCACTTTTCTTACTTTTTTGCCATTTTTTACTCCATTTTGCAGAAGTACTTACCTGCATCCACTTCAACTCAGGCCAATCCGCCACATTCTCATCAAGATATTGCTTGTAACTCGCATAACGAGGCTGGGGATTCGCTGACTCTTCGGACTCTGTTGACCAAGCCTCAGATTCTGCATCGGTCCTAGTTGGAGAAGCTGCCACTGCTGGGGTTTCGTCCGGAGGTAATTGAGAATTTCCATAGTCCCTGGATTTCTTAAAAGCCGGACGTGGGTCGAAAAGTTCAATGAGGAACGAAGCGATCGCGAGATATGAAATGAAGGCAAGGTGGCTGTGGGAACGCCCGCGGTGGCTGTGTCCACCACAATACATCCAATACACACCACAGCTAGGCGAGGCTTTTAGCGAGGCACATTAAGCTCTATGACAGCCTGAGCAGAGAATTTCAATTTAATCTATCTTTGATGCTGACATGAACATTTTGGCCTTCATTAGAAATTTTGTATTCGTTCTGTACAAGTGACATAATCCCGCTTTTCCTCCGGTACTCCAAGGACCTTTCCCTAAATATACAATTGAATCCTATACATCCCAATACAAGCTTCGTGAGTCCTGTTTTACCTCTTTCCCCGCCTATACCATATCTGATTGGTCCTTATTATTAGTTTCTCTAGCTGCTACTCTCGGCAACTCGTTCTCCTTCGGTAAATTACTTATAGTATCCACCCCAAACGGCTCTCCATGTGTAACATCTGTGGACCCACTCCCTACACTTGCCAACACCTTCGAGTTACCACTTTCTTGCTCAGACTTTAATCGCCAACCCGTCCCCGACCCAGGGGAGAGCTCTCCTCCCGTCAAATTCTTATTCTTCACAATTCCCACCAGGCGATTGAGTACCGAGAACTCAACTTTCAACTTGACGCTATACACAGCCGCCTTGAACGTGGTCTGGATCTGGAAGTTTCCCGAGTAGCCGAGTCCGAGGATCAGGCAGTCCAGCACGAGCACGAAAATGTTGACGACAATGAGATGGATGAAGAGATTTCTGAGGGGTTTGGAGATAGGCTCGCCGGCGGGAGCGAGAAGCCGGACTGCGCTGTAGATGTAGATGCTCGAGATGATGAACTCTTGAACGAAGGAGACGGCAAGCTGTATGTTATCGAAAATGAGGAAGTAGGGCAGAAAGCGCTTAGTGTCTCCACAGTTTATGCCGAAGGCCAGGATCAATGTGGAGCCGTGGAAGACGATGGTGTTGAAGATGATCATGATTAGGACCCCGTGAAGGACCCGCGTGTTGCGAACGATGAGATGGAGGCGCGAGTACAGAACGAGTGACTGTCCTGTGATGAAGCAGATCAAGCCACCAGCGATCATAACGACCGGGATTCCCTTTATGGTCATGACGCCGAAATATCTGAGAGTAAAGCCGACCCCGTAGGGAGCGATTCCAAAGGTGGCGGCAACGAAACTCCAGAAGTAGAGTCCGGAGCGGGACTTGAAGGTGGTTAAGATGATGACGATGAGTTCGAGCATGTTGTAGAATGCGATGGCGAGAAAGGCGCACATGGTTACCAAGGTCGCGAAGCTGGCTGGGACGCCGGCGACAACGCCTGCATCTGGTCCAGGGTGGGCCATTGTTGAATTCTGGGGGGGAGGTGTTCGTCCGGGATATTGAAGGATTGATGTAAAGTGCTACCGCCAGTCGAACCACCCGGGATTGAGAAGCACAAGGAACCCCGAAAAGATTTGGATGATAGAAGCAGCAATACGCATCTCTAATAAGGTATATATCTCGAGGTAGCACGAGTCAAAACAATGTGCTGTTTTGCTCCAGATGCTGAGTATGCCCACTTGAAAAGTCTCGATGTTCAAACCCCTCTCCACAAAGACCTGCCCAGGAGCAGGGCTGAAGATATGCTTTTCCACAGGCCACGCCAGTGAGGGGATATTTGAGACAGGGCGAGTAGAGAGGCTGGAGGATGACTCTGGTCCTGCTCTAGCCTGGCAACTAGTCATCTCTTGGTAGACCCTAATCCGATTCCCCGGGACAGAGAATAGATTAGAGGCTGATGATCTAAGCTCCTTTCGGATGTAGCTGCACTTGAAATCTGGAGACGAGCCCCCCGTGGCTTGCAGCTGGCAATAGCTCAGTGAGCTGCTGTCAGCAAGCCAGAAGCACGTTTTCACGTTATCTCTGTGCCGCTACATCCCAACTTTATTTTTGTTTACATTCTCGCGAGATCGTTGAAGCGACTGCACCATGTTGCCTTGTTAAAAAACATTATTCCACAAAACTTTGCAACTCCTGTGCAGTTTCCGAGCAACTGGTGGAATGCTCAATGGCCATGTGGAAAATTGTTCTTCCCCCAGGAATGTGGCTTTTCGTGCCTAGACGCGGAACAACCGTTCCCTTGATTAGATCGCCCCCCTCGGCTAGTCCACACGCGTCTCGCCAACCAGGTCCAGACGTGGCGGATATCGAAAAGTTTAAATGTCTCTGATGCCGCGGCTATCAGCTGATGTGGAGATGTGAGACAACAAAACAACTGATACCGCCGATCGAAAAGGAGAGACACGAGCTCTGGGGACGGTCCGACATTTACCTGAGCTTCCGGTTTCCCTACCGAAATATCTCATCCATCCTTCGGGTGGGCCGAGCTCCTCGGAGATACCTGCGAGGAGCATCCCGATCCGGCCTGCTGTTTATACGATCTGGCAGTTCAGACCCCGAGTGGGTGTATACTATTCCGATCGGTTGGAGCGCTGTAAACTCTGTACTTATCACAAATTGTATCTCAACTGTCTCACATAAGTTCAGCTTGCTTGCATAGAGAATGACGAGTATGGGCAAAAATAATCGAGAAATCGGATTCGAGTCTCTGTCGCTCATTCGAATTGAGGATATAGCTGTTCCGGGCAAACCAGACTCACCAGAGTAGTGAGCTCGCTTGATTACATCCTCAGCTTTCACTACCTAGTACAATGGATCCCGATCGTAGTAAGACCTTCATAAGCGTCGATGCACTTTTGCTTTCAGTACAGCTACCTCAAGTGATGATTTTCGAATGTAGAGACATCATAACTACTATGTCTACTGTTAACGCCGATAGCGAGAGTAATAACGACGACGATAAGGACGAGCAAGTGAGAGATTACGTATATGGCGCTACCCTGTAGGATTTGAACGAAAAGTAAGCAGAACATTGTCTCCGCATTGCTCTTATCTAACGATAATCACTCCACTCATCACCTTTCAGTGCGTCCACTGTACAAAGAGTCCAACAAAACGTTCATCAAAGTCTTGTTTCGGGCTCGCCTGTGCACCGTCCACCTCCTTCGGCCGCTACTCGCTTTTGCCCGAAAACATAGCGAGTTGGTATTTTGCCGAGATGGTTCAAAATTGCGTGAGTTGAGACACAAATCGAGTACGGTGTAAAGTCTAGATGCTGATCTGGATGGCTACTGCTCCAGATGTCAATCGAGGTACGTCTCGTTTGACACAGTTCGGCTTTTGCTTTCTTCTTGATAGTACTATCCTCTGACGGAGAAGGAGAAACCTTAACGAACGGGCAGAGATTGCTACCTCGGGTTTTGCTCATCGATCCTCGTGTCGTAAGGCAGAAATGAGGTAGACGCTGTGATCAGAAACCCAAGACCGAGGTTTAAAAACATGAATGATCGGATCTGGGGGTGTAGTTTCCACGTGGCGAAGACCTGTGTCCTGGATAACGAACAAAATGATTTCCTCTTCAATTCAAGTCGTAGAGAAAACAAGAATGAATGAAATACTAGATAAAGAGTTGATTCATAAATACAAACAGGTAATTTTCGTCATTCATTATTTCTCATCAAATTCATCCTTCTCCGGAGCCGTGAAAGGATTAGAAATTGCTTTTGGAGGCCACTCTCCCGCATCGTACCCGTCCACAGAGAACTCGTACACGCCACTGCCCACTGTATGCACCTCATCCTTTCCAGGGAGTTTGACTTCACCCATGCAATTAAGCGGCACCACCACCTTGACATCGAAGTTCCCCCCCTCAAGTTTCCACTCACACTTCACCTCTCCATACGGACCTTCATGCCTACACTTCGCCCACTTCAGCGTCCCCCCAGGCACAGGCTCAAACTTCACCACCCTCCACCCCGGCTCCTTGGGACTAATCCCACCAACCGTGGAATGTAACCAAGCCCCCACACTGCCCAGCGCATAATGGTTAAAACTTGTCATCTCGCCCGGATTGATACTTCCATCAGGTAACATCGAGTCCCAGCGTTCCCACATGGTAGTAGCGCCCATGGTTATGGGGTATAACCAAGAGGGGCATTTAGTGGCTTGGAGCATGCGGTAGGCGAGTTGGGATTGGGAGGTTGAGGTTAGGGAGGGGAGGATGAGTGGGGTGCCGACGAAGCCGGTACCGATTTTGAAGGTGGAGGAGCGGACGATTTTTGAGAGGCGGGTGGAGGCGGAGGAGAGTTGGGTGGGGGTGGAGAAGAGGTTGAAGTTTATGGCGAGGGAGATGGATGTCTGTAAGATGGGCATTTCAGTTTCGACATTCCAGGTGAGAATCAAGACGGGACTGAAGAGCACTCACCATAGTATCTGGAGCCAAACGACCATTGGGCGTTATGTATTCATCCTGGAACAGTTTCTTCAACCTCTCCGCCTCGCTTCCATAATGCTTCACGCCATCACCCAGCCCAAGTATCCCACAAATCTTGGACATCAAGTCCGTAACATGGACTAGATACGCATTGGCGACAAGATGAGGGTCTGTCTTCGCCTTACCTGCATCATCAGGAGGAGCATCTGGATCCAGCCAATCGCCCAGCTGATTTCCATCCGGATCCCAAAGACCATTTTCCTGCCTCGCCACGCCCTTCTCCAACCACTCTTTCATACTCTCAAGTTGATCTTTGAGGATCTGACGATCACCAAATGCGGTGTATAGATCCCATGGCGTGATAATAGCTGCGTCTGACCAAGCTGCCTGTGGCTGCGTGAATTGTCTGGGGAGGATATCGGGTACGACGACGCCGACAACTCCATTCAATTCATTGATCTGCTCGACGGCTAGATCTTTGAGCCAGCCGGATAACATGCCGAAGGTATCGTACAGGAAGTTGGCTGTCGGAGAAAAGATCTGGATATCACCTGTCCAGCCAAGGCGTTCGTCTCGCTGAGGACAATCGGTTGGGATGCTAACGAAGTTGCCTTTCATTCCCCAGCAGATATTCTGGTGAAGTTGGTTGATCATCGGTTCTGAGCATTCGAACCAGCCTGTTCTTTGCATATCGGTGTGAATCACGATGGCTTCAAGATCGCTGACTGTAGGGTCTCCCGATGGCCAGTTGTCGATTTGAACATATCGGAAACCGTGGAATGTGAATTTTGGCTCCCAAATTATGGATTTCCCAGCAAGAGTAAGTGAGTCCTGTGCTTTACATTTACGAAGTGGCCGAGTCGCAATCTCGCCGTGCTCGAGGACTTCAGTGTGAGTAAAGGTGATCGTGTGACCTGATGGCCCAGAAACATGCACCCTCAACCAGCCTACGAGGTTCTGCCCGAAATCGACAACGGTCTTGCCCGCTGGAGTTTTGAAAATTGATTTAGGCTTGACAGTTTCGACCTTTCGAACTGGAGGTCCTTCTGGCGCTTGCAGTTTGGTGGCAGGGAAGTCCAGCTCGGTGACAGGAGACCATGATCCATGCTTGAAAGATGGTGATGACCATCCAGGGGCTTCACCCCTCGCGTCGTATGACTCTCCATCGTACAACTCAGCTGCAGTAATTGCGCTTTCCGTACTCTTCCAAGTGTCATCGGATCCAATCGTCTCTACCTGACCATCATCGAAGGTAATTTCGAGCTGGGCGAGAACAGCGAGTTTGTCTCCATATATGCATCTCCAACCACCCCCAAAGCCTAGTCTTCCGCTGAACCATCCTTCCCCAACTTCGGTTCCAATAACATTGTCTCCCTTCTTGAGCAGCTCCGTGACATCAAAAGTCTGGTAATTGAGATGGTACTTGTAGGATGTCCATCCTGGTGCCAAGACATGATCCCCGACTTTCGTTCCGTTGATGAAAGCCTCATAGACACCATAAGCCGTGATATAAAGACGTGCAGACTGGACATTTTTGCCCAGATGAAAATCCTTTCGAAACAACGCTGGTCGGAGCGAATCACAGGCGCTGAGTATCCTGGGTGCAGCAATGACTCGAGATTTCCAGTCATCCTTTTCAAGAAGACCAATCTCAACCGTAGATGGGGCAGACCACTCTGATGGATCCGAGTCCTTTGCACCCGTGACTCTGACCTGAACAGTTGCTGATTCTCGCGATTTCAGAGTAGCACCTGGCCATGGTACCAGAACCGATTCGGAAGACTCGACTTTAAAAGTCTCAGGCTTTCCAATCTTCGTATGAGGACCTTGGATGGTTATTTTGAGCTCATAAGAAGATTGTATCCAGTTCTTCTCGTCTCCCGTCGACTTCCACGAGAGTCTTGGCGCAGTTTGCCCAATCCCGAGGGTATCTCGGTGGTGCTCGAATGTGACGGGTGAGACTTGAACCATTGTGCCTTTATAGGAGAGTCGTATGTGCATAACAACAAGTCAACAGAAGAAGCGGGGAGCAGCGTGTGAAATATACAGAGACAAAGGCTTGAGTCAGGTTGTGTAGTCTTGGTGTTGTACTTCGGGGTTTCTTCAGCCGAGTTGAAGGGCGATGCTTCGGACTAAATGTGCAGGTTCTTGGTGGACTGGCGGCGAATCATCCAATGATAGGGACAATACCCCGAGTGAAAAGTGCCGATATATTTCGTTCGTGGTGGACGGGATGTGGAGGTGGCTACAAAAGCGGGTTGATGTTGCAGGATAGATGTGGAGGTGGGGTTCTTCCTAAAGCAATGGGCTAATGCGGGGTAGGAAACGTGATCCTCGTAGGTCATTGACGAACATCAAGGAATTGATCTGCCGGAATCGTGGAATAAGCGATGACAATGTAAACACAATAGCAGTAAGCAGAATCAATAAGCCCAGCAGTCCAACTTTCGACCCTAGTTCGTGGATGGCTGGAAGCCGTTTTTCGTGCTTCTCTCCAGCAGACGGAGCGCTTGCGTTAGTGACCCGTTCTTGCTTCAATTTTTCGACTTTGAGTCTTCGTTGAGAATGGTAAGGCATGCCAATTGCGCGCTGACACCATCTCGAGGATTGCTCACAGCTGGTCTCTCATGATTGTTTGTGGCATGTCGAAGGTCAAGGGCTGATCGCAAATAACTAGACTGCAGAATAATTTCGGTCAAAGTCGACATTGCGACAGCGAGACGTCATCTTTACTCCGCTAACGCGTCGTCTCACAATTGTATGTGATTGCTTTTTCTTAACAAGTTGAAACAGGAGTTGAAGTTGATGTTGAGTTTAAAATCGGCGCTAGCCATTTCTGAGTCTGCGCGGCGTAGCGCACTCGCCTGCACTCTCAAGCATCAAACCTCGGCTCGATCCAACCACATGAAGCATCTAAATTTCTCCTGATTCCAACAACTCACCCTTCAACTCCCATAAACAAAATGTAATTATATCTCAAGACACAGTCTGTCTGGATAAAGCTGATTATATTTAGGGCTTCACCATCAAGAAGACCGACTGTTGCAGAGATCCTCGCGCATCCATCGTACCCGGACACGGTATGGAACCTAACTCCTACGAAGAGCGGACAGCTCCCCGTGGCTGCCGGACGGGGTGGACCGATTAAGATTGATTGGGAAGTCCATGGGACGGGTGATGTCAAGATGATTGTATGTTTGTTTCTCATGTCATCCTTCTAATTCTCGACATAGGAATTTCGTCCTTCCATTGTCAATCATCTTGAAGCAGTCACGTGAATTAGCTAACACCCAGTGTTCGTAGTGGATTATGGGACTTGGAACGATCAAGGTACGTTATTCGGAGTCTACTTCTGTTAGATCGTTTCTAATCTGAATAGTCTTCCTGGCAAAGACAGACGAAGAGATTCGGCCACGATGAAGGCGATAAGTACTCAACTCTCATCTACGACAACCGAGGTATTTGTCCCTCCTCCATCCAAGATGCATCAATTAATACGTTACAGGGATGGGAAAATCAGAGAAGCCATTCATGCGGTACTCAACCAGTGAGATGGCGAAAGATCTCCTGGAACTCCTAGACCACTTAGGCTGGACAGAAGAACGCCAACTTCACGTGTCAGGAATATCAATGGGCGGAATGATCGCACAAGAAGTCGTACGTTCCAACCAAAAAACAAACACAAACCCTTGAGTTCAATACAATCCAATCCAAATATTTGCTGACATTTTCTCTATCACCAGGCATACATGATACCCACACGCATCGCCTGCCTAAACCTAATCTCCACCGCCGCCGCCATCGAAAACACCACCACCTTCCTGGAAAACATGTCGACCCGAATCCGGATGTTCATCCCCAAAACCCTCGACCAATCCGTCAGCGACGCCTCCAAAATGCTCTTCTCAGACACCTGGCTCGACTCCCCCGACGACACCATCGTCCCGACATCCTCCACCCCAAACGTCATCCTCCCCCCCTCAGGAAAATACGGCATGTTCAGCACCAACTACGAGCGGTTCGCAGCGCAGGAGTTGACCAAGAGGTTGGATGTGGAGGGGTTCACCAGGAAGGGGTTTATGATGCAGGCTATTGCTGCGGGGTGGCATCGCAAGACGAGGGAGCAGTTGAGGGAGATTGGGGATAGGGTGGGGAGGGAGAGGATCATGGTTTTGCATGGGACGAGGGATAATATGATTACGGTTCCGCATGGGAGGAAGTTGATTGAGATGTTGGAGCCGGGGACGGGGGTGATTAGGGAGGGGAGGGGGCATGTGTTTATGCTTGAGGAGTGGAAGTGGCATGATGAGATGGTGGCGGGGATGGTGGAGAAGGTGGCGAAGTTGCCGAAGTAGTGCATCAGCTGCTGAGAAGTCTTGTATTGTTTGATATTAGATGCATTTAGATGAGTGTTATATTTTGTGGCGATTCTGAATTTCAAGCTTTACGAAATATGTTGACGACTCTCCTCACACGTATTCACTCAATGAAAACGTTTAAGATCTCCACACCGGACATAATTTGTTCCACGTCATCCAATCAATTTCCACGCTCCTCGGTAAACAATTTTTGTTGCACGTCACAAGATTTATCCTCTCATAACTTGTTCTCATATCTCATACGGCATGCTTAGCTCATCCCTTAGACCTCAACTCTTGGACATGAAGCCTCATCTTGAGTGGCTATCGAGGACATTCGTGATTCAGAGACTAGACTTAGTGTAAGCCATGGCTTTAGCTTTATCTTATTCGATTCCGTGTTGAGAAATGGTTAGGGGTAATATGGATGAGCACAATACAGAATTTGGAGTACGTAACGGAGAGTACGAGAGACTCGGGAGTTGGCGCCGAAGATAACTGCAGTTGGAATTTAGGCTGTCACTCGAAGTAAATTTATGAAGAATTCAATGCCCAGGCACAGTGTTCTCTTTTGATTCAATCTCGCAATTCGCTAGTATTTTGGGTATTCCAGCCATGCAAGTTCACATCCTCTTTTTGCACACCTTTTTCTTCAGCAGCCATGCGGACCACCCTAGACTGACTACAACATCACCACACCCATCCCACTCCCATTTTTCTCGTCCACATTATTCCTCGCATCAACACCACCCGCAATGGCGTTCGTGTTATAGTTATACAAATAATAATGCAATTGGCCATCACCTGCACCGAATTTCTGGTCCTCCAAGAACAGAGTGTTGTCTAGCAGCGTCAAAGCATTGAAGACATCGAATTTGTACTTCTTGGCGAGGATGAGCGCGTCGTTCATGAGTTCATTGAGGCGTTTCTTGAGATCTGCGCGGGAATATTGCGGGGACAGGCCGTGCTCCGTGGCGTAGTAGAAGAGGTAAGCGGCGCGGACGTTTTTGTGGGCGGCATTGTTGATGACGGAGGATTCGAGGATGTAGAAGGAGAAGAAATCGGTAAGTTTCTTGGTTGATGGGTCCTGGTCTGGTTAGTACAGTGCTAGGTCAGGTGAAGATTTATGCCTTACTTCTACGACGTATGACCAGACTACTTGTTCTTCTGGAGAAGTCTTCTTGTATAACAGCCAATGCTCGACTTCCTCTCTCGTGAACATAGGAGCCATGTCGAACCTATCCAAGTACCGCCTCAAAAGGTCGAGAACACCATCGATGTCCTTCTCCTCCATGGGCCGTAGATGCTTGGTTCCAGTGTGGTCTGGAAGAGCATATTTGCGGATTTGGTATTGAGGCTTGCTGTTGGCAGGTAGCGGGCTGAATCCAACCTCGTACAGCTTCTGCCAATCAAGAGATCTATGGAAGTATCTGCAGGTGCTGACTGGCTTGGGGAGTACAACACCCCCAGTGTAGATAGCTTGCCAAGTCTTGAGAAGGTAACAGCGGCGGGTGATCTCCTTGATGAGGACTGGAGCCATACGCTTTGATCGCAGCTTCTTGTGAACCACCATGAAGTTGACCTCCGAGGCATGGAGAACCTTCTTTCGGACACGTAGGGCCACGGGAATGGCTGAAATGAAAGCAACTAGCTTGCGGGAAGCAGAAGCACGGATACCAACATGCCATTCCTTGGTCCAGCCAGGGCACATAAGGGCCCTATTTCTGTAAGTATAGCCAATTTCGTTCTATGTAGAGCACGTACCATCTGAGGAAAGATTCCGAGTAATTGAATCTGAACATAGCCTCATCATCCTCAACATAATGCCCATAAAGCAATGAGAACAGCTCCTGGATCTCCTCTTCCTTCGTCAAATCCATAGTCACCCACTCGAAACCTGGCAGCAATGGTCCAGGTTCTTTAGGCACCTTCTCAATATCCACAATCTTAAATGGCCCCTCCTCGACGGGTCCAGAGCTCTCTCCAAACTTCGGCACAGGTTGCGTCTGCCAGAACTTGTAGCTCGCCATATCCTTGACGTTCTTCCCACTGGACGCCAATCCCGTCATAATCTCCTCTAGATTTAGCTTCTTCATCGCCTCCTGTATCTTCTTGTCTGAGAGCTCGCTGCCTTCGCCTACACCCATCTGTTGTGCCAGCGCTGGGTTCATCTTCAGTATTTGCTGGATGTCTGCTGCGCCGAGGCCGCCGACGGCCTTGTTGAGGTCATCTCTGGAGGCACTTTCTGACCCCTCGGCTGATCCACCACCGAGCGCAGCTTTGACGCGCTTTCGTTTCGATTTCTTCTTCTTGCTTGCTGTGCCTGCAGCTGTGCTTGGAGCTGTCGTGTCCTCTTGTTCTTCTTCGTTGTCGGATTCGGCTTGGGTGGTTGTAGTGACGGGAGTTTCTTCAGGGGCTTTTCCTTTGTCAGCTGGAGCTGCACCAGCTTTCTGTTCGTCTGCCATATTGAGGTTGTGTGTTGAAGCTGTAAGTAGACGTGCTGTTGAAGGGACAGGAGGTACTCTGGTGGGGTAAATAATGAGGTGGGGTTCACGCGAAACGCTAAAGGTGGCAGGCAGAAGTCACGTGGACCTATATATTCTTGGTGATCTGTATCTTAATCTCGAAATGGTTTGATGTAACTGTGAAAGTTAGTCCACTGGACTTTGTGTAGTAGTGGAGAATACAGATTGAGACGTTGTTGTGATAAATGTTAACATCGACTCTAACAGTCGCATCTATCATTCTCAAGCACCAGGCTGCGTAGCATGCCTCTAATACCTCCATGGTCTCCACACAAGAGCTCTGCCGAGAAATCCTCATGGTTACAAGATCATTGATACAGTCTAATTAATTCGAAAAACTTGGTACGGTGTTGTTCTGTCCCTTACAGTGGAAGACTACCTCCATTATCCATACCGAATGCCTTCAAAGCGGCAAGAGCAACAGGTGCATAAGTCAAGATCCTGCTGTGTTCTGCACACCATTAGCAGGCATATTATATATCTCGATAGCACCCCGTAACCTACGGCCATGTCCCACAATTTCCTCTCTGATGATTTTGTCACTGGTAGCCTTCCAGGTGCTGATGAAAGAGCCATCTCCCATGTCAGTCGTTGATGTATCCTTCATCTTCTGGAATAATTCCACATCCATACCACCGTCAGTAGTAGCATTTGCAGCAGCAGCAAAGAGACCCTCCGAATGGGTCCAAGGAATTTCAGGATCATCTCTCGAGTGAATGATAAACAGCCTCAGCTTCTTACTTCGCCGGACAATATTCGCAATACGTGTCACAGACGGCCACTCGTCGACCACATAGCTGGCCAGTAGCCGCTGCAGAGCAGGATGAGTACCAAACGGCGACAAGATCGGGATGTACCCCAGAATCGAGTAGCCGGTGAGAAGATTGGGGATGCTCGTGAACCCAGCCACCAGCACGACACCGGCAAAGTCAGTACCCTGTTCAGCGAAATGTTCCACGACGGCGGATGTGACCGCCGTTCCCAGACTTTGTCCGACGATGACGATTCGTTCCGGTGGGATTTGAGCTACTTGCATTGCCCAATTTACAGCTGCGACGCCGTCGATGATGACCCCTTCCTCGGTAGGGGTACCAGTTGAGAGGCCGAAACCTCTGTAGTCGATCGCGAGAATGTGAATGTTGGAGGTGCTTCCATCCGATAGAGAGCGGTATGAATCCGTTCGCCAGCCTTGAGCAACCGTTCCGGCATTCTGTACATATTAGCTGCGATCAGCCGAGACTCGAGAATTAGGTTTGTACCCCGTGAACTGAGACTCATCAGTCAGTGTTCGAAAAGTCGGCATTGATGTACTTACAATTGATGATCAAACGAGCATCTGGGTCATTCTTGAGGAGTTGGAATGCTTTCGTCTTGGTAACATCCTCTACGCATCCTGAGGGCTGCTGTATAATCTCAGATTCGTGCTTTGCATACAGTCCCAATGGCATTACATGCCAGGCGTAGATGGTCTCTCCATCGGGTGTTGAGAAGTTGAATGGTGTTATTTGGTTCTCTGTATGCCTTATTAGTATTTCTCCCTGAAACTATCTGCAGGAAAACTTGCTTGCGAAACCAAACTGTTCTGGCTTATTGATATCCACCCACCATGCCGTGTGGAGCTTGTGTACATAGATGACACTAACTTGGTCAGACTAAATACTGGGAAATGTATCGCAAGGAGCAAATTACTGCCGTTGAAGCCATGGATTGGTGACTGCAACCAAAGCCACAGTGTATAGAGCAATCCCAGCGAACAACAACCCGTAAGCTTTCTTGAAAATGGGAGCAAGAGTAGCCATCTCCAGGCCGAAAGCCTCGCCTCCTAGATTGAGGTCAGTCACCAGAGCATAGAAGAAGCGCAATGCATCCTAGTTCAGCGGCAATAAACAAACGAACAAATGACAGAACCCAACGATATCTAATTTTTGTCCAATCCTTGACACTTCTCACGTGCCCCGGCCAATTGTTGGGCCAGAATTGTTGTTGTTGGTTGGTCTTGATACCAGACGAGAGCTGGGCTTGAGACACTTACACGCGACCAAAGCACAAAAGTATTTCTTTGAACAGTTTTCTTTCTTCCTTCTCTGGGTCTCTGATTCACATCCAGCAGCGTTTACTCAGTGGTACCGTCAAGGCGTTGCATCTGAAGCTGTTGTGGTTGCAGAGACCAGACAGTCGCAAGACTCGGCTGAGTGAGAGGTTTGATGTTCCTGGCCATCCTTCGCTCCTCGCATCGACCAGCTTCTGAACCAACATCCACTTCTCTTCACGTCTCCTCCCGTCTCGTCTCGTCCCACCAATCTTTGAACCGCTCAATCCAATCGACGACGCGTCGTCAACAACACCACATATATACAGCTGTCGACCAGCACTGTGACGGCGATGGAGAGGAAGAGGAAGCTTCCTGCTCGCGCTGCGCGTGTAGAGTCCGTCAGCAAGAAGAGAACTTCCACTCCTCCGGAGCCACGCACCCAGACACCAACTCCTCCTGCGCCGCCTCCACCTCCAGTTGAAGAGTCGTTGCCTCGAAGTATTGCGCCCGGAAAGCCGCTGCCTACAGTTGAAGAACCGCAGCCTGATAATCTCCCTGCGAGCCATTTCCAGACAATTCCAGAGAGGTAAGTTGGAACGAAGCTCTACGTGCTTTCGAGGCGCCAGGCTGACCAAGTCTCACAGCGGGGTTTTGGTAGAGTCACTACAAAGATCACGAGCAAAATGGTTGACCGAGGGCATATTCGAGAAATACTGGACGAAACCTACAAAGAAGAAAGGAGCTCCAGATGCACCACCAGACAACCCTGCGAAGGACTCAATGACGAAACTTGGGAGCTGCTCTATAACAATCGAACCACATACTTTTGAAGCTACCATGTATGCAATAAAAGACCCGAATCCGAAACCACTTCTTGCAACTGTGCCGCCTCAACAACAGATGTATCGTCCGATAATCCAGTATGGTCCACCTGGCGGGGTGATGCCTCCAACACCCCCTCCAGCTCCGGTGCAGCCAGTCCAACAGAAACCTCCACCTCCGATCCCACAATCATCACCAAGGCCACAAGATGTACAGATGGGAAATACTGCTCATCCTCCTCCTCCTAATAACACCTTCTCACAGCCTCCTCAAGTTCTCAATGCTCTACCGAACGGACATCGCCCAGCACCCATACAAACGACTTCAGCACCGAATACTTCACAATCTTTACCACCGCCTACCCCTGTTGGAAAGAGCACAGATCCAGTCATACAGATGTTGGCAGAACGAGCGGCAACAGATCCGAGCTTGAAAGCTTTGATGCGGATAGTTGCAAATGGCGAGGCTACGTCCGAGGAATTGAAGAGGTTTCAAAGTCATATCGATGAGCTTACGGAGCTTACTCGCGCCCAAAAAGCACGGCAAGCTGCTGCTGCTGCACCTCCACCTATGTCTCAAGCTCCGCCAAAGCCACAGAGTGTACCGCAGGTACATGGAAGCATACCGCAACAATCTGCCTCCACTCCAGTATCACATCCCACACCACCTGTCAAAGTAGCCCCAACTCCACCACCACCAGCTCCTACCCCAATACCTCAATTTCAGCCACAGCCACAAGCACTTCGATCAAAGGGACCAGTTGCTTCGTCAAAACCAGATATATCCGGGCTAGTATTTGAGTTTAGTGGTGGAAACGGAGACCGCTATTCCTTCCCCAAATTCAGCATTCTCGAAACTCGACCAAACGGCGAGGTGATTGTGTCATTTCTGATAGTCAGAAAGGGCAGCAGTAGCGAATATCCTTCATATGACCCAGAGCTTGATTACTACCAGCCGATCACCATACGGCTGTATGCACATCAACCACGGCAGCTGGATGCGTTACAGAAGATTGTTGCTCCTCCGGAAGAAGTCAGGCGATATATGGATGACATCATGGACAAGGCGACTAGAGCAGAATACGTACTTCTAGCTATGCGTCTCCCTCGCGATACAGAGCAGCCTGCACCCGTGGAGAAGGAAGAAGAGGCTGAAAAGGCCGACATGATGGATTTCCAGATCACGCCATGGGCTACTACAAATTCCACGCCTGTGCCTGTCCACAAGGTCAAACCAGCGAAGAAGCTCCTCACGGAAGAAGAGCAGTATCAAGCTTTCATTTCAACCGTCACTTGAAGACTTGAGGAATGTGTACCTATTTCTGACAAGGAGTTGGTGGTCTCGTTTCAATTGCAATTTAAGATACATCGCGGCGGAGTCTGGGAAACATCGCAATCGGGAGTCAACTCCATCAATCGAGCAATGGGTGACTGGTAATAATGGCGTCTTGCTTGTCGTCGAGCTTTTAGTCCGGCTGGTTGTTTGGTCTTTTGTCTAGGGATGGGAATAGTTTTGGGTATTTCAAAATGGGAATTGATTTGAACTTGTATTTTAGATGGTAGGCAGGGTCGAATGGCTGGATACGAAATCCGGCCAGGTCAATTTAAAGAGATTTAATGAAGCTCCTTGAGCGCGTTGTCGAAGTTCATGTTCTTTCCTTAGATTTTATTGCGGCTACGGAAGATGCTATTCTAAATGATGTTTAATTGTTTCGGTCCAGTCTTCTACAACCACGATCATTTTATCAACCTCTTAAATATCTGTTCTCAAGCTTAACCATTCAATGGATGCTGGACTTACGGGAACCTATGGACGAAAGCCGCGTAATGTTGTTGCGGGCGGGTATCGAGCCGTGGTTGATTGCTTGGTCTGGGGCTCAAGCTATGCGTCTAGTGCAGTTTCTTGTTGGCAATTCTCATTCTCCAGTTCATCGCAATGCTCAGAAGGAGAGAAAGATCTCATCTGCCTCTGGTTCTTGAGCCCACCTGAGGCATAACCTTGTATCTGTCCTATTGGCACAAGGGTTTGACTGCCATACTTCATAGCTGAAGGATGTTGCACAGTAGGACACGATTGTGGCACTTTGGTGCAAGACTTTAAGGGATTCGACATCTATCGGGGGCAATATGGAACAGATATTTTTTTAGCCAGTAATCAGAGTCATCGCAATAGCGGGAGAACAAGCAAATCATCGCGCTACACGTCGGGTTCGTCTCGCCACTATCATCATCCCTTCGCTCCCACACCACAATACTGCAAGACTCCCTCAATATGGCGCCAATTGCCTAAACGCCGCAATATCTCTAAACACCTTCTGATACCTTTCAGCCGTCATCGGCAGCCACAGCCCTGCCAGGTACACCTTAATATCATAATCCAGCCCCAACCCAGACCAAGACACCGGACTCTGCATCCCAACAAGTCCCACCGGGTTTCGCAACCACCCTTCATTCGCAGCGGCATGGTTTCTATCCACTCTAAACTTCAACTCTAATTCACCTCTTTCATTGATGCTGGGAAGCCCGTGTGGGTCTGGAACGAGATCGTAGAGCGGTGGACGAGGATGCTTGTTGTCTGAGGCGTGGAGTTGGGTGAGTATGGTGATGACATCTTTGGGGAGGTGAGGGAAGATTTGAGCGGGTGTAATGAAGGCGGTTGATGCGGTTGGGCCGTTGGGTTGGAAGGCTGTGGGGGGGAGGTGGAGTGTGAATGTTTCCTGGGCTGTTTGGAAGCGGGAGGGGGTGATTGAGATGGGGGAGGGGGGTGCCGCCATTGTGGGTAACTGGTGAGGAAGCAGATGGCGTTGAGTTTGAAGGATAGTTATGTATTGCGGTGGGGCGATGATGTGAGTAGAAGTGGCTTCTGGTGTGCAACTATATACTCCATGGGTAAGGCAACACACGATGCTGAGTCTTTGTGACAAATCAACAAGAATCTGCAAAATTTACTCAGTAGAGTCTGTCATGACTCTTTCTAATAAACATATCAAATTCAAAACAAACATTTGCGTAGCGAAGTAAACAAGAGAAGCAGTAGACACAGATTTGGCACTTGATGAGTCTTTGGCACTTCAGGATTTTTGGACAAAGAAATTCCAACTATGTGGACTAAAGTTGTAGGCGTGTTACTGTCATTCAGGATGTTGCTTCGATTTTATACCCCGCTATTGTTCACTGCGTAATCTCAATAAGTCTTCGGTATTGTCGCGGAACGCCCATAATCTGCGAGAGGTTGAAGGGCTTCCGGCACAGGTATATAGAAAAAGGTGATAAGATATGATATGTGTATTACTCAATCAGAAGCACCCTTTTCAGCTTCATGGAGTGCTATTCTTTGAATTTCTCAGGGCACTATATGCCTCTGTACGAACGATCCGCCATACAAGTTATTCGCAAACCGCCCCGCTCAACCCGAACTTAATCCAACCATCGTTTCTCAAGCTTGCACCAAAATTGTAGATATGATATCCCCAATTCCGAACTCCAAAACAAAACTCCATATCCCAGTCTCCCATCCCTACTGATGCTCATGTGCCACCCTCTCCTTCTCAGCATAAGTCATATTCCAAGGTTTCCTCGTCTTGACATCATTCATGATCTTCGTTCTGTCGAAAATTGTATCCCTACACCACGTCAGCATCAGTCACAAACAAATAAATAGGTGCCAACGTAGGATTATCTCACCTCCTATCTTGCTCAGGATGAACAGTCTCGTTGTAGTTGTCCAGCTGTTTCCTCACAGCGCCAGCAATGCCTTGTGATGTTGTCGGCTTGGCGATTGTGTTGACTGTGAATACGGCACCTGCTGCACCGAGTGCTACCAAGGCAATATTTTTTGCTGCGGCGCTCATGATGGTTTTTGGTAATGTTGAAGATATAATTCGTTCAGGTTTGTCCAAATCTTGAGTTGTGTGATTTGACTGTGTACTTGATTTTCAAGATAGTTCTGTTTTCCCGTCAGGGACACTTAGAACAGTTATATGCTCTTCCATAGACATCTGCACGTGTGTTGTGGCATGTCGTTGTGTTTCGCTTGTTCTCAGCGATGTTCTCGGTCGTACGATGGGGACGAAAGATCACCCGATTCCAGTGTCGGCTTCACCCGATATCAGCCAACTTCATCACTTCTCGAACTACATGCTCCTAATCGCTCCGTCCCGTTGAGATAATTGTAACTTTTCTGATCATTCGTTTCTGAAATCGTTCCGGATTGGCATGTTTGGTTGAAATGAGGAAAGAGAAGAGGGAATTTGAGGCACGTGACTCATATCTCTGTGATAAAGCAGTGTTGGTCTCTAAGGTGCGAACGAGAAGATTGATTTGAGCAAGACGACAAATGCAGAAAATTTTGTTTCTGATTTTCTGTATCTATGGAATTTCTCCACTGGCTTTAAAAGCTGCTGTGCGTTGGACTTCCTTCATCCTTCCGTGCCAAGCAATATCATCATCACAAGCAACACTTGAAAAGGGTTTTTTCTGCGCCGGAACGGGAGCCAGAAGGAGGCATTTACCGAATTACTATGCAAAAATCAATTGAGTTCTTTATCCAAGCTATCAGTCTTTATCAGGCAAATGATTGCTAATATGCACAAATTCTACTACAGTTAATGACGTCCCAATGAGCGATTCCGCCTCTACTCTATACCCTTCCTTCAAGTATCTAGAACACTTTGAACAATCTTTTATTTACCATGGATTCTACGAGATCAAAAGAGCTACTCACAAGCAGATAGATAAATGGCTAACTTGCTTAATCAGCAACCAGAGGTGGGGAAACACGAACGAGATTACGTCGGAGCATTTCCATCACTTACACATTTCAGTATCCCAAAGACGATCATAACAATGTCACAGCCACTAGCTATACCAAAGCTACCAGAAGATCTCGAAGACGTATTCACTGCGCATGAGAATGATCCGGAGGCTCTCCTCACAGCCTTCATGCCAGTCTTCTGCGATCACGTGAAGGCTGATCGAATGTTCATTCAACCAAGAAATCCTGATACTCGAGTTTGTAAAGTTCTTCGTTGGCGTAGAAGTGAAGATATCCCGATGTGTGTTCCTTTCTTTCGCCGTTTCATACCGATCGTAAGTGCTCACAAGTCTCAGGCCGGCTATCCCCGGGAATATCAGGCCCAATGAGTGGTTCGTGGAAGACAGATGGGAAGTTGAAGATCCGCTGTGGAGATCAGCACTGAATGTACGTAATCTTGTCAATAGACATTTGAGAAATAGAGATGGCATCTGATGACGAGATTACAGCTCAAACCAAGGTACATACGCTAGGCGAGCCCCCGATTTCGTCGGCTAACTCAGTGTAGTATTTATATCGAGGATCTACAAAAGGCTGCCAATGAAGGCCTATTGAATATAGACTTCGAGAACAAGTACATGTTTCATACAGCTTTCATTCACGCTCATGCTCATTGGCCTCCACTGCCGTCAACTGATGACAAGGCGAATGCGAGGACGGAGAGGAAGTTTTATGGATCTGTACAACCTGCAGTCTTTAATGGCCCCAGAGTCTGGGGCCCGGAGGTTCATGAACTGGTCGGTAAGTGTGTTGAACGACTTGCGCCTGTCATGAAGAGTTTGGGAGAGACTGCTCCTTCTTTAGAAAGCTTTGGCATTGCTTAGGTCTATAATGCTGTAGTCCATAAAAATAACACTTGTAACAAATTTCTGGTTCTCGATCAGTTGCTGGACTGCCGAAGTATTTGGACTTCGGATACGACATATATCTCCCTTTTGGGGTCTCTATAGAGCTGTGGCGAATCTGCAATCCCATTTACCATCAAAGGCCTACGTGATACATTTCTCTCAATCACAACTATACCGGAATCTCGCAAAGACCCTAGCATGACACAAGGTTGTAAGTGTGTCCGGAGGTATTTACTTTTGTGACCGTAAGCGAGAACAGCAGGTGAGACAATTATTACAATGATTTCGATAACCTTACATATAACAGACGGTCAAGAATAGCCTGGAATAGATTATGGGGTACCAAGAGCTAGAGATACTGCAATTTCTGAAAAGTTTTTCACTCTGCCGCCAGGATACAGGGTGACTTCGCCAAACTTTGGCGGGGTACGTGCTAAAACGCGGGGTAATTGACCCCCACAAACTCGCCAATCACTTCACTATCCCGTCCCACATGACCGTGGGGCCTTCCCCAAAAGTCAACATGCGCACTCCTTGTAAGCTTCATGATATATGAACCTATATTAACGAATTCTCAAACTTTTGATCATCAAATTCTTTCATTCAGAGGCAAATTTATCAAAAACCCATTCAAAATGCTCGAACCAGAATACGCACCTGGTATTCCCTCGCGAGTCACCGAATATGCGAACATGTACAAGAAGGCGGTTCCAGGATAATGCGACTACAATGCAACCAGCCACTGGGCCCGTGCCAAATATCAGATCGCAAGTGTTGCCGCAAGGAATCAGCAAAAAAATATTTGAGGAAGCTATCGAAGAGCTGAAGCCTTTGGTGGATGGCGATGTGTTGCTTGTGAATGAAGAGCTGGATGATGGGTGGTATTTGCATCGGCCGCTCACACACGATGCATTCCCGCTTGGAGCCCAGGATGAATTTGTTAATAGTGCGATATGCTCGCCTGGAAGTGTTGAACAAGTCCAAGCGGTGGTGAGGTGGGCGAATAAGTGGCTAATTCCGATATATCCAATTTCAATGGGAAGGAATCTTGGTATTAATTCTCTCATGTTATCTTAGATGGACTTATACTCAGGTATTGTAGGTTACGGAGGAGCTGCTGCTCGACTACCAGGATCCATCGTAGTGGATCTCGGGAAGAGAATGAAGAAAGTCCTCGAGCTTGATGAGAAGAGTGCGTTTTGCCTGCTTGAACCAGGTGTGAGCTACTACATGCTCTTTGACGAGATCAAGAAGTCGGGGAAGGATCTCTGGGTTGATGTGTACGTAAGAACGAGCACCGGGTTCCTCGCAAGATATTGACCTTGAGTAGTCCAGACCTTGGAGGCGGGAGTGTGATTGGCAACGCCTTGGATAGAGGAGTTGGGTATACGCCCTATGGAGGTAGGTCTGCCCAATACAGCACTACAATTGTTGCAGAAAGGTTTGAGTACTTTGGCTTATTCGCGATAGACCACTTCGGGATGCACTGTGGCCTGGAAATCGTCCTACCAGACGGCGAGCTGATGCGAACCGGTATGGGCGCCATGCCAGATGCGAATACCTCGCACGGCAGCGCGAACACATGGCAGCTGTTTCAATACGGCTTCGGGCCGTACGCTGACGGTCTGTTCTCGCAGTCGAACTATGGCATTGTGACCAAGATGGGATGTAAGTGCCAGTCGGGTCATTCTTGATATCTTGCTCGCTAATCGTTAGCTAGTCTGGCTGATGCCGAATCCGAAAGGGCATCAGACGTTTCAGATCACGTTTGAGAAGGAGGAAGATCTCTATGAGATTGTAGAGACTATTCGGCCGCTGCGAATACGGAATATCATTCCTAATGTGCCGCATCTTCGACATATCATGCAGGAGGCGAGTGTTTATGGTGATAGGAAGGCATTCTGGGATGGTGATAGACCTATCCCACACGATAAGATCGATGAAGTTATCGTTCCCAAAATGTGGATGGGGAATTTTAGATGGATTCTGTACCTCTGTGTTTATGGTCCGGAGGTCATTCGGAAAGCTCACATCGATGTCATCCGCGAGGAGTTCTACAAGATCCCAGGCGCCAAATTTACTTTCCCCGAAGACACACCCGCGAACTCCTACTTGCGAAGTCGGGTCAATATATACGCGGGCATTCCCGATTTGCGAGAGTTGGACTGGGTAATGTGGCTTCCGAATGGCTCGCATACAGCGTTTAGCCCAATCAGTCCGACAACAGGAGAAGACGCAGTCAAGCAGTACGAGATGACGAAACGGATCCATCAAAAGTACGGTTTCGATTACTTCCCTACATTCTGTGTTGGCTGGCGTGAGATGCATCATATCGTGATGATAATCTTTGACCGGAAAAGCGAAGACTCAAAGCGGCGGGCGACTGCCATGATGAAGGAACTGATCAGCGAAGGCGCGAAATTGGGCATGGGCGAGTATAGAACACACATCGCATTTCAAGATCAGGTCATGAAGACGTACAATTACAATGACGGGGCTTTGTTGAAGTTTCATGACCAGATTAAAGATGCGCTCGATCCCAACGGCATCATGGCACCTGGCAGAAATGGAATCTGGGGATCTCGATGGAAAGAGAAAGGTCTAGAGCGGGCATAGCCAAAGTATCAATACTAAGCTTAATGCATACAGATAAAAGAGAGTTGCGAGTTCGATAACAGCTTCCAAGTGACGGAGTGAGTGATGTTTATCTAGCACTTTAAAGATGAACCCCAAAGCTAGACTGTGAGCCTCGCGAGAAATTGAAGGACTCTAGAGACCCGTCGAAGGGTTACACCTAGAAATCGAAAGAATTGGGTTTCGCAAAAGCTGCGCGTCGGAAAAATGCTCGTGATGTAGGTGTGCGAGGCGACTTGATTGGTTTCATTGGTGTCTTCTGTACGTCACTCGCCGTCACAATTTTGAATTCCAAACTGATACCGAGATGGGTTCCCCGGTCTGAGATTTGCCGATCATTCCGTAGCTCGATGCTTGACCGTTAGATCCTGTGGGGGAGGGTCGTCTCTCCGACTGGTGTCTGTCTGACGCGAGTCATTGTCGCTTAGCAAGTTCCATATTCCGACTACTGTATCGTGTAAATGGACAGCTGCAACAATCCAAATGAGACTCCGTTTGCTGTACGCTTTTCTTTGCAAATCCAAGTGTAATATTTGCTGTTATCGGAACGCTGCTTTGGTATTGTCATCTTATGATTTCAATCGTAGCCGGTTCAGTCACGATGAGTAGGTCTGATCTCATCAAGTCGTTTCAGCTCACGATCGCCAGGGCTTAGGTCTCGCTTATCCCTCCCCCTTTCTACTCCAAAACAAGACAACATTCGTTTCGCCAAGCACGGAACCGAGGGTCAGAAACCATCGTCTCAACTTCTCCATCCATTCAGCATCGTGAGTTCTGTCTGCATCGCTACCATAAAACATGCCCGACGTCCCTGCTGTGTTTGTGGCTGAAAGTCAAATCCGTCAGTGGACCAAGGACCATCCCATACATCAGCAGCAGAAGCCGAAGTCGTCGGGAATCCCTCCCACCTACATAATATTCCCCGAAACAGAGGTCACCTCGTAATCCTCGTCGAGTGTGGTTATAGGACAGCGTCATTGATCCGAGCGCCCGTTCACGAGTACCGATTCCGGTTGCAGAAATGCTGATCGGCGAGAGAGTTCACTCCTTCACGAGGAGGGTGCATGAATGGAGGGCGAGCGATGCACCAGAGATGCATGTCGGCGTGCAGCAGGTACAGAGCATTAGCATGCGAACCATAATAGGACCTTCTTAAGACAGAGCCAATACCCACATTATTGGTTTGGCCGTTCCTGTTTATCAAAAGCAGGTCTTTCGATTCGAAGTACGCGAGGAACCGACGATCATGAATAGCTACCAGAACCAGAGCCAGATGCCGATTCCACTTGCATATACCAGCCATAGCAAGTCCGATTTTGTTTTTCCAAGGCGTCCTCCCACGCCGGCACAGTATAGTTCTCCGATTTTAGCCAGGACTGAACCGGTTTATGACAGGCCGCGGCATCCTCTGTTGACTTGGATAAGCGACGATGTACGCAATCATTTGGTTGCCATGTTGGGGGAGTTTATGGGGACGTTCTCATTTTTATTTTTTGCGTTGACAGCCGTCCAAACCGCGAACGCAAAACCGGATACCTTACCACGGATAGATTTTCTTTTCAACTCGCCGAGTTTGCTGCAGATAGTATATATCAGTGCTGCATTCGGAGGCAGTCTGGCAGTCAATGTTTGGATATTTTTCAGAGTCAGCGGAGGACAATTCAATCCAGCTGTGCGTATCAACCAACGTTTTGGTCTACCAGTTACTGATGTAGACAGGTCACTTTTGGATTATGCCTCGTTGGAGCCGTTCCTTGGCAAAGAGGTGCATTGTTGGTCCCTACTCAGCTTCTTGGTGCAACGGCAGCATCGTTGCTAGTCTCTGATCTGTTTCCGGGAGAATTCAATACTCAGTCCAATTTGGCTTCCGGCGTGTCCGTCAACCAAGGATTCGTGATTGAGATGATGATGACCCTTTTATTAGTCTTCACGATCATGATGCTAGCGGTGGAGAACCATCGTGGATCATTTCTCGCTCCACTCGGTATCGGCATCGCTTTATTTATGGGACACATGATTGGTACGTTATCTCCGACCTCCGCATAATTGAGGATTTATACTTACTCAGCATAGGGATAAACTTCACCGGTGCTGCCATCAACCCTGCTCGGAGTTTCGGTCCAGATGTTATATTGGGGGATTTTAAGGGAAATCACTGGATATATTATATCGGGCCACTTATGGGAGGTCTCTTGGCAGCAGTATTCTACAAGCTCTTGAAATTCCTGGAATTCTCGACTGCGAACCCAGGACAAGATGATGACGGGCTGGATATCTATCGCATTGTGACGAGCAGACCTCCTGCCCTTCGCCGACGGAACAGCAATGAAAGTGTCACATCTCTCACACCACTGGCATACCACTGAAATCTCGGATCGATCAGATGAGAGAATAATTCACAATAAGGACCGAACCACAGCCGGAAAGTCGAAATGATGCAGACCTCACGCAACTCGGAAGCAGAAGGAGATGACAACTGGCTCAGAGACATGCTTACAAGTGTGGTTCCCGGACTGGGACATGCCTGAAATGACTAGTCATGGATGCGAGGACTGAGCTGGTCTGAAAGCTACTGTGAGATAGCAGAGCTGATACTCGTCTCGTATTACGTCGGTGATCTATGCGGACGAATGGTTATGCTCAAGATAGATAATAATGCAAAGGGCACTTAATGAATCAAACGTTGAGCAGATTGAGTCGGAAATGTGGGTAGATGAAGGCATGTTTTGAACCTGGATTGGGCCGAGTGGATCTGGAAAGATGATTTGTGTCAGAGAACGCTGCGGAAGAATCAATTCCAGTCAGAAGCGAAACCAAATGGATGATTCGTGCGTCGTGTAACTTGCCATGACTCGGCCTGATCTTCCCGAAGAGTCCCAAGCCTTGCAGGTGTGATGTTAGTCGGCACGTGGACCGGTAACATCCTGCCAGAGAGCACATCTGTAATAGAAGACCTCCCATGAATGCGACCCAGAAGCAAAAACGATCGTTGGCAATCATACAATTTGATTAGATCGCTGGAGCGTTCTGCACTTAGTCGAAAGTCGCAAAAAAGGTAAATCGTATAGCAGAAAGAGGGATCATAAACGTGAGGGTAAAAAAAGCGCCAGTTCAAGAATACATGATGGAATCAGATATGTTCTAATGTGGCCATATACTGTACGGGGAAACGACAGGAAAAGAAGCTTCAAGGAATATGTTTCGGGAGGAACTGCTTATTTCTGTAGTTGTAGATCTTATATCTAGCAACTGTCACTGGACGAGTTCTGGTAGTCGGGCCAGCATCTGCTTTCCACTGTATATGACTTCAAAATACACGTCGCCGATTAAACGGCAATTCTGTACTCTGAAGTAACAGCTGTGGAGAAAGCCTTCACGCCAGCTTGCAATTTCTCTCGTATCTAACGAATAGTGACTGCCTTACATCATGAACACTAACCTGGAGATTGTTAGCCGCGGAGGCACAATGTGGAAAAGTGACCCACACACTGGGTGCGTTGTTCCTCTCTTACCCAAACTCGAGAACTCCATATGTCCATTTGTCGTAGCGCCCGTGGTATCATATGCCGTAACACCGTATCCTTCAGAACTTCCATCTCATTCCCTGTACTCCGTTCCCAATGCAAACCCAGTTCCCCTTAATGCCGTTGTAACCGCAGCCGTGGTCGAGTTGTCCGTCCATTCGAATTCTTCATCTGTTAACATGGTTCTGGGAGCCTCAAGAGAGATGCATACTCTGTCTGCACATAGGACATTGACCCTTCGAAGATTCCTGCTTGATCCATTCTATGATACAATGCTGTCGTTCGTCAGTCCTCGAACTCCCAGAATCGATGTTCAGGCTAACCATATGGAAATTATGTCCGCATTTCCCAGAGACTGTTGGCATATTAGCATTTCAGCTCCTGCCTTTCAAAGCGAGAGTACGTACGCAAGCTACAGTCGTCGCCTGGATATTTGCAAGTAGGACATGTGCCATCAAAGTGTACTTGACAAATTCCACAGACGTCGTCGTCAGGAATATCCCATCGCCATGTGGCTACTGCGTTCCACTTCAGGATCTTGACCTTCATCGTGATGGATTCATGTATATCAGCATTGACTGCTGTGAAGAACACCGTAGCGAGTGGTGCTTTCGAGGTCAAGTTCACCTGTGGGAGAGGTTGTTGTTGACTTTCCACGAGATGATGTTGACTTCGAGTCGCGTCTGCCCGCGCCTCGATGATCTCTCTAGCTCGCCATCACGTGCCAAGAATTTCTTATCGTCCAACCACCAGCACCTGCACTGCTGCAGCTTCACAAGCCAGCGCCAACCTCCATCCATCCAGCCCAGCTCCAGCTCCAACCCCTCACCCGGCTCGCCCATCCGCCTCCTCTCTGCTGCGTAGATTTGACTGTTCCTCAACATCTCCAGCTTCACCTCCATAATCCCACTCTTACTTCAACCAATCCTCGCCTCCACAGCTCCAGCTTACCTGATGCGTTCCAGATAACGGCTCAGAACCCACTCGTAGCACGCAATGGCGGCAGCTACTATCTTCACAAGAGGAGCTCCTCGCCCTCTCCTCTTCTCTCGCCATGCCTCCAGACTCTCTCGCACAGCAGCAACAGGAAACATGTCTGGTGTACGAGCTCTCTCCTCTTACCTTGTCACTCCGACCGAGCTGCACGCTGCTCTCAAGAAGAACTCTCCTTCCAAGATCTCTACAGCTCCACGAACTGTCGCCCTCTGCGCAAGCTGGTTCCTTCCCAATGATGGACGCAAGGGTCTCGATACTTTCCGCGAGAAGCGTATCCCTTCTGCACGGTTCTTTGACCTCGACAAAGTCATTGATAAGCGCTCTCCCTACCCGCATATGCTGCCTTCCGCTACAGACTTCGCCAAGGCGATGAGTGCATTGGGAATCAAGCAGGATGATACGGTTGTGGTCTATGATAGTGCTGAGCAGGGTATTTTCTCTGCGCCGAGAGTGGGATGGACATTGAAGGCTTTTGGACATGATTCCGTACATGTGCTGAATAACTTCAAGCTGTGGGTAGAACAGGGTCTACCGACTGAAAGTGGAGAATTCTGGGATGTGGATACCTGCGTCTATCCTATTCCCGAGTTCGATGCTAGCAAAGTCGTGGATTTTGAGGAGGTAAAGGAGCTGGCGAAGGACTATAATAAAGAGGGTGCAGAGGGAGTGCAGATTCTGGATGCGAGGTCAGTGGGTAGATGGAGTGGAAAGGATCCTGAGCCAAGGCCAGGATTGGAGTCTGGACATATGCCAGGCAGTATCTCCGTCCCGGTATCAGAACTGTTGGATCCGGTGAATAAGACTATCCTTCCAGGAGATCAATTGAGGAAGATTTTCGAGTCGAAGGGCATTGATCCTGCAAGACCGATCATCAACAGTTGTGGAACTGGTGTCACGGCTGCTGTGATCGATGCGGCCTTGGGTGAAGCTGGATATGGATCGGCGGACAAGCGGAGATTGTATGATGGGAGTTGGACGTAAGTTGCTGCATACCCAGCAAATCTGTCCCTGCTAACATGTCACAGAGAATGGGCACAACGGGTCAAACCTTCAGACAACCTGATAATCAAGGAACAGTAAATGGATGGCAGGAACACGGATGGGGGACTTTATTTTCTTTTGTCGATGCATTTCAGCGTTTTGCATGTGATGGATACCCACAGCTCTCTTCTCTACCAAAACAATCCTGCTCCTCTGTATATGGCGATGATGTCTTGTAAAATGGATACCAAAATAATGAATGGTCGTTTCAGGTCACTTCTTTACCGTCCTCTTAAGATTCACTGTTTGTGTTTCCAACTCGCTTTCGCGAGCGTCAGAAAGTCATTGATTACTCTCTCGAGGGTGCAAATGCTTTGAAATCCACTTCCCAAGTGCGAGCTCTCTATTCTGCCACTTATATATAAATACGCTCCACTGATGAACGATAACCAGCAGGTCTCGCACATACGTCACAGCGAACACTCATATCCCTTCCTTGTTCCTACCGCTGTAGAGTACATGCATTCCCTCGCTCAGAATGCCTTTCCCACTATCTGCAGGTGTATATATCTTCCTAGGCTTCGTAACATACTACCTAGTCATATTTCTTACTCTCGTCCAAAGAGCAGTTTTGAACTAGGTTGAATGGTAATGAGAGGACTTTTGATAACATTTGGTATTAATGGGGAGAAAGAGTGCTGCAGTGACTGATTTGAAAGGTTCAATCCGCGTGAGGGAGAAAGCAAAAGACGAGCTGAGATGATGGAAGGGAAGGGGGTGTCTGTCTTGCCTCTGTTCAATGACTTGGTTGTTTCCATATATTGTTACTTCTAGTTCCCTTTCTGGGAGAAACAGGACCGGAATAGTGTCTTTTTTTCCGACTTGATTAGGAGGGTATCTCTACATATACCTCAAGGCAGCTTGGTATCTTGCAGCTCTGAACCAAAAAGGGATTTTTCTGAGCTAGTGATAAGAATTATTCATTTCTTCGCGCTTGTGAAGTCACCTCTCTCCCACACTGTCGATGTAAGGACTTGATGAGAGAAGCATGGTTTCAAATTCTTATAAAAGGGCGATTTCTCAGTGCGAAGCCATTGAAGGGTAAACAAAATACAGCAAGCAGTTCATTACTGGGTGTCTGTGATTTACCTTTTCTCACTCTATGGTATTATCTACAAGATCGAAATCCTTACTGATACGTCTTTCCCTGTTCTTCTGGTATTTCTGCTTTTGCGTCAACTCGTTGATTCGTGGCCACTTCCGAGGAACCCGATCCGGTAATTTTGCTGTCAAAGTTCTATCCACTGTCAATGTTTGAGTGCCTCGAACAACAGCCACTTCTGTACACGGGGCTCCGTGTGTTAGATTACTTTCATCGCGATCGTTAAAAGTCTAGAGCGTTTAGTCTCGAGTGTTCTGCAAATATTTCCAGCATGCTCTCTGGCATCCAGATTGAACAACGTCTCACCAGTCGAACTCAACAGTGTAGGCTTCGCCCCCTCTGTTTGCAGGGATTGGGTGATTGGGTCAGTAATCAGTATTTATATCCCTATCTTCTATCGCACTGCTCTCCATACAGAGTTCGCGTACAAGTTGATTCTTGAGAAGTGTTCGTTCAGTGAATTTCTGCTCTGAATTGTATCTGCAGATATGAGCACAATGATTATTTGAATAAGTGAATCAACAACCATGCTTCACTTGAATCGTGCGTCAGATTGAGTAGTCTTTCTGTGTACGAGATATAAATATACCAGTTTTCTCCACTTGCTTGACCATAAAACTTACAACTGAGAGAGATGACTGATCTTATGGAGAGAGGAGGGAGACCAGCTTCGTTGGCTGTAGACAACTTTGTATCTTTCGGTCAATAGAAGAGGTGGAAAGTATCTTTCTCTGGGCAAAAGATTTTTGAGCCGAGGTTCCCATAGACGTGTATGAATATTTCCGTCCCGGTCCCATAAGTCGTTCTCCAATTTTGCTTGACAGGGACATTTTTATTGACAACAACATCGCTGTGGGAGGTGAAACCATTAAGCATCTATCTCCCTGATTCCAAATTCAATCACTTCGCAATAATGAATGTAGAGGAATGAATACGACTAATCTATCCCTCCCTAAAGACCAATCTCCACCACTCCCTCTGAGTTCCCATAGGATGCTCTTCGGACAAGCTACTCGATTCTTTGTCCACTGTAGGATGTGGAAGTAGGTCCTTTTATATCAGTCTGTGCCCTGCTGACTGTAGAGCTTGCACTTTTTCCGGCCAATGGGTTTGTTTGATTCAGAGGGTTCGGGACTGGCTCCATTCACTTTGTTCGGTTGGAGGGGCAAGCGTTCTCGCTTAATCCATGTGAGGTGTTTACATTGCCCCGTAAAGTCTCGTAAAGTGAGAGGTTCTGCTATATACTATTTACATACACTTTTCGATTAATAATATATATATCTTCGCCTCTTGATTGCATTGAATCGTGACGAGGATTAGTCTTTCTCCTAAGGATTGCGTTAAGACCTGTCCACGTGAAATGATATCTGATCACGCTTCGCGCTATCCTGCTTGGCCAAGCACTTTTCCCATAAAAGCCTACTCCAGATCTGCTAGCAACGATATCTGTTGCTAAGGATCCGAAGGAATCAGTTCAAGGGCAATTTTCGGCGGGAATTTCAGCAAAGTATTCGTTTTGAAGACTGTACTGTTATGCCAACTAGATATCGTGTTCCAAGAAACTTCATATCTTCATCCACTCTGGCGATATTCGGATAAGGTGAAGCATCTGCCGGCGGTACTCTTCATACTGTCAACTCTAAAGACACTAGCAGTATTTCTTAACTTACAGACACCATTTCTTAGCTTACAGACACCATTGAGCACTGATTGAGAGTGATCCATGCTCAACGTCACAAAGTCTCTCGGTGGTTTTCGCAGAAAAAACGACTGTCCTAGGTGCTTCTGCTCAAGAGTGTTGAACACCCGACACACTTTCGCTCCTCCACATTCTTTGAACACCGGACTCAATCTTTCTCAGAGACTGTGTAGCAATTTTCTTTCGACACATCGCCTGCAACTTGGATATACATACTATGACAGTAGTCGATCGCTCAATCTAGGACAACTTTTCCCAGATATCTATTCACCATATGCCAGCGGTAAAGCCTGAATCAACTGTAATTGATTGATTGATGCTGTCTTGTGAGAACAAACGCCGATTACATTGTGATGAATCCACCGAATACAAGCAATTTGAAAGAATTCCAACTATTTATCCGCTAGATGACGATATTTTCAACCACAGATTTTCACATAAGTAAAAGTAGCAGACAACGGTTTAATGCAGTTCATCAATACCGAAAGAGATATTTCAGTGATCTCCAGAAGATTTCTCGTTGCTGGCGATGAGTTCTTTGATATCGTACTTCTGGGGAGCTAGCTAATCGCTTGTTACAAAGATAAATGGTAGTTGTAAAAGAATCCATCGTGTAGCAAACGTGAAGCTACAAGATTAACTGCTACTGCTTGTCGAGCGATATCGTTGGCAGCGGTCTGTTCAGTGGGAAAGTGAAGTTGAAGTTGGAGTTATCCTTTTCAAGGCTGTGGAAGTCTGTGACATCATCAGCCGATGGTTCTGGGAGAACTCTGCATTGCGTGGCGCTGGCTTCTTGACCGTTCTAGGGCTTCCATATTGGGTATTAGCTCGGAGAGGATGTCTGCAGAAAATCGTTCTATTGAAAGGCCCATAGTGGAAATCTGTCCGCCTAAGGACCCGCGTTTATCGCAACTGACCATCACTTCTCAAAAGAAAAAGAGGATATCTTCAGGCTCCAGGCAAGAACAATTGCCCAAAGAATCTCAGATCAGTGGTGCAAAGTGTTGGGGCCCAAAGTTTCGGAATCTTCAGTAAATGAGGCAAAATGAGGCTGCACAGTTGAGACTTGGGAGAACAGCTCCATAAACACATTCAATTCAATTAAGTCATTCAGACGATACAGACGGGTTGATAAGATCACGACGTTGGGGAACTTGCTGCACGCCCGATCTATGGCACGAACTCGCCCATCGCGCCTTCCCTCCCGTTGAAGTCAAAGGGTAATCACTTTTTCTGTATTCACTACCTACCTACCGAGGGTGGCATTCTCCACGATCATGGGACTTAGCTGATATTAATTTTCAATACAAGTTGGTTACTTTATCCTTAGATTCAAGTTCGCACATATCGCTTGCTCCTCCACCAATCGCCAACCGCTGTTATTTATACCGACAGCAATAAAACACGATGAACTCTCAAAATCTGGCAGAATACCCTTTTCCGGAGCTCCTCCATGGAGTCTCTTCCCTCAAGATTGAGACACCAAAGCACTCTCCAGTCACCTCCCCGTCGAAGCCAACACCAAAACAGCAAAGCCCCCTCCGCGCAGAAGCCCCTTCATTCATCCCAGGCGAAAATTATCAATCTCCGAATAGAGGAACAAAACCCCATCAACAGCCTACACAGGAAAGTCAATTCAGCTATAGCTCTCAACTTAACCCTCGACTTCACCATCGCTCCAAAACCGAACCTCATCCACACTTGCGACAGCCATCACCACCCAAACTCCATCCACACCGCCACCCTCTCCCAGCAATTCCTCGAGTCACCTTCACCAGACAAGACATCTGCATGTTCTTCGGTATGGAAGATATGATCGATGATTTGTACGAGGATGTAGTGCAGTTCTTAGAGAAGAGACCGAATGGTAGGACTGAGGCCGAGGCGTTGGACTTTTATCTGGAGTTTGTGGCTGGAGGAGGGGAGCGGCATATAGGGGAGAGGATGCCGTGTAGATACTGTGATTGGTTTAGGAAACAGAAGAGAGAGTGTGAATACCTCAGTATGGGTATTAGGGGTGGCGGTGGACGTTTGTGAAGGGGAGTCCGGAGTGGCCGGACAAGTTGTATGAGAGGAACTAGAAGAGATGACGCAGCTAGGCGCTTGAGGGAATTAAGCACTCAGGTGACTTACAGAGAGGAATGGGGTCTGCTACAGACAACGAATATGCCATTGGCCGTGATCTCAGATATGGGGTGGTCCTGAGTGCTGCTGGAGCCGCACAGTTAGATGCATGAGCCATCGCACAAAGACTAGCCAAACAAAGAAATTACGGACCATATCACCACACCACTAGTTGAATAATACCATGATTGTGAGCACACTCTATACTATGCACATATTATATAGAGAAAACTTAGCCTGGGTTGCTTCAATATGGTCCTCAACAATACGGGTTAGAACTGTTTACGTGCATCTAAATTAAGCGAGCGTCCAATCAATTCGAGTCTTTTGAGCCTAGTCAACCACGTCAGGCATCATTTATGCTAGCTTGAGAAGTGCCCAACAGACAGAATTAATCTCCTTCGAAGTCACGATACTCTAAGTATTTCCTCTTCAATCCTGTATCTCGAGTGGCTGCACTGAAGTCGCAACTCGCAATCAAGGTCCTGGTCTGTGAGCTTCCCGATGCACCACGCTCTCGAGCCCTCAAACCAGTGTGCTCTTCACAGTGTGCTATCTCCAACCTTAGAGACCCGTCTTTTTAAGCAGATTATATCCGAACCCAAATTCTAGCTTGTCAAATCGCTACTTGGCAGGTACTCCTCGAGTTACAGTCGCTGCCTCGAATCTTTACTCAAATCGACTTGCGCCCCCCCAACTGGCACCACAGAAATAATATACAACTACAAACTTACTTTTCACACACAAACTTGAATTGACTGTCACTTACGACTCTCTACCAGAGTCGGTCACGATGACAGACTATTCTATTGGCTGCGCGCCAGGCGAACCCTCCTACATGGAACTCCTCTGCCATATACCTCTAACTACTAACCCCCCTGATTGGCGAGACTTATCCCTCAGGGAACAAGACTTATGGCAATTCGAAGCGTGGATAGAAGCTCAGTATAGAGAGGCTATGAAGAAGCTGAAGGCTCGAGAGGAGGAGGAAGAGGCACCAGAGGAGGAGGAGAAGGCACAAGAGGAGGAGGACAAAGCTCAAGAGGAGGACGAGAAAGCTCGGGAGGAGTGGGAGAAGGTAGAGAGAAGGAGGCTTGGTATGCCTCGAAGAATACAGGAGAAAGTGAATGAGATTAATTTTGAGACGGTCGGTGAGTGCGGTGAGATTGAGGTAGCTGGCAGAGAGACCAGAAAGGCAAAGCTCAGGGGACTCGAGAAGCGACGCGAGCAAGACCGCCAACAAGCCCAATCTCTGGAACCGAAAAGACCTCACCGTAAGGTACAGAATAATGATACAGAAGATGAGGTCAGGATTGTAGGATCAAGGAAGAGATATAGGTCAAAGCAGAAGGAGATGGAAGATGATGAATACGAGGATAATGAAGAGGTAGTGGGTAGAGTGGGCAAGAAGGCGAAACTCGAAGAAGTGCAGAAGATAAACAAACAAAATCTCGAAGCATCTTATTCTCTCCAAGGGTTGCAGCATCAGCGCAAAGGGCAGGATGAGAAATCGGACGATGACGTTCAGTATATAGGGACTAGGAAGAAAGACAAGTCAAAGGAGAAGGTACAGGAGGTTCAGAACGCCAATGACACTTTTGAGGTACTTGGTAGCCGGAGCCGGAATTCAAAGCCCAAGGCTGTTGAGAGAAGACTTGAGGAAGCTCAGGCACTTAGAGGGGCAAAAACAACAACATCCTCAACAACCAGCTATCTTCAATCCACACTCAGGATCACTTCGCCAAGCTCAACCTTCTGTACCTCAACAACCTCCACGACCAGCTCTGTTCGGTACAATACCAGTCCCTGCAACTGCTCCTCAAGCTCAAGTCTCTGCACCAGCACCCAGCTCAATCCTCGCGCCACCTCCGGTTTCCCGTTTCGGCTGGAGCCCAAGCTACAACCAAGTCCAACGCCCAATTCATCCCCACACCCACACGCAAACCCGACCCCAGATTCCTACACAGTCCTCGCACCCATACAGCACCATACCAGTCCGACCATACATCTCACCATACGCGCCTCCCATAGCTGCAGCACCTGTTCTCGCACCACCACCATAAGCTCTTGCGTACCGAGGCCCTAGATGGCTCTTGGGACGATTCGGGAGCCAAAATCCACAGCAAGTGTCGCGAAATCAACATATGAAATTGAGAGGGAAGAGGATATGATGAGTGATGAGGGGATCTGGAGGCAGCTTGAGGGAGGTTGAGGTTACACAACGAGAGATAATGTAGACATACGGACATGAAAGAAAGCCCCACTCATCCGCTCCATAACAATCAAAATGGAAGTCATAAAACACAGTTGGTGCTTTGCTAGGTACTACGATGCGGAGACGCGTGACTGTGAATAAGAATGAAGCATTGTAATAGTATAAAGTAAGAGGGGCAATTTTTACACCGTATAACAGCTCGGAACATCAGACTTGATACGAGAGCTGCATGTAAAATCCAATTTCAATGTCTCAAAACCTACCAGATATATCGGTCTATTCTACTGCACAGTGCAATGCAGTGCTTCATCGATAGACGGACCGGACAAAAGGATGCAAACCCCTCTCTCCTTTTTCTTCTTCATCTTCCCCATGACTTATCTTACTACCTGCTGTGCCCTCGGAGTTTTTTATCACCCTGCTTGTTCTATGAGTGTCACCGTCATCATCCCACGTTTCCTGGGGTCTACTTTCGTTATGGTGTGTCATTGTGTAACGTGTGTAACTTGTGCTGTGTCCAAGAACAGATACTCCCTGCGCCAGAGACGGGATGGAATGTTATGACGTGTGTGGTCATCGAAAGCCCCAAGATTTTCTTTATATTAAAGAATCCCTGTCTATTTGGAGTATTCGTATCTATCTTGCAACAGAAGGGACGGGGTTGAAATGGTGATGATGATGAGGCGGTAGAGCAATGGAAGAGAATTTGTTTCAACAAGTCAAGAAGGGAAAACCTAGTACAGGGATAATGTTTATTGTGAGCAAGAGTGGCTTTGAAACAAGTGCTCGTGTACAATTTTACAAGCTTCAAGTATTAATCAACTTCAATACCTACTTGCAAAGACAGGACACGCATAAAAATACAAAAATTGAAATGGAATCACGTATAGGGCTGCGCTGACTGACTGACTGACTGACTGACAGTCCAGACTACACAAAGGATATCAATGCGAACCAACCATTCTAGAATCCTTCCTTTCTCTTCCTCCTTCCATGTATCAATCAATGCCTTCCTGCAGTCAGCCTCTCTCCTCGTATAAAGAACCTCAACCTTAAAACATCCCTAAAATAGAATACCTAGCAAAGATTGATATACATCCATCTATCCGGGTCCAGTAATCCAGTAACCCACTACCGTGGACGGCAGATGGTAGACAATGCTAGAGCCTAGAGAAAGAAAACACCCCATAGGCTGCCGAATGAGCCGAGTATTCCAATCATAAGGGTGCGTTCGAGAGAAAGTAGATCCGTTTGGGGTTTTGCGGGTGCTGGAACAGTTTGTTTGTTTGGTGGGTGAGATGAGGTGAGATGAGATGCAACGTGGAGGGGAACGTGGAAGAACGTGGGTGCTGGGATTGAACGACATGCACGATGGATGTGGGATAAGAAGGCATAGCATTGATCTTGGTAGAAGAGCCGATTGTAAAATTAGTTGGTAACAGATAAGTGCTATTTGCGAAAGTGAGGTGGAAACGGGAATGCTGAGAATGGCTGAGATGAGTTCAGTTCCTTGTGCAACGATAAGCGAAGCGAAGCGAAGCGAAGCAAATCAAGGATCCGAGACACCGAGTAGAGAATATCTCTCCCAGTTTGCAAGAATCATTCCATGCAATACGCGTAATTGGGCGAAGCCAAAGCTTTGGTTTTGTCGTGTTTTGAAACTTGGAATTTTTTGGTTCTGCTGGGGCCTAAAGGGGAAGTTGCTATGAAAGAGGATGGCGAAGTAAACATTCAAAACCAAACGGGGAGTAATGTGGGGGTCGCTCCACGGGTGAGCGGAATCTGTATGCATACTTGCATTATGCACAGAATAAAGGGCTCGAATACATCTTTTTCCACTTTTTACTCACCTACAAATTTCGTAAGCTGTAAGCTGTAAGCCGTGACCCGTATGTAGCACCGTATGTGAGTAAGTAGGTGTATGTAAGTAGATATGCTAAGAATCTGGTAAGGCAGGTAATTGGACGGGGGGTGCGGTGCTCCTAGTGCGGATCCTGTGTTCTTGATCTTGTGGCTGAGTGCTTTGTGGATTAGGAACGGAATTGAGTAAGCAATGGAAATGAGGGCCGATTTTGTGTAATCGCTCGAGAAAGAGGAAAGATGGATGATGGATGGAAGGAAAGTGGGAGAGAGACTCAAACTCCCAAGCTAGGCGGTGTATCGAACAGTGCTGCGTCCCTTTCCAAAATCGTATTTGCTCGAGCGCGGCGTAGCTCTTTTTCCACTGACGAGACTGTGCCTGCTTACTGTTCTTGTCCATCCATGACCATCCAATGCTGTGGACAGTAGAACTTAAGCTTAAAGGACGACATATGATGACGACGACGTAGTCTGGCTAGGCTTTCTGACTAGGATGAGAAAGTGATAGAGAAATAAAACAGAATAAAAATATAATCTCGCAATATAATCCAGGGTTCAGCTCCAAGTCTAGCAAATTTCCTCATCAAGAACCCGATGAGAATAAAAGAGAGAATTTCCAACCAGTCACTCACTTGAGCGAACGACGAAATGACACACCAGTCTCTTAACAGCATATAAACCGTAGTAGTTGAATCTGAAACACATTCATGCAAGCTTACTTACTTACCTCCCTCTTTCCCACATGCCGCGCATCCATCTTCAACGGCGCGGATGCGGAAAGTTATGAATTAGAATAAAGTGCGACACAATACGACACGTCAAAGGTCAAGACATACTGTAATATAGTCATGGGGACACAGGATACTTATTTATATGAAATACTTAGCACGGGTACTATACCTCTCCATGCCGTTGTCTTACATAGATAGATAGGTTCTTCACTCAAGTTCGCTTGGACGTAATTTCTAGCCCATTGATCGCTAAACAGCAGTGAGAAAGTAAGGGAGGGAGATATTTCCGAGTACCGCTAGCTAGGTAGGTGTTTGAACACACGCGAACGTGAACCCATGCGCTTAGTGTGTGAGATAACCTTATGTGTTCTGGAGTTCTAGAAGGATAGAACTTGGGTTTTGAAGTAGGAGGGTGAGGGAGTGAGGAGGGATGAGATGAGATGAGATACGATGACGGTGGTCTAGAAGTCTCGTGGAAGGATCTGAGAAGGAAGGGGGGAGGGAGATGAAACGTGGTGGGGAGGGGGAACAGCTCCAGACACGTGATTTGATGTGATGCACGCGATGTGATGTGATGTGAGATCGATGTGACCTTGACCCCATCCATCCATGTCCTTGAACTTGTACTATGCTTCCCGTCCACCTTGTCCTAGTCGTAGTTCTAGATACAGTTACCCAGTTTCTTGGACCTCAGCCAGCAGGACGAAACTGTCCGCTGGATGGCAGTATAGTACGTACGTGTGAGAAATTAAAGGTCAACACAACATCATTCAAATTTAGACCTGAGATGATTCTGTAGATCAGATCAGATAGAAGAAAAAAAAAACCTGATGAGAGAATGACATGAAAAATGGACAACTGCTTCCCTCCAAACCAAACCAAACCAAACCCAATGCAGTACACGAGACGAGACGGGTAAGGCTGATCGACATGAACCTTCCCTCCTCTGTCCCTCCCTCCTTCACTTCCCCCCCCCCCCCCCCCCAAAAAAACCCCTATCCCAACTGACTCGACATCGAAAAATAAACTATCTATCTATCCAGATACAGATGTGGATGTAAAGAAACGATAAGGAACGGAGATATGGAGGGCACGCAGGTACACAAAAGATGTATGAATCAGATGCTTCTGTTGGTGCTGGTAGACGATGTGCATAAAGTGTGCATACTTAGGTATGGCCCCCACGTGTTGGTGGGCGGCAGGGAGGGAGGGAGTGAAGGAGTGAAGGAAGGGTCTTGAGGAGTTTGTGTATGTATGTATGTATGTATGTATGTGCATGTGTGTCGTGTGAGGAGGGGAGGTGCAGATTCTGGGAAAGACAGTGGGAAAGATGGTGGGGTGTAGGGGGAGGTGGGCTGGGGATGGGGATGCATGGGGATGGGGATGGAGATTTTCTGGTTAGGGATAGTCAGGTCTGGGGGGCCTGCGTAGGAGGTATGGGGACTGGAATATGGGGAGTATGTGGATTGGATGGAGGGTTCTATGTGAAGGGTACTTGGGTACTTGGGTCCTTGGGCAGGGACAGTACTTGCAGATAGATGAAAGTAGATAAAGTACCTACCTCCAGATCGCGGGGAAGGAAGACCCACTTGCTTGTCACTTCACTTTACTTCACTTCACTTCACTTAGGTACCTCCCGTCCAGTCATCTGCACACCTCAAAACTTAGATGCTGCAAGTACTGTAGAAGTACTTTACATCTCGCCAAGCCAAGTCTAGCTCCGAATATCGACCAGACCAAACCAAACAGACGAGGGGAAAAGAGACAATGAAAAGAAGGACAGAAGGAAAGAAAGAACAGACCTGGAATGGTGTGGAGTGGAGTGGAATGGAAATCCTCACCCCAAGATCCGTTCTCCCGGACTCCGATCGCTTGACGCTTGTCCTGACGCCTCGTTGAGCTCGTTTGACTTGTTTGACTTGCTTCTACGTGATGTGATGTGATGCACGATGATGCGATGCATTGCTCGTCTATTCTTTTGGTTGATGATGATGATGATGATGATGCTGCTAAGGATAGGAGAAGAAAGTGAATGTTTCGTGTGGTACGTGTCGTGTCGTGTCATGACTGTGCTTGGGAAATGCTTGGTGCTTGGTAGTTGCTTGGTTACGGACATTCAGGGCCTGGTTTCCTCATCGAGGGGGTTTTTGAGGCTTGGAATTTGAGGATTGATGCGGGATGGGATGGGATGGGATGAGAGGGCAGGGTTGGAAGGGTTGGAGGAGGCGGCGAGGTGAGGTGCCGCCGGGAAGGTGCATGATCGTGAATGAGGAGTAGCTTACTCACTTATTTACTTACTCAGGTAGGTACCGTACGGATAGTAGGTAGGTAGGTAAGTAGGTCAGAAGAAGATACGCATCTGGTGAGAATGAAAGAGAAGTGTTTGAGTTTCTGGATGTTAGGTATGAGCGAAAGACTCTGTATGGCTGGAGAAGGCAGCTGAAGTCTTCCGCTCCAGTCGGGACTCGAGGTACAGTAGTAGTAGTGGCCTTTAACTCCTGGCTTATGCATTGAATCCATCATTTTCTTTCCCCTCGAAGCCCTGAAGACAGACGTCCAAATGCATGTAAACCCTCCGCTTCGAGGCTTGACATCAAGTCAAGCCACTTCCCTTACTAAGGTACTGTATTAACACCATCACCACCGCTCGCCGTTGAAGCACCGCACCCACCAAAATGATATAAATCTGATAGTCAAGTACTGTAATAATGCACAGCTCCGGCATATCGGTATGCAGCTCCGAGATTCAGCAGGGGGAAGACAGACACTATGGCCCAAAGAGGGGATATGCTCGTTATGGCGGCCAGTGAGAGGGCTGGATGGGGGATAAGCGAGGCGGCGTGCATGAGATGCCATGTGAGGTGCGTCCCAGGGGGGAGCGGGGCGTCCAGGGCGCCTCCTTAGCTCAGCTGTCAGAAAAAATGGATTGGATGGGGCTGGATTGGATGGTGGGATCTGTGCGGTGGGCTGTGGGTGAGGGGCAGAGACTGGACTGGAACTGGACTACTGGAGTGGAGTGGAGTGGATTGGAGTGGATTGGGTGGGAGGAGGGACCAAGTGAGATATGGAGGGGGGATTTAATAATGGGGAAGAGGGAGGAGGAGATGGAAGGGAAGGGAAGGGAAGGGAAGGGGAGGGTGGGAGGATAAATTGTAGGGGAAAGGACAGGAAATAGAATTGAACCCCTATTTTACTTCCCAAAGTAAATTATGTGCCGCATCATGGGGTAATTTTTCCTTTTCGTATCTTGCCTGTAGCAGGTAGGTATTTCTCGGAGCAGAATATTTCTATTTTCAATTCCGACTCTGGGACAGACTTGAAAGACATTTATTTACAGTGGCAGAATAGGCACTTTCCCCCACTACAACAGCAGTACGCTATCTCAGCCTATCCGTCCGCCCTCTAAGTCTCATCCCTAGGTAGGTAGTAACTCGTAGTAACTCAACCAAATCTCCCCTGCATCACATCTTCCGCTTGCCTTAAGCCCAGCTAGCTACCCTTAGTTAGTCCTCCCCATGATTCCCATCCTACCCTATCGCATCCCTCACCGCGCCTACATCACTCCCATCCCATCACTCCCATCATATCTTTCCTCGTCACACCTCATCTTCCACTAAGTCATTCAAAAATCATGCTCTCCAGCCTTGGGCAGTAACCCATTTAGGAAAGGCATGTCAAGTCAAGTCCCTTCTAAAATATGACACCGGTTTCGTGTGTGCGTAGGTGCACGTGAATCAATCCCTGTTCCCGCTCCGTGGGGCTGCTTTGGTTTTTAATATATTTGCTGTGCGGCGAGTGGTTGATGGGGATGGTGGATGTTGACGGGGGGAGGGAGAGGGAGTGGTGAGTTGCGAGCCTGTCAAGTTTGGTAACTAGGTAGGTAGCCAGTGTGAGGGATCTTTCTGGGGAGGGAGGAACCCGCGCTTGCATCGGTAGGATATGAGGGGGAGCGGAGGGAGCTCAAATCTGCAGACTGCAGTGTTGGGTGTATGTGTATTTGGTATGGGTTTGTACCGTCCGTGGGACAGATAGCTGCGGACTGGTTTAGTACCTAGGTATCCAGTAACTTTGGTGGTGATTTACATTGGGAGCAGTTCCTGGCTCGCCTGGGTAAGGTACCTACCTACCGAGGGTAATTCAGACAGCCTGGGACTGCCTGGGTATTAGGCAGGGAATACCACTCCAGGGCAGGGCACAGCTCTTTTGAAGGCTTGGCACATCATTTCACCAGGCCGAATCCAAGTCTTTTCTTCGCGGCAGCATTTCAATCCTGATCCACTTCCCCATACCGGGACTGGTAATTGTTGTTCCAGAACTCCACGGGAGGGAGACAGGGAAGCCAGGGAGACAGGACAGGCCAGGCCAGGCCAGGCCAGCGCGGAACAGGGCAATGAATGAATGAATGAATGCAGGCTCGGGTTCAAGCAGTTCCAGCCCACTTCCCCAGCCAGAGCCAGATCAGGCACTCATCGCTGGAAGCAGTCAACTCGTCTCACTTCATTTTGTCTCTAGTTATAATCAATCCTAGTATTTCATGCATACAATTCATCTCACCTTCTCCCCTCCTGAAGCCAGGACTCTTCTGGAACTATTCGCTTTTCATGGTTCTATGCAAATCCATTCAAGCAAGCAAGCAAGTGGCCTGTTAGTCTGTCGATTTACTGGTACCCTTAGCTTAACCCTGGGCTGCTGTGCCTACCTACCTGCCTACGGTACAGCTACCCTTGTTCCCATCCCCGTTTGCATCCTCCCCCCATCTCTCCTCTCCCCCCTCTAACCCCACTAGGAAAGGAAGAGAAAAAGACAGTCGAGACAGGACAGTCACATATTTACTGGGGTCAGCACTGGCTCTGGCTCTGGCTCTGGCTCCTGGGTCGTGCCTCTGCTGCTCACTGCACTGCTCCGTAGTGCTTCGCTCAGTGCGCTCTGCTCATTTAGCCAGATTGGTCCCATGCGCACCATCACACCGTCTACATTACCCATAAAGCAAGTAGCAGCGCTTTTCCTCTTCAACCTGATCCTACTTGCTTACTTTGATTGCTCTGCTGGTTTGCTTGCCTTGCCCTTACCTGCCAAACTCTGTCTGTCTTCCGGGTCCCATCAATCCGTTGTGCTCACTTTCCAAAGCTGGATTCGACTCGACTCCCCTCGTCATGGGCAATACCTAAAGGAGAAAAAGACAGATCGGATGATCCTGAATAGTCCGGACTACGGAAAAGGCATTTGAAGGTTCATTCGAGACAGGAAAGGCAGGACAGGACAGGATAGGATATACAGCACAGGTCAGGACAGGCTAGGGATCTCTCTGGAGTGGTCAGGCCGAGACGGGTCGATTCGAATCTTTGGGTTTTCCTCTCAGTTCATCTCAGCGTTTCAGCTTCAGTGCATCATTTCAAATCGACAGACAGCGTACTGACAGGACGGCGACGACTTCGACTCACGCTACAATCCGTATTGCTTCACTCCGGATTTCGCATGCTCACTCATCATCACCGCCACCGCCGCCTCCACCAAGAATTGCACTGCCAACCAGAATAATTAGAGGGTTATGCACCACATGCTCTTCGGACAGGCATTTGTATCGTCCGATGTCCTCTGACTGATCTACCTGCCCCCAGCACCAATACCCACCCATACAGTACCCACCACAACCCCGACCTCACTTCATTATACCTACTACACCTCACCACAGTCTCACGCTTCACCTAACCTTCACATCACATCACATCATATCACATCGCATCAATCAAATCAACTCAAATCAAATCTTAACCCAACGCAGCACATCCCCAGTTTCAACACGTCGATCCCCGCCCATCGCAGCTTCATCTCATCCCCTCATCGCCCCTCACCTCACCACATATACGGCACCTCAACCCAACGCACCGCTCTCTGATATGGGAGTCGTGCCTCAACAGCAAACAAAATGGCGTTGAGACATCCATATCCAAATGTGTATAAGTTCTACAACCAGTTCGCAGCTCCAGATCAGGCGTCGCCGGAACAGTCGTCGAGGAGTCAGGGACTGAGGAAGAGTGGGCCGAGGTCGAAAACCGGTTGCTCCACGTGCAAGTATGCTTTTAATTTCTTTGTCGGGTGGTGGGTGTGTTTTTGGTGTTTAGAAATGCACCAACTGTATTTCGCCGTGTTATTTCTGCTTCTTTTATTTCCAGTTCCTGTAAATTCGTATCTTCCACACCCAACATTTATATTTGTAGGCACAACTAACTCACACAGACAACGACGAGTAAAATGCGACGAAACAAAACCAGGCTGCATCCGCTGCCAAAATCTCGGTCGAGAATGCGGAGGTTACGCCCCAGAAGCCCTCGACGAAACCGCCAAATCCATTGCTCCCGTCCCCATCCACCCCCGCCCAATGTCAGTAATGACCTACTCGCCCTCGATGGCCATCCCCGGCACGGCAGACGAACGCCGCTACTTCCAACGCTTCTGTGACAAGACGGCAGCGGAGATATGCGGCTCCTTCGACGCCAGCTTCTGGACTGAGAAAGTTCTCCAGCTATGCCACCAAGACGCACCCATCAGACACGCCACCATAGCCTTAGGAGCCCTGGCCAAATCGTTAGAGGTCACTTCTTTCCCGACGAGGTTATCGCTTTCTGGATTCCCGCAGATTGATCTGCATCATTTGGATGAGCACCATAAGTATGCTCTACGGCAGTATAGTCGCTCGATAGCAGCTCTTCGCATCATCCTTTCTGATGGGCGTCGTCATCTCCGCACTTCACTCACATCCTGCGTCCTCTTCATGACCTTCGAAGCCCTTCAGGGCTGCTACGAAGGCTCGCTCACCCACCTCCGCGGCGGTTCCCGCCTCCTAGCAGATTGGCGAACTGCTCGACGCGGACAATCCTCCCGTCTATCACAGGACTCACTCTCCGAAATCCAAGACGGGTTAATCGACGACCTCGGCCGCATGTTCGCCCGCCTGGACGTCCAAGGTCTGTTCGTGCCCCCTCCGTTCCCAATGCCGGAATCGGATTGGGAGGATGTGGTGGTGGCGGAATCATTCGATTCAGTGCAGGAATCAAGAGAGAGTTTTGATTTCCTGATGCAAGGGATCGGTCAATTCTACCGGAAATCAGTAGCACATTCACAGCAGCATCCTGAACGACTGACTACCCCCTTCTGGCAGCATCAGCATAACCACTACAGCACGCAGCTCGATCAATGGCGGAGTGCGTTCCAGGTTGTGTTTGCGAAGGAGGTCCGCGCGGGGGATACCATGGCCGATAGTTCGGATATGCTGAGTATTTACTTTAACGTCGCGACGGTACTACTGGCTAGCAGTCTAGAACACACCGAGTTGCTGTACGACGAGTACACCGAACTCTTCCAGGAGATCGTCACAAAGGCCCACAAACTCATCCAATCCTCCGACGACCCGTCCAACTCCTCGCGCTTCACCCTCGACATGGGGACCATCCTGCCTTTACTCGTAACCGCGACCAAATGCCGCGACCGGCGGATCCGCCGGCAGGCCATCGCCCTGCTGTGGAGTAAAGCGCGGCGGGAAGGGCTGTGCTACGATACGATTACGGTGGCGAGGCTGTGTGCTTGGTTGAGTAGTATTGAGGGGGATGGGGTCCAGGAGGATGCGGAGCCGATCCCCGAGAATAAGAGGTATATGGTTAGTTATTTGCATTTGAGTAGTGAGGAGAGGTGGCTGGCGGTGCAGTTGACGAGTGCGGTTACGAATGGGAGTGGGAATCATACGTATAGGGAGACGACGTTTAGTTGGTAGTTGAGGGTGGATGAATGAATGGATGGGTAGGTGGAAATGTGGAATCTGGATTTTGGGAATGGAAATGTGAGGTGAGAAGGGAAGGGAATTTGAGCGTGGAGTTTGGTTTGGTGCGTCAAAGGCTTGGAATGGACCGGAACCGCTGGGTTTTTGGCAGGGGAAGACAGGAAAAGAAGGAAAGGCATGACATGACGGGCATGGCAGGACTATGTCGCATGCCAATGGAATCCAGTCCCCTGGGTTCGAGATCACCACACCAGATCTGCTCCGGCCGGTAGGCATGGAAAAGAGTGTAAAGCACATCATCAGTATGGATATGGATATGGATATGGATACGAATGAGTACAGATATGGCATGGTACTGGTACAGATATGGCATGGTACTAGTACAGATATGGCATCGTACAGGCACGGATACGGCTGTGGGATAATGTAATGGAGATGAAAATGTGGGAAGCACGATAGTACCTACCTATCTCTACTCGGTGTTCTTCTCCATTTCTCATTCTTCTCATTTGCATTCATTCCTTTCCATGCCATGTCGTACGTAGCTGTATCTGTACCTCGTGCTGTACCTATATCTGTACATATACCCGTGACAAGCGCCTGCCTGCCTGCCTGTCTTTCCATCCGGTCCTGTCCTGTCGACGAGACCTCCAGCCTACTGTACTGATTCAGCCATCCATCCATCCATCCATCCATCCATCCACGACTTATTTCCCACGCTCAACCACCCCAGCCCAGCACAGCTTGATTCCGGTCCGGTCCGGTTCATTTCCAACCCAACCCAACCCAACACAGAAACCTCACCCACCTCAATTTCAACATGGCGCTTGCGGATCAATTCCCCGCGCTCTCGACCTTGACGTCGACCTCGGGTTTCTGAACAGTAATGTAATGTCGGGCAAGGATGCATGCATGCACAGTGTATTCCATCCCATTCAATCCTATCGATATCCCGATCGAGCGAGCGAACAAGTGACTTCACTTCTTCTTCTTCTCTTTCGTCGAACATACATACATACATTACATTACATCCAGCGTCCAGAGTCGGGAACTCCTTACTTACCGTTCAGGTTGGGCCAATAGTTATCTCGACAGCCCAACCCAACCCCAACCCCAACCCCAACCAGGCGGCGGCCATTATTGAAGTCACTCAACATTGATGACGCTACGCGCTTGGGAGGAAGAGAGATAGAGGCTAGAGCGGAAAATCCGATCCCCTCGGGTGAGTGAGTGAGTGAGTGAGTGAGTGGATTGAAGAAGAAGAAAAGAAAAAGAGGAAGAAGAGGAAGAGGAGGAATTGGATATGGATATGACGTGATGGTGGGAGAGGAGAGGGAGTTCTCCTCCTGGAGATGGATGGATGGATGGGAGGGAATAGGGATGGATGGGAAAGAGTTTAAGAGAGTGAGAGTGAGAGTGGAGTTTGTGGTGCAGTCGATGGTGGGTGGGTGGTCATCAAGGGGAAGTGAAAACTGAGCTGGAAAAACTGGATAGGAGAGGAGGGGAAGGGAGAAGGCTGGGAGGATATGTTGCCTTCTTTACCTTTGGGATATTGGCATTCTCATTCTCGTCTCGTTACATGGTAGGGATCTGGATCTGGATCTGGATCTGGAAGATTAGGGTTGGGATTGGAGCGACGAGGAAGGGAAGAAGAGAGGTCAGGTCGTCTTTGTATGACTAGTCACGTCACGTTTGAACCAGCTTGGGGCCGGCCGGTTGGCGTTTTTTCTCGTTTTGTTTCATTTTCTTATTTCTTTTTTTTTTTTTCTTTTTTTTTTTTTGGTGTGCATTTATCCATCGACCACCCCCTTCTTCTTTTTCTGCTTTTATGCACGATTTTGGGTTCTTTGCTTAGTGAGTATGGCGAGGCGAGGCAAGGCGAGGCATGGCGTATGGGTATTACGGCACGACACAGTTTTGGGGATTTGGGAATTGGCGATTTTGAGAATTGAGCCTTTGAGGGGTTGAATGGATGGGAATGGGAATGGGAATGGGAATGTGGATTGGCAGGCAAGGCGTTTGGGGAGGTGTAAAAAAAATATATATATTTATTTATATTTATATATGACATTGATCATTGAATCGTTGATTGAGGACAGGATTAACTTGGCATTGTTGTTTGAGGCAACCAAAAGAAAAATAAAATATGGATGGTATTCAACTTGCTTTTGTTTCTTTTCTAGGTGATGCTGTTGATTCTGTTGATACCGTTGAAGAAAACCGTTCGTGGTGAGTAAAACAGCAGGTGGGTAAGCTTGCTGAGTTTACTTCGTGGCTTGATGACTTCGTGACTTCGAGACCGCACTGATGTAATTAATCCCACCTACCTAAGTAGATTTTCTCGTCCCCTTCATTTCGAATCATCCATACGTACACCATCTCTTAGTCTCTCAGTCTCCTTTCACACTCTCACAGAGTCACACTGCTTGGTATAGTCTCCTCTCCCTTTTCGTCTTTGGTTGCGGCACGGCACAGCACAGCACAGCACCGCACCGCACCGCACCGCACAAAATGACGATGATCTTGTCGGTTGGCTGGTAGGCGTGCAGGCGTGTTTCCCTTTTCATCATCGGCCCATTCGTTCCGGTGTTACACACACTCAGACGCAGAAGCGGAGTGGAGGACCAACAAGCCAACCAGAGTTGAAGTTTCGGGAAGGGAAGCCGAATATCCCAAGAGGACTACGAGGAGATTTGTTGTTTTTGATGGGATGGGATTACATATGTGAAGATGTGAGATGAGGTGATGGATATTTTTGTGATGTGGGCTATGGGGTCATTGATGATGGAATTTGTGAGGTTGTTAAGAGTGTGTTCTTCCCTTTTCCTTATTCGGCGAGGGAGGAGGAGGGAGGCAGGCAGGCAGGGCTGAGATGATGAACGGCATGGATGCATGGGATAGGTTGGATGTGATGTGGTGGTATTAGTTGGAGCGATCTCCGGCTGGAAAAACAAAGTGCCTGCTTTATTCTATTTCTGCACTATGTTGTACCCATATCTGCGAGTATTTAATCTATCCCGTTGGACTGGATGAGGGGTGCAGCGGTTCTGTTTCTCTGTTCTTCTGTCTGCATGGAGGGTTTCATTTGGATGGATGAATGCTCGAATGAGTTGGTCTTAGCTTATTGTTGGTACGTACCAATTGGGAATTAGGCTAACATGCCCAGTTTAGGTAGATACTTGAAGCCTGGCCAGGCCATTTATTGAAGTACCTACCTGTGTTCCTCCCATCTGTACTTCTTTGGTGTGAAACTCGAATTTTAAGCTGGTATATTTGCTTGCTTGGACTGTCCACTTGTCGTAGCGAGTATGGTGAAACTCCGAATGACTTTTGGAGGCTTTTGAGGCTTGATGTTGATGAGGAAATATTCCACGAATTGGAGGTCTTACATTTACAGCTTGCCTCCTCTGGCTAGTTGGATTGCTTGGTGATGGGGGATTTCCATAGCTTGGAAAGTTTGAGATTATAGGTAGCTATGGTGATTCGGTAATGGATTCTCTTTCTGAATTGGCTATTCTTATGATTTTGGGGTGGAGTGCTTCATCTTGATAGATTCTCATCCTTAGGTGGATTGAGAGATTTTAGTACCAGATTTGATGGGGTTAGAAACCTATTCAGAAAAATTCGATTTTGAGCGCGCTTTGAAGACCAAGTGAAGTTTATGAAGATATGGCCCTTCAGCAATTATGATTTGAGTTTTGAAAAGACATATTCTCCCATTCGTAGAAATATTTGCGGTTCGAGATCCCCGAAGATAGATTTCGAGATCCAGACTTCGCTGGTGGGGGAAATGCCCCGCATTGATGCCTCAAGCCCCAGGCACCAACAGCTAGACTTCGCTTAATTTCTCAATCCCACAAACTTTTCCTGGCGCCGTCGCGAACTTCCAAATCCCTTCTTCACGACAACGCCAATCGCCCACCAACCCCGTCAATTCCTACTCCTACATCAACAAATCTCACTACAATATGGCGGACGCACCCCGAGGCGGAGCAGCAGCTCGTGGCGGCGCTGGCGGATTCGGATCTCGCGGCGGAGCAGGCGGTGATCGTGGAGACCGTGGCCGTGGACGTGGACGTCGTGGACCTCGTCGTGGCGCAAACAAGAACGAGGAGAAGGAGTGGCAGCCAGTTACCAAGCTTGGTCGTTTGGTAAAGGATGGAAAGATCAAGAGCATGGAGGAGATCTACCTGCACAGTTTGCCAATCAAGGAGTACCAGATTGTGGATTTCTTCTTGCCAAAGTTGAAGGATGAGGTCATGAAGGTGAGGATATATTTTTTTGTGGAAATTGGGCTGGGAGGAAGCGGTTGGAGGCGCTTTGAACCGGGTGGAGAAGAGCGCAGGAGGCAGATTGAGATGTTGATTCGATCTTGCGACACATCTGGAGATATACTGACTCTTCTGCGACAATAGATCAAGCCCGTCCAGAAGCAAACTCGTGCCGGTCAACGTACCCGATTCAAGGCTATTGTTGTCATTGGTGACTCTGAGGGACACGTTGGTCTCGGTATCAAGACCTCCAAGGAAGTCGCTACTGCCATCCGTGCCGCCATTATCATCGCCAAGTTGAGCGTTCTGCCAATTCGTCGTGGATACTGGGGTACCAACCTTGGTCTTCCTCACTCCCTGCCCACCAAGGAGAGTGGAAAGTGTGGTTCCGTTTCCGTCAGAGTAAGTTTTGCACCATTTCTGTTTCTATAAATCCTCGGCCCCTCGATTGTCCGCGCACAGCTAACAATCCCAGCTTATCCCAGCTCCCCGTGGTACCGGTCTCGTCGCCTCCCCAGCCGTTAAGCGTCTCCTCCAACTCGCCGGTGTCGACGATATCTACACTTCCTCCTCTGGATCCACCAAGACCCTCGAGAACACCCTCAAGGCCACCTTCGTCGCTGTCGGCAACACATACGGATACCTCACACCCAACCTGTGGAAGGAGACGAAGCTCATCCGCAGTCCTTTGGAGGAGTTTGGTGATGTTCTGCGCGCCGGAAAGAGATACTAGATGGATGGTGTTGGCTCTTTCTGCGCTTTTCTGCGGGGGTGGGTAATGCTTTCGTTTAGGGCTTTCTTCTTGCATTAGTGAAGCGGGAATGGAGGTGTTGAGGATATAGCAGATAGCTATGTCGCTGAATGAACAACTCTTCCACCTTGATTGCGACTGGAGTAGTGATTTGGGCGGATTGGGAAGGAGCAGGCTGGATTTCGCAAAGTTGCGAGCAGCTAGCTTGGGAAGGTAAGTACGAACCAAGACATGAGAGGGCACTTTCTTCGACTCACCTTGAACTCTTCTCTGTTCAAATTTGATCATCTTGGGCTTCGTTTTGTACAAACAATCGCTCTCCATCACATTCGCTTTTGCAATAATTAGACCCTCTGTTCTTTGGTACGTTGGATTTTACAACCCATCCCTTGTTTTGGTGAACACAGTATACAATGCCGTCTTCACGGCGCTTGATCACACCCTTCTCAGCAATCTCTATCCTCATTCTCCTGTCTGTCCTGGCAGTCATTTCGCTCGGAGAAGGATTCAAGAAATTTGGTACTGCTCAAGATGGTGTGAAGTTTAGGAGAAGAGACACCATCACATTCAACATGCCGTGGAAGTAAGTGCTTCTCTGGATGTTCATGTTCACGAGTGAACCCAAGGCACTTACACTCTCCAGTCCACCTCTTCCAAATACCAAGCAAGAAGTCAAAGCCATTTCGCCTGCCGCGGGATCAATCCTTGACGCTGTGGGCAAGGTCGCTGCAGCACTTCTGGATGGTGGATCCGACATTGCGAATCTTGCAGAAGGCGTTATCAGTAGTCTCTCTTCCACTGTCCTCGCTGGAGCACCAAGTCAAGTCCCAAGTCAGATACAAGATGTGAATAGTCAGGTGGATCAAGCTACTGGTGTCGTGGGTGGGATTGTTACTGCCGCCACAGGTATCGTTGGAAGTTTGTTGGCTGGAACTGGTGCTTCGGGATTGCCTGCTGCAGACAGTGGAGAAAGGAATGCATCCACGAGTGCAACGACGGGTTTGGCCAAGACGACTTCGGGATTGAATGCTACATCTTCGACTTCGAGCATGGCGTTCAACATAACCTCTGCTCCGGTATTGAAGGAATTTCCATCAACATCTGCGACATCAACTTGTCCTTCGATACCCACTTGTACAGCTTGTCCTGCCGCGAAGACGGAAACTTGCACGGTGACTGAGACGTGGCATAGCACTCATTATGAGTCAACTGCAACACTGTTCAGCTTCGTTGCAGCTTTCACATATACATGTACCGAAACGGTCAGGTATGTACTCCTCATAAGATGTTCGACCTTCTGCTGATTTGCAAAGTGTTTGTCCAAAGTCAAGCCTCTACCCTCTCGCACCATCGAATATCATACCCATTCCTCCAGTGCTTTCGAGTCTCATTGCCTGTCCAAATGGTGCTTTGGCAAAACGAGCAGAAGATTGTCCACCAGTATCAAGCCTGCCCAATCAAAATTCACCCAATTCGAATATCTCCTTTAGCTCAGTTCCATACCCAGATAATACAGGTTCCTCACACCCTTGTCCAAATGCAGGATACTCTTGCTCGGAATGTCCAGGTGGAGTGTTCTGCCCTCCTACACAAACATCTGCCCAAGATTGTGTGTGTGGTTATGGCTGGGCGTGTGGTCATTGTTCGCAAGGGTGGTTTTGCATCCCGAGTCCTACCACTGGTCCTGCAAATGGACCTCTGAGTTCTTTTGGGCCCTTGAGTTCGGCTGGACCTGTCAGATCTGCTGTTGCCCTTTTGGGAAATGGCTCTGCGTTAGTTTATTATTAAGTCTTGTGAACCTGGCTTACAGATTGCAGATCTCGAATCGCATCCCCGTCGGTTCCCTCTACATTGGCAAGTTTCACAGCGAATCTTCCAAGTCTCTCGTCGTTACCTTCAGCAGTTTCCATCGGTGGGTCAGGAACGGGCCTATTCCAACTATCTCCAACGTTGAGTGGATCATCAAACCAGGCTGCAAGTACTGGAGATCTTGACGGGAACATCATCAATAATGTCAATTCCGCCCTTGGCAATATCAATGGTCTTTCAGGGGTGATCTTGAGCTCTGTGATGGGACAGCTGTCATCGGTGCTTGGTGCAAATTTTCCGTTCGGAATCGCAAATCCTACAAATCTTTCGCCACTCACTGGGCCAGCAGCGAATTTGATCTCATCTGTTACAGGGGCAGCAGCTATCCGTAATCCTGCTGGTGGTCTCATCCCTTCTGCGACAGGACTCGTGGGGAGTGTCGAGGGAAATGTCCTCTCCAATATCCCATCTGTAGGCGGAAATCCTGCTGCTGGGCTTATTCCTACTGCGACGGGGCTTGTGGAAAGTGTAGCAGGCAATGTTCTTTCCAACATTCCGTCCATTGGAGGAAATCCTGTTGCTGGACTCGTACCCACTGCAGTAGCTATCGTCAGCGGTGTTGCCAGTGATCTTGTGGCAGCCGGGGTTCCTGGACCTAACAATCCTGCTGGTGGCCTCGTTCCAACCGCTTCAGCTATCATTGCAGGTGTGAATAGCGATTTGCTTGCTGCTGGAATACCTGTTGCCACACCAGCTCCAATCTTCCAACCAACTGTCACACTTCCAGTCGTCAACAATGTCTTGCCTATTCTAGGAAAAGCAATCCAGGAAGTGACCAGAACAGTCATACCGCAGCCACTCAGATCCACAGGCCCTGAGGAATCTTCGGCTACAGACATTGTCTCCACGCTCATGGCCTCCATCGATGACTCTAATGTCATAAGCCACCTCACAACGATGGTTCAAGGTACACCAACTATCTTGCCGGTCGTTATCACAGTCTTGAATGGCAAGCCGACTGTCGTGCCACTGGTGAAAATGGTTGTTGATGGGAGGGAGAAGGATTTGCCTGTGGTGGGTGTTGATCTCCATAGTGGCGTGGGGAAGGTTGAGGCTGTCAAGGAGGTTCTTGATGGTAATGGGGATGGGAGCGGTAGGAAACGGAGAAGGGGGAAGGGCGTGGCTTGAGTAGGAGAATTCGTCAAAGAATTGCATCTGAGGGGATGAAGAAGGGGAATTGCGGGAGAGAGGCAACTGAACTGGGGTGAATTATACGGATTATGTCGGTAGCTCGACAATTTTGGGAAGCAAGCAAGTCTTCATGCAATAATGCAACTTTGAGTAGAGTTACTGGTGGTGGAGAAAGTGTCGATTCAGAATTTTGGAAGTGTGTGTTATAGGTAGTTTTGGTAGATTGAATCCAATGATAAGTATATTGATTCATTGACGTCCTGATTTATGGGTAATTTAAATTATGGAAGCGAATACGAGGGAGAAGTTTGGTCAATGAATGTTATATTCATGAGAGTGTTTGCACCCACGACATGATGAAAAGAATGCTAGGGTAGCTAGGGGTGTAGGACTAAAGAGATATATATAAGATTGGTTCAAGGGAGTGAGTAGGAGGGATATTCTCATCTGCTCTGGGTTGAGGAGGAGCATGTTGCGGCTGTTTGGTGGCTGTGCTTGATAGTTCCTGGCTGCTGCACGTCAGCAGAGTCACTGGTTTCATTCAATAATCTCTTCATAAAGATTTACAAGGGCTGAATGTAAGGCTGGGAATTGACGATATAATTCGCGTGCTGTCGATCGCATGTTGTTAAATGACAACAGAATGATGAGTAGCATGTATAACATAGAGCAGGGTTAGACATCTTACCACGCAAAAAGAAAGCCCGAAGTAACCTGAAAGTAGAATCTTTCACACTCGTAATACTCAGACTTCAATGCCTAAATCATAAAATACGGACAAGAGCCATTCGACCTTTGTTGACAAAGGCGGAGCTAAGCGACCGCCCCCTCTTCCGTGCTCGCTAAAGCCAGCTTGCCCTAATGCAGAGTGGATCCAACAAAGCAAAACGAAATTGGTTACACGGGATCTCTGGATCTCAAATCTTCGGCAGTAGGTAAATCACATCTGTGGAATGTACAGTGCAAAAGAAAAAAGTAAAGAGTGGGCAGGTATAAAAAAGTAGACAGGATAGCAAAATGAAATTTTTGTATATTCAGCTCCCAACCTGGATCGAACAGATGACCTGAGGAGAAGTGTTTGAACTGCAATCCTCCGCTCTACCACTGAGCTATGTGAGCTTGTCTGATTGGCTGAAATCTTGTTATTTGGATAGATGTAAGGGCTGCTAAAATACTCGACCTTGGTGAGTCACTTGGCTACCTAGCAGAAGGGAACGAGGACGACCTTGATCTTTAGCCTTGGCATGCAAAGAGGAAACTTCTTTAACAGTTTCTCAAATAACTTTTACCTCACTCTACAAGGCTTTAGAATGCACTCTCTACTGGCTCCTTGTAAGATACAACAGGTTGTTCTCGTAGGTCACGTGAAATGCGAAGTCACTGTTAAGTCCGAAGCCTTGTCAGATGCTGCGACAAGACTTTCTATGTAATTTGGTTCAAACGTGTATTTCCTTTATAGTATAAAGAAATCTATAGACATAAATATTTATCCAACAGAGAATAGTCAACAATTAAGACTCTCCCAGCGCTCAAGTGCAACTCGCTAAAGCGACGCGGGAAGAAAGTGTAGCCGAGTGAGGATGCGGATGCATGTGCGGACATTTAAGTGCTCTGATTGGGCGAAGGCGTCTCATCCGGATCACGTCTAAAATAACTCTTGAAGGAGATGAGAGAATGCCTTGTTTGGGGGAACTCAACATTTTCGTGGACTGGAAGCCATATTAAGGTGTTTTCATGAGGGCGCTCGTCTTTAGAACGGGACTCCCTCAACATTTTACTGGCTCCAAAGTATTTAAGCTGCTGAATTTCTGCTGTGACTCTAGATCTCCAACTGTTTTAAACAATCAATCTTATCTTACATCCAGACAGCAAGCAAAAATGGGCTCAATCACTCAAGGTCACGATACTCGCAAGCTATTCACTCCCCTCCGCCTCGGGACCGTGAACCTTTCGCACCGCATTATCATGTCCCCTCTCACCCGAGCTCGATGTCCCGGTAGCATTCCTACATCTTTGGTAGAAGAGTACTATACTCAAAGAGCTACACAGGGTGGACTGTTGATCAGCGAGGGGATGCATCCTAGTTTGATGGTTGGATTCCATCCATGGTTACAAATCCGCCTTCCAAATGCTAATGGGCAAATCTAGGCTGAGTACTTCGTCAACGTGCCGGGCATGTTCGCACATGAGCATATCCGAGCTTGGAAGAAGGTCACGGATGCAGTTCATGCCAAGGGAGCTTACATGGCTTGTCAATTGTGGCATGTGAGTTCCGTGACTTCATTGACCACAACCTAAACCAATATGCTGACATGACTATCAACAGACCAGCCGCTTCGCAGTATCGGTCCAGCTTGGTGGACGTCAATCACTCAGTTCATCAGCTACTAATATCGGAATGTCGAATGGTTTCACGACCAAAGGTCGGGTCCCACACGAAGTATCGAAGGAGATGAGTCTCCAAGAAATCAAGGATACAATTGAGGACCACGTACATGCAGCAATCTGTGCCATCGAGGCTGGGTTTAATTGTGTTGAGATCGTAGGATAAGTTCCCCTAGACAATAAAAGTGCAACTGACGATGGGTAGACTGCCGGTAACGGCTATCTCTGCGACCAATTCCTCAATGACAATGTCAACTTTCGAAACGATCAGTACGGAGGTGGTAAGGAGAACAGGCGCGCTTCACCCTCGACCTCCTCGATGCTGTCATAGCTGCTATTGGTGCCTCGAAAACTGCGCTGCGCTTCAGTCCTTGGGGCACTGTGTGGATGCCGCTGGGTTCCAATCCTATCCAGACGTTCCGATACGTGTTGAGTGACGTCGAGAAGCGAGGTGTGGCATATGTCTGCCTCACACAGCCACGGACCGATCTCCTACTGGAGGAGAGTGCCAAACTGGGGAATCTGAACAAAGCTGTCAGAGATGGCAAAGTCGTTGCTGTGGTTGAAGACTTTCATCTGAGGCATTTCGAGGAAGTGTTGAAGACGACGCCGAAACTGGCAACAGGAAACTATAATGGGGAGAACTGCTTCGAAGAGGTTGAGAAGGGAGAGATAGATTTTGTGACGTTTGGGAGATGGTTTATCAGTAATCCTGATTTGGTGGAAAGAATTCGAGAGGGAAAGAATTTGACGAAGTGGAACAGAGAGACATTCTATACGGCTGGAAAGGAGGGATATACGGATTATCCTGTTGGAGAAGGCATCTCATATTAATCATGGCACATGGATGCCAACGAAAGAGATTGTGAACCATTGCAAAGCTGTTCCTTTCAAAAGGCTGAACTAGAGTCGTCGGAAGGAACAAAGTTTCTGCGGACTTCTTCTAGACGAGCCACGTGTTTTGCTACATGGTATTAGATTTAGGAGAACGAATTTGGTGGTAATCATACCTGCATTATCCCATCTCTTACTGAAGTGTTTGATCATGGTGAGTAATGAGTCGGCTGCTTCGATATGGCTGTTGTCGGATGCCTCGGACCAGAGACGATAGTGCATTATGGCCGCTTTCGCGAGACTGTGTGGAGGGAAAGGAGAAATCGCTTCGCAATCGGCCTTCTCGATACTTCCGTTAAATTTCTTGGGGAGTAGTCTGATACGAGCCAAAGCAGACTTGAGAGATTCTGGAGCGTCGGAACGAGTGAACTCAACAGACAAAGCTGTGCAGGGACGTGGCTCGTAAATTGTCATCAATGCACTGGGCAGCATCAGCCAAGGGCTTTCAAACAAGACAGGATGTCAACCTGTAGCACATCCCAATAGCTCCACAATATCTGGGCCATGGTTCCGGGGACTCTTCTGGCAAAAGCATGGAGAACGACGTTAGAGTCTTTGCAATTTGATCTACAGATTCGGCGTTGAATCTCTTTGTGACCTTGTGGTTGCGTAGATGCATCACGAGAATGTCGAGAATGTGGGGAACTTGTGCCTGCCTCGAGAAGGGGCCAACTCGGACACTTGACGGAGTGGATAGTGGTAGTGCCTCGGTCGATGTCAGCCTGATACCATCGAGTAACAATTAGGGAAAAGTACATTCTCATCCCCTCTACCACCGTCTCTTGGTAAGTGTTGAGGCGGCCCAAGATTTTGTGTTGCACAAGGCCTATCTCCTCGCTCAATGGTGTACCATCTTGAGGCAAATCTTAGCTATTGCCTTGGACATTGCGCTTGCGAAGCGGTACCTGTCAAGCATAACGATACCCCACCATACCCGGAGGCAAACTTCTGTTATCGAATACGCTTCTTGGCTGGTCGATCCAAGGCAGTCAAGTGTCTGCTTCAATCCAATCGCAACGGCAGCTCTGGCAGTTGTCCCGAGAGATATGGAAGCTGTAGGCTCAATTGCATGCCCGACTTCAAAGAGACACATCAGCAGTCTCGATTGAACCACCTCCAAAGAGTGGATGTTCGCGGCTTCCACGACTGCAATGGAGCTCTTGAGTAGAATGTAGAGCGACGAGAACGATTCCCGAGTTACACTTTCCACAGGCAAGCTAACAGCCAGGGCCATGCTCAAAGAGAGGAGGCTGTACTCGGCGCAAGGTTGTGTGAAAGCATGGGGTAAACGTTCATAGTAATTTCTTTCAGCAAGAACGGGAAACCCTGGAGCATGAGCGAGTCAGCACCCGCCCAGTTTCCATGCTGTCAGAGTATCGCAGGCCATCAAACTGCGAGACGATCGCGCGAACGTGTTATTTTCCTGCTCAGTACCTACATATTTGGATGCTGTCGTAGAACTTCGTAGCTATCGAGCGAACTTCGGATATGTCCCCAACGGCAAGAGCGAGCTTTTCCGTAATGGTATTTTTGACACTTACATTGAGAAATACTGCATGGTCAGACGCAAAGTGCGAAGGGCCGGGGAACCAGTTACCTGCAGGCGGGTTGCAAAACTCATGAAAGCCGAGCTATCACTCGGAGCCGTAATCTGGGATTCATAATGGCAACGACGCCCAAGACTGTGTCGATTTAGCACAGTAAACAAGTAGGCATCGAGACACTTACCGATGGCACAAAGAACAGTTCGGCTTCATCCGATCACATTTTCGTTTTGGCTCACGGCATGCCACACAGGCTTGCGCTGCGAGGGCGGGGTTCATCGTCACAGACATGCGAGGAGGTGGGTACTCTGCTTAGCCTATACGATTTTGTCATCTCAATCAGCTGCAGACAATGCTGAGTGGTGAGTGTTCGCGTCTTTGATGGGGGAATGATAGCAATCTGTCTTATCCATTGTGTTGGTTGAGTGAGTTGAGTGAGATATCAAAATATTGATGCTCAGCAGTCAGTTGAGTTGTCACAAACGCGAAGCAATTTTGAACCCCAAATTTCGGTCGAGCCACATGCCACGTGATTAATATTCACAACCACGCTGCCTACTCTATTCTCGAAAACTTTACATCAACATGTGAATCCTACGATCTCATTCTTATCAGCAATAGTATTCTCCTCGAGATCTGCCACTGGCATAATAATAGGTATTCATTTTGTACGTATCTCGCTGCGACTCACGTGTTTCGCTTAGCTAGCGCTGTTCCCAACCTCACTAATCTCGTAATTCCACCACCATCCCATCTTTCCCATCAACAAGTCAGATCCCGTATCTTTTCTTAGAAATCATGCATCAGCTCGTACCCTTCCAAGGCTTTCAGCAACCCTGCCAGGAACAGGAAGTGATGCGAGGCAAACTTCGCATTGATTCGGTCGCACACCGGGTTCCCGCAACGCTCACTTCGTATTCCCAGGACTCATGCAACCCCGCTGCAGAACAGATCATCAATTCTCCACAATTCTTTTTCGGATCAGTGCGGCTCATAAAAGCTTGGCCACCTGATACGTCAGGTCGAAAGAGCGCTATATTCTTCTAGGCCACAGCTAAATCCACTTGGGCAAATAGCTATAGCCACTTGCTAAGCTTCGGTTAGATTTTCAAGTGACTACACCCGTATATTTATCAACTACACCACCCTGTACTAATTACTAAGGCGCGCAAGGGAGATTAATATAAGGGTATTACACGGAAAATTCTTAGTAATACTCGTTAGATAGGTACCTAGGTAGTATAGAGCACGCTGTACTAGTTACTACACTTTCTAATCTAAGTACTAAGTACAAAAACAGCTCTCTATTCAGGTGTCTTAGATACAATTATTAGCAGGCTAGTCTTCGGTACTTATAGAGCGTTAGCTCACTGAAGCTGACACTCAAGGTTGATTCTTAATAGCAACTAAGGGACAGGAGTACTCAAGAAGGTGCACGATAAATTTCATTCAGGATACATGAATTTAGTAGTTAATTATACGTATTCGCGAGTATCCTAAATGCACACCTCATATCCGAGACTTGGCTGGCTTAGCAAGTGGATTTAGCTATTTGCCCAAGTGGATTTAGCTGGCCCCTTCTTCTAAAGCGAAGATCAGAAGGACCCCTCCAAGACAATCAGAAGCAAAGACGGGGACGCGTACCCTCTGTTGAGGTCGGAGTAAGCATAGCCGACTATGTCAGTGTTGTCAGCTTGATTTGCGACACTCAGAATAGAGAGAACGTTCATGTTCCATGTCTCACATATTCAGGCAGCACGATTGGGCTCTTTTTTTTTCAAGATGAGTGCAGAGAGCTGCAAAATCTGCATTGACCCGCAATCGATTTTCGATGGGCCAAAATGGAGATCTTCCTGCCATCTCCATTGTTATGACCGACAACAGTCACTTTTCCTTCGTATTTTCTACAGTTCGCTTAAGCACGGCCCTCTTTAGGTACCGTTGCCATGCAACCACCGCCCGGCCACCCGACCCGCACCGCCCAGTGGGGAAACTCAAGCTGTCAAATCAATTGATCTACGGTGAGAGATGTTACCTCGCCCGCCTTCGTCATTTATTGATTTTCCAGTTGGCCAAGTGGTAACGAGGACTCCTCCAATGAGCTTGAGGAGAAGGCTGGGGACCCAGCATCCGTATGTCCTGACAGATGCTAAAATCCCAGTAAGCACAGGATTTATCATCTATTTCTGGTACGAGCCATCGAGAAAATGCGATAATGCGTCATATTTTCATTATTTGGTCGGTTGTCCTGTGCCGAGCTGCTTCTTGAATTTTGGTATTTGAATCGCTGTCCCCTTCCAAGACTGTCTTTTTCTCAACATCCACTCCGACCACTCTCGTTTTTGAACACTCACATTCGCTATGCATTCTCTTGTTAAGCTATCTATGGTTGCGGGAGCTTCTGCCTCTCCGCTGGTCGCAAGATCATCATGCTGGTTTGGACTTACGGCATCTGGAGGACAATCGGGTACTCTCGGCCAACTTCCTGATGGACAGATCCGAATTGGAGGAGGACTAGCACCTTCCAGCTTCTCTATTGTTGATGGCAAGGTTACCGATGAGTCTGGCTCTGGATGTCTCCTGACAAGTATGTGTTCCTTGAGTCGAAGTGAAAATTACCAGTCACTGATAACCCGTAGACAAAATCGAACAGTTCCAGTGCGACAAGAGCAAGGCGCCGCTCCCAGGATTCAATATCAGTAGCAGTGGTTCCTTCTCATACTCCGATGACACCAAATTCTATGCCTGCCCTGCGTCTGATTCGGAGTGGAATGTCTACACGACCCCAGTTACAGGCCAACAGAAGTGTGTTGAAATCACTTTGACTGCCAGTGGTTGCGGTGCCTCTGCCCCATCCTCGGTTGCCCCAAGCGTCATCATTTCGACCGTGACGGTATCTGAGTGCGGTCCAACCAACCCAGGGGGTCATATCTCAACTTACCCCCCAGGACCTCCAGCAGAAACTCACCCAACCTCTCCGCCACAAACCTATCCCCCAGGACCTCCTGCAGAGACTCACCCACCATCTCCACCGCATACCTATCCCCCAGGACCTCCTGCAGAGACTCACCCACCATCTCCGCCACAGACATATCCCCCAGGACCTCCTGCAGAGACTCACCCACCATCTCCACCGCATACCTATCCCCCAGGACCTCCTGCAGAGACTCACCCACCATCGCCACCTCATACTTACCCTCCAGGACCTCCTGCAGAGTCTCACCCACCATCCCCACCTCAGACTTACCCTCCAGGACCTCCTCCTCAGGGCTCAACTTCAAAGCCTCCTCATTCTTACCCATGGACAAACACAACTGTGGCTCCTCCAACTTCTTATCCTACTGCTCCAAGTACATACATTCCATCGACCTACGAAACTACCACCACTATCATCACCAGAACCTCAGTCACGGACTGCCCGGTGACCTCGACATATACCACTTCCGGAACCACCAGCTACTGGACTGGCACTTCGACCTCAACTACCTACATTACGGAAACATCGACGATTTGCCCGAAGTGCACAGGATATCCCACACACTCAACTGAGACTGTACCAACGTATACTCCTACTACGAGTTCCAACGGTACCTATCCCACTTACATGCCAAGCTCTAGCTCGTCTACAGTCTATCCCACAAGTTCAAAGTCCTCAAGTTCAATCGAGACATATACTCCAAGCTCTAGCTCCCCATCAGGCCACCCTACATACGCTCCAAACTCGTCCAGCTCAGTGGAAACATACACCCCAAGCTCTAGCTCGTCGTCCACAGTCTATCCAACGAGTTCAAAGTCCTCAAGCTCAGTAGAGACTTATACCCCAAGCACATCTACCTATCCCACAGGATATCCTACCTGGGCTCCAAGTTCATCCAGCTCAGTGGAGACCTACACCCCAAGCTCTAGCTCCCCGTCAGGCTACCCTACATATGCTCCAAGTTCATCCAGTTCAGCAGAGACTTATGCTCCAAGCTCGTCTAGCTCGGTTGAGACTTATACTCCAAGCTCTAGCTCCCCAGCAGACTACCCTACATATACTCCAAGTTCGTCCAGCTCAGTGGAGACTTACCCAGCAACCTCAGTGTATCCAACCTACACTCCGTCCGAGACTCCAAGCTACACACCCTCAGAGACCTACACCCCAACCCCCAGCGGATATCCTGTCGAGACACCAAGCTACACTCCCTCCAGCTACATCCCCACAACAACATCCACTCCAGTCGATACCTACCCAGCGGAAACAACCACCGCCCCATGGGGCTACCCCGTTGAGTCTCCAACCACCCTCCAAACCATCACCTACGCCCCTACTCCATCAACCCCAGCTGGATACCCGACAAACCCCTACCCAACCCACTACTAGAGGCACATTTCCAGAGTTGAGATTCATGACATGATATGGCAATCTCATGGTTTCGGCTTACGGTCTCACGGCCAGCATATTAGACTTCACTTCTTCTACCTTCCTTTTTAAAGCATATTAGCATTTTTGGGTTCGGGCTTTTGGGTCATGAGGCGTTGAATCAGTCGGTTTTTGGAGAAAAGAATGACAGAACAGAACAGAATGAATGGATGGATGGTGGATAGGCTTTGTAATGAATGTTCTGAGATTTGGCTGGGACATTGCGATTGTGACGCGATGTGATGCGGCATTGGGATCCTGGATATCTGGTATATGTGCCAATGCAGGGATGGAAGGAAGCTTTACCTTACCTTAGTCAATGATAATCTAATCACAATTGAACTTTAGAAGTGTGTTTATAAAACTTCCCTTGTGCGATCCTTCGTGCCTTGATTTTCACGCTCAAAAGATTTCCATGGTCCATTTTCCTTTCCAGGTGTTGTTTTGGCTGCACGGCATCGCTAGTTACTTGAGATGTAGCCATGAATGATATGAATTATTTCATCGTTCTCTTTGTCTATCACAGGTAAAGTCAGCGAATAAACATGTATCTGTGCTAACTAGCAACACACACTCATCCCAACGATAGCCCATTGCCAATCTCGCTTAACCTCGAATCACAATACCAAGCTCGAAAGTCAACAGACCTAGAGAATGGTATCTCGAGCTACATCTCACGTCTATTGTATAACAAGTGAAATCTCAAACAAGTCTTGTACATCTAAGTCAGATCAACTGCAGTACGTGCCCACCCCGTTTCATCCCTTCAGCCTCCTAATGAAGCCACTTACTGACTCAATATCGTAGCCAAGTCTCCACAAAATATATGTACAACATAGATCGAAACTCGAAATTCACCTCCAGCAGCAATGACCTCGCCACTAGAGCCAGAGTCCCAGTCCAAGTCCAAGCCACAGCTCCCAAAGATCGCAACACCAGCTGAAGTCAAAGCCATTCTCCTCGCCAATTGGCCCTGGTAAGCTGTCCCTCTCTCTCTTACAAAAAGGAGAAAGTAAATCTCCAATCCGCTGGGAAACACAACTGCTAAATTTAATTAAAACAGGGAGGGCAATTGGGGAGGAATGATGGACAGGATGATGGAGGATATGCGACAGATAGGCATGTTGGTTGAGTGTGAGGGTCAGGAGGGGTATTTTCATGTTATTTGGCCGAGAGGGGTGGAGATGGAAGAGATGGTTGTGGTTGAGAAGGAGGGCAAGGGGAACGCCCAGGGGGGAAATGGATGTTGAGCTGAGAGTGGAAGAGGGAATGGAAGGAAAGGAGATTGAGAATGAGAAGTAAGTTGACAGCGAGTCTTGGGATGACAACGATTAGAATCAAAATCGTCTGAGAAGGATTGGAGTGTGTCTAAAAATTGCTGAACAATGGCTGTGACGAGCCTGTGGTGACTGGGAAAGTGGAGCAAGTAAAAATGGTTCTGAGAATGAGACCCCAGTTGGTCGGCTGGTCGCATGGATACTATTGAAGCTGGTATTGATTTAAAGATTTGAAGAATGCATGATCCATTTCTACTCCTGTCACTATCAATGAGTATTGCGCCGTCGGCTTTCTTCCCGATGTCATGTATCATTTTTGTCGCGCACTCTCTATTGTCATGAACCCTCTACCGTCTTCGGAAAGTACAAATCACTCCCGGAGTTCAAAATCATTAAATGAGGGAAGCAAAAAGCCAAGATCAAAGAACCATATTTCATGCTATTTTTTGACTGTTGATGATTATACAGTGCACCCACCAGGTAAGGCCAACGTAGAAAGTCCTGAGAGCTTCTCTAAATGATTGAAGAAGCCAGCTTGAGCCAAAGAGGTTATTTATACCAATCTCTCTACATAGAACCGAAAATAGCGAAAGAATCACAAACAGTAAAGTGAATTTTTTACTTATACATGAAAGGTAGAAAACCTGTGAGTTTGTTGCCAACCTCCAGATATCATGTTCCACTACCAATTCCTATTCTTGCTTTTCCTACTAGAACACTGAAAGGAATCGATAATTTGACAACTCTGTCGTTCATCCTCAAGATCGAAGTCGAAGGAGAGAAATGCGGGGTATCTCTCATCACCCCTCGGTTGGCCTGTTCTCAATTCTGGTCTATTTGTGCGACCTTCAATAAAGCGAAGAAACTTGAAAATGTTGTATTTATGTTTATTCTTGTGCAGAGGAAGGAATTCTCAGACTCAATCTACAAGAAGAAGTACCCAAGGAATCACTGACGAGGTGAATTCTAAGTGGAAATTAGTGAAATATTTTGTGCATGCAAACAGGAGACGACGCTTCACTGGATTGAGCATCACCTTGTACGCTGTAGGTATAAATACTGCCAGTTCCCGCAAGGAGAGAGGAATCCTCGACACACAAATACAATCGAATCGGCAGTGCCGATTTCGAGATCGTCGGAGGTAGAATCTGCCGCTTGCGATTGTGTGGACTTCTCTCCTCTCACTGCGAAAAACAAATAAGTAAACAGAACTTCTAGAAAAACGGGTTTGAGTCTTATAGGTTCCGAATATCCATGAGCTTTCCACATGTCGCGTTCCGCTTGAAAATGGGGAGACGTTTGTTGTCATCTCTCCTGTGGCTGTCATTCTGTGATGCCCAAATTCCGAAGAGAAGCAATCGCATTTGAGAATTATCACACGAGAGCATCGCAGGCAGAGAAGCAGAGTGTAAGGAACATATAAGCAGGAGTGGGAACTCGCAACGCACAATCCCTCAGAGACAAGAGCACATCCGATAAAATCTCCCCCTTTTCATGCTTTCAATCCTGGAACACTGCTGTACAATTGCAGAAGCTTTAAATAGACTGCAAACGCAACCATTGAATTCACTGAGCCAATTTATTGGCGGTCAAGTCAATATTTCTTTGTTATCAACTACATTTAGCTTACAGTGCTGCACAGCGACGCTACCCTCCACTGAATTAGAATCGTGAGATGTCCCGTCCGAATATCCAGTTTATGGACCTGTAGCACAGTCAGGGTCAGGAGATTTAAAACGGAAAGAGAGGAAAATATTGTACCAGTAAATGGGTATCAGCAGCTTGTTCCTCCAGCTCACTGTTTGAGTCAAGTATGCGCCTCTCCAGATCAACCAGGCCATTCGTCTATCTTTCGGTTAGAGATCCCCATATAAACAATTGGGAGAAAACCTACCCTTTGACCTCTGTTCCACCGTCCGCTTGCATAATGGCTTTCATATTTCCCAGATAGGTCATGACACCTAAGTTCTTGAAGTTGAATCCGTTCTTTTCACTCAAATTCCCTTTATTCAACGTCTTTCCCAACCACTTTGCTTCTTGATTAGCAACTTGCGCCGTAGCAGGCAATTGCGACTTCTCCATCACTGAAACATCCCCAATTGCAAAAACGTCCTGCATCGTCGCTTCCGGAACAATCTCTCCTTCCGGCAAGGATCCAGAGCGAGGTATCAACTTAACACGGAAGTGGTCATCGACGAGGAGACCTCCAGAGCGAGAGTGACGTTTAAGTGACCATTTCTTGGAGGATGGTGAAGAGACTTCTGTGGAGAGCGTGGCGGATGTGGTGGGGTAGGTGTGTACGTCGTCGAGGGCTGCTTGGACGAAAGGGTTCATCATGAGACCAGTAGACCAGACGCACATTCCTACGCCGATTTCGCCGTCTTCTTTCGTCTTGAGGGTGAAGCATCCGCCGTCGTTGTCGGGGTCGGTTGTGCCGGGGAGGCCGGGTTGGAGGGATTGGATGTGGTGTTCTGTTTTGATCTGAATGCCGTCGCGTTTGAAGAGGTTGATTGCACTAATGAAAACTTGAGATCAGTTATGCTTTTTTCGGCGTCGATGTGGAGGATCTGAAATGGGCTAGTAGTATATTGGGGTGCCAAGTCTCCTGCTATGTCATGATGAGAGAAGAGAACGTTGAAAAGAGACCACATACTAATTGGCAAGAGACGCATCAAACATAGGCAATATCTTCGGTGCAACGTCGTATATTGAGATTTTGATGTGAGGGACCAAATTGGGGTAGAGTTTCTTCAGATCTTCATGGCAGAGATCGAAGAGTTCTGCTGCAAATTCGACGCCAGTGGCTGGGAACATCAGTAGTGATCATGAGATAGGTATATGACTTACGGCCACCACCAACAACTGCAAAGTTCAAGAGCTGATCACGGAGGTTCTCTGAAGTTGTAGGACATGAAGCTGTCTCGAAGCCTGGGCGACGTTAATGATGTACAATGGCAAATAGGGAAAGCGTACATTCGAGGATTCGCTTTCTGATCTTCCTAGCATCACCGACATCTTTCAAGAAGAAGGCGTTTTCTCTTACTCCAGGAGTCTTGAAAGTCTGGCTGTAACAACCGACGGCGATGACAAGTTTGTCATAGTTCAAATCAAACACCTTCCCTTTCTTCTTAACCCGGAAAGACTGATCTGCTTCAGTGATACTTGAAGCTTCGTAAGCCTTGCCAGACGTATGTAGAGGTCGTCTTGCAGTTATCTCTTCAACTTGGATCTTCTTCTGGTTGAAGTTGACATCATCTGCCCAGCCCTGGAAGAACTCCACGCCCTTACCCCGAGCTCTGACAGACTCGAGAGTAGTGCGGAACTCAAGTGTGCCGACAGCTGTAGAGGCAAGCAGCGGAGTGAAGACGAAGTAGGATCTCGGTGATACGACGACAGTTTGGAATTTCTTCTTGTCAAGTTCTCGTGATAGGACGAAGCCGGACCAGCTGCGATGTGTAAGAAGTGGATCTGATATTGGGAAGACGAACTTACCCTGAGCCTAGGATGACTACACGTTCACGATCTGGGATGGCATTAGAACTGTGATCAGGAATGTTTTGTAAGAAAACTTGCCTCCTTTAGAAGCGTCGAGTTCCTGGGTAGAAACACCCCTTCGAAGAAGTCCCTGCACAACCGGACTTCCCCGGAAAGCCCTTGTATTTCTTACAGAGGTATTCAGAATCGAATTCATATCTGAAAGTAAAGAAATTTTTGAGGGACGATTTTCGGAGTTCTCAAATAAATTCGTCTCTTGAAAAAGGATTGAATGTGGAATGCCGCTGGTATCCTATTCTCGAGATCTTACTCCGGTATCATCCGGATACAGTGGAACGTCGCGTCCCGGGTTTTGTGCAATCCTCCAGTTTAGTAATCAGCACTATTAAGCGGGTATTGAATGGGCTTGTGGGAATTGAAAAGTCATTACAGGAATCTGGGAGCATGTGAAGGTATTTTGTTCCGTAAATCTGCATGTGTTGAAGATTTATGTCGAGAGTTTGTTGATGCCGAGGCGATAAGAAGAGAGGTCATGCTAAGACGGAAAAGGAGAAGGTCCAGACACGCTTTGGTTACCTATGTGCACGCCTACAGTTATGCGCAAAATATGGTCGTTGAATGCCAGAATGGAATGAAAGCAATTTCAAAGATAATACATCTCAATATAGAGATTGAGTTAAGAACTTAATAGAAAAAGTTGAACATTCTTGAGTCGAATCGAGTGGTTCCTCTACTGTAGTACACAATCAGCTGGGTGCCCGAGGCTACTGGCAAGGCTGAAGTCAACAATCCAACGCCGTCGCCTACTCTCCACAACACCAACTCAACCAATTCACTACTATGGCGCCAATCCGCAGGTATCTACGGATTACGAAGTTCTCGGTTCTTGAATGCCGAATCTACGTTGATAATCCATCTCTGGCAGAGAGCTGGCTACTCAACCCTCGAAATCCAATTCTGCCTCGCGTCATCGAAAGTGTCAGACCTCTTGTTCTACCCAAGCTCCGCGAAGAGAATGAACGCAGCAAGGGGAAAGGCAGCAAGAAGAAAGGAGTGAAAGATGTTGTAGTAGAAGGTCTGCCATCTCCTGGAGTCTGCGAGATAAGTACTAATGTCAGCAGAGGACTTTGAGGTCTCTATTTTCTTGACTGAGACCAGCACACGCCACTCCCTCCTTACGAAGCAGAAGACCTTTCGAGAACCGAACAAGAAACCCATACAATCGAACTCTGCGAAGCTCACAGGAGATACGGGCGATGCACCGATTGAAGTCGAGGATGGGCCGGTCATTGCGAGGGAAGAGAGCGACGAGGAGTTGGACCTGCAAGAGGTACCGGATGCCGACGATGTCCAGTCCGAAGATGGCCTCTTCGTACCCGAAGGCAGATCGAAACGGCCCAGAACTACAACAGCTACCTCTCAATCTTCCAGCCCAGGGCTCGAGCCCCTGCCAAAACGTAGGAGAGATGATCCTCCTAAGGAGGAAACCGATGACAAGAAGAAAATGGCGATGGATACAACCTACGATGGCTTCTCGATCTACGGGCGCGTACTCTGTCTGGTAGTCAAGCGAAAGGACAAGAAAGGCAAAGCCCCGGCGAGTTTGGCAGGAGGACAAGCCACGATGGAGAATTGGATATCATCTACACAGATGCCGCCAGAAGACGACTGATGCGAAAGAAAACCTCGGCGCAGTCTGATCTGATACAAGCCATGGCATCGAAGGCGAGGTACATGCGTGGACCTTCTTGAGATCCCCTCACTTTTTGACACCTGCAATGGCATCATGCGCGATGGCCCGCACGTTTTGGCAGGTCGATCACGCCGCCTGTTGTTGCCCGTAAATCAAATGCGCAGCAGAATGACATGCCCAGAAACCATATCACTCGTCAGCATGTTTTAGGTGGACGAGATCACCACGCGTGTTGTTGCCGCAGCAAATGATCTCATGTCCAGAGCTCGATTTAACAACGCTAATCGGTGTTTCGTATGGCTGCTCAAACACCTACTTCGGCCGTCGTACCCGCAAACCTATTTATTTCTAGCATGATGATGGCGACAAAGCTCTCCAACCCTGATGCCGAGACCGAATTCCGACACTCGAGCTCACTTCCCTGAGTTTTTTCTTGGGGTAAAGGGTGATCCCTTCTCCAAGCATGTTATGACCTTCAAGGATATGAATGTTTACAGAGTGGACGAGTAGGAGATCGAGATTGTTTGGTGAGACGCTGAGCGGCTCGGCGGTTGGGAAACTTCTCAACTGAAGTCTGAGCGGGGCGCTTGTTTTTGAACTTTCTCTGTGATATCGGTCCTGATGTCCAACTGAGATCCCGAAATGTTTTCAATTGGTCATCAACTTGCTGGCCAACGGCCAAGGTGTGGTTAAAAGTGCGAAATAACAATACATATGGTTTCGGAAAGTGGTCTAGCTTTGTTGATACGAAGAAATGAGTATTCCGAGATATCACGAAAAGGCCACCCCACGCCGCCTTGCTTAAACGCCGTCTGGGGTCTCTAAACGCCAGGATGCCATACGACATGTCACAAACAACAACATCAGTATCAGTCGGCTCCCGGGCCGCTTCGATGCTCTGAATAGCATCTTTGACTTTCCGCTCTAGCTTTCCGCTCTATCTTTCAAAACAGCAACACAGTACATCCATGTCCTTTCGCATAGCCAGCGCGTACCCAAACCCCCAAATCCAAAAATACAAACAGCCTGATTCCTTCACATCTCAGCCTCAATCCCGCCAAACAAAACACCCTGCACAAAATTGAAACACATCCAAAAGGCAAACAAGCGCGTTAATAATCACAGCCTCACGTCAGGCTCATTTCTTTATTTCAGCGTGGAGTGGAGCTGGCTTCCCGTCCCCAGACCTGAGTGACCGGCATTCGATTGACTCATCTTCTTCCCTTGTCACCGCCTTTGATCATCTGCTGGAAGCTTCCCCTGCTCAAGGGGGCATTGGAGATTACCATGAAGCTGGAGCTTCGGATTCAGATAGACCAGGATATAGCTTTTGCGACCGTGAGAAGTTTTCGAAATATGGAGATGTCGCGATTTCGGTTCGGTGATTTCTCAGCTGTGACAACAAAGGACAAATTCTCCGAACTCGATGCAACGCAATCAAATCAAGTCGATTAGAAGAGAGGAGATAAGACATCACGATCGCACTGGAATGGGGACGACGAGGATCGAATTAGATGCCGAGGTCGGCTTTCTCCATGTATCTCATACGTCTTCTTGTTTGGAATGTTCAAGGTATACAGGCGGTGAGGTACCGAAGTAACAAAGAGGAGCCAAACATCGTGAGATCACCTCCGCTGGAGTTTTCGAATTCCGGCGGTGAAGCCTGAAAGTCCTTTCGTGCATCTCCATTATTCCCTTCTTCTCCATTCAAAAAAAAAGTCCCCTGACCCACCACGTACCCATCATTTCCTTCTTCGTTCCTTCTTCCCATCCTTCCAAATTTCCAGAAAGCGGTGATCATCATCACTCTGTAGATTTCGGACCCTGTTTGTGGGATTCCAGCACGGTTTACCGTTTGGGGTATATCTGCCCCTGCTAAGCAGAACACGCAAGGCGGTTTCCCCCTTTCGCATCTTTTTCTTTTTCTGTTTATTCTTCCGACTCCAGTTCTTGAATTTCAGATAAGCAGGTAGGTATCCACAGTTCCACTCCAAATTAAGCACGAGACCGAATCTCGAGCAAGAAAAATCTTGGAATGAGATTGGAAGAAGGTCACGATGTGACCTGTGCCCAGTTCGGTTGACATCACGATCTCTTGGAACACTTGAGGAATCTCGGCATACCTTATGATGAAGCAGGAGAAGCTCTCCTCTCTTCTGTCTCTCACCGCCTCAACCCCCCCATGATATCTTGATTGCCCTGCTTTTGTCTCCCTTCTGGAGTGGGGTGATGAGATGGGGCAAGGGCAGGGTTGAGCACCTCAATGACAAGGGTAAGAGACGCCAGGGGAGACCACGTGGAAGCTTCTCAAACACCACACAGGGGGGGGGGAATTTATTTCTCAAACCAAAATAATAATAAATCAATAATAAACCAATTCGGATTTCTTTTCTGGCATCCACCGCCTCGTTGAAGAGTGGATAACAAGAGCAGGTTTGAGGATGGAGGGGAAAGGAGGGGAGGGGAGGGAGACAGATACAAGTGGATGATGGCATGGTGGACACCTACCAACCAGCATGCGATCCGATCTGATCTGAACTGGAAAGGAAGAAACCTGACAGTGGCTCCTGTCAAGTCAGACCAGACCAGACCAGACCAGACCAGACCACACAACAGCTCTTCGAACAGACAAAAACACAGACAAACGGTGAGAAAAAGAACCTTTCCGGTATTCTTGAATTGCAGGCTTTGCAGTTTCACGGCAATGGGTGCCTGCCTGCCTGCTCAAAAAAGTAACTCAACATCTCCCGACATCAGAGTTTACAGACCAAAAAGTGCCGGTCTTGCTCTGTCTGCCTGCCACCGCCAATAATTATCTCCGCCGCGATATTTAATTTTTGACTTTCCGCAATTCGATCCGATCTCGCTTCGCTGCAGCCTGTTGCTGCACTGCAGTGCTTGCCAGCCATTATTATTCGGCTGTACATACCACACATGCTTTTCTGTTGACTTTCGGGTGGCTGTCAGTGTTTCACCACTCCCGACATTATCTTTTTTTTCCCCCGCCAACCCAAAGTCTTTGTTTTGACTGCGAAAAAAAAAGCTTATACTTGGAAACCGGACTTTCTGAGATAAACTTTTTGGGGGGTCAAAACAGATTCTTGGCTCTTCTGCGAATCCTTTGATTTTTTTTTTCGTTTGCTGTTGCGTGTTTGAGATTTTTTTCTGGCTTGTACTTTGTTGTCTGTCTGTCTTCTTTTGTTTGTCATGAGGGTTTGGATGGGCTGGTTTTGATAGGATGGTTTATAGTAAAGCTGAGATTCGTGACGGAGAAAGTTCTGTGTATCTCATGTAGGGCTTTGCTCCTGGCTTCACGCCTTGGGTTTAGTTGTGCTCCTTGACTGGGGTTTTGGTTTGCCATGAGAGTTCTGCTTGGGATGTCTTGCAAGATAGGAAAGGACACGGCAGATGGAGTATTAGGGTTGTGTACATGACAGAGAATTTCATCTGTCTATCTTGTAAGGTGTTGCTTCTACTTTTATGCTTAACTTTCATCTACCTTTCTACCCTCCTCGCATCGCGCACTGTATAGAGAGGAAAGTCGAACCTGCATATCTTGTTCGTCATGAGAGTTTGGTTTGGTGTACTTTGATAGGCCTATAGCGCGTGGGGGGACAACTCGGCTGAGATGTATGACAGAGAAGATTCTTTCCATTTCTTATAAGGCTTTGCTACTGGCTTCGAGCCTAACTTTTGTTTACCTTTCTCCTGCCCGCGCAGTGTGTGTGCGCTGCAGGGACACAATTTTGAACAGCTACTGAGTAGCCGCCAGCCAGTAGTCCAAACTTTTGAAAAGAAGGATCATCAGGGACCATCTCAAACCCGTCTTGCATGCAGTATCTTAATTCCTGCATGTCAAATACTGTAATTCCAAGATGAAAGGGTTATGTCGAAAGATCGCCATGGTCTAGAGCTCCATGACGAGAAGATTCTGGGTCGGGATGTGGCGAGCAAAAGGTTTATATCGTGATCAATGTTGGGCAGGCTTGCATGTTTTGACACGTTTGTATAAACATATGTTTCTCTCCAGTTTGTGATTTATGGGTACCGATATATCCGGCTCAGAGGAAGGCTTGCTTCATTTTCTCTTTTTGTTGAGGGGGAATTTTCTATTGGGGTGATTCAGAAACTTCTAGTAACGGTGTGTGGTTGCTGATGCTCTCATGGAGAGTTTTGCAAGTCGCCGTACATTGTGTTGCCTCTGAAGTCGGGTGACCTGACTCAAGAAGCTCTGATCCGACAGATGCCGTTAATGTTAATTTGGGGAGGAGAGCAAACCTGATGACCAGATAGCCAGAGCTCTGAAATACCAAAGTCAACAAGCGTCGGCTGCTCGGGGGACCGACGAAGCTGAAGCTTGACTTCCCAAGCTTTTATTTCAGGGCCCAGGAGATGCAGGTCTTGTTTGGTTGAGATGTCTTTCATCTGCTCACAGCCGTCAAGAATAGTTTGTGTCAAAAGCTGAGTTTGAACGCCTTGGGTCGTGGTGGCGACGAGAGAGTGCAGACGCTGCAGTGACAGGAAGCTGCCTGTGGAAAAGCGCATGTTCGCCTTGGAGATATGAGCGGTGTCCAGCTGAGCTCAAGTCAAGCGTTTACATTTAGGTTGTACGGTACCCTGCCCGATTTAACGTTAAGATTAAGTTTGCTGGAAGTCTATTTGAACCGGGAGGTTGGCCGATTTGTTAAACGACGTGAAGATCGGCGATGACGAGCGGATGAGATGGGAAGTAAGGTTGAGCTTGACATGGAGCTTGTTGCCGTTGGGTTCACTACGATACCTTCTCGGAAATGGGGATGTTGGACAAGAGTTCGGTGTTCTTATTTTGGGACTTGATGACAGTTTGGTGGTGGGAGGGCAAGTCATGCCTAGCTGAAGGATGGAGGTTGGTTTGGGCATTGTCGACTCTAGAACGGCGTCTAGTGTACCTTATCACATCAGTTAAAGCTCAGAAGTGAACGACATAAACACCGAGAATGTTCCAGATGGTAGCTGATGGCAGCGACCGAGCGCATACTCCAACCGCCCTCGGTACCGTTTGGTGTGCGGCGAGGTGGACTATGAAACCCGAAGAGCCTGGTGCGAATGTCGACCGGTTAACTCGGGTGTTCAGATGATGTCTATGGTAAGAAAGTTCACGATGTGGCAAGGACATAACCAAAGGCAGAGGCGCGGAGGCGGAGAGTGTTCTCCGTCGTGTTTGAGATACTGCTGGGCAGTGCTTGTGGATTCGAAGAGGCTTCTCCATGTTCACCTTGCACCACCTATCCTACAGCTTACGATGCGTCCGCAAGGGTGCATAGATATCCACCGGGAGCCGTGCCCTTGATACCACTTCTCCGCGTGCAAGACACACAATGCGTCCGCGAAGAGCAGTCTCGACTTGCACATGCAAGAAACAGACGTAGTGGCTTCAGCTCCAAATACTCCCATCCACTACCTTTCAACGGAGTCCAGCTCCAACAATACACCTCCCTTCTTGCACTGCAGGTCGCATGCCCGTCAACGTCCAAGCATCGCAAGAGGTACAGCAGTCCGAGGGGATCTAACAAGAGTATCTCCACGTTTTCACATTCCTAAGACAGGTAACACACAGAAGAAACGCACAGATCCGTCCGTGGCACGCGACAACGAGAACCAGTCCTCTGGCTCGGAGAAATACCCCACGATGAGAGTTTCCTGCCCTACCTACCTGCGTGCCGCACAAGCGTCAAAGCTCCCGCATCCCCCCACGATATCCCGTTGGGCTGCAGTCCAGTAGTTAGTTGTCTGTCTGCTCGGGTGCACAGTGGTCAAAGAAGTTGAAGCTTAACGTTACGCTCGCATGAGCATTGCATTGCGGACGGAATCTGTCATCCATACGTTTTTTTAATCCCGTTGCGTTCTCGCTGTCTGAGAGTTCTGAGTTCGAAAAAAAAAAAGAGAGAAGCAAAGCAAGCAAAGCACAGATCCCCTGCTCTAGACCGTCTATCAGCCCACCCCACGCGGCTGCCCGCCGGGCAACCCAGAGTAAGCTGCACAAAAAAAAAGTATATCTCGCGTGCTTTGCAGAGTACATATCACGCTGGTCCTTGGTGGGTTTGTGCGTTAACTTTATGTCTCTATGTGCGATGAGATATGTGTTGTCATTAGCGTTCCAATGAGGGAGTTGAAAAATGTATCCGAACCCTCGGACAGTGGTCCGTGGATGATGGATGTGACCGGTCGACATTTTGTCATTTTGTCATTTTGTCACCAGTCAGAATTTGAGTTCGAGCATCAAATCAACTAAACTCCACACCGAACGCTCTTTCGGTGGCCGCGCAAGACCACGACGACCACCGAGCGAAAGAAGCCGTTCTTGCCCGCCCTCCCATCGTTTCTTGCTTTCTTGTCTCGATGTTTTAGAGTTCACGATGCTAACGGCTGGAGTGCTGGGTGGGGGGGAGGAAAGTGGGAAGGGAAACTCAATTCTGGATATTATTATTCTGTTGCACGGAGCTTGGGGTAAACCTCCGTGTTGAATGATGTTCACAAGGCTAGGGAGGCTGGCTCGTCTTGGATGTTGTGTTTCTGTAAGGCTGGGATAGCTGGTTGTGGGGTAGGAGGGGTCATTGAAGATGCCCCCCAAACAGAGTAAGGAGACCTAAATTGACTTTCTTGATTGCAGGCATGCAGCTTCGATTGAACCCGAGTTCAAGGTAAAGAACAGGATAGGAGAGAGCGATGTTCCCCGATGACGTGAAACAGTGCGTCCGTTTTTTGTTAATGAATAGTGGTAAGTACCGAGATGAGATTCGGCGAGTACGGATATATGTTTACTTTCGTCCTCTGGGACCGAGAAGATTTTCGGCTAGGACAATAAATTTTCGTCAAACCGGTACTACCGGTCGGTACTTGTTACTTTATTCCAACTTTCGGGAGATTGTGGCAAAGGGATCCTTTCAATTTCGAGAATACTTTCCGGCCCTTGCTACGATCAGAAAGAGGCCGCCGATACACGGTTCGGTAGTGCTTGCAGGAAACAGCCTCGGCATATGTTAAGTTACAACTTACCAGCACCAGAAATTCAGAACAGGACAGACAAACAATCTCGGAGATTATTGAGCACCAAGAAAACGATAATAACACAAGGCTTGCAAAGGCATTTCGCATTATTCCAAACAAATCTCGCATCCAGAATCAGAATCCATCTAGCATCTATTCTTGGCTCTGGCTCATACCGTAGTAAATTTACTAGATCTGAAGCCAAACAGGCACGCTCGTGGATTTTGCGTCTGAGGTCCAGTTTGGCCTGGTCTGGTCTCGTCTCGTCCTGGCGTGACATCTCACACACCTCACACCTCACACCTCACATCTCACAAAACATCAGACTGAGGAAAGGAACTGCCCGGGCGATCACCCACCCAGCCACCCACCCAGCCTTTCCCACCCAGAAGAATTGTGCGACGACGACAGGGCGATAATAATCCTGCTAGTAGTTTGGCGTGTTCCGTATCAGATCACCGTCGTCCTTGTGAAGTGCAGTGCAGTGCAGTGCAGTGCAGTGCGACCACGGCATGCATCGCGTCAAGATCTGAAACCGCGTTTCAGGCTCATCTGATGCTTGCTTGCAGTTCGTGCGGCGTGGCGCACGCATGTCCCGTGTGCGGTGTTGTGGTGGTGATGTGACAAGGCTCGCTTCGAGAAATTTCATTTCTGTTTTGTGCTTGTGTGTGAAATTCAAATACGGATAAGGGGTTTATGCGCAGTGTAGAAAGGAGGTGAGATGTGTCCGGATTGTGTTGAGATTTTACCTTTACCTTTTCATGTTCCCCCCCTTTTGATATGCGTATGCATATGTATACATTTCAAGCGCGGCATCGCATCGCATTTCGCTTGCGCATCGCATTCCCGAATAAACCCAAAACCACCATCATCAAATCTCGTTTGGGACGAACATATAGATACTACTGTACGGAGTGCAGACCGCCGGTGCGTCAGTAAGATAAAGGGGGTGGTGACAAAGTTCAGGACTATTGTTTGTTTGTTTTGCTTTCTCTACTGTAATAATTTCCAAAAAAAAAAAAAAAAAAAAAAAAAAGTGCCGGCACTCACTGTACCCAAGACCCTGAAATCTCCAGAATTAGAACACCATTGCGGTTTGCTTGCCCTGCCCTGCTTGATCGTCCACTTTTTTTAGTTAGCCAAGATTGTTCTGAGATCCACCTACTGCAGCACCATGGGGACGCTACAGTACGTAGCCAGCCACATCCCTGGCCGTTCCTGGATTCAGTGGAGCCGGGGGGTTGGAATTATTGGATAGGTGGAGTTCCAGGCCCAGTTTTAAAACCTTCGATTTCACCTTCTGGAAGATGGGACGGGTGGGAAAAGTGGAGGTACTGTAAAAAGGGGGGCTCGTTTCCTGTTTGCTGGGTCGATTTGAAGGAAATTTTTCACTTGTGCCGGAGAACTACCTCCTTCCCTGCCATGTGGCATCTGGCATGGGAGGGAGGGAGGGAGGGAGGGAGGGAGGGAGGGAGATTTGGTGGAGGCTGAAAAGGAAGGGAACAGGCAGGGAAGAGCGAGATGAGGATGTTGTGGATATTCATTTATTTTGTGCAATAATGGTCGGTCAGACAGGGCAAGGAAGATTTCCTGGACTTTGATCTTGCTTGCCCTGACCTCTTTAAGGTAATTCTTAATGACGAGGAACAAGAGTCGACTTTCTGCTGTCATCTCGTTTTCTTCGTATGCCTGCTTCTGCTGCCTCTTCATTTTACTTTGCCATTTAAACTTGCAGCACAACTTCCACGTGTCTTAGATGACGGTAAAGGCGACGGCAAAGGCTGTTTTTTCTCCTCGGCTGGCTTGCTCAACCGCTCGCTCGCTCGCCAACTTCGTGGAGTTCTGGAGGCCGGGCTGGCTGGCTGGCTGGCTTGGCCGACGGCTGCTGCTCTCCTGTGTTGACTCCTTCTACTGTCTCGTGGTTGAACGGCTCGCTGGCTCGCGGGAAGGCGTCCACCTACAGGCGACGAAAATCCTCCGCATGCAAGGTCCCCATCCCAACTTCACATGGCGCTCTATCTTCTTCCAGCCCCAAACCCCCCCCCCCCAAGACGCCGAAGACGGGTATCGCTCGCTCGCGTGGAGGAGACGGAGCTGGTGGTGGAGGCGAGCGAATAATAAAGGAAACATCGAAACGAAGCCGTTGCTTCCCTGAAACAAACGGCCGCGAAGTTGCCACTGCGCTGGGACTGATGGGGCGGAGCGGTACCGCGCAAGCAAACTGCTGTGTGTGCTCCCTTTACACTAACTACTACACGGTTGCAGTTGCGTTGGGACAAGAGACGCGTGCGTGCGGGCGCATACGAATGATGGAACGCATTGCTTTGAGTTCTCAAAGCAAAAGGCATAGCTGCCCACCCAAACTTTACCTATCTCTCGATTGTTGGGACGGATGGAGTATCAAAGCACTGTGCAGCATACAGTAGAGATGTTCAGTCACTGTAAGCGTAGAGGCTAGATACCGAGCCCGTTTCCCGAAGTGTGAAAGGTTCGTCGTAAAGAATCGTCGTCAGTCGGCATGCCCGAGCCGATACCTTACCTTACCTTACCCGTGTAGTACTGTCCAGCCGTCTACATAGTTACACACACCCAAATATCTGAGACCAATCCGTCCATCTTTCACAATCCGTCCGTGCATCTGACCCAGCCAAGCCAAAGCCTCCCGTGCAAGCAACGCAGCGGCCCAACCCAACCCACAGCGTAGCACAGCATAGCAGCAAAGTTCAGCTCAGCTCTCGCCTATGGCATCCAGGAAGGGACAAGATAGCGATATGATCCTTCTTTCTTATTTAAAGGTTCAGGTACTGATCAGATCCATCTAGAATGAGATCATGCCATCTCACATACCAGCTATTAAATGTAACTCTAATCTTAAATAATCCTGCTTTGCGCTCCGCTTCACCAGCAACATCCAGAACAGGCCAGACTTGTCCAGTTTTATTGTCCGGCTGCCGGTAAGTATGACTGGACTCTACTACTTTACTACTTTTCTCCAAAAATCTGGATTCTGGATTCTGGCGAGAGGGCAAGCAACCTTTAAAGTTGGAATTAGTGCTGCCGCCGGCGGCCGTTTGGGAGGGGGGGGGGGGGGGGGGGGGGTTTACTAACTCACCAAGTCCATGGTAGTGCATGGCCTAGCTGCCTACCTTAGCTGGCCCAGCTTCCAGAGAACGAGATCCGAGCTCGATGGCCACTTGGGCATCGAAGATTGTGAAGCTAAGATGGAATAGGCTCACCGCCTTGAAGAGGGGAGGGAGTGGGTTTCTTCTTAAACTTATTGATTGTTCTTTTTGTGTTTTCTACTGTATGTCTGTGAGACGGACTTGAAATTTGGTTATGGATAGATAGATAGATAGATGCAGGGGAGGGGAGGATTGTGGCCAGCTGATCGATATCTTTTTGTGGGTGGATTATTGCACAGGACAGAAGCGGATGTGGTGCCCCTGCGCAAGCTCACTGATTTCGTCGCCTCCCCCTGTGAACCGCACTGCACTGCAGCTCACGCTGAACAAGGGCGACCCGACGGTGTGGTGTGAGTGGAGACGGGACTACTGCTGCTGGCTGCTGCACAGTAAGTGATCTTGAAAAAAGGTGGATTATTTGAGTGGTGATGAGTAGTGGTGATGTAATCGCTCTCGCATGGCAGTAGTCAAGTGTACGAAGTACTCCTCTCCTCGGCCTTATGGAAGAATTTAACCCTGGTAAGAAAAAAAAGAAGTCACAAGGAAGGATTCGAGGATCCGGTAGTTGTTTGGTCACCGCGTACTGGAAGCTCTTGAACTCGTAGCAGGGAATTTAGCCAGATAACTAACTGGCTTACAGTACTAGATGATAGCCTAGCGAGATAAGAGCCAGTTTCCTGGATTTTTGGGAGCTGGCGTGCAGGCTTGATTGGTTGGGAGGAGGAAGAGGAGTACGAGGGGGGGGACGATGGAAGGTGAGCTGAGGGTGTTCCTGAGCTTGCTTGTTTGCGTTCCTGAGGATGGTCATGAGAGTGGAAATCAAAAATGAGCTTGTTTGGTCCTCTTTGGAGGCGAGGTGTCTGGTTCTGGATGGGATTGGTTGGTTTTGAGTGCCACAGATGCTGCGTTCGTGGTGTGGTTCATGGCTTTCCGGCGTGCATTATTGTGAGAGCTAGTGTATCTGTACAGAAGCCTCGGGAAGATCAAAAGAAGGAAGTCTTTGACGAGCATGCAAGCGGGTCGCCAAATCCGGTGCGTTTCTTGGACCTAGATTTAAAGCCACGCGTAGAGAAGAATGAAATATACATGACGCCCACAAGACAGGCTTCTCTTCCGATATCCCGAAACGAACCTCTGTCTTGTCTGTTATTGACGCTCATTCAGAGCCAATGGCAAAATCTCCGATTCCTGAGTCATAACAAGGCTGGTGGGATGCAGCTCATTGTCAGAAGAAGCACAGATCATGATCACGCGTTGGCTGCTTGAAGGAGGTTTTATGGCCGTACGATGGGATGAAGTGAGATTTGTATGAGGTGCTGTCGATGAAGCGAGACATGCTGCTGAGCTCTGTATGGGATGAGGCTCATCAGGGGCAAGATTTAGACAGGGCATTATTCTATGCAGGGTCCCCAACAGCTTCAAAGAGCCTCAGTTTTGTGTTACCATTGGTATTCTGGAATGCAGAACGAAGTGATCCACCTGAGAACATGTTTAAGATTGCTTGCTTCTTTCGCCTGGGGGAGATTCCCGAAACACTGGTCGGCTTGCGCGGGCTGGGTGGTCGATCAAAGGCATGAAAAAGCAATTGCTCAATTGTTGCACATTGCGGAGAAAGCCATGAAGGCTGGGAAGGGTGTCACCGAGAGACATCTGGGAGAAGATAACAAAGGAATGAAAGTGAGTTCCATTACTGTATTCCGGGCGGGGGTGACACATGGCATCTGGAATTGAGGCTCGAGCTCAAGCTTAAGCTTGTATCAAATTATGATAGGAAATTTGGACCCAGTGCTTGCTTACAGCTCCACGCCACGCTCGAGCTGTTGTGTAACTGACGTGGGCAAGGTACGACTTCAAATGTCCCAACAGATGGGATAGTAGTGCAACCCGCAAAATTACGATAGAACAATCTGTGCACCTCGCATGGTGATGGTCTCACAAAAGCTTCGGTCTAAGCTGGAAATTCGGAATAATGATCGAGGGAATGAAAACACATGTTTTGACCAAAATATCGTCAACTGCTGGCTCAAGTAAGCTTGGTATGTGACATTTGATGCCACATCTCAGAAAGCCAAAGCTGATAAGTGGATTGATCGATAATTCTTGCTTGGCAGGCAATGGCGCAAACAAAAACAAAATAAATCCCCGAAATTGTATATTGACAGAAGGTAATTTCCCGAGAAACAAGCGAGATCGATTGATGGTCTCAAGTGACACAATCAGAATCTTGTGCTTTGGTATACCCAAGCCAGGTGAGTGGCCTGGCAGCTTGGTGATACCTAAGCCAAGCTAGAGATATCGTGGCCTGCGTCAACTCCGTACGTATATCCTACGTACAACTCTCTTGCGGACAGCTTCCGATACGAATTGCCATCATGGGCGGGAGGTTCGGCAACGGGCGCACACTTGGCTGGTCGGTGCATTCTATTCGTAGCCGGCTGAGTACTGGCACCAAGGCAGCACCTCGTATCATTTTTCAAACCAGTCATCTAGCAGAGATATCACAGGTCGAATTCCTTAAACTTGCTCGTTCCAAGTCGGCGGGGAGGACAAGATTTACAGAACCACTCTACTGGAAACCCCCCATATTCCGGTCGTAAAGTGTAACGTGCTGATCGCGATGAAATCAAATGCTCCATTTATAGCTACCGGGGGGCCAGGTCAGATGATGTAACAGGTGCCGTCATACGGAAATCACGGAGAGCACGAAGCTTGATTAATACGAATTGCGAGCGAGGATACCTACATTGCGCGGTACGGTCGGATGGATAAATGGACGAGATATCAATAAAGACGAATTTCGTTAAGTATGAATGAAGGTGCAAGCAGCGCATATGAGAGCAGGGCACAGGCGATGATTAATCATATTCAATTAATATAATTCATATTCCGAATGAAGGGCCGAGAGGGCATCAGAAGCCGTCAGCTCTCAGAGTATCCACACCCTCAGGCGAGTTTCCCCTGCACCATGGCATCCATATCACCAAGCCAGATTCTGCCGTTTTCTGCCATACCCCCCCTTCTTCCCCAAGCAGCAAGCCGTAGCCAAGTGGCCTGCCCTACCTAAATTTTTCTGCCCTCCTCTCCTGTCCTCTGCCCAGTCGAGCCAGTCCACTGGGATTGTTCATGGTTCGCTCGCTCACTGACTCCACTTCTCGCCGCGTGGGCTGCATTGCCCCTGTCCATCATCTGTATCCCCCTGTCACCGAGTTCAGGCCTCCCCCTGGGCCAGGGGAAGCCAGCCTGGAACGACGACGCCAGTAGGCCAGCTTATGCCCTGTTTGGGCTTAAACTCATCTCGCTCAGGCCGGACAGGGCAAGACAGCGCAGGACAGGGCACCCACGCTATCGTGTTTCATTGTCGGCGCTCCCTTGCTTTGCTTTGCGTTGCGTCGTCTGCGCTGCAAAGCTGCACACCTCCTGATGCTGGTGAGGGTGGGTGGGTGTTGGGTGGTGACGCCGATCCGAACTAGGTCGGGATTCTTGGGTCTTACAGTACTTACAGACAGACAGACATGGGGCTTGAGCTTGGGCTTGGGCTTGGGCTTGGGCTTGCCCTGGGTTCAGGACTTGTGAGTTTTGGTGAAAGTGAGCAACGCAACGCAACGCAACGCAACGCAACGCAACGCAAACCAGCACAACCCAAGCAAGAAAAGTGAACCAAACGGACGTGCTCAGAATAATTTCCCCAGATGCCCTGCCCTTGGCCTTCTCCGGCGCGCCCAGCTCTGCCCTACCTCACTATCCCCTCCCCTGTCCTGCCTTCCTGCCTTCCTGCCTGGTATCTCACTCCCTTGCCTTGCCCGATCCACCTGTCTACCTGATCTCATACCATACCACACGCACTTTCACACCAGCCGGATACATAAAGCTCCCAAACCCCCAAGGCGACACTGCACCAATGTTCACATAAGATCACTGCAAAGCACAAAAGTTCACTTGCACTTCCTCAGTACTCACACGAACACATCAACAGCTTGTTTCTACCTTCAGATATCTTGAACAGCAGCAACTCACTACTTGCCACTGCTACTACATATATCCTCATCGTCCTCCACCAAGACTTCGATATCAGGAGTCAACAACTTTTGCAGACTTTCGTCTTCAACCCACACAACACATCAAAATGCCTGCTCACCGTCCATCTCAACTTCCTCCCTGCCCAGGGCCACCACCCAGTCGTCCTCTCCCACCTCTGCCAAAGTAGAGGTTGGGTTGGCAACATTCAACATCAACCAACTCTTCTCATGAAGCACATGTCTCGACTCGGAATCCATACAACACGGGTCCAGCATCCGGACAAGCCAGCAATAAAGCAGCAACAGCCTCGACTTCTCTCAATTGGCATACCCATACACATTCGCAGGGCATCACATCCGCGAACAGTAACCGACGATTTCGGGTTTCCTCCTTTTCGCAAGCATACCTACGAATGAAACCCTACATACTTTTCCAATTCCCACTCGGCAAAGCAGTAATGCCCATCCTCAACATATCCATACCTCCGAACTCCTACCGATACGAGACGCAGCCTCGCTTCGTCATCCACCCTCCTCTCTCGCCGAGCAGCCAGCCGAGCATCTGCGAGTTGACATGCATGCATATATGTATGCTCTGCCACCACTTTTCCACCCCTCAACAACCACATGCCAAAGCTTCTCGAAGCCCGGATGGAAAATTGGGCATCTGCAGCTCCGCGCAATCTCGTTTCATAGTGCCATGCATCTATTGGCCCGCTATCACACCACGCCTCTGCCGACAGCAGAATGGCGGACAAATATCGAGTTTGATTATGCATCCGCCTATCATGCAGGTTGCACGATTTCCTTGATCTGAGATGCGGCGAAGTGGGATCGTGACCTAGTGTGGATTCGATGCTATTGGGTTGGACATGCATGCAGCCTCGCCAACACACACACATACACTCTATTTCTCCATCTGTTGCAGCCTTCCATCGGGTATCCCCGCTTGGGCATCGCTTGTTTGCCTGCTCTTCCGAACTCAGCTCCTCTACATGTGCTTCATCACTAGGATTTCCTAACTTTCTTTCTTTCCCGGCGGCCGATACAGCGGAGAAATACATCGAGCGGGCTCGTTCACTTCACTCACAACGCCACATACAGCCTCGACTACTTTAATCCAACTTCTCGCGATTTTTCTCCACATCCAACGCAGACAGACACTTCAAGTCAATCGAGTTTTGTACAACGCATCTTTTCCCGCCGGATAGAGCCGGCGCTATTTTTTGCCTTTTCCCCCTCGTTTCTCGCTCGCTCGCTCGATCGAGCACACATACCCCGGCATACCACAACAGATTGCCATGCCACGCCATGTCTTGTACCAATATACGATCAAATCCGATCACATCATCACTTTCTAATTTTCCAACAGGTCGCGGGATCATAATAACTTCCCCCACTTCATTCTTGGCTTTTTCGCTTCAAATGGGCGGACGGGCGGGTATGCGGACTAGGGTGAGGTGGGATACCTACCTCCTTTTTTGTTATATCATCATGGGTGGGATGGGATGGGATGGGATAGATTGAATGCCATGCAGATGATGCATGCATATTCTTGTTTTTTTTTCTCACTCACTTACAGAGGCTTGTCCCATTTTGGATTTGGACTTGGGACTTTGATGACAATGGGACGGATAGCGCGGCTATCACGGATTAGATTGGAATTAAGAAAAGGGACGGGAAGTTTGATACCAGATATCATGTCACATCATCATCGTCATACAGTGCATACTATACAGAACAGAATACTTGTTATCTATCTCTATCTGACCGTCTGAATTGTGCTTGCGAGCCAGCGGCGGCGGAGGGGTGTAATCTAATACATTTTCATCTATATTATACTCATCATATTTCCATGGTCTGCATACCTCGTGAATAAATCTGCGGTGACTTTGGATCGGATTGCATATCCCACCCAATCCAATCCAATCCAATCCAATCCTATCCCATCCCATCCCATCCTATCCTAACCTACCCGTTCCATCTCCCGAAACCTTCTTTCTCCACATCAACATACATCCTCCAGCACTGCACTGGCAGGCAATACATCACCAATACACCACCAACCCCCACGCTCACGCTCACGCATGGCGGTGTAAAGCTCACCGCCAGCCAATCTCTACCAAAATTATTAACATTTATTAATCTACTCAGATACCATACCATACCATACATACATCACGCTCACACATGCAAGCAAGCAAGCAAGCAAGTATCAGCATTCTTCCTATCTCCCCACCCTCCACCCTCTCCAACAACAACAACACCGCCAGACCCATCCGGATATGTACCCTCCCCTACCCAACCTACCGACTTACCAACCTCAAATAAATTAACCGCCTCACCACCACCACACCCACGTGGCACACCCACCCCCTTCTCCTGCCACACCTGCACGCACTCCTGCACAGTGTATACCCTGGTCGACTCATCTAAGCGCCAACCACTGGACACCCCTTCTTGATATCAGTTCCTTTTATACTGTACTGTACAGTACGGTAGATACACTACTTTTGTGAGAATAGAAAGGAAGGAAGGAAGGAAGGAAGGAAGGAAAAGGGTGAGGGTGAGGGTGAGGATGAGGGTGAGGGTCAGGGTGAGGAATGTGATGAAATGATGTGAAACGGACGTTGCTCTAAGCGCGCTGGTGATGATGACTGTGGGTAGGTAGGTAGTTTGAGAGAGGGCGAGGGGTCGGAAGAGGTGGGGGAGGTGGAGAGGTAAGGGGTAAGGGGCAAGGGTTTGTTTACCTACTGTGCGCATGCATGGAGAGGGAGGTACTACTGTATGGTAGGCGAACCGAGTTTGAGTAATCGCTGGTAGCGGCATATGTAGTCTACTCTACTCAAGCACAGAGTGAGATTTGAGAATCTGGAAGTTGGGCTCAAAGGAGTGAGTAGTTTCTAGAATACCCTGCCTGCTTTCGATCTCCTATCTTTTTCTTTCTTTCTTTCAACTCCCACCCACGCGACGTCCACTTCCCAATGCAACACAAGTCCGTAGTAGACCTCTCAAATATTGTAACAAAGCATATTTCCTTTCCCATCCTTAAACCTTGCATACTCGACGCAATAAATCAATCAATCAATCCATCAATAAACTCCTTCGGGTGACATTATATCCGACCAGCGTACGTGCTTGCGCGCGGGCGGGAATGTCACTCACCCACTCACCCACCCACCCACGCGTCCGGGATCCGGCTCGGCATCTTTTACAGTTTTCCTCTCCCTCCCCGAATGACTTCATGATCAACAAAGATTTACCTTCCTAGATTTGCACTCGCCACCGCGCGCGCGGCGGAACAGGAACAGATTGATTGATTGACCTGAAACATGAAACGAAAACAGGTGAAACGGTGAAACAATCGATGACTATCGCAATTCCCCTTCTCCTTCCTTTGCCCCCCGAGCCCCCCCCCCCCTCGGTCGGGGTGGACGGTAGGTCGTGATCGTGGTTGCATCGCATCACATCTCGTCAGCAGGCGCCTGGGGAGTTGGGATTCTACTTTTGCAACACAGTAATTGGAGTTTTGTAGCTTTTTTTTTTGGGTGGCAAATACTGAAGTAGGTACAGTAGCGCCCCCGCGCCCTCACGAAGCACAAGCAGGAACCCGCTCCCGTTGTGGCCGGCTGGCCGCGTCAAATATGCTAAGCCACACCATACGGCGGGCGGGCGTGCTGATCTTTCAATATCTCGTGCCTGCTTCGGGGTCGAGAAATTTTGTGCTTAGACCTCTTTCCGAACAGCAGACTTTTTTGTCGTTGATCTGATCTGATCTGATCAGAAGAGAAGAGATCAGATCAGATCTTACCATCGTGGTCAAAAAGAAGCAAGTCTATTCATTGAAACAATGAAACAAGACAATAATAATTCTCAATACTTTACTCGGTCCCAAAGTCCTGGGACCGATTATTGGGCCAAAAAGAAGCGATGGGTGCAGGTAGGACCCCTGATGATCACTACTGTACTCAACCGCCGGCGCTGCAGATCATACTCCTAATCGTGATCAGGCTGGTTTTCTGATACGGATTGACAGCGGAGATCATCTGAATATGACGTTGTGGCTGTGCCTTTGGACGGCATGCGGAGGAGGAGGGAGAGGAGGAGGGGTTAGTCAATGTGGTGTGTGGTGGACGAGTAGTGAAACATTTGGATTATTGGGATGTCGAGGATGTCACTGTCGTTGCTGAGACGAAATTGCATCATCTCGGGCGGGGAAGAGAAAAGATACTCGTAAATGGAACGACCGAGGGACGAAGGCGGTGAAAAGGTTTGTGATTGATTGAGTTGGGATTTTTCGAGATTCTTTATTGGATGGGAAGCAAGCAAGACGATCGTACGTGATCGTCAGGAGGGCATATCGATATGCAGGAGAGGGGCAAGGGAATCGACTTGCGAGGCTTGATGGAGGGTATGGGGCAAGGCACTATCCAGCGCCGTGAGATCTGCATCCCTCCAGTTCGGATTACCTTTTTAAGACTTCTTGGTGACGAGGTTGCGTAGCAGATAGAGGCATATCTTTCTCCGGAAGGAAAGAAAAAAAGGAAGACCAGGATATTCGCACTCCGATCATTTTGGGACGGGAATCAGTAATCGCTTCTAAGCGAAGGATGCATCCAACGTACACGGAGCTCCTTCTTTGCAGAGAAGCCAATTGACTTACTGTAGAATCCTCGAACGGGTCTGTTTGTGTTGGCATGGATGAATCCCGCGATTGTCTGTCTTCTTTGTTATCTCTTTCCCCCTTGGATCGTGGGGCATTGAGAATGCCGGGGGTACAGAAGGTGTACTGAACAAGTCCCTCATTTGGGCCTGAGACATGGATTGAGGCAAGATCGTTGCTTGCACTTGAGTTGAGTGGCTTAGAAACGGTCCAAAAATCGTATGTCAAGTTCTGTGGAAGATGTTGTTGATAGCGATTGGCAAGCGAGTTTGACGGGGTTTTGGCGGATGTCAGTTGGAGTCTTTCCCAGGAATAACTGAATGTTATCCATGAACTTGTCTCGAATTTGGCATTTGACGGATAATCACAACAGCTCCTATCTGTTCGCGTGCTACTCGAGTTCTGCAACCCATGCTAGATAGTCAGGAGGGCCTTGGACCTGAAATTAGCGAGGCAGCGCAACAGATCTCAAGGTATCTTCCTATCTACACTTTCCAGCAACGAAGAGTCCAGCAGCAAAAGTACAGCAGACTCGTCCGCTGCAAGCTTCCTTTCTTATCTACGAAATTAAAAACCAAAAAAAATAAACACAAGTCACCGATGCCTGCAGGATTTGAACCTGCGCTCCCTAGGGAAATAGATATCTCTAGATAATATTCTAGTCTATCGCTATAGACCACTCAGCCAAAGCACCTCTGTGTCAAGTGATATGTCAAGTGATATCAAGAATGCTGTTATCTGACTAGTTGTCAAAGGCTGACCTTTTCGTATTTGTGGGAATGTAGGTAGCAAAGGTGGATACTTTTTTGGGAAGCGAGATTTGTAGGGTTTAGGTGATGAGGAGACTTTGCCTCGTCAGAGGGAAATCGAGTTATTGTAATTTGTCTTCATTGGCTTTGTTTTGCGGCAGGAACCATTGCATATGCTGCATCTTATGCAAAATCTTTTAGAAATTGAGAATGGACACGGCAACGATTCACGATTGTCGTCCTCAATACCTCCAGCCTTAACAGACTATGTCGCAAGAAATCTGCTTCCTAACCCTCTTTGTAGCTAGCTTGTGGTCTAAGTATGACTGAGGTAGACTTGTATAAAAGCACTCTCCAGCTCACAGGCTTTTCCCCTTCGCTGTGGAGAGAAGGGCGGAGTCGGACTTAAGAAACTGAGTGAAAGGAGCACCTCCAGCTACGACCCCTGCTGGCGTTCAATGTTGGCGGAATTGCCAGATTAGCCATCAAGCCTGCAACGTTCATGAGGATTATCCATGCTGTTGACTGTTTGCTTGAAATTTGAGATAGGTACTAAATGTCTCTTAAATACAATATTTCGAGAAGGCGACAAATCCTCCAGAAAATCATACATAATTTATTCGTAGTCTCGCAGCAGCGTTTCTTTGCATCCCACTTCTTACAGCTGCTGTTGAGCGCGTTCGAATTCTTCGCCCAATCACACATTTCTGAAAATATATGCCAACTGCCGATGAGTTGTAGTGGCAAACGCACCACCTGCTTCACTTTTGCCAAATATCATGCCCTTGGCGAATTTGCCGAGCATATCCTTTGGGACGTGGGCAACAGGTAAACAGAGAACTTCTGACAGGTCTCAAACACATTCGTCAAGTTTGCATATGACTGAGACTCCCATAGTCCATGGACTTTCATTGACACACCAGACAATGAGCCGAACACCCCGCATCTCGGTGTTGATATATCCAAATTGCCTCGACGTTCAAGTCGAAGCTTGGCACGGCACTTGGAAAGGAGTTGTCAGCGACCATGGAAATGGGATTTGAGTCCCATCATAAACTCGGAATTCCTCCAAGAGTCGATCATTATGACTACATTTCACACCGGCTGCTCTTTTCTGCTTCTCGAATCTTTCGTCGAGAGATTGACATCTGCTTGCTTGTTTTGTGATTTGATGACCAAGAACAGTTCGCCATGCTTTGGCAAACACTTCTCTTCGCTGCGGCAGCTGATGCCCAGATCTCGGCTGGGCTGAACCACCTGAGGTTCGGCTGTTCTCAACTTACTATTGAGCGTCTTGACCCTTTGGTTACGCCTGGCTTGTATCCCAGTCCTCACAGTGAGTTGTTGTCGACGTCTCTTCATCAAGTTTAGCACTGGAATCATGAGGCTTTTATGACCTGTCCTCCCAAAAGCATAAGCGCTTCATACAACTTCAAGTCCTGTTTCGGGACAACGCTAACAATTTCTGGAACAGTGCATCAAATCATTGGAGGAAATGCGTTCAACGCATCCATGCCAAGCACTGATATCTCTGCTCTCGCATCGTGCACTACTTGTGGCCCTGCAGATGATCTTTCGAATTACTGGACTGCCAATCTGTATTTCAAGGCTCGCAATGGCTCATATAAACGTGTTCCTCAGATGCCAAACAGGTATACATACCATGACCTCCATCCTGGCATGCGTTCGTTGCTGTCGGCAGGAGCATCAAATTCCCCACTCTTCCCCTTGTTTAATGCATGCTAACAGAGCGGCTGCGCAGATTCCTGTTCAACGATAGATTTACCACGCAGACTTCTGGCGGGGTTACTGTCTACTACATATCTCCCAGTAAGGGAAAAGTAACTGCCTTCAAGCCGGTAGGTCTCACCTTCACCCAAATACTTCTCATATTCATTCTCACCAACAGGGGTTTCGAATGTTTGTCGGCGATCCTCTCAGACGGCAGAAGAAATACAAGTCCCAGAGCTGCTTCCGCTGCTATTCTGGACCAGACTTTGGTGGTGATAATGTAGCTCCTTGCAGTGATGCAAAGCTTGACACCGAAGGCTTCCCGACTGGGCCTTGCCTGGGTGGCATTCGGTCCAACATCCTGTACCCGACGTGAGTACTTTCAGATCTCTTTCGTGTACCACACAGGCACTAATTTGGATGCAGCTGCTGGGATGGCAAGACGCTCGACACACCAAACCATATGGATCATGTCGCCTATCCCAAATCCGGACCGTCAAACTTTTTGTCAACTGGTGATTGTCCTTCCACTCATCCAGTCAAGATACCGCAGCTCATGCTGGAGGTAAGTTTCTGCCTTTGGCCTCAACGACCGTTTCAAGTATTGACATACACCACAGGTTGTCTGGAACACCACAGGATTCAACAATAAAGCCGAGTGGCCAGCCGACGGCTCCCAGCCTTTCGTCCTCAGTACCGGTGATCCTACCGGGTACGGTCAACATGGGGACTACGTCTTCGGTTGGAAGGGCGATGCTCTGCAGAGAGCGATGGATGATAATGGATGTTTTAGCGCTACTTGTGGGAAACAGAAGTCGCAAGACATCGCTGTCGCGAAGAAGTGTGTTATTCCTAAGACTGTTCTTGAGGATGTCGATGGATGTAAGCGAGCTTTTTCCACGAAGTTGTGCTTTTCTAACATGATATAGGGTTCAAGGAGCTTCCAGGGATGAGTCCGATGTAGTAAATGAACTAGTAAATGGAGTTGACACTGCCGGACCCAGGTCTGATGGAGAAACCAATGAGTTTGCTATTATTCCGAGATGATTTATTGTTTATAAATCAATCGACAATGTCGAACACAATTGGTAGCGATAGCTGTTTGACGACTAGGAATTGATAACGGAGAGGACCTCCTCCACATATTTTGTTGGCTTCTCACTCACCGTACACCCGGTTCTGCATTCTGTAAGCCTTCTGTTGGCGAAAGCGACCATGTCAAGAGCCCTTTAATCCTATCTTCTTGTTCCAAGTTGGCTCTCGATGCCTATCTTGTCTCGTGGCACATGTGTGATCGTTTGTTTCCTTCGCTCGGTCGAAAACGCCATGGGTATAGGCATCGGATCAGTTTATTCAGCCCCAGTAGAGCGCCATACATATAGAAGAAAAGTTCCTTTCCTAAACGTCGCAACCTCTAGAAATTTGTGCTTCTTGAATTTTGCAACACCCACTCACTTCATGGACTGCCTTCAAGATTACCCTCTACTTCACTCAGCGAACCCAGCACTGCAATTTAGCGCGAGATGGCGGCATTACAGTGATGAGCTCCCTGAAAGTCCAGGTTACAAAGCATATTTCTCTCCGTGACTCGGCTTGGCCAGCCTTGACCTCTTACCCTGGTTACTCCAATTCTGCTTTACTCTCATGAATCCACAAATTAAGCGAGCTTTTTCATGGCCCACTCGTCTCATTCTTCGACTACAAACATGGTTTTTTCAAATGACAGCTAGCTCACTTCAGTTTGTTTACCAAGGAAAAAAAGCTGATTTGTGGTCGTGCACGAGTTGCTTGTGAGTCTGAGTGCCAAGTGGTTCTGACCTGTTTCGTCATCGTCTCGCTTAGGTTGTTTGACATTGTCTGCGACTCTGCCACTGCTCTGGAACGACCTCACCTTTGATTGATTGTCAGACAGCGTGAATGTTTCATACATCTCTTCGAACCCAAGATGAGCTGAGAGCGAACCTAATTTTCGAGGCAGCAGTAGCGCACACAAATGTGTATATCTCCTTCAAATTCTCTCCTTCGAATTCTTACTACCCTTCGAAAACACCACCGCCACGACACTTCACGGCGGAGCAGCCTCCAGAGCCTCTCAAATCCACCACCCCTTCTACTTCGATCGACAATAGAAAACATGAATCAAACAGTCCCGAAGAAGCTTGACGATCTTCCCCCCCTTGTCCTTTTGTGTGTCGGAGATTTCCTGTCTAGTTCGAGTTCAGCTTGTCTTTCGATCTCCAGCAAGAACCTCTACGATACTTTTGCAAATAAATACCAAGCATGCCTGTCAACTTCAGGACCCGATTACATACAGTTCCTTGCTCTCTACGCCAAAGACCTCCCGGATCACTTTCCCTGTCCATTCTGCAACCGCTTGCATTCAAATGATGTTGTTCCATTGCCTGGCGCACCCACCACAAACTCAGCACCTGCCACCGCCGCAGGCCCAGCCTGCCCAAGGATCCAACAAAGCCACTATAGTGATATAGAACCGGTGACTTTCCCACAGATTCAGGTCGCTATGAAGAATCATAAGTTCGGCGACCCACATGGTATTCCACTGTCAGCCTTCAAATACACCGAATACTACGATCTCGCCAGGCTCAACGGTCACGGATTCAAGTTCACAGCCACCCACTCCTATGAGGGACGAATATACAATGGTGAAATCATCCTGCGGACACAAATATTCATGAGGATGCCATACGAGCCGATCAAGTATAAACAGTATCACGACCTCATTAAGGAGCTTCAACAACAGCACCATGATAACTTGAGCCACCAAATGAGAGCCTGTACACTCCACAGCACGATGGTGACCTCCTGTCTCATGGATGATGATAGCGAAACCTTGGAAAGCTTCAACAATCAATGGCCTCGTATTGCGAGAACACCTTTCGGGAATGTTGGACCCTTCGAATGTGAGTCGTCGACTATGCATATTGCGAGGCGACAGAATGCCGCTGTTTCCATCACAACGTGAATCAACTACGGTGATGGTACCGCGCCGAAGAATTTGGAACGTCGGAAGGTCACTACTCCTGCGGAAAAGATTGTTTTTGAGAGTTTACCAGGCGAGACTTTGGAAGAAATGACCGAGAGAAATGAGAAGCGACTTTTTGAGAAGGAGGTTCTGGAGCATTGGTACCTTGTCTGAGATGGCGCGTCTTTCGACTTACTGTCACCAAAGGTATCAGGTTGATCCAAGACATACTCAGTGGTTTGGTATGGATGATATGTATAGTATCTCTATCGGTGTTCCAGAGAGGTGTGACTACGAAGTCTCACGTCCGAAAGTTCTTGATGAAGGAGTGTTCACCGCAGATTGAACACTTGCCTTCACTTGCCAATAGGAATGTTTCAGGATGTACAATGAGGAATCGGGTGTCAAGAGAGGCTGGAAGTTAAATGGCAGTCCTCTGATGGCCTCATACTACAGACAGATTCCAATGTACCTTTGAGTCCAAGTCGCTCGAAACGAAGAAAATATAAAGGAACATGTGCTCAGAAGTCTATTTTCTATAAAGTTATCTGTGAATGACATCTCAGTTTTTCATAGTTCAACCACCATGCTCCCATCCTCCATCTTATATTGTGCAAGCCCATACCTATCCGTTTTAAGTGACCACAACATATTCCCCGTCTGCGTTGTCCTCAGGGCTTCTATGAATACTACAGTCCGTTCATAATCCTGGCTATCCTGTCCAACATACCTCAACAGCCTCTTCGCAGCAGCATCAAACCGCTCGACAACACCCTTAAGAAACTCCCAAGTTGTGTCAACGGCAGTTTGCAAGTCCATTCCATTGTAGACATAGACCGGGATTAATGATAACACGCAGTTGTCGCGTAATTCTTTTTTCAGGGAGAGAATGTCGTTGACTGCTGATATATTTCGGTTCGCTTCGTCTTGGAGGACTTGCATGTCTGGGTGGGCATGGATGTGGTCGGGCAGTCCTACTTTGAGACACAGCCTGAATGCATCAACTTTCCATCCATCCCAACACCAAAATAAAGAAAAGGCTACTCATTCTCCCAAAGCATTGCTCTGACCCACGGCACTACTCCCCATTCTCATCGTCCAAAAATCTTCCACAGTGGGGACTTTATCGGCAAGAACATATTCCTGCTCGACCTTCACCATTTTGAAAAAGAAAACCGCTTCGTCGAACCATCGTTTCCGTTGCGTGATGTTGTATTGTGATTTGAGAAGATCGCCGAGCTCGGTGAATGTTCCCACGCCTTGAGTCGGAGGGAGGGGAGCTTCGCTTCCTGTGCGTGAAAGTCCGAGGTAGTGCTCGATGAATAACAGCGTGTCTCGTCGGAAGGTTTGAGCTTCTACTGAATCTCCTGTCGGGGAGTTAGTATATTTCAGATTAACCGCTTGGAACAGAGGTCAGGAGTATTTTTTGCAAAAGCTGTTAACTCGCTTCCACGTTATGCATCTCATTTACCATGTCCGGAGTGTTCAAGGAACAACACAGAGGAGTAAAACCGGCATACCTGCGACATCACGCATATGAATCTCCTCTAGCTCATCATCCCACGTGAATATAAACATAAACCAATACATAAATGTGACACCAGCTTCAAGTGATGCTTCGGGCCACCAACAAGAAGCAGGCAAGGGACAATTTATCCTCCGAAGCCGTTTAAGCTTGTCACCCGTGTACCCCAATCTGGTCTTCGATTAAAATTTGTATCAGGAGGGAAGTGAGTATCAAGTGTACTTGGTATATTTCTTCTCGGCCACGGCCTGAAGTTCTTCGTAGTGCTTGCCCACGTAAGATGGCCAGCCAGGCATGAGCGAATCTAATTTTGGGAGGACGAATGTCTGACCTCGAAGAGATGCCGCTAGGATTTTCATGTTCGATATTTGGGGAGTGCAACCGTTGCATTCCACTTCTGGGGGGGTCTGAATGCTGCCCATGATTGCGGATGATGAGAAATTTGGAACTCTGAGATGGAACCACCACCAACACACACCCTTAAGTAGTCCATCCTGACAAGTGGCAACTGTTAATATATACATGAACCCCTCTACAATTCGGAACAATGGAAGATAGGATAAAACTCCCATCATGCTTTGGCATGTGCGCTACGCCGCAAAACCTAGAATGAGTCCACAAAAAGAGCTCGACCAGGCCCATCCGAGATTCCGAGGGCTTCGGCCCGACCCTAGCTGAACGGAACTTCCAATTTCAGGGCCCTCCTGCAATACTTCATTGAACTTGGCCCCCAATTCTTCCTGTGTAGTACTTACGGTAGTGGGGTATTAGAATTTGTACCCGTATCGTGGTCCTCTTATTGACTGGAAGTCAGTCTCGCTTACGATGCGGCCAATCATTGGTACGGATCATTTAATCGGCAAATATTAGGTCGCTAACAGCTAGTTTGGGTTGGTATGGAGCAAGGGTTTTGCCCACAAATTCTACATGTAGAACAGAAACTTACAAATGCCGAAGGAGAGAGCTTGAACTCAAAGTGATACCTTTGCTATACTTTCGAGATAGACCGGCAGTCATTTTCTGCCACACCTTAATCATATCCCTGTCGTACAGCAGGAGAATTGCCGACATACTTCCTAAGTAATCCCATATATATTTTTCCTTGCCCCGTAAACAAATATCCAGTGACTGAACTTATCAGCATCTGGAAACCATCCAACAGCACTGCCTCTTCTCGATTGTTCTCTTCGCTGTTTGAGCTCTCCAAACATTCTGGCCGAATCTGTCTCCTGTCTCAAAAATCCACATATCCGCCAACATTCTACCATTTCGCCGAGAGCTTCGTCTGTAGGTTGCCGAGATAGTTCACCAGTCCACGGAAAACCTTCTCGAATCCACTCTAGAAGAGCTTGAGATGTGGTTAAAACCTTTGCCGCACCTGGCTGAGGGAAGTCCGGATTCATTGTTGAGTGGAGGGTGAATAGGGCGATCCACTCGCCTGCAGTGTAGGATTTGAGGGCCATGGTATCTCTTTTGATTTATATTCTCTGTTGATGCTCAGGTCCAGAAGTTCAGAGGTTGAAATTTCTGTGGCGCTACGCAGAATTAATTGATTCGAATGTTGGCTCTTGACGAATCGGGATATTAGGATAGGAAGGAAGGAAATGTTATTCAAGGTGGCTACACAGTCAGATTCTCGCCATGACATGCTAGGAAATTAATTTAGTACTCTTGATCTTGATTGTACTCAAGAACAGAAAGAAGAAGACAGGACAGGGTATTTATTCTCATTCTTCTGCTTCACCTAAACAGAGCATGAACAGAGACAAAGGTACAGTTCCGTTCCACATATTTTGAATGACCGACAAGTATCGTGGTCACAAATCACAATCTGATCAACGCAGAACTAAGGATGACGGACTTGGATGTGAACCTTGGACTGGAGAACCATCAAGGCAAATGATAAGCACACCGGCTTGTGTTACATTTCCAAATTGGATTCACGCTCTGCACATGCCTAACGATCGAACAGCAGCCTCAACCCTGTCATATAATCTCTATGCATTACTCTCAATGTTGACAGATTATTGAAAGATACAGGCAAAATCGTATTCGTCATCACTCGTGAGGCGAAAATTTGGTACGTTTGGAATTCATGGATGAACTCAACAAAAGTCTTCCATGATTTCTGCTAAATCCCGCACCTTTTCATGCTCCATAATCTCTCCTATCAAGTCTCATCAAACACCTCATCTATTCCGGATTCCCATTTCTTCCGAGTTCTGCCAGTTGTAAAAACGGGCACGTGATTGCGTTTGAGAGCTTCTGAATGCCTCGAACTGGAGTCGAGAAACTTTATCCAATCGTCGTGTGTGCGGTCCCAAGCAGAAATATGGTGGTTTGTGATTTGAAGTAAGTCTACTGAAAGAATGGTTTCATTCAAGGTTTTTTCGTTGTGTTCGATAAATAGGCTAGTGCGTTCAAAAGTAGGTAGCGAAGCTCACAGGATGGTTTGATATGAAGGAGGAGGATGAAAAGACTATGAAATGTAAAATTTGGATAACCCTATGTAGAAAGTATGACATAGTAATGTGTCGCGACTTCAAATTGCCGTGATTGTAAAATTTCGCACATCTCAATTGCCTGTGAATCATGAATGGAGGGAGGGGGACGAGACATCGAATGTTCTGTTTATGATGGTTACTTGTCTGCTGGCACAAGCACACCAACCACAAAACCCTACGACGAATATGATCTACCCATCCCTAGGACCCATGGTCCAGCACCGAGGTCTATTGGGCTCAGTTTTTATTTCCTATCTCAGGGAACCTGGGTCAGGCATACGCTCAGAACCAGAGACGAATGGATTCCTGAAGCAATTCTCGCATCGCGGAGTGTAATCCTCCACAGAATAGCTCACTACCCATTTCCGTGGAGCCCGAGTATTTCCCTCAGACCCTTTGTAATTGACTGATTTCCGAATAATTCCGTAGCTTTTCATTTCGGCTATGGCTACATCCCAGCTTAATCCGAAAGCCCCAAATACCCAGGTTTCCAAAGCCTTATGGGTATCAAACACTATTGATTTTCCAGGGTGTGGGATATTCCGGTGTGCGGACCACAATCTGGACCTGGCGTGTAGTCCCTCAGCGTAGCTTTCGTAGGAACTTGCTTGCATGGCTGAAAGATTGCTATGAGGAGCTGGATCTTGATGTATTTCGGGAGTGACAAAGATTTAGGTACCGATCTTGATTTATGATGAGCCAGTATGCAAAGTACTTGATACTCAGATGAAATAGGGAATGGATAGTAAGGAAGATTCGAGGGGCTTTATAAACTTTTAAAAGTGATGGATCCTACATTCTTCTTTGAATCATCACCACTGTTTGACAGTGGCTGATCATTAAACCGTTCTAACACATCATTGCTAGAACTTGAAACAAAGGGATCCAGTAGCCAATTACTTGAGTGCGTATGTATATCATCATTGTTACAGATACAAAGGCTCAGAGTGTCCTTTGTTATAGACTGAAACAGCTGAAGGACTTGCAAGCCATGACATAAAGATTTTGAATCGCAATTCCAGCTTTAGACAGAATGTAAGGAGAATCATTTTCATTGCCAAGGCAACTCGGATCCAGCTTTCAGCCAGTCGATGCCTACCACAGAGAACAGTAGGTCGAAAACAAGCCGAGCGAAGGAACTTAGGCCACTCGTTCGAACAGAGTCACAAGAAAGCATAACGGTTCATAGAACAACAGCGATTGCTTTCGGGAACGTTGGAGACTTGTCTCACTGTCAACTCAGGAGCGACTAGGAGTAATTGTAGAGACCAGAAAGGAATGGAAATGCAACGGTAACCCTGGGTTTAAACAGACAAGTAATCAGAACCTCTGCATCTTCGCTGTCCTCTGTATTTATCGATTCAACACTGTCCGTCCTGGTCGTCACACTGCGAGTCAATCCACAGCCACAGCCCATCCATCGCACTCTCTCACCATCAAGAGAAAAATCGTCCAATTACTGAGTCATCCTGCCAAGTCCCTAGCCTACCTCAATATTGACGTTCACCACAACATTCGTACAGACAATTAGCACACTTAATATACGCAGCCTCGGTCCTCGGCCGTGGCCCATTCTCGAGCATTGAATTCTGTGAGTGAAATATAAACAGAGGAGAGAGAAGCAGCAATGCTTGATAAGTCAATAAGTTGAGATTGGGTATTCCGCCTCATGCTAAAACGCCACCTCATGCAAACCTACATATAATACAATGCTATTCTACAGGCACAACCTCGTCGCAACGAGCACACAGTTGGTTCTCCACAGGGGCAACATACCGCCAGCATCTAGGACACTTGTGATCCTTAGGCGGCAACACCGTCGCTGTGACATTGCCTTCGCCATTGGACCTCAGCGCGGTGTGTTTCCAAGGTGCATCTGTCGCTTGGCTTTCTGTAAATACTGACCCTTCTGGTTCTGTTTGAACTTCAACGGATGAGACGACGAAGATACTCTCTAGCTCGTCGGCATATCGCTGGAAGACATCCCTTGCTTTGGCGGGAACGTGAAGGATAACCGAGGACTCGAGAGACGACCCAATATGCTTCCCCGCTCGTGCCTCTTCCTGAGCAGCTTTGATGGCCGCATTGGCACTCAAGAGCCATTTTAAATCGGTGAGGATCTCCGGGTCTGGTAGGCGGCTTGCGGGAATAATTGAATCCTCGAGCGTGCGGTAGAAAGGGTGAATCTGTGCCTCTTCTTTCATCCATGATGGGCGGTGATCCCATGCTTCTTCAATGAGGTGGGGTGTGATAGGTGTCAACATTCGCATGAGACCGTGGAAGATCTCTTCTAGGACGCCGCCGCCGTCACCGCAGTATAGGCGGTCTTTCATGGCTTCGAGGTAGAAGGCGGAGAGGTCGCTGTTGATCCATTTGTTGATCAGGTTTATGCCTTTGTAGAACTCGTAATTGTTGAAGGCGGATGCTACGTCAGTCATGACTGTTTGGAGTTGAGACAGAGCGATTTGGTCTAGTTTGGTGATTGGTGATGTCCTTGCGCTGGGGTGCATAGATCCTAGGAGCATCTTGATTATCATCCGGTATTTGAGTAGGGCGTTGTGGTTGGATTGGAGAACTGGTTGGCCAATAACGACGTCGTGGGTGTAGTCGCTGCTGGCTGCCCAGAGGCGAAGAGCGTCCGGTCCAAGAGCCTGGGAAATGTTTCCGCCGGCTTTTTTCTTGGTCTTGACCTGCTTAAAATTAACAACGGTCCATAAGTACTTGATGAGCAGACTTACAGGTGGAAGAAGTGAGCCATCGATGATCTCGCTTGGGGCAATTGTGTTTCCAATAGACTTAGACATCTTCTTACCCTTGTCATCTAGGGTAAAGCCATGGGTGATGAGAGTCTTGAACGGCGGATCGTGTCTTCCAGAAGCACTTGTGTGGGTTAAAAGACTTGACTGGAACCAGCCTCTATGTTGATCAGTACCCTCAAGGTATACATCGGCTTGCTGCTCCGTCTGAGTCCAGCTAGTACCGCTGTCGAACCAAACATCCATAGTGTCTTTACCACGTCGATAGTTGCCCTCCAACCCAGGGACAATCCAAGCGGGATCATCTGCAGCATCAGTCCACCAAGCATCAATGCCTCTCTCATTGATAACCGATATGATGTGGGCGACGCTCTCATCGGTGAGGACTGCAGCGCCAGCTTCAAAATACAACGCCGGGATAGGAACACCCCAAGCTCGCTGTCTGGAAATGCACCATTCGCTTCTACCCTTGACGAAGCTCTCGAGCCTGGGACGGCCAGATTCTGGGATGAAACGCACTCCTTTTAGACGCTGTAAAGCATCGTCTTTGACACGTCCAACATCGGCAAACCACTGCTCGGTAGCCCTTACAATAACTGGAAGCTTGCTCCTCCAGTCATAGGGATATTTGTGCTTATACTTATGGGTTGTAATGACATCGCTACCAAGAACATCCAATACATCTCCACTGCCGCCGTCCAGGACTGATTTGCCCAGAAGTCTTTGTGGGTCATCTGGAAAGGCTGCAGCAGTGAAGCACCCAAGATCATCTACTGGAGCTGCTGCTTCGATTCCAAGCTTCGTGCAGACCTCGTAATCATCCATACCATGACCAGGTGCGCAGTGGACAAGTCCAGAACCAGAATCAGCAGATACAAAGTCCGCATGGATGATAGGCTGGAGCTCCGACTCTTTCCCTCGCAGAACATTGATATATTTCGAGCCTTCGAGCTCTTTGCCTAGTATAGATTCAACGAAAACTTCGAAAGGTTCGTCGCCAAATAGCATTGGCCCAATTTGTGAAAGGCGAGAACTTGCAATGATGAATAGGTCTGAGGTACCGCTGGCGACAACCGAGTATTCCAACTCAGAATGCACAGCAATTGCCCTATTCGCCGGCAGAGTCCAAGGAGTAGTTGTCCAGATGACCGCCGAAACACTCCTCCCTTTACCACCATCCGGTATCTTACTCTTCAACGCCTCCGGCACACTGGCAAGAGGGAACTTGACATACGCCGCGGTAGACACATGGTCCTCCTTATACTCCAGCTCTGCCTCCGCCAGCGCCGTTCTCGAGGAAGGGGACCAATAAACCGGTTTATACCGCCTGAAGATCAGGCCCTTCTTGACCATTTCCTGGAACACGCCCAATTGCTTGATCTCGAAGGTCTTGTCCATTGTCTTCCACGCCTTGTCCCAATCTGCCATAACGCCCCATTCTCGGAAACCTTTCATCTGCTCCTTGAATGTCTTCGCGGCGAGAGATCGGGCGGCCCGTCGGACTCCAATGGCATCTAGGTTTAGTGCTGCGTCGCCATCTTGGTCTTTGGACTTCAAGCGTTGCTGCTCGAGGGCTTTGATCTCGATGGGGAGGCCGTGGCAGTCCCAGCCTGGTACGTAGACTACTCTTCGACCTAATTGTTGCAATTGCATCAGCATAGATCTTTCGGAGCAACCACAGAGCTCTAATTCCTGTATAAAATATTGGTGACTGCCCACCTTCCTGCACCTTGACCCGGCAAATGATATCCTTCAGGATCTTATTCAGCGCATGTCCGATATGCAACCTCCCATTCGCATACGGTGGGCCATCATGCAGCACGAAAGGTTTCTGGTCAGACCGCTCGCGACTCTGCCATTCGTAGAGGTCATCGGAGCATCGCTTCAGATACTTGGCTTGATCCGCCGGCGCGGGTCGTGGGCTATGGATTGATTATTAAACTTGCTGGCAACTGGCATTGGCGGAATGCTTACGGGAAGGAGGATTTAGGCAATCGTAGTGTCGACGACCAGGATTTTATAGGTGGTCGAACGGGCATGATCTCAGATCCATGGTCTGGTGTTTGATGGTGAGCTTTGACGAGGATCACCGTTATTTTTGGGGGACGCGACTTCAGGCTCAAATCACTGGTATCAGGCATCAAGTCTCAACGCCACACTGGAACCAGTCACGTATTTATTAGACGTTGAAGTCATTGTCGATGGGATATGGTCCGTTGTGATTTCTAGCTGACTGAATCTATCCTTCCAAAGATCCTATCCTATGCTTCCCTTGCGCCTCCAAAATGTGCAAATAAACAAAACCATCCATGCACGCCCAAGAGGTCCACGAAACTCCAATGCATGCTATGTTAACCAATATTCCACATGCAGTATCAAAAAACCGTGAGCCCACTCACGATACCGTTCTTCAATACCTCAAACACTAAACCGGGAAATCCAAAAAGAGTGGTGTTGCCCAAACCCTTCACATCTTCCGGCCCTGCAGCGTCCGCCCTCTTGCCCCCTACGCTATCTTCCCAACCACCAAGTAGCTCGCAGCTGCTTCCAGGACTATCTCCCCAATCACGGTTCAGTACCATTCCGCGCTGACGTGCCTTAGCCTCCTCATCATTGCGGTAGATGCTCTTCCACTCATTGTGTAACCTTTTCTCGATTTCCTTGAAAGGCGTCTCCGAGTTGACAACAAGTTCCCCTTTCTTGGGAATCAAGTACTGAATTTCCCATCGGCATCTTTTGTGCCGATTGAAAGGGTACGAACCAGGTACATTGCCGTGTAGGATTACCTTTGAAGCAACCAGGCGACCGGATCCATCAGATGGTATAATCCCTTCAGGTTCCTGTTGTCGACCCAGTGCTTGCTTGCTTGGCGGGCACTGTGATGGCGTTGTAGGAGTAGAGAGCAGGATATCGAATCCATGATAGAAGTAGTTGTAGAAACATTCTCCAGAAACGTTCCCGCATGCCTCTCCACCCTCATCATCATCTTCAGATTCATCAGTTGCAGTATGCGCAGAGGACTGATCCGTGTCCGTAGAGTCATCTTGCAGCCTCATCTCTGTCGAATCTGATCTGGCGTGGGCTCTAGAAAGAGGTCGAGCTTTATGAATCGACATCCTCTGGTCGTTCTTCCGATATATGGCATCAGGAGGACCGAGTATAGCCACGAGTTCTTGTGGCGACGTAAGGCCAAGCTTGATCCAGAATGGCACTACGCCATCCGCTCGTAGAAGTTCCAGTTGACCCTCCCCATATATCCTTATTTGCTTAACCTCATCCGGTACAGGCTCTTTACCCTTCATAAGGGAAGTGAAGGAATCTCGAGGGTCCAGTGTCTGGACGTATAGCCGTTCTCTCGCGTCTGGCCATGAATCTCCACGAAAGATAGCCATCGAGGCAGCCGGATGACTGGCAGAAGAGGATAGAAGAGACACAAAGTCTTTACTCGGAGACCATACCGAGCTTGATAATGGGAAAGAGAAAGCGATTCCGGGATATGAAAGCACATACAATCCCATCCCAGTCTCATCTCCCGGCTCTGGCCCAATGTACTCTCCTGGGAAGGTTGGGCCAAGGAGACGGTTATAGATATGTCGAAAAGTAGGTCCCGACAAGCTCTCTACCTGCGCTGCTCCAGCCTGCGTGGTAATCCCTGGGCGCAAGACATCTTTATCTTTGTATGCGAGCTGGCTCTTGGTGAAGTCCAGCACCTCTATCAGTCGCAGTCGCTGTTCTGGCCCATCGAATCGCAGACGGATGCCGTTCGGCGGCAGAATGACAATGACTGGCTCTGTAACTGGCGACGACTGATCATACACGAGATCAAGCTTTGGGAATCGTTGCGGTTCGGCTTTCAGTCGTGTTAAGATATCGTGGAGGGTTGTTCCCAGTACTGCGCTCCAGTCAGCTGCATTGATGGTGGACGCGCCAGGAGCTTTTACTGACCCATAAAGCCCAAAGCCTGTCCTGGAAAGACATGGGCTGTGAATAGTGACATTTTGGTAGCATTTGGAGGAAGGCGGATTTACTGGCCCTCCTTATATTGTACTGTGTTTCGTGGTTGACGCTCCAGCTTGGAGCTCGTTGTCTGGAGTTTGGCGGGGCAGGTGCTCACCTGCATTGCTCAGCTGGGGGGCGGTTGCTCTGCCAACCAACCGAGGCGGGTCGTGCTTTCTTTGCGAACAAGCACAGGCTCGCGAAATCAACATTTCAAGATCAACAACTTCACGACAAATACGCCCACAACACTTCAACGCAACATCACGATTGCGCATTTGTATACCACGGAACTTCTTGCATTTCTTAAACACTGCTTCACCACCACAAACTATCTGCGACACGTCTACCAGCCTCACCATCCATTCCGACGCGCAAAGGAGCCGATCAATCCCAAAGGGAGCCCAGCATCAGCTCTCAATTGTATGGCAGGAATACCTCGGCCGACAGTCGTCGCGCCCATCAAAAGAACGATGCGCCCTCCTCCACGGCCCTCAACGGCTAGAGCACCATCCCAAGCGCCTTCAAATCGCATTGATCGATCTGGCGCAATATCCCCAGCCGGTTCGGTGGTTTCAGTGGCCACAACGGTTGGGGGGACGAAACGAAAGGAGCGGGACTTCGAGCACGATGAAGAGGAGACAAACATCAATGTTGTTGTAAGGTGTCGAGGGCGTAATGAAAGAGAAGTCCGAGAGAACAGCGGAATGGTTCTTACAACAAATGGAGTCAAGGGCAACAGTCTAGAACTATCCATGGGACCCAGCGCACTGAGTAACAAGACCTACCATTTCGACAAGGTATTCTCCTCCGCTGCGGACCAAGCGATGATATATGACGATGTCGTCACACCAATTTTGAACGAGGTAGGCTTCATTTGCAATACTACGTTTTGCGCCTTGTTGACATTCTGATAGATGCTTGGGGGATACAACTGTACGATCTTCGCCTACGGTCAAACTGGAACCGGAAAAACATACACCATGTCTGGTGACATGAATGAGACTTTCGGAATGCTGTCTGACGCAGCAGGAATAATACCCAGGGCGCTGCATGCGCTGTTCAACAAGCTCGAAATGGACGATGCGGAGGCCTCTGTAAAGTGCTCTTTCATCGAGTTGTACAACGAAGAGCTGCGCGACCTGATCTCTCCGGATGAGAATGCGAAATTGAAGATCTACGACGACAATACGAAGAAGGGTCATTCGAGTACGATTGTACAGGGCATGGAGGAGTCGCATATTAAGAGCGCCATTGACGGTATCAAGCTTTTGCAAGATGGAAGTCATAAGCGACAGGTCGCAGCAACAAAATGTAACGATCTGAGTAGTCGAAGTCACACAGTTTTCACCGTGACAGCCTACATTAAAAGGACTGGAGATAATGGCGAGGACTACATAAGTGCTGGAAAGCTCAACCTTGTTGATCTGGCTGGAAGTGAGAACATCCAGCGGAGTGGAGCTGAGAACAAGCGTGCTGCGGAAGCAGGGTTGATCAACAAGAGTTTGTTGACTCTCGGAAGAGTGATCAATGCCCTCGTCGATCGTGGATCCCACATTCCGTACCGTGAGTCGAAGCTCACACGGCTTCTTCAGGACTCTCTAGGTGGACGGACGAAGACCTGTATCATTGCGACAGTTTCACCTGCAAAAAGTAATCTGGAAGAAACTATTTCGACATTAGATTACGCTTTCCGTGCCAAGAACATTCGCAACAAACCCCAAGTCAACCAGATGATCAACAAGAAGACGTTGCTCAAGGAATTTACGTTTGAGATTGAGAGGCTGAAGAGCGAACTGATTGCAACGAGACAACGCAATGGTGTTTATCTGACAAATGAGAATTACGAGGAGATCACCGTGGAGAGCGAGTCTCGAAGGATCCTTAGTGAAGAGCAAGCGGCCAAAATCGAAATGATGGAGACCAACTTACGGAATAAAGTCCAGGAGCTGTATTCTTTGACCTCCAACTTCATGACCTTGAAGAAGGACAACGAAAGTACGAAAGCTGTACTCGATGAAACGAAAGACATTCTTGAGCAAACTGAATCTGTCCTCTCGAATACCCGACAAAGTTTAGCTGAAGAGACCGTCTTGCGGAAAGCTCATCAGCAAACCGAGGAGCAGCTTAGTACTGTTGGGAGTGAACTTTTGTCCACGCTTAGCAGAACAGTCCATGATGTGGGGGGGCTTCACGCTAAGAGCAGGAGGAAATCGGATCTTCAATCTCTGAATCGTAACGCCTGGGGTTTGTCCCAAGCACAAGTTGCTGAGGTTACGAGTCTCGTGGAGAGCAGAGTAGAGGAGTTCCGTGTTCAACAGCAAGAATTGATGCAAACTGTTTCTACCAGAATGCAGTCCTTCGTTGCGGGAGAATTGGCGAAATTGTCTACTACGCAGTCCTTCCTTGAAGAGAATGTATCTAAGTTTGAGGGATCGGAGAAGGAGGTTTCAGAGCAGACGAAATCGGCCAAAGAAGAGATGGATTCTGTTCTAGAAGAGATCAAGACACTTCGAGAAGAGGTGAAGACTCGCGTTGGCGAAGGCCTTCATGGGTTGTCCGTTGCAGCTGAGCGAATCTCAGCAGAGGTTATTAGTGAACTCGGTGCCTTTCACACACAAGTAAGATTGCTATCTATTTTGTTCTGGATCTAGCTGACGTGTCTAGCTTCACACTTCCTACAGCTCACTTGGCCGAGACTTCAAGGGTCTTTTCGAAGATCTTCTCAAGCATATCCATGCCCAAAAGGCCGAGGCCGACAATCTGCGTCAACAATTGACCACAGCAAGCGAGCTTGCCATGCAGTCAAATTTTGCTGCATCTTCACGTTTGGATGAGGTGCTGCGGGAGGAGCGAGAACAAGCAGCTGCCGATCGCCAAAGCCTTCTTTCGCAGATCACCAGTCTCGTTGTGGCTCACGGCGATGCACAAGACTCTCGTCTTACTTCGAAGATCCAGGAGGTTCAAAAAGATGTTCTGGCGTCTAAGGAAGGCTTCGAATTATCCACAGCTCAGTACAGCGCGGGGATGGATGCCTGGAATGAGAAGGAAACGATGCTGGTTGAAGAAGTTCTTCGCTCTAGGGAGACCTTGAAGAGCAAATTGAAGGAAGACTGGGTCGTGAGTTGCACTATGGGACTCTCGATATTCTTTACTGACACTTTGCAGGCTGCTAACAAACACAACACGACTCTCCAAGCCGCCACCAACTCCGTACATGCAGAAACAGTTCGCATTGTTGATGAGCAAATGAAGGATATTGAGATCCAAATGCGAGCTCTCGATGATTTCGTCACCCGTGCACGCTCACAAAATGCCCAGCACCACGACAGCCACGCTCAATCTCTTCAGAATCTTTCCAGCACCGTGAAATCTTCTTACTCCAATATCGGTACGCACTTTACGTCAACGTACGAACGTGTCCGGGATCTTGGTGACGAAATGTCTACCAAGACCGCTATCCTCCAAGAGTCACTTGCACCTCTGGATTCTGTATTGAAAGAGCCTCTCACAACTTTGCGTGAGAACATCACAAGCACATCTTTCCAGGAATACAAACCTACGGGTGAAACTCCGCAGAAGATTCAATATACTTATCCAACTGAGCTACCACGAACCGAAGCACACGAAGCTCTCCTCGCGGCAATGCGCAGACCAACTGAGTTCAGGAGTCCGAGCAAAAGTATGACATCAGTGGTTCCAGTCATATTCAACGACGAGCAATCGACATCTTCCCACAGTCGACAGTTCTCTCACTCTCTCGGAGCCTCAATCTCTCGCCCTCAAACCGACCTGGAACTCACACGTCCAACAACAAGCGGTAGTACTGGTCTTCGCGAAATGGACGTCAATGTCCAGCCTAGTGCCGCTGCAAACGAGGAACATCAAAGTCAGATACCGAGCTTCAAACGTAGTATCAGCTCATCTGCAAAACTGCCTGTCTTGAAGAGCAAGAAGAGTGTTATCGCGTTAGAGGGACGAGAGAATGTTTTGAGTTCAAGTGTCGGTCCTGGAAATCCGCTGGCGCAGGTACAGAGTACTGGACGGAGGAGAAGTCCTAGGAATGGTTAGATGCAGTGGAGTGTCGTCAAGCAACGATGGATCATGCTTAATTGGAAGGGATCGTAATGAAGGGGTACCGAGGTTGAAAGAGCTGTCTGTTTTATGTCCATTCTGGAGGCATCGCTGCCTGGGGTTGGGTGGATAATTGCTTTCTGGTGGAGTCTTGGCGGGCATATCATGGTGTGGCGTTGGCTCTGCCACTGGTGCTTGTCTATAGACTTGTTCTTCTGCGTTCTGTTCTGAGTTTGAGGGCATGAGTTATTGAGGAATGGCGATTTTGTTGCTTCGCCCTCATGTTCAGTATTGCTAGCTTCGCATATCTCGCGTAGCACTTAATTTTGAGATTAATAATCCTGCTGTTTACAGTAACGTCCCTCAAAATGCAAGATATTGAATTCAATCGTGATGCAGCATGTGATTTTGATAAACCGAGCTTCGACCCGATCTTTGTCTAAAGATCTGTATTTAGAAGAGTCTCGAGAGCAGAATTCGTTACATCACGTGACCAACGACTTCTCGTTTACCTTCCGACTTGGGCATTTTGATGCTCAGATGCTATTGATTAAAATATCTCGAAATGAAGTTACCTACCATCCGCCGCTTAAGACACGCTTCAACACCTCTTGAGATTCGCCATACTATCCGTCGAGCGCTTGTCTGCCCAGACACGTCCAGTGTATTTCGTCAACTCCTCTGGCCATTCCCTTGGCACTTTGCACTCCCCAAACCCCTCTCGGTACAAGAGCTACAAGCGGCGCCTGAAGTCATTGACACCAGGCAATCCGGAATACGCCACCTGTTCGAAATTCCTCTTTTCCGCATGCGAGACACGCCTCTCAGATCTCTATACCGACTCTACGACGACCTTTGCGCGAATCGTCTCATCCTCATATCCTACGAATGCGAGTACATACTTCGTCGAGGCTCTGAACGCTGGCTGCTGTCGCGAATACCAGATCCTCAGGATAATGATCCCGTGCGCTACGCTATTCTCGCGAGCTTAGATGAAGCACTGGTGGATGTGTTTAATTGGAAGTTGGAGCTGGGCATTCGTCGTGGCGGTCTACCATGCGACCAGTCCGCCGTGAGGGCTTCAAACTTTACGAGGGAAGCATGCCCGTGCTGGACCCAGAACGTTGCCGGGCTGGGACAGCGAGTTCATCTGATCAATCGGGACAGTGAACCGTTTGCGAAAGCAGATGAGAGCTTTCTGAGGAGGAGCATTGAGGCCACTACGGGATACATGTATATGGTATAGTTTATGAACCACGGAAGAGACGGCCACATGATCAGCTTGGACATACGAACGGGCAGCGAAATGAAAGTCGAAGGAGTAGTTGGGCCGCTCCGTAAGTTACGCACAATCGTACAGAAGCCTCACCATCTCTGTCCCAAAACACTGCTCTGCAATTCCAAAGCTATCAATGACCGTCTGTGTAATGATGCTGAGGTTAGGCTCATACCAACTCCACTATCAGGACCAAAAGATCACAATATTCAGCGCAAGCTGAATACGCCTAACTCATACTAAACGTGTACTGACTATTGTCACGTGCCCTTACAGTCTGGCATATCGACGCCTTGTTATATGACCGGAATCTCGACACCTCCCACCCATCAGGTTCACGTGATCTCGCGCCGCCTTTGCTCAGGCTGGCTCAGCTTCGGCTCAGCTTCGGCTCATGTCTGCTCAGGCCTGCTCACCCATCTCACCAAAAATCGTCAACTTTTAACGAGGGGCCCGAAAAGGCTCCCCTTCCCAGCCACGGATCCCAAATCTGTTCCCACTGCACTTCACAACCTGTACCAGCCAGAACTCATTCCCAGACAGTTATCCCCGTCTGCCCGTCTTCATGCAAATTGTGCACATGCAGGGACAATTTCTTTCGTCTTACTTCAGGGTGTTTGACGCCGTTCTCTGCGGTTTGCCTGGGGCTTCGTACTCTATAAATGGCTGTCCCCCTCTTGCCTTCACATCTTTTCTCTTCCATCTTCTCTCACATCTCCTCACACATCTTCTCACACATCCCTTCACCCACATCACCTCACCCATCTTCTCACCCTCTTCTCATCCTCTCCTCACTTTATCTCCAATCCCTCCCATTCCTCAAGCAAGACCTTCTTTTCTCGTTTCTACTACAGAGACAACATCCGCGCCTGCACACCATGAGCACCGAGCAGGCAAGGGGTTGTAGGAGAGGTTTGAATCCAGACGAGCGGATGGAGGTAGCCCTGAGGGATGGGCTCTCCAAGGACAGGTCCGGGATCGATAGCAATCCCGTTTACAGAAAACTTAATGAAGAAACCAGTCAACCACAGTACGACACGATGTGGGATTTTTGGGAAGCGTGCGTTGCCAACATCACAAAGTCAAGAATAGCAAGTACTAACACATCTTAGGTATGAAAGGAAATATCCAGGATCGGACTTACGCAATATGGAAAACATGAAGCATATCGCTGAAGCTGTAGGACGCTCAACCCCTAGCAGACTAGATAAAAAGACAAAAAGAGCAACTATCAAAACAGTACAGAACAAGATGCGAAAACTCATGTCGATATAGCAGCGCAAGACCAACCTCACCATTCCTCCAGAAGTCCATGACTCAGTAGCTCCTGTAAGTGTACCTGCAGGCCATCCTACTCCAAAGTACTAACATATAATACATTTACTAACGAGAGAGACAGTATATCAAAGATATGCTAAGATACAAGATTCCGCTGTCGATAGAGGAAAAGGCGCCCACGTTCCTGACAATAGAGAATTACGTCAACATAGAGGAGCTCTTATAGCAACATGACCACCACAACTACGTCCACGAAGGATGCCGTGTGGATTTAAGCGCCCTGTTGAAGATACATTGCTATACTTCTGCAAGGTTACAGGAAATATGCAAGGCGACGTACAAGGTAAGATACTAAGTCTGAGGTGGAAATGAAGCCCCGATTTTCGTGCTAACTATCACCAACAGGACCTCGTTTGCATAGTTGCATAGAAAGATGGAGAGCCAGAGATTAAGATAAGTTTCAAAAGAGAATTTACTAAAGGAATACAAGACACCCCAAAAAAGTAAGTCCAAAGTAGTTCACTCCAAGGCTCAGGTAGGTTACTAACAGCTTATACATAGACCAAAACATCCATTGTATAAGATACTAAAGCCCGCGCCTCCTCTTTCTGCCAACGGCCTCTTATTTCTACTCGCTATCATTATCTCGGCCAGCGCGTTCAGGGACTACAGCAGTGTTAAGGATGTCCTCGCTACCAGACCGCCGCCGGGCAGAAAGTACCGGATCATAGATTAGGCGGATAGGGTGTTAGACGATCCAGTCTTTCCAGAGATATCTGCAGATAGACCGACCGAGAAGACCAAAAACGAGACCGCGTGGGGCCACCAGTGTTCAGACTAGGCAAAAAGGGCTGGTTTTACAGGAGGGATAGGGCTCCATGCCGCCCGTCGCGAAGCGCTTATCAAGGTAGACGGTAAGGGGTACTCACTTCAAACAAGTTCATAGTACAGCAAGCTAATTAGCAACAGACAGCGGCTATTCACTAGGGCAGGTCATGAAGTTCACCGCGCACAGGAACTCAAAGACTCTTATCGGCCACTACTTAGATAATATAAGTAATATGGACAGTACAGCAGTCTTCCTCGGCCTAGAGCCACAGCAGGATCTCACAGAAGACTTCCGCTCTACGTCCATAAAGAGAAACCCGGATCTCCAGCACTCGCTTCCAGGAAAGTGCCTAGATAAGCTGAGACAGCGCCAGGACTTTACCGATCTTAGCGAGCAGATTGACAATCTCTCCGCTCAGATCACGGCTGCCATCACGGAGAAAGGGCGCCAAGAGCTCAAGGCTCAACGGCGCTATGTCTATAATCAGCGTCAAAAGCTCATTAACGAAGAGTTAGCGAATTACCACAGGACGCAACAGCGAGTACACACCACCCAATATAAGGTAGACGACCAGGGCGAGTGGCACCGCAGTTACTTTGACCGTGTTATCCGCCGTATGGTTCCTAAGCGCGATCGCCTCGCTCGTACTTTACCGATCGCCGCCCCGCTACGAAGTCCAGAAGGTATCTCCGCTCTCCAAGACCTCATTGCACTCCGCACAAACGATTCCCGTGTTACGTACCAGGGAGTGTTACGGCCTATAGGAGGTTGCTATCCAGTGCCGACCTGCGGCCAGGAGATAAAAGAGTAAGGATATTCCCCCCTCATTAGTGCCACTTCTACTAACAGAACGCGTCAGCATCGTCGTGCAAGAGAGGTAGAAGCATATATACCGGTGCTCCAAAGACTACTATAAGAAGCAATCTAGCTTCGCCGAATTTTGCTTCCGGTGCAGCAGGTGGATAACCAGCGAGACAGATTAGGAAGCCTACTGTCAAGATCATATCGACAATCTCGATGTGCCTTTCCGGTGCGAACCAGTCACTTTCCGCCACGCCGTTACCTGCGCCGGATATTGCAGTGGATGTCTGGGGAAAAAATAGCTACCAGCAGCCGCAAGGATAAGACAGTTTCACGATCAAACAAGCTAGCAAAGGCATATCTCTGACTGCATCCCAGAGTATATCAAGAGTCTAGATAGCAAGAACTCTATTCCATGCCCGCATTTGTTATGCACTATGGTGCTTCATTCGGATTCAGACATATAGAACCACCTCGGAGACATACACAGCACTCACAAGCCAGATGCACGGAAGAAGCGCCAACGTCAGCAAGAAGAGGGTAATAATAAGCAAGTCGAAATATCGGGTGCCGCTAAGAAGAAGCGGCCTCGACTCCAAAGAAAGCTAGAAGATAAGGACTGCAAAGTGCCAGGTAGTCAAAAATCAGCCCCCAAAGGTCGCTCCAAAGATCCTCTTAGCCACACGTTTGTGAATATCTCAGCAATAGATTTTGATCCATGCCCAGCGGATAGTGTCGAGTTAGCAGCAGTGTCTAGCGGCTCCTCATCACGTCGCAGCACCCCAGTTGGCGGCGTCTAGGACAATCACGAGGACTATTACAGTACGGATACTTCGCTCTCGTCTCTATCAGACGACATTCTCAAAGCAGCTCCTCAGGCTAGAGAGGATTGCCGTTCTCCCTAGACAACTCCATCGGAAGCTGCCACCGTCGACCTCCTTAGTGATTCTGATCCTTAGGACTTTGACACGATCGCGTACGCTATGTCTTCTCCTATTGAGTCTCAGGAGGACTACATTCTGTCCGGCCCCGATACTCCTCCATCATATCCGTCCAGTATTCCGATAGAGTTAGTTGATCCGGAACTTCGAGATACTCTTTCTTCTTCCACATCAAGTCTACCAGCAACCGCCGACTCAGTCGAGGATCCTCACAGAAGCATACCAACAACTCCACCAGGGCGCTTAGAAAGCTCAGTGATACAGCCGCTTTGTAGCAGCCAGCCAGTTGCAATTGATGCCGAGAGAGGGATATAGGAGGCTGAAGCGTTGCTTACCAAGTGGAAACAAGGCAACACGACTTAGTACCTTATGAAGTAGAAAGGATTTCCGCACGAGGGCAATACGTAGCAGAAGCAGAAGGATATAAGCCCAGAGGTTATCGAAGGGTTTAAGGCGACCTATCAAGGGAACCACTTAGGCGTGCGACTACTCAAGAAGCGAGTGCTGCGCAGAAGAGTTAAATACCTTGTTAAGTAGAAAGGTCGTCCGGAGAGCGAGAATTCTTAGGAGAAAGAAGCTACCGTAAACCGTGAACGAATTATGGAGTTTGAGGCGACCTAAAGGTGGAACTACTGTAGAAGTATACTAGAGAGCCACCATGTAAATTACTTTGTATGTTATGTGAGTTGTCATAGAAACTAAATGTGATTGGTTCGGAATAATATAGAGCCGCTCCATCCTCTAGAAAGTTCTAAGAGAGGGGCAGGAAAGGCACTACTTAGGCGAAAATCTCCACCTCCCAAGATCTGTCAATTATATGTCAACATTTTATGAAATTATCGATACAGAATTCAAACATAACTTACTTTTGTACGCCTTGGTTTGAGCAATATCTGCCAATCTTCGTAGGATCAGGCTTTAGTGATTGGCATTCGCTCTGCAACATAACAGAATCTGACTTCGGTGTAGCGGGGTCATCGTGGAGATGAGATCTGATTGAAATTCTCGGACGAAAGGATACGAAATTTCATACCCGAACGCTTACCGTTTCGGGGAAGGCTCTACACGTGATCACCGTATCAGAATCTCCGGGACCCCGATTTCCTTTGTTGACAACATTCCGTCCGTTTCCAAGTCACCATCCCACACCATCATCACCATTATGGCAACCGGGTTCCTCTATACCATCCCACTGCCCCCCGATCGGACACGTTATCTGGCCTAGCTGTTGAAAGTTGGTATCCTCATCTGCGAAGGAATCCCATTTTGTAATCTGCTCCTGCTAATAACTGGACCACAGTGCCGATTATCGAGCATCATACGAGACAAGACGTCCGGCCAGACGAGCCCTTCCACCTATTTCCGAAGCTATCAATCGAATTACGCCTTCTGATCTGGGAATTCAGCTGGCCCGAACCTCGAATCATTGAAGCCGCGAACACCAAGCATGATATGGAGACGATCGAATACACAGGGATCACTTTTCTACGGCCGGCAGCTACATTACATGAGTTACTGAAGATGGATTTTGGGGGTAACAGGCTTCTGGGCGAGGCGAAGCCTCTCGAACAGTGTCCTCCTCCTATTGCTCTTCAGGTCTGTCGAGAATCTCGGGAGCATACATTGATCGACTATCACATCATGCAGCACTCCCAGTGGCCCTATTCGTTCTTCTTCAATCCTTCTCGCGATATTCTTTGGCCGAGCCGAGATCTCAATGAGGAGCCCGGGTGCCGACGTGACCTTGAGAGCTATTATGGTGGGCAACTCGACAAATTTTCGACACTCCTTATTGAGGAAGCTGAGTGGGATTATGTTACACCAGCCAGATATACTTCCGACTTCCTGGCCATGTTCAAAGGCGTCAAAACAATTGTGCTGGTATTTGGGGAGTACGATGAGGTGACGGGTCGTCTGATAACTGAAGCTAAAGCGCATGAGTATTACACGCGCGCCGAGAAGCTCCGAGTGCAGTTTGTAGAGCTTTGCCGAAATGGGAAGTGCCAGGCGAGAACGCTCCAGTATATGGATCGAACTGGCAGGTTCTATTGAACCCAGACTTTCGTGGCTGGAGCGGAGCGTGGAGGAGGCGGAATGCATCATAAAGAGAGCTTGTGGTCTACTCTGTCGCTCGACGATGGAAAGGGTCCTGCTCTGGATTCGTCGATCGCGAACTGGCTTAGTCTATATTTGTTTCCTTGCTGGGTTTAGTAGCGCAATCTATCAATCTCTTCGACGTCCACCACCAGCTTCACAGAAATGAGCACCGCACATGAATATATAGAGGTACTAAAATCGCCAGACGACATCCATGGCCTAATTACGACCCTCTTCCAGCAGATGGACAGTATGTGAGTGCTCTAGTCCTAGACCCAGTGCTCGAGGCAGTGTTAAAGGTTTGATACTGTCTAAGCTCTAGGTGAGCAGACTGACTCTTTCCAGCATCTGGTGAAGTTTCGAAATGACAATTACATTACCAGAAGACCACGTTGGGATATTTCTCAGGAACATTTGGGTACTGTCCACTGCCATTCTAACGCGAAACTTATAGAAGCTTCACCTACAGTCACGTCCACGGAGTCTGACGACCTCCACCTAAGTTCTGCACACCGTCAATTAAAGATAGACTGCCCCAGTGATAAGAGGAAGGGAGAAAGAAGGAGGGGTTTTGCAAGGGATTACCTTTGCAATGCTTGAGGAGGACAGTGGGGAAATGGCCGATTTGTACAAGTATGGGAACTGAAGTTAGAATGCTGAATGGAAACTGAATATTCTTGTATCAAAGGCCTCTTCTGTTAGTGATGCAGTATTTGACATTGTTTTTCCTTGATCGCTCGCAAGAAACTACAACCAATGGGAAGCCCGAATAGTAGTGATCACTTCGCCCCTGATAAATCAAGCAAGGGAGCTGTATCGGGTCCCTGTGGCCATTCAGACGCTGGGCTGTAACCTCCTAGATGGCCCGTCGACAGTGCGCCTTCGCTCTTCTGAATTTGTGTATTAACACTCGCTATACAGAGGGAGCCAGAAAGGGATCGCCATAAAAATAGATATCGTGGAATAGTTCTAGGGTCCAGAAATGGCCCCGCAGAGTGATGCTTATCAATCCAAGCCAACGTCCGTCCCTGCGTAGCGGAAAACAGTCGGATCCCAGATCACGTGCGACTGCCTAATAGGCAGTCGTAGGCACCATTGCTATTGTCACGTATACAAAGTATAAGCATACCTCGTCACCTAGGTGTTACAATCAAGCATGCTACTATCACTTCTTTACTGTCACGATTTGGATACCTGAGGGCCTGAGGCTCGGTTTACGGAGGTACAGCGGTCATCTTTTACCCCCGGTCGACAGGGGGTCCCCCAGAACAGCCAACTTCAACATAACACAACTTCTTCAATAGAGGTGCAAATCAAATAAAGAAAAAGCATCTCTATACTCCCTAAGCTAGGGGGATTATAACGGTGCAATTTTGTAGGGTTTCCTGGTTGTTGTGGTTGCGATTTCAAGGGACATAAACAATGCCAAGGAAAACAGGGGGTAAAAGATAACCGCTGTACCTCCGTAGGAAAGACTACCGCCGATGATGATGGTCTATTCCGCCCGGCTAAGCCTAAAGGGCACTAGTACTATTTACATGGGTTCGATTCCTCCAGTTTCGCCATGGTCTCGTGACAGCCCTTACGTTCGCTTTGAACGGCTTTTTGTTCTAGCCTTTGATTCTACAATTCGACGTGGTCTCGTGGGTTTGTTAGTAGCAAGTGTACTTGGAGATAAACTCCTCTAAGTGTTCAACGTCCTATCCCACCCTCGAAGTCTCATCTGCGATTCACCAACCTCTCAAAATGAGCCCCTCCGACTCCAACCTACAATTCCACTTGTTCCGTGAGCTGCCCAGCGAACTCCGAGAACTAATCTGGAAGTTCTCCCTCCGCCGTACTGTTCGAGTTCAACTACAGCTAGAAGCTCGTGGAATTCCAACACTTTCAACTGAGCATGTAAGAGGTCTTTGTACGTTCTCATACAAGAACAATACCGTCCCCACAGCCCTTCGAGTCTGCAAAGAATCCCGCCAAATAGCCACTTCCACTTACGATTGCTTCCCTCCCCAAGCTATCAGCAATCGCATTCATCCACCGAACCTGTACTATTATCCTTTGTATGACGATATCCATATAGAAGGAGGAGCCGCGTTACTTGAATATACGAAACTTTTCGGACTACGCCCTTTGGATATGAAAACTTTCGCGATGCACATTGGTGCTTTCGCGGCGAGCCAATTTCCTGGACCTCCTATGAAGGTTTACTGGAGCTGGCAGCAGACCATAGACAGAGCAAATGGAACCAGCGAGTAGGTTATATTGTGTTACCCTTTATGTTAACGAGCTAATCAATACCTTAGGAGAGCTTTCAAGCCAACTTGCCGAACGAAGCTGCATCGAGTGAGGCGCAACAAACGGGCGGTCTCTTTCTGGACATTTCGCAGATCGTCTGTGACTGGCAGCGCCTCTTGCATTCCCTCTTGTCCTTGCCAAGAGCCAGTGCCCTATCTGCATTGGCGACGAATCGAAGAGCTATGAGGAGCGGATGGGCTCTTTTTGCCGCCCTGCGAAGATGATGGATCACGTTGAACGGATTCACCTCAAAGGAAGAGATCCGCACACTAAGATAGAGTGTTATCACCCAGCGTGCAAGTCTCGGGGGCTTGTTCTCGAGCACGTGGAGCATTTCAAAGGCCACGTAGAGGAAGTGCACGGCGTCAAGCTCCGGGAACCAAGGTTTGTGCGTTCGTCAAAATAGACTGCGTTCCATTTCATATCTAGATCATCAAATTACTATCCCTATCGTACTACGTTTTTTTAATTCTCTCCGGCCCTGCTAGTGATCTTGTGCTATGTTTGGAGGCAAGACCTTGCTATCTTGATGCATCTCGCCAGCAGTGAAGGACTCTCCACAAGCTACGTCACTAAGCCAAGCCGCCTTTCTGCACAAGTGGTGCTTAGGTAGTATAACCATCTAGATACTGAGGGCCCGACCACTTACACCAACAATTTGTTTGCGCCAATCACTTACTAGTACTATCCAGCTCATGGTAGAAACAATTTGATACTACCAACGAATTACTAGTACTATCAAATTATTAGTACAAACGAATTGTCAGCACCAAAAATTTGGTAGCACCAGTAATTTTAATAGTCCCAATGATCTATTTGTGCCAACTAGGTGTCTGCACTAACTATTTCTTCGTACAAACGGTATTTTAGCACCAACAAATTATTCGTACGAACGGTTTTATAGCGCCAGCCGTGTATTTGTACAAACCGAACTTTGGTGCCAACACGACTTTTGTGCCAATGATATTCCAGTGCAAACCTTTTCTTTGTACCAGTGACCTGCGTGAACAGGCCCTAATTGATCCATAGGTGGTATATCAGGTTATAAAATGTATCGTTTTCACGCGTTAGATTGAACCACCTTTGTATCTCTACTCCACAATAACACCCGCATGACACTTGTCTGTCCCTTCTCTGCCCGGGCGGTCGTATACAGTAACTGACTATCCACATACCGATCAGCGCTAAAGGTCGCGGCTCCAAAGGCGATTCCAAGGTGCTGACTTCTCGTCTGAGGCGTGTGGGAAGGACTGGATGAGCACTGAAACCCGGCATCCTCAGATATGACGAGCTACAGGAATCCTAGAAGTTTTCAGGGATGATTTAGCCGGTAACTGACCGGTTAGTGACCACACACCTTTGCCAAATCACTTGAGGGAGGGGCTGCCTTTTTGTCTGCATTTGCTAGGGGGATCCTCAGGGCACTGAGTAGGAACTATCAAGGTTGGGATGAAGTGATAAGAATCTATTTATCAGTATCCACACCTATGGGTTTTGCCCGCCTCGGAAGATTCTCAATCATCTAGCCTTCAGAGAGAGTCCAGCTAAGTCTCGGTTGTCTTCTTCGGGAATTTTCTCATTTGTCTAGAACGGCGATTCTCCATGTCTTCAGGTATCATGTTTTTAGGAAGCGGATAGGTACTTTGCTAAAACGTATCAACATTACCATGTATCTCAAGCAAGTAACCACCTTACTTACTATCTCTGCGAATGACGGCTGCCATGATACATAGCCTTTGGATCTGAACGTAGTATATTGGCCATACTTGCAGATGATCAAGACTACATCGATACCATCAAATTCCCCCAATTCAAAAGCTTTCTTAACCAATGTGTCCTTCCTCCTGTTTATTCCCTCATTCTCTCTCTTTCTCCTCCGCCGCTCGTTGAGTTTAGCGTTTATAGTATCTATAAGAGCCTTCACGCTTAAATGTTCAACCTTGTCAGCTGTGAAGTATGCCATACTGGTGGCTACAACTGTGAACTTATAGTCCGACATGGAGGAGCCTGAATTGGCCCTTTCAACACCAAAGCGACAAGGAACCACATTTGAACCTACTATCCTCCAGACGGCACTCATCATCTGGGGGAGGCCCTCGGTTTCTAGATGGTTATGCACCATCTAAGTGAGTTTAAGCGGAGTGCTGCCCTCATTGTCTAGATGGCTATGCGTCGTCTGAGTTGCACTTACATTTAAGTGGAGAATGTGGGGTGGGATTACCGAGATCGCCACCATCAAAAACAAGAGGGGGATGATCTACCCACCCACTCCTGATTGTCCTTGTGGGCTCTCATTTCACCGCCAAAAAAACAGTGGGTAGATGTTCACTATAGAGGCAGCTGGTACTGCGTCTTTAGCCGCCTATGGGGCGAGTTAGATTTCTTTGCAGGTAGCTCAGTTTGAGAACCATCAAGACGCAATGCCCTGGGAGGCGAAGAGAGCCTGAGCTTTAACTATTAGTTCTACTAGTTGGGGAAGAGCACGCCGAATCCTCGGAACTACCGTCCTCGAGGGTAGTATAGAGAGCAAACATCTCCCTGTCATTTGGTGGAGAGTGGACGGCGTCCGCCTGTTCAGGATCAACTGTTGCTGTGGGCTGCTCGAGCGAAGGGTCGATGATCACATCTTGTTGACAGTCAACAAGAAGACTGTCAGATCTTGACGGATCGCAAAATTCAGAAGGCTTAAACAGTTCCTCAAACGAGTGATTGGGCAATTCGTGACGCGCAGCTATCTCGATCACTAGCCAGGTTGATGGGGGGGCCATCTGCCATCATCCGTGGAAGGAGGGAGGACAGAGTACTCATCTGTTCCTTCAAGCCCTTATGACAATAGTCAATGTAGTCTACGACCTCTTGATGCTGAAGTTCCGAGAGGGCATGGAGTCTGATAAGCCGCAAAAGAAGCTGTCTGGATTCGAAACTTCATAAATGACCTACGGATTCCAGGCCTTTATGTTAAGTCCGTTCCTCTTTATATCGACTGCAATTCAGCTCTCAGACTTACACACAAGCCGGAATTCCATTCCAAGTCTAAACACATCGACGTCAAGCATCATTTTATTCGTGAAAAAGTGGACGAAGGTACAATTAGCACAGAACGTGTGAATACAAAGGACAATCTGGCGGATATTCTCACCAAAGCACTGCCCCGAGACACACACAAGGGTTTATTCACCCGTATGGGCCTGTCAGGGACGCAACCGTGAGGTGTGAGCGTCGGGGGGAGTGTTGGTCATGTGACGCCACACCTCTCTGCCTACCAGGCTACCACACTGTAATGAGTCACACTTCTGTATATATATAGTCCCAGTCCATTAGATAGTTGAAGGTATTATTACTTCTTCTTCCGATCTCCAACTGTTTCTCGCTACGCAGGGACGGACGTTACTACTCTAAATTAGATTAAATTAGATTTAGCGTAGTATATTAATTGACTAGATTAAATTAGAGTAGTAGTCACTACTCTAATCTAATCTAATCTATTTGTTACACTGTCCACGACACGGAACACCGACCAACTCATAATCAGCACGCTTGCGGCGTAAAGAGTGAGTACGTAGAATCCAAGTCTATGTGCTGAACTCCCTTAATATTAATATCTTCAACAAACAAAACACGCAAAGTCTTGCAGTGTAAATTAAACAAAGAACGCCCCGAAGAAAACAACAGCAGTAAAAATAGTAACCCCTAAGTACTGTATCTTATGCTAAAACGTCAACTTCGAATACCGCTGCTTCTTCCATTCTTCCTTCGGCCGCGTAATATTCGTAATCAGGTCCCTGTTAAGCAATTCCTCTCTATCCGGCATCGTCAGCAGCTAAATCACATATCGAATCAGTTCCAAACAAGCTATTACGCTTAACAACTACAACATTAGCGGCTAGAATGCATATGTGAGGAGATAAATTAGAAGTGTGTGGATAGTGTCTGAGTTAACAATTCCAATAACGGTAGAAGATATAACCGCACTGACCACGAAGAGGACGTAGAGGAGATACATATAGAGATCGTAGTCCTAGAGTATAACTTTGAGGCAGCGGAATAAGGGGGCGCGGATCTTAGGGTCACGCTCGTTAAGCTCCGATTTGATCGAGCCGGAAGAGGAGAAGGCTATTGCTTTTCCGCTGAGCTAGGAAGGTAGGATGAAAGAACGGACGATAGTTATAGCGTGGTAGGGAGCTATCTACAACTGTGCGCCTGTGTCTCGTTGTGTAAGGCGGTACCCGGAGGGGAGATAGGTGATCTATTCGTTTACGCGCGTGAGTATAAGGGAGGCAAAGTAGAGACGGATTTGCCAGCGGAGTTAAGCGTGCGAGAAGTAAGCAACGAGTTGACCGCCTGAGACGAGCACAATCGGGATAGTGAGAAGAGTAATAAGGAGAAATATTTTGAAGAATACGTCGATAGCAAAAACGAATACCGACAGGCGGGCGAAGAATCCTATTCCTTTTACTAGGTCGCCGTAGATACAAAACTTCAGTTTAACGGCTGTTTGGAGCGTGCCGAGGGTCCAGCGAGTACGTTGCTTGAGATGCCCGGTGAAGGTATCGGGAACTGTGCTATATTAAAGAGCCTCATGACAGAATGCGGTTTTCTATCCGAACCCAAGAAGAAGGGAAGAGGTGAACGTGTTCTCAGCGAGAGATCCAACGGGCTATCCTCTAATTGATATAAGTGTAGTACGACGAATAGCGTATCCTGATCCTGTGCACCATGCAACGCCGTTAGTATCCTTTGTTAGTTCTATCACATGTACAAAAGTATCGAGTGATTAAACGAGAGGATCATTCTCAGGGATATTATAGAATAGCTTTTAAAGTAGTCAGTATATCGGATCAGGGATAAGTGGGGAAGAAGCTGACCTATGGAGGGCAAACTAGAGCTATCTTCGGATCTTTGACTATATGGGTAATAATAACACGGAGCTATTCACGCTCAGGAATCATATCAGCGTCCAAAGCAGCGATATACTCGGCCTCTCTACCCTCAAGTTCGGTAATATATCCAGTTCCTCCAGTTAAATTACCCGCCTTGAAGTGATGAGGAACACCTTTGATCTTGATTCTAGCATGATAGTAAATATTAGGATATTCCTGTCCTAGATCGCTGATTGACTTCTCGAGCGCGGTATCCTTTCTATCGTTTAGAACGACGACACGAAATCGGTCTTGCGGATAATCAATTGCGCAGGTAGCGCGGGTAATGTCTAGCATGACATTGATATCTTCTCCGCAGCAGGTGACGAACATATCAACTGTTAGAACTCTATTACCACGAATATGAAGCTTAGGGCGAGTACGGCCGCGGATTGAGAGCATTTGATACAACTGGTGAAGTAAGGCGGGGCCTATAATTATTAGATTTATGCTTATTGGGAGGGTTTAAGACTCACAAGTAACGCAACCCTCGGCTGCAATAAATAACCACGCTATTATATATATCTTACCGAATGCCCTCTAAGCATAGACTATGCAGTGAATTCGATAGGTATAGTATAAAAAGTATACTAAAACGGCAAGTAGAGTGAACAGAGGCGAAAGACGGTAGAGCCGCCGTTTCCAAGGGGAAAGTAAATCGACATTATTATTCTTATTGAGGGTTTCGATCGTGTAAGTGGAATGATCATAGTAAGTCTGGAAGGAGTTTACACTTTGCGCGAAGTTGGATTTCTTATTCGATACATATCTATTATTTCCGAATGACTTCTCAGTAGGTGTCGAACAAGCGGTGTCTCCATCAAGATTCGATATTAGGGACCCGGACGAAGAGCTCCGATAAACGTATGTTGGTCTTAGGTACTAAAGAAGGTTCGCTGTTGAGTCTCCTTGAGGTTGTATCGAATATATAGAGGCATCTGATTCCGTGGACTTGTAGGTTGAAGGTGGCGTAGGGGACATTAGTCGACTTAGTAACATCGGAAATGGCCTATTTTTAGGGCTCTGCCTTATCTGGGATAAGAATGAAATCATTATTGCAAACACAGGAGAAACAGAAAACAGAAACAAACGAGCGTGGTTAAGCGAGGGCGAACAAGAGAGTTGAGTAAATTAGAATTGTCAAGGGCATGGTAACGACTATAGGAGAAACGATAGCTAACCCACAGGCCAAGCCCTATCCACAGAGATAACCGGAGGCACCGATATAGATCGAGCGTTAGGCAAATATTAAAAAGAGTCGCCCTACTGCATAAATTGGCCACTGATATTGGTTGAAGTACGCCTAGAAGGGGTCTATAGCCCGCAAGCTGTCAGGTCCAGTGGACCTTCTGCGAGGCTTGCCATTCCCGTAGTCATTAATAAATATTATGAGGCTCTGGCTACTGTTCTGTGGCACTAACCGTGCAATGTGGCTGGTACGGACGGAAAATGCTGTCCACTGCCGTCTGCTTTTGGCGCGCGAATGTCACTGCCGATGAACGTGTGGAAGTCATCTCTAACTAAGTCGAAGTACTTCTGCGATTAAGGAAAAAGCAGCTACGCCTAAAGGCTAGATTGATCGACGTGGAGTATGATACCTAGCTGAGTTTATTAGCCTTCGTAACTCAAAGTAGTAGATCTAGACCACAGCCATTGTGAAGCGTCTTCGCTTGAAAAGCTTGCAAAAGCTTCGACTCGTAGACTTGCGTGTTTAATTGGAGGCTTACATTATTGCGCGCGGCTCGGAGCATTTATCTAGAACTCAGCCCTGGAAACTTCTTAACGTGGATTCAATCACCATCGTATGGAAGAGTTTGGATGTTCCCATGTCTCATGCCATAGCAATAATTATGGTGAATTTGTATTGTATTCCTGGGACTCCCGGAAACTTGTCCGATCAAATGTGCTCGAACCGAAAACAGAATAGATTACGGAGGTAAAGATTAGATGGCCGCAGAGACCCAGCAGATTCAAAGGTTCTTTGAACGTGCATCGACTCCAGCAAAGCGGGTCATCACTTCGCGTCTCCGTCAGCACCACCCTTGATACGAAAACTCGAGATAGAAAATGGACTGATCACCTCATGCGCGGCCGCGCGTTGATATGTTGGGATAAGATGCAGGTCGAGCTGTGCAGGAGAAGCAAGGGCTGTGAGCCTGTGTTGTTGAAACATATGAGGTGTTCGTCCGCAGCGCGTGAATCGTGTGAAGATTTTGTGGAAGATCTAAGCCGAATCTGGACTAGCTTCCAGTCATTCCCCTTTCCACGTCTAGGACATCCTCACATAGGAACAAGCAGGTCGGGTTGAGCTCCCAGAATTGAGTTTTCCTTTTGTGCAGCCACAAGCGGTGATATTTCCTTTGCCATCAATATTGATTGAAGGCTCAGCCGCTGATCCGCCACAAATCTTGCTCAAAGCGGCTTTCATGATCCGCTCTCGGGCCGCATCTTGAATATTGAATATTGAACTGGCTCAATAAACCAATGCGGTACAGTACAAGAGATAAGAATCCGAAAGTTCGGGATCATTGGTTGATTGATTCATTCATACAATGTACACGGTTCTACTTTCGAAGTAGCCTCCAAGATAGTGGCTATGCCGGAGAAACGATCTGGTACGCACCACCTGATCTTCCTGCACGTGATCTGGCTCCTTATAAATAGGACCAGAAAGGAGAACAAACAAGCACGGTAGAGCTAGGTTTCTTCTGTTGCTAGTAATGCTTAGCATATGATATGAACCGCCTTTACCTGCTGTTGATCAGTGATAGAAGAGGTTCACTCTACTAATATTCTAGCGAACAACGCAACTATGCAGTATATGCAGAGTCGAGATGGATTGGCGGCAACACGCCCACCTCATGTTCTCTGTGGAATAACATGCAAGATTGGGTCGAGGCCCCAGAGTGACATCCTCAAATAAAACGATTGGCGACATCACGCTATATAGCGCAACAGATCCTCCCGTTCTGGCCGAGACCCAGCCGCGCAGGTAAAAGAGGAAAGAAATGTGTACCGCTTGGTTGGCTCGCCTCCGAGGAGGCGTGGGTTACTCAGGGGATGTACGAAAGGGGTACGGAAGGAACCGAGACAGTCCCTGCATATAGCCAATACGAAGTAAACATTAGATCAATTCTATCTCGCCTAACAATAGCCCGTCGTCTCTAAGTTCTCTGAATTATACGACTATAAATCAGAGGAATAAGGAAATCTACTATAGTAATCAGCTAGTCTAGACTCTAGACTTTAAGCGTTAGTAGACTTAGTAGTGCTAAGAGCTCTACTAACTTAATTTACAAGGCTGAGAGTTATTTTTAGTAAGAGCCCTATATCACGTGAAGAAGTGAAATCAAATTTTATTACATGTCGTACAGTTAAAGTCCTAGAGAGGTTCGAGCGATATTGCACGTGACACCTCTCAGAATGTGTACCGGTAATGGTTGCTACCTCAGGCACTCAGGCCATCACGGTCAAAGACTATTCCTAATACGGTTAATCGCTAAATCACATGACGTCCTCGACCAAATGGCCTGAGTGCCGTGTCCTGATTTTTGGGGTTCTTGGCTCGGAGGACCTCGATAGTGGATGTGTCTGTAATCTTCACGATGATCTCACGTTGCGCTTGAATGAACGATGATTATTGACAGGATATTCCGGTCATCACGTGATGTGGAGCCTAGTTATGACTGGTTAATATAGGCAACTCTTGCTGGAGCCTATTGGTCTGTAGCACATTAGGGCCTATAAGTAAAGCTGCATGTTACCCTAGATTAGAGAATTAACAGTTCAAGTCAATAATGATGTCTGAGTGGATATTGTGATTGGTCTGCTAAGAGGAGCCGTATTGCTACTCAATACCGACGCGTATGAAGCCTTAGAAGGCGGAGCGCACTGCACAACTTTCACCATATCATTCGTCGTCTTGGTCGTATCATTTATCGCTTTGGCTATGTCGTTCGTCTCTTGCAGAAGTTCGGTGGTTGTTCGTCGTGTCTCGGCAGCTTCCTTCACGGCTTGATTGGTCTCCTGGCTCAGCGTAGCCATGTGCTGCTGCGTTATTGTATTCTGCTGAACTTTGATCGCCGTGGATTGTACCGTCTCTGCTGTTGTTTTGAGGTCGCTCTGGATAGTTGTAATAGCTTGGACGACGGCGCTGAGATCAGGCGTATTCTGGAACTTGGAAATCAGGACGCTCATGGCTGCGATCATAGTCTTGACAAGAGGCTTCGGCACCGGCTGGTCTCCGGTAGAGTCGATACAGGCGAGTGCTTTCCTGAGGTAATCGCTGAGGTATGCAGCATGCTCTCGGGGGTCGTTGGGCCATGCTGCCACTTGAGGCCACGGTGTTGCCATACTGCCTCAGGCACACACTCTGAGAGGTGTCACGTGCAATAACTCGGACCTTTCTGGGACTTTGACCCTGCAACAAGGCAACAAAATTTGATTTCACTTCTTCACGTGATATAGGGCTCTTACTAAAAATAACTCTTAGCCTCGTAAATTAAGTTAGTAGAGCTCTTAGTACTGCTAAGTCTGCTGACGCTTAAAGTCTAGAGTCTAGACTAGCTGATTACTATAGTAGATTTCCTTATTCCTCTGATTTATAGTCGTATGATTTAGAGAACTTAGAGACGACGGGCTGTTATTGGGCGAGATGAGAGCCTTTGGGATAAGAGGCTTGGTCGCATGATCGATTGAATTGATCGCCACCCGGGAATTTTCCAGAGCGAGCTGAGCTGGAACGTGCGAGTCCGTCTAAAAAGTCTCTGAAAAAATGTTTATTGGCGTCTACTATAGTGCGTGTGCAGGGATTGTCTCGGTTCCTTCCGTACATCCCTGACCTCCTCGGAGTCGAGCCAACCAACCACTTTTACCTGCGGGGGTGGGTCTCGGCCAGAACGGGAGGATCTGTTGCGCTATATAGCGGGATATCGCCAATCGTTTTATTTGAGGATGTCACTCTGGGGGCCTCGACCTAATCTTGCATGTTTATCCCATATAATGTGGGCGTATACTGCATAGTTGCGTTGTTTGCTAGAATAGAGTGAACCCCTTCTATCACTGATCAACAGCAGGTAAAGGCGGTTCATATCATATGCTAAGCATTACTAGTAACAGAAGAAACCTGGCTCTGCCGTGCTTGTTTGTTCTCTTTCTGGTCCTATTGATAAGAAGGCGTCCAGAAATTTTTTTATCACTTCTAGCGAGCCTGACTCTTACCTTCAATTTTCTTCGTGGCTTAAACCAAAGGCGAAGCCTTTCTTTTAGGGCTGACATGTGAGCTGTGCTGGCTGCCACCACAGTCCACAATCATGCCATTGCCTGCCGACTTGGCTAGCTGAAAGGCAAGCCATAAATGCCTTTGCAGATATTTCCTTCCAGTTTGGTAGTTCGAGCAAGACATGAGCTGACACGCACATTTCCCCATGGGTCTTGCGGGAAAAGCAACTATTGAAGTTGAGGACTCGGGGTGAGAGAATGCGTATTGGGCAACGGCTGGATGTGTTTCAATATTGGCAAGTTCTGTTCTGCTGCACTTTATGCCGCACTCTAGGATTATTAATGTTCGATAAAGCCAATATTCACATGAGGCTTGCCTCGCCAGAACAACTGGCTTGAAAAGACCTTCATAGTGTCAGATTGCTGTCTTGAGTTGGAGGAGGCAGGCTGGCGGCTCTTAGTGGGCAGTCATTTTTGTTCTATATAAGAAGCAACGGATCACTGTGACTACTTTTCTTAGGAAACACCACTCTCAACGAAGTATACCCTCTTCCCAAGAACCTCAATTCAAAATGGGCCTCCAATTTTTTGTCCGTGTCCTCGCAACCGCCTTTCTGGCTATCCCCTCCGTTCAAGCTTCGCCATACTTCAGCTCTCTCAACGCCAGAGATTTGTTTGTTCCCTCTACGACATGCGATAATTTTGTCGTTGGTGCAACAGGCACAGTGCTTGGCCAAGTATGCATCAGTGTTCTTGATGGCATTCTAACTGTCAAATACCCGCCTATTTTGCCTTCCACCTACACTGAGGTTCATGTCTACGTGGGCACAACGGCACCTACTAACCGTGCGCCCGGCTCATTTCCATATTCGTCGGCCCCTGGCGGTGCTTGCAGTCTCGCTGCCGATAATTCCACAGCTACCTGTACAATTCCTGTCCAACCTTCATGGCGTGTGTGTGGCCAGACGCTCTACATTGCTACACACGCTGCTATAGCCTCCCCAGGTACAACCGGACAAACTGCGTGGGGAGCAGGAACATGCTTCGGCGGCACAGGGGGAAATTGTGCAAAGTACTGGACGTTCCAGACGCAATGCTTCTGCAGGTCAACATCTATCGTCCCGCCAGTCACTTATACTGTACGTACTGAGTCCAAGTGCGGTTCGTTAAGAAAGAACAGTTTAACTGATGCGTCTCACAGTCAACCTCTGTTACTACAATTACATCTACTTCTACCACAGAGTATCTGACCTCTACCACGGTATGTGGAAAGCAAAGCCCACTCATTACGAGGTCTAGTCTTACTAACCATTCTCAAAGTCGGTAACCACATACACAGTCACTTCCAGCAGCGTAGTTCAATTCTCAACCACCGTAAGTCAATTGTCCTGTTCGAACAGCGAGAACGAGAAACTGATAGAGTCTTTCAGTCATATGACACCATAACATCGACGTCTTCAAGCATCCTATTCTCTACCTCTACCCCTGAGCCAATTACCACTACTGTATCGTGCCTTAACCCTTCAGCCTAGGTTTCTGGTGAAATACTGTGGAGGAGGGTTGGTCCGGAGGGTTTGTTATGATAACGATGTGGAGGAATAACGAGTGGATTATAGCGGGTTTCCGCAAAATAATGTGTCGTGGTTCAGATTTTGTTATCAAATTAATATCCTCAGAACCATGGAAGACTCGGCCCCGTGGAGCAAGTTTACAGACTTAACGTATTAAATTCTAATTCTGCGTATTTTTGGGCTGCACTGTACTCCCCAGAATCTCTTCCTTGGGCCGTTTCGTGCTTGGTGACGGTGACCGCAACGGTGGTGATCCTTGACACGTTTTACCGTTAATTTTCTTCCTTGCAATCACTGCCTCGCAAGGAATCTATACCTGGGACCAGACTTGTCGGATACTTTGGATGATCTTCCGTGTGGTGGGTTTTACCGCACGGATATGGCTACCTGGTTGTGCGCATTTTGAATATATATTTCATAGGTAGCTGCAACACTGATAACAACGACCTTTCTGCTCGATCGCAAGAGCTCCCTCACCCGGATGAAGGTGTCCGCTGGCGTTGGGGGTCGAATCGGCCCCTCGGTGTGCTGGCTTCATCGCCGATATCCGAGTTGCCTTCGCTTACCAGGCTCTCGCCCCGGCGAATCAGAGTCATCAATTACTATTGGTCGGTCTATATAGTCATAAGCAAGACGTGACGATGCAGTTTCTGGAGCTCTTACCTCGGGAACCATTCTGTCGGCATGCCTTCCTTTTCTTCGAGACACGAGCCAGACCGACCTCCTGATTTCTATGAGCACTGTTGCTGGCACGGAACGTGGTTTCATCGTGGCTAGATTCCATGGCGGTGGGTATAGATTCAAGGGTTCTTTGAATCTGGTGAGGACGGAAAGAATAGCTGGAAGAAAGAAGAGAGGTGGAACAGAGGGGAGGTTTTAAGCATATGTGAACTCAAAGGAGAAATCGAAGCGTGGAAAGCATCGACAATGGTTAAGGGGGGGAAAACGAAGAAAAAGGTCATTATACGAAAAGCCAGTATAGAAAGGTTTATTGTTTCATGAAGCTCTAGCAGTCCTTTACGAGAATTGTTGTCCCCTCACTCCTCAACAGCATTGAGCGAGACCGCCATGATCGGGCCAAACCTAGTCGCGACGGAGAAGGCGTACGTCCAGACCACAAGAATAATATTCAAACACAGTTCAAAACCGTGACTTTAGCTGACTATCCCTTCCACTGGATTGGTGATATTGTGAGGGTTTCTTCCTCGCACTCCCTTCGTGCACAGTAGTCCTCTCTATTCATATCCTGCCATCCCCGTACCCATGCCCATTCCCTCCTCAGGTTTTTGCCCATATATTATATACAACGGCATATGACTGTGAACCCACTCATCTGTATACGCCTTCCTAACCTCCATCAGCCGCATCTCCACCTGTTCTCGACTCCACTTCAGGCCTCTGGTCAGCGGCCCTAGCGCAATCGACTGAGCACCGTCAAGCAGGATCGCCCTCCAGAATAGCCCTACCATCTTCAACATCTTGTTCTTCGGCCACCTGCCTATCGGTACGTGGAAGATTCGGGTCGTTACGTAGATGAATCCTGCATCGCGCATTATGTCGACCTGCAGCAATGTCGCGTCGGAGTTGACACCCAAGGGCTGCTCAAATCTGCGAGTTGTTGTTGGAATACCGCGCCGTGAGGCCGCGTTGGAGGTTGAGGAGCCTTGGGGAGAACGGTAGGGAGATGTATTGGGGTTGGGATGTTGGTGGTGCTGCGGGTTGCTGGGGACCCGTAGCTTTGCATTTTCCTCGGGAAGGAGGTGGGGTCTTTTCTTTGGCTAGATTTTATGATCTGCAGATTGAGGAATTGAGATGGTACTTGAATGGTTCAGTGACGACTTCCTAGATGGGGTGGCGGGTTTCTTTGTACTCGTGGATCCACCAGCCTGACTACTAGGCGGCTGTCAGTGATGGACATAGATGGAGGGAGAAGATGCTGTGCCTGTGATTGTTGTAGTGAATTGCCTGATTGTCTAGGAACAATCCGCATGCCTGACGGCACTATCGGTGGTGGTTGAAGGTGTATTTCGCCCGTATCCAGCCGAGGGAGATGAGATGATGGGGTGGATCTGGCTATTGATTCTTGTGCTTGGGTGGTTTGCCGTGAGGTGAGCCGTACCACAGGACATGAGAATCTCTCCGTTGCTGGTCTGGGGAAGATTGTCCTTGGGCAGGACGCAGTTGCTATTGTTGGGTATGAAATTGTTGCTGTTGGAGGTGGTGTGCCTGCGCCACATGTTTCTGTGCCAACTCCAAGCTGGCATTGGGTAAATTGTCACCTCCCATTTCAAAGCCCATGGCATCATAGATGGTGGGATTCCTCCGGTTAATGATGCCTGTGATATGATCTGCTAATTTTTCCGCTGTTCTAAACGCAGTGATTCCTGCCGTGTCTTTTCTTCCCTTGCTTCCGCTTGTCTTCCTCTGTTTAGCATGCAACCAATTCCGCATTGATTCTTCAGCTCCTTGCCATTGTTGAGGAGCTGGTAGCTGGCCATAGGCTGACCTTTGATGGTGGTGGATGTTATGGAGATTGCGGCAAGGTCACGGTCGGAGGAGGCAGCATACCATGGGGAGGCGTCGACATCCGATGTGTGGTCGACGACGAGGTGGTCAGTGGCAGAGGAAGGGCCTTGCCAGTTCCTTTCACCACGGGAGAGAAACCAGAAGTGGGCGGCGGTAGAGGGGGAAGTGCCTTGTTGGTTGCTTTCACTACGGGAGAGAAAGAAGAGGTGGGCGGCGGCGTAGGTGGTGAACAGTCATGGAACGGCTTGTAGCCGTGATGTGCTGGCTGTTTAGTGAGTAACATGTCGTGGAGCGTGTCAGCAGTAAAGGAAGAAAATAAATATAAATGGTGATGGAGTATATAGAAATGACCTTTGAAGTAGAGATAGGAAGGATATGAGAGTAAGGTAGTAGCACTCGAGTAGGGATTCGAGACTTTTAAACCAAATCGCCTCCTAACACCGCCCGCGCTCCCTCATCTCCAAAGCACCGTACGCAGCGGGGTCTTGGGTAGCGTATTACTACCTGTCCGTGTATCGGATACTCCAGACGAGACCGGGTCCCGAAATTGAACGGTGGCCATAGTGGTACTGGCAAGACTAGATGTGGATGGCGATGGAGGGAATCCATTTTTTATCCAACGACATTGTGATGCTAGATGAGGGAATTGGAGGTAGCAGGCGACATCCCTCCTTGGCGCGCCGCAGCAGGGAAGAGACGGGTGAGCAGCTTACGAACGGTCGAGTTCATGACCAGCAGTGCCTCCACTTCCGTTTGTTCACAGCGGAACAAACCACCAGCCCCAACGCCTCATCCAAAACATCACCAAAAAATCAAATCCAGGAAACCAAAACACAGCCAGGCCACACAGTCCTGAATCTCCATCCCATGCGCGACCCTGACGGGCGGGAAAGGGATCGACAACGCTGCATCCTAGTCATGCACAGGATGACGGTGTTGAGCCGCTCTACGGATGCCATTTGAGATTGGTGCAACTGAGCCCTGCCGGGATTTTCCTGCGAAATAACATGAGATGAAATGAAGTAAAGCGGCATAACAAGGTAGGCCAGCCGAAAATAAACCGCCTCTACCTTCCTTACCCGTCCTGTTTGAACGTACCTTCTTTTACACCATATTAACGGACACACTGATCGTCACAGGGTGTGTACCCATCAAGTGTGGTCTAGCAACCTTGAATTTAAACCCCATGCGCATTGTCGCTATAGCGGTTGAAACGAAAAACATATAGGTTGTGTTAAAGGGATGATAGTGCTTGCTGTTTCGTTCTGGTGGTATGATGGTGGTCGGGCGCTTACTAATACTCCGACGTGAGTGGAAATTTATGAGGAAAGCTCGGTTCTTGGCAAATTAAAACATGAAACTGTGGCTCGCGTTGTGGCTGTTCCTCGCACAGACGTCGTTTGCCAAAATCATTCCCGTGTGTTTCAATAGGTTAACTAGACGTCAACTTTATTGTTGTGCGCACAGCTGCTTCGATTGCGGAAAAACGCGCTTACCTTCCCAAACAACCCACCATGCAAGCTGCGAGAACATATAAAGATGCTTTGCGCGCACCCAAACACCGGGCCTAGTTAACAAGCCTGCAAGTCAATCCTTCTGAACCAAAACAGCTCTTTTCATTTTAGTGGTGGAAGCAGCTTCCTAACCACCGTTTCCAATCCAGCCTAATAACTATCTTTCTTGCCACTCTTTTGGAAGCGCCCCGCTTCTCCTTCAATCAGCCCCAAATGCTTGCTCAACTTTACGGAAATGTGCTTTATCAAACAGCAGCCATCTTAATCACGACAAGATTCTTGGCAGCCGTTGGTGCTTCTCCGGCTCCGGCTTTCGGTGATGCTGCCCCAATCGGCTCCGTCGAGTTGTTAGGACGAACTACGTTTCCGACCTCTATCCAAAGCCCCGAATGCCAAACTCTGTTCGTGGGTCAAAAGGCTACCGACGGCGAAGTGTGCCTCAGCGTCCAGGACCAGTCCCTAATAGTCGAATATATGTCCGTAACGGATTTCTCTTACGACGATGTCCACGTTTGGGTCGGCGTCGGCACTCCCCCGACCACGGCACCTGGGCAATTCTCATATACCTCCGGCAACGGATATTGCGAGGTCGCTGAGGATGGGACATCGGCGACTTGCACGATTCCTTTCATTGATCTGCCGGAAGGGAACCTCTGCAATACTGAGCTCTCGATTGCGACTCATGCGGCGTTGGGCGGAGAGACTGGGTGGGGGGATGGGACGTGTATTCAGGAGGATTGCCATCCTTGGGCGATGTATTCCACGTTCCAGTTCGAGTGTACTAAAGCCGGCACGCTGGCAACGACGACGATGGCTTCAATTAGTTCCTCTATCGATGGCTCAACGAGTTCAAAACCCATGTCTAACGTGTTGACCAACCCAGTCGGGACCTCGACCACCTACTCTTATCCAGGGACGACCAAAACCAAAACCAGCATCATAACCTACACCATCACCTCGTGTCCTGCTAGCAAGCCATGCCACCTGGTCACGACAGAGTCCACAGTGACCTACCACCTCACCCAGTCCATCACTGTCCCTTGTGAAACATCCACAGTACATAAAGAATCCTCGCCTCCACAAGAAAAAAGCCTCGTTAACTGACGCATGCATATCCCTAGTACGTCGACCGCGGCAGCACAATCACAACCACCATAACGAAATTGCCAATCGCCATCTACGTGACCTGTCCCCCAGAGCCGCCGCCTTCGTCATCCCCAACAACCTCGGCGTACGCCTCCGCAACTCCGTATTATAACTCTTCGATACTCATCGCGACCGAAATGTCTAGCTTCCTCGTCGGCCCAGCCAAGACCTACGAAAGCGTCTCGGCGGCCGCGAATTCCACGGCGCCAAGTGCGTTCACTGCCGGGGCGCCTAGGCTTAGCCGTAGCTTAGGCTGCATTGCGACTGTGGTGGCTATGATGGGTGCTCTCACTGCGCTGATGTACATGTAGATGCAGAGGCCGCATGTACGGATGTTCCAAGTTGTTCAATTAACCTTCGAAGCTGGGATTAGATAGTAGATTTCAAACCAAACTGGAGGCAGTGATTCCACCTTTCTGCCCACATTTGGTATGATGGAAACTATACCTCCGTTTTTATTGTAATAAATAATTTCTCGGACTTAGCTATGCAGTAGGATAGCCAGTCTTAATACAAACTATTTTGGGAGTCAAATATCAGATGCAAAGGTGGTCATGGTCGGATTTGAATTTGCGAAGGTGTTGCAGGTGAAAAGCGTTGGTCGACTAATTAAGCGGGAAACATGAAAGGCGGTCTCAGGATAATCGAGTGGACGACTACCATAGCCTCTTTGGTGGCGATTGACCAGTTTGGACGTTAAGGGGGACTGAAAGATTGTTAGAAGCGCAGTTCTTTCCTCTATTCAGCTGAGAGCTTCGAACTTGGTAGAATTCTTCAGTAGCCATGATGAAAGGCTTAAAGTCAGGAAGCATTCGTTGACTTTTTAATGAGGGAGAGTTTGAGGTGATTGAGAAATCTCCTGATATGTCATGTGCAATAGCGGGGAAGGCATTTCTTTCATTGGTGGAGCTCCAACAGGGCAGTCTGTGCCCGTGTTGCGTTAAAGGATGCCAAGGAAGTCGGGATGATGAGAGCATGCGTGATGCTCCTCCACATCGAAAAGAAATCTTTGCGATCTAGGGTTTCGGTGGTCCAAGGAAGGATATCAGAACCATTTTCTTGCATTCTGGAAGTTGTTGAAGAAAAAGAAAGGCGAGCTGTCTTTGTTGCGCTGGCTACAGCGCATGTGTGAACTCGCACAACGTCCCTTTCCTGTGGCGAATGTTGTTGGACATTCGGGTGGTTGCTACTTTCGCATAATTTCGAACGTTCAATGCGTTATATAGACGGCGAAGAATGGTTGAAGTGTGGCGAGGTATATTTGTGTAATGTCTAGATTATTCTTAAACCGCAATACCAAGGACATTCTTTGGCTCGTACAAATTGTCAATACTCTCAATCTCCTCCTCCTCCAATTCGAAATTGACAGCCTTAACAGCCTCATTTACCCGTTCAATCTTACCAATGCCAATAATAGGTGCCGTCATGAAGGGCTTGCTCAAACTCCATGCGATAGCCACAATCGCCATACTGACCCCTCTCTTCTTCGCGATCTCCTCGATCTTACGATTGATCTTCTCATCTATCGCAGTCATTTTCTGTCCCATGAACGTTGCTCCCATGGCTTCACCCCGGTCGCTATCTTTGAAGCTGTCATGGGGCCGAGCGAGATAGCCCATTGCCAGAGGCGACCATGGAATCATGCCCATCCCGAATTTTTCCAGCGAGGGAATCATCTCCTTCTCTTCTTCCCGATAAGTGGCATTATGCAAGTTCTGCATAGAAATGAACTCGGTCCAGCCATGCAATCTTGCGGTATACTGCATCTCCAGCAGTTGATGCGCCCACATGGAACTCGCCCCAATATACCGAACCTTGCCACTTTCCACAATGTCATGCAACGCTTTCATCGTCTCCTTGACAGGCGTATTGGGGTCAAATCTATGTATCTGGAGAAGATCGATATACTCCAAATCCAAGCGCTTCAAACTCGCGTTGACGCTGTCGAAGATATGTTTCCTACTCAGCCCATACGCATTGATAAACCCCTTGCCATCACGCTCTTGCACACTCATCTTCAACGGATTCTCCCACTCATCACCAGTCCTGTGAGCGACAGGGCCCCAGAGCTTTGTCGCAACGACAATATTATGTCTCGGCATTTTGTACTTCTTGATGGCTTTGCCAAGGATCTCCTCGGATACGCCGCTGGAATAATTGTTGGATGTATCGAAGAAATTGATGCCGGCATCGTAACAAGCTTTGAGAATTGGAAGAGATTCTGGTTCTTCAATGCACCACTTAAATTGACCTCGGCGATCGCCGAAGGTCATGCAGCCAACGCAGATGCGGGACACTTTGAGGCCTGAGCAGCCAAGGTAGGTGTATTTCATCATTTTGATTGAGGAATTTGGATGGTTTCTGTAAGGTTTTTGGGTTGTATGATTGTGTAATAGACTTTGCTTTGCCCAAAGTGATTATGGGAGAAGTAGATTAAGTAACGAAGGTTGGGAGATGTGAAGTTAATATAAATAATAAGTGGAGTGGGGTGGTCGTTGACGTTGACCCTTAACTCCAGCTCCAGACGCTTGACGTTAACGGATTTAGTGCGATTTAACTCCAGCTTCGGCATGATTATATCGAAAGGCCCAATCGGATTTTGAGCGGAGCGCCAATATTCTTCATATTTAGCTTCAAATGCGTCCTCATCATTTTTTTCTGACTCATTCCCGCAGGACTTCATCTTGGCATTTGACGATCGCTGCCAAAGGCTGAGACAAATTATTCGAAATCTAATCCCTTCCCCTTCCTGCATACTTTATTCTGCATTTCTTTCCCCTATGTTTCTATTGTCAGTACTTCTCTTATCCAAAATGGCTGGGTCCTCAACGGTATCTAATCCCTTCGTCAAATCCCTCGTCCATGGGTACTGACCGGCTTAGAAGACCAAGATCGAAAAGATGGAACCTGTTTAACGCTGGTCTTCTGCTTGTATTCCTGTCCATTCTTTACTCTTCTGCGCTTCTCTACCTCCCCACCCGAGATTGGCACGCTACGCTACTTTTCCTGACTTGAGCCCCACCTGTATCTAGACACATCCAACATATCTGTCGTGGTACGGATTCTAGCCAGATCCTTTCAAGCCTTCCATCAACCATGCGCTATCACCTACTTGCTCTCAAGGCCGTGGCCTCAAGAACATGTTCCCAAGGCCACAACGATCTCAAGGCCCCGGTGGGCGTGGGAGCACTGGCCTTACGCCCACTGCGGCCTCGAGAATTTTATGGTCCGACATACACCGGAGACATCACACTCAGGCAAAGTCAATGAGATGGGACGGAAAGACAGGCACTGCGGCTTCTAAATGCAGGTCACGAGGGGACACCTATGGTTTTACACGTACGGTGTAAGGGCTTGAGTCAAGGTATGTATTAATTCTAGATACAAGACGTAGCGCGAGGAATCAAGAAGAAGATTGGCGATTCCTCGCGCTTTTAACGAACTGAAACGAGATCACATGATGTCAAAGCGCGTGGTCCCGTGACACCGTGCTCTTCACAGTACCGTGACGCCCACGGTACCGTCCCAACCAGATTAACGGCACCGTATACGGTGCACAAGCATAGCTGGTGTAGCTATCATGCGAGCTTAATTTTTCGCATATCGTGGAAGGGTAGAGCCCAACACCACACAACAAGAGAGGGAGCCTACAAGATACGTACAGTTGACTGTTGAGCTGCTTCCAACAACTTCAATTTCTCCGTCTAGACTGAGTTCAACTCTCCCTTCTCCCTTAGATTACGATTTCTGGCGTCCAAAATGTGGCTGTGGCTTATATAATCGATCCCCGAACCACGGCTTGAGCCCGCCACCGCACGCCAATTGGCGTGCTCTGGCGGGCTCCATCACCGACATTCAGGATATCAACGCTGAAATCAAAGGCCACTTGCCCGCATTGCTTATCCTGGATTGAGATGGTGGTGACTCTAGTAATTTGACCGGATTCTCCGGCGCGATGGGACATGCTTGGAAGCTTTCAATGTATATTTTCTTATCTCTGTCCATCTCAGGCCAGATCTGACGAAGCCTCAATCCTGATCCCCCCATGTCCCCATAAGATATTGTGGTTGTGGCTAATCATGGCTGTGGCTGACGTATGGCTGCAATCACGTGGCATGAGCGCTGGAAGATAAAAATTCCGCTTCCGGAGAGGTGATTTTGGTTGATTAGGCAACCATTTGAGTCACGGCAACCTGCATATTGTATCACATCCATTGTTAATCGTCGTACATCACTTGTGGGAAATGGCCGCTCCATTACAGATTCACGGAAGAACCGAGCCTCCCAGCTTTACATCGAACAGAGCAACACCACCGGACAAGCAGATCCAGCTTCCATTGACTCCTCCAACCACCGAAGAGCGGTTCTCCCATGGGAGCGAGAGGTCTGCTGTGGCTTCTGCCTTCCAGATACTCAGACAGCATCAAAACCATTGCTCAATAGTTGAAGCGCAGGATTCGCTGCTTTGGTGACTGAAATTGTTCCTTAGGTTGCAATATCTTAGCTTCTAGAACGTTCTAGGGCGCGCCAAAGAACAAAACTGCAGTCTTTATTCTCAAAAGCCAGGATCCTTTTTTGGCCTCCGTACTAGGATTCGTTGTTGGCTCCCAGCTAAAATTAGCCGCTGATAGCTTCACCCAAGTAAAAGAGCTCTTGCGACAGGATCGTTGTGATTAGTGGAGCAGGTATACCTGCGAATGCAGGCTGTACTTCTATGAACGCTGATTCCATGGAAAGAGCTAGAGCAGCGTCGGAACATAACCAACACCACTACTCCCTCTATCATTCATAATCTATAGGGATCCAGTAGTTATTAGCCAATCTCCACCTCTATCTCCGGCCTTTGCAGAGTAGCAATAGATATAGATATGCACCAGTTTGTCTCTTTCGACGAGAGCCCAGCAACCTTCTCCCCAAAGACCATATCCCAATATAGATATCCACAAAATGGATTGTGGCCATCTCGGTGATTGCATGTTTGACGAGAGCTTAGGTTGCCGAATGACTCCAAAGCAATGCCCCTAATTATTTTAAAAAACAGTCGGCGATGGAACTTACCGAGACGTAAAAGGAATTCCTAAAAACTGCAAGACGAGTGCTCTAGGGATTAGTCCCGCGGAAACCCTTCTGCCGTCGCTCGAGAGGAAGTTTTTGGCTGAAAGAAAGGGTGGGGGACAAATGAACGTGCATTGTGAGACTGCAGCTGCATCCCGCTGGGAGGGCCGGGGCGACGCGCTATGCCGTTCGCACCAGTCGATGTATTTGGCTGGGAACGAGCCCGCTGCAAGAGCGACGGCAAATTGTGCCTCAGCCCACATGATTTGAGGTCGCGGCCATCTCTATTCTGTAAACAATGCATGCATTCTTCATACGACAGCTGGCGTACATTAGTGCTCAAGTTGCTCAGCCTTAAATTTTCGTTGGGAAATGGATTGCCAACGTGGTTTACTGTAGATGCAAGCTCTTTCATCCTGAAATCCCAGGACGCGCCGCCGGGTCCAACCGCGCCCTACACTCACCCAGTGTTTCATTCGCTGCGCGCCGCCCAAGAAGGAATACTTGCACACAGCAGCACGTACCGCTTTTTAGGGGAGCTTTCCAAGACGCCATTTCTCGCGACCTTGATTTAAACTGTTACTGTAGCTGCAACTAGCACAGAGAATCACTATTCAGCCTGGTGTTTAATCATTAATCTTCATAACTAATTTCGAAGTTGATAACCACAGAAGATCGAACCATATTCCCATCCCCTGCCGAATCATGTTTCGCTCCGTTGGGTTGCAGCACAGGGTTCCCTTTCCGTACAAATGTTCCCGCTGCAATTGATGTCTCGACAAACCCATCCCTCACCTCCACCCTGATCATTTTTCCCTCTCGGATTCTCTCCTCCTCCGCTGGTGTTGGCTCGGTTGCGTTCTGCTGCCTGGGCAGCCGCTTAAGCCTCAGGGGACTGCGTATGTTAACATCCTTTTTGTCATCACGCCCGTAGAAACAGACAAACGTACGCCTGGCTTGCTTTTGGGGATTCTAGCAGCGGATTTCTCGTCGTGTTTGCCTCGTGTCATGTTGAAACGCTACAAGAGAGAATTCGAACGCGATAAAAGAGGGGGCTAGGAGAGATTAGATTCACCAGCCTGGGAATGATTCGGTTGAATTATGAAAGTGATTGCGTCTAGTAGAACATTCTTCAGCAGAGCCATCAAGTGCTTATATACATTAATGTCTGTGCCGCGGTGGAGTAGTAATGATTTTTCTGTCAGAGGGAATGGACCTCTCAACTTCGATCTGATCACGATAAGAACAAACAACGTTAATACCTATAAAATGATGTAATTGGTTTTATTTTGAGCAATAAGCTCTGGGAAGCAGACAACCCCACGTAAATCGCGAGAAACTCCCTCCGCGATATTGTTCCCTTTCCAGCTTAGGGTTAAATTTATAGTGTTAGTGAGAACAAATTCTAAACCAATAGATATGGTGATGACAACCTTCCCTGTTGAAGTTCGGGGGTAGTTTCGGCCTGCAAATTCACACCGGACATGCAAGCCACAGTTCCACATCTCGCGATCGCCCCGTCGCGGTTCCAATGTGGGGGGAACTGTAGTAGCGGGTAGCAGACCGGTAATCGCTGTTCACTTCGTGCGGCATCTCTAACTCTAATGCATGGGGACCAACATTTGTGATATAGCTTAGGAATCCTGAGAATCTGGTTGGAATAAATCTATAATACACTTAATAGTAAGTGAGTTTCATAGCTCCTTCTAGTCTAGTAATAAATAAATTATCAGAATAAATACTATTTAAGTATAACTGGGTCTGGGCGAGTAGTATTAAATAAGATCGGTAATGTAACCGCTTACTTTCCTTAAGGAAAGTGTTGCCTTTCCATCTCTGTTTCAGAACAGGTAGCTTTATCCTAAGACCGCGGTATATTAACTTGAAAGAATAGATAATAGTTCTACTATAGCATAAGATAACTTTACTATAAGACTCAAAATAAGCTGGTATAAGGGTTAGAACCTATAATAGGCTAGGGCGTTACCCTAGCGACCATTAGTCTGTTTATTACGTCTTACTTTGTTTATTAAGGAAGGGCCATACCTGTATTATTAGCTCTTTACGTAGTTCTTTATAGTTTAACCTGAGCCCAAGTTCTCGACATTTTCACTAGACTTAACCTCTTATAAGCTATTGCTTTCTAGAATTAGGATAGAGGATATAGTTGGCAAGCGAGCTAATAACAAGGAGAGCTGAAAGCGTGATTCGCTGTTAATACTCGTTTTAACAGTTTTTAAAAAAGGAATTAATATAATATTAGCTAACTTATATTATTTTA